GGGAGTCGCTCTACAAATGGGAGTATGCGTCTGAGACGGCCGTCGGCGTGCGTGTCATATCGTCACAAGTCGGCCCTCTGCATGCTGTCGAAGCCAGCAAGATGACCTGCATGGAACAGATTCTCGCTTGTTGGAACCTCTGGGGCAGGCCTCGCAAGATCACTGCCACTGACAAAGAGGCCCTCGGAGACGCACTAGTCCGGCTCTCACAGTTGCAGGTGGAGACCCCAGTCCTCCCGCGGAAGGCTCCGAACGCGCAAAGCCGTCTCTGTCTGCGGCAGTTGGTGCTACGTATAGACTACTACAGAACCGACTCCACTTGGAAGTTCTCGCAACGGCTTGCGGGTGCTGTGCGTCTCACCAATGAGCGCTCACAGCATGGCATCGATATCCGATACCTCCTACCTGGAACCTCTGCGGCTTTCCTCAAGAATATGGCGAAGGCAGCGATATTAACTGAAGACTTGATCAGCACGATCTGCGCCGGCCGAGTGCAGGCAGCGCTGAAGCATCGCAACTATTTCCGGACCACTATCACAAAACCAGACTTGAGCAAAACTCCGAACCCAACTGTCTGCTTCTGGCATCAAAAGTACCACTATGCGTGGGGCACCTATGTCGGCATCTCTCCGGATGGTTCTGTCTGTGCTGTCGCCTGCGCTGGAGAGTTCTTGCGGGTCTCTGTTTATCACATGGCCTTCGCGAAGACGCAGTTTATGGACCCTCCTGAACCTTTTGAGAGTCTCTGTGACATGGCTCCCGTCCACAAGGTCGCCTCCCTCTCCGCTGCCAGGGGCAACTGGTATAGTATCGCTGTGACCCGTCTCACACAAGAACCCAATGGTGCGATCGACACCTCGAACATTGACGTCGACAACGATGTTGCCGCGCGTGCAGTCGGTTACTTTCGATGCTCCGCTGTTGATGCTGACTGCCTTGCGAGCTTCTACCGACCTGGATCTGAAGGCGCTGGCTTGAATTGTGACTGCCTTGGTCGCGTAAAGGTCAACAGTATCAAGAAACTACTTCAGCTCTGCCTCGAGGACATGTCCAACCCCTCTGCTGGTAATGAGTTGAGATATCACGGTCGTGAACTTACAATCTCTGGCCGAAATTGTGTCTACTGGAACTCCGATGTCAGTCAGGCGTCTTTCATCTGGGTCCGTACTGACGACGGTCCTGAGCAGGCTGTCCCTGCGATGACTGAAGCACGCGCTGCTCAACAAGACGGAGGTGCGTCGGTCTCTTCTGCTATTCAATGGAACAGGTGTTCTGGTATTGACGTCGCCTCTGAAGCTGCCCAGGACATGATGGCGATCCTTGATACTGCCACGAAAGGGGCAGAAATGATTGGCGCCGTCTTCAACTGTCGAAACATCACAGACAAGTGCCGCTATGTCGGTATCTCGTCGCGGGGCTTATATGTCGCAGCTGTCGGAGGGCATAGAGTTTTACTGCGTGCAGACATAATCGAGTGGACTCGACGGCGTGGCCTCTTCAGTGGGCATGATGATTCTGAAGTTCTTGATTTCGGCGCTACGAAGCTCTTGCCTGCTTCTACACCAGGTGACTTCCAGGCAGTTAACCTCTCTCGATCTGATGGCCGCTGCTTCCCTGCCGCCACTGCTTTGATGGACTATGTGCGCCGGTATGGTATGCGATCCACCGTCGAACCTTCTCTCGGCTCTTTCGATTGTGTCAACGGTTCCCTCTCATCAGAATCAGACGGCGCTGCCAGTTCTCTCGGAGGTGTCTTCGAAATCTGTCCTCGGTTCGGAACTGTCTCCAAAGATAGGAGCGAGAGCCCTTCTCTGGTCGAGCAGCACTGCTACTTCGGCAAAGAAACGCATGGACGTGACAACTCAAGGCCCTTCTTAACGTGGATGATGGTGTCGGTGCAGATCGCTGACGAACCTGGAATCTCCGCGGAAGAGGACCGCGATCGAAAATGTTACTTGTCAATGTTAGACACAATGTGCCAAGGTGGACCTGCCGACGACGATGCGCCAAGTGCTGTCCTCCGTCGAGCAAAAGAGACGTCTGGCGTCGCGCATGAACTCGACCGCTGGTGCCATAGTATCTGCACTCTCGACTTCTTCAACGATGCAGTAGACGCGGGATGCTCGGTTCGCGATTATAATATTGTCCATGGCGTCAGCGGTGTCAACGGTTTCTCGGAGGACTCCGCTCCCCGTGTTGTTGAATGCTACCTCTCGTTCATGAGTACAAGCGGCGCTGTCGTTACTCCGGACCACCTATTCTGCTTGTATTGCTTCCCAGCGTGGAAGAGTGCCCGCGGGTGTCAAGTTGGTATTGGTACCAGTGACCTTCATGTCTTGGGAATGAGGCTCGACGAGCCGCATCTTGGAACAGTTACCTTCGATCGGGTTTCACTCCCGAATCCATCCACTACAACCAGTGTCACCATCTCGAAGATCGTTTCGCGACCGGTCCGGCGGCGTCCTTCCGTCAGCAGTATTGAAGATGACTCCATTCCTTTTGCGGGTGCTGTCGCTCTCGGAGTCGTCCATGGAACTGTCCAGCGACCTGCCCCGCGAACATTGACGGTAGATCTGCCTTATCCTATTGGAACCCTCGTCGCGTTATCGCTCGACCGCGAAGAATCTAAACGTCTCACGATTTTAGTCGGGGTCGAAGATGGCTGCTCGGTGCCAATGTTCAGAATCCCTCCAGACCACTGCGTAGTCCTCTGGGTCCAAGCTAAAGCGGGCTGTCGTTATCCCGATCGGGTGAAGGTGTTCGTCAGAGAAGTCGGGCGCCTCGCCAGATGCACTGTCACGAAGGGAACGGTTACCAAAGAAACCAGCACTACCGCTGAGACAGACCCTGCGCCGTATGTCTATGAACCGCGACAAACGCGAACTTTCCCGGTCTCAGATAACTTCGACCTTGGTCACCCATCTCTTCGGAGTCTCGGAGTCAGCAGTAGCGGGCGCCACTTCTACTTCTTCGACGACGAGGCTGATCCTGCGACCGTAGTTCTGTCCGGGAATGATCTGGAAATCTCGGGTGATGGCGTCAACGCTCAGAGGGTCTTTGACAAGTTGACGGGTGTTGGTGTTGTCTGTGAGAGCAAGTATAAACGTGATGAGAAGAAGCAGGCCGACCTGGGCTCTGAGATTATACATCTGGCAGAGTGCTATGTTGAAGATGATGCTTTCTACAACAAAACGGTAGTCCACAGAACAGACCCGATTTGGAAACTCCGCATCGCGCAGCACTTCGTGAAACACAGCGACGTCTTGCTGCTCAATGAACTTGCCGCTGAGGATTCTCTCCCAGCCAGTACCGTTCAGAAGGTCCTTGGTCGGTTCATCGACGGAATTTGCATTGTCTTTTTCCTGCAGTATTTCATGGATGGACAGGCACTGCCGCGACTGAACGTCGCAGAATTCGGAACCAACCTCATCGACTTCACAAGGCCGCTACCGCGTCGTAAAGTTCGCGCTATTCCGAGTAGTGAAATTGAAAGGGTCCTCACTGAGATGATCTTCTCGCGAGATGTCCACAACGGTGTTGCCCTCCGTTACGACGCTATGCGGGATGGTGTTATCAAGTGCCTCAATAACGGTTTTCGTGCTCCGCGATCTGGACTTCACTCTGGGCGTGGTGTCGTGGGGTTCCAACGATTAAACCAGATGCTAATTGATGTCGCTGTTCCTACTTCGCTCCTACCTGAACTTCACGGATTACTTCGCGATCCTCGCGCCAAGGCGTTCGGCAGTTCGGATGTCTCTCGATGTTTTCCCAGCATACCGACCTCGCGTGACTTCGGTACATGGTGCGCTATCAAAGCCGGAGACCTCGTTCTCGTTCCTGTTCGGGCATATCTTGGCGTCAGTGTCTGGCCTGGAATCTGGCAGCAGATCGCTTATCCGCGATGGAACAATCTGCGATGTTGTCCGGAGGTCAGTGCGCAGTTTCTTAAAGAACTACTCCGGGCTGCCACCGCCGACGAAGCTCGTGGTCTTCCTTGTGCCACTGACGCACTCTTAACTGATGACTTCTGGAATGTGAAGGGGGGTTAGAACTGCTCTGAAAGTAAGTTCAGTCATCTCTGAAAGTCAGTTCAATTATCTCTGAGAGTAAGTTTCGCTATCTCTGAAATCAATTTGACTCGTTTGCGTGTAAGTAACTGGTAGAGCTACCTGATATCAATGTTCTGCAGGGCCTACCATCGTTCATTCATTTCAATCACCCTCGTGACGGTTGTCCGATTCCTAGACTGGATCAGAAGCCTATACTCGGACACTTTAGACTCTATATAGGTGGGCGGTACCTACTAGGTTTGGCGACGTCACTTCATTTCGTCTCATATCTGCATGTGTCAAGCTTTGAGTCTCTGTAGGTCTCTTTTCGTATCGTTGTTCGTAAGTACTTATCTGATCTTGGTAGTCAGTTTCTTTTCATTCCTAGGTGGTTCTGATGATCTTCAGGAGAATGCGAATCCCCATACCGACGTCGCTATCTTCTGGATCTTGAGTTCTTTTAGGATGGCCTGCTAGTCTTTTGTGCTATATTTCTTCTTAGATTTCCGTCGCGCGCATATGGTGCCACTGGTGCTTGTGTGAGCTCGTCTCTCTCCAAAGTCTTCATCAGGTTTCTGTGTGTCATTTCCTCCCTTTTACCCTAGTAATCTGTGTTCTTTATCTGACTATCTACACGTGTTCAAACTTGTGTTCTCCCGCCGGATATTTTGCACACTATTACCACTAATTATTCTACCACGTCACGTATATCATATATACTTAGGATAAATATACAAAAACGACATTCAACAAAATGCCGGCTTCTAGTAGTTCCCTGGCTCCCCCGGCGCAAACTCACAGAAGTGGGCCCGAATGGGTGCAGACGATGATTGCCATCGCAAAAAGAGGATCTGTCTGCTCTGCGGTGCGTCCTCCGTATCCGACCCTTCCAGAGTCAGCAACAGTAAAGACGGAGATCCTTAACGACATTGCCGCTCAGCAAATCCGATGCCTCAGGGCTGTGACGACGGACACTCAATTTGCGCAGGCCTATGGTCTCCTTATTGCCTGTCACGTCGCTCAGGTCGAAACCGTGTGGACAGCCTGGTATGATGCGAATATCAATTCAGCATCTGACCACTACCACCGCGAAATCGACAAAGCTGTTGGCACCGTGAAGACGTTATTCTGGGACTACGGAGCTCTCGTCCGCAAAGAGGGTGGCTGGGCCATGTTCTTCCATCGTATGCTCTTGCGGATAACTGGTGGCCGCGATTTGCCTCGTGAGGAGAACAAAACCGCGGCCATCTTGTCGCCTAGTCCGTTCTATGGTCAAAACAGACGCTGGCACCCTTACCAGGAACCAGCCTCCAGCAGCAGCAGCAGCAGCAGCACCGCCAAGGGAGTCAAGAAGGGGAACGACAAGAGGAAAAACAGCAAAGGCGACAAGAGCTACAGCAAAGCCAAAGGTGACAAGGGTAAGGACGCAACCAAAGGAGACAGCGGCAAGGACGCAGCCAAAGGCGACAAGGGTAAGCTAGGCGGAAAGGGAGAGAAAGGCAAAGGAAAGGAAGGCGAAGGGAAGCCGGCGGGAAAAGGGCCACTAGTACCACCACCGCCACCAGCCGAGCAAGCAGCCGAGCAAGGAGCCGAGCAAGGAGGAGCGCAAGGAGGAGAGCAAGAAGAGGAAGAAGCAGCAGAAGAAGAAAGTATTCCGCCAGAGTACCAGGATCAGGAGGGCCTGGATTTTGGGGATATATAAAATTTGTTCATTTTTATAGCACCAGGGGCATTAGATTACATATCCGCTTGATTTATCTTTCGTCCTATTTATATGCATCAAATTATTTTTACCTCCGTTCTTCCGTCTTTTATTCGATATATCTTAGTTTCACACACTTGCACCATTCTCCTGCATATTTATAAATCGATCGCTCTCGTCTTCTCGTTGTTTATTTTTACCTTCATATGCATCCTATTTTTATCTATGGTCGTTGTAGTTATTTTGGGTTGTGGTCGTGGTTGGAAGCTCGACAGGCATGGGGCACGTAATAGAGTCTTGCGATCTAAATCCTGTCTCGCTTCCAATCCGATCCTTCCCCGTTCTCAATGCCTTAAGTTCTAAAAAATTACAATCTTAAAAATCTCCCGATGATGGTACTACTATGGTAAAGGTTAGAAGTTCAAAAATATGATGATGACGATCATGCCCCTGGTNTATGGTAAAGGTTAGAAGTTCAAAAATATCATGATGACGATCATGCCCCTGGTGCTTTAATGTTCAAAATAAAAATCTGCATGCTTCTGGTTTCTGCTCGTGTTTCTATCCAAATAAAAAATCGATGATCACGCCCCGGCAATCTTTCGAAAAATATTGGATTCCTTTGCTTTTTCTTGTTCCTGGTGCTGTTTAAAATCGTGAAAAAATGAATTGATGCATCTCGATGAATTTCCTGACTTCTATGGTGTTACGTGTATAAAATATTGGCCTATTTTTACTTGCATGATTTTCACACTTTCCCGCTCAAGACCAAAACAACCCGACAGGGAAAAAGTACGAACCTGAACGACTCCGGTCACAACTTGAACGACTTCGGTCAACCTGCATTAGCTTAGCTAAAAAACCTGCACTAGTAATTTTTTACTGTTACAAAATATCCGGCCCGTTTCTGTTCTCCTGCCCGCTGCTACGAATACACCGGGCTGACCTTGTAGTCGGTTTCTTGATGAGAGACAACGCCGAGAGACCACTAAACTACAATACTACGTTTTTGCTCGTATATCTGAGATCTCCGCACCGTGACCATGTCCACTCCAAGGGAAAAGAGTTCCTATGAACTGGAAACAGGTAGACGAATACCTTCAGGGCTTTCGAAGTAACCGGATGCGCCTTTATCTACATGCGACGATCTATGCGCTGAAGTAGATGGAGAGCAGTATCCCGCGGGGTTCGAAATGATAGAAGGTTTTTGCATATATGGGGAACTGGGATCAGGTAGAGCAATACGTTCGTTAGTGATTCCGAGCGTCCACCTGGTAGATAGAGCACTATCAGAAGGGCTAGGACTAATATCTTCAGTCGTGGCCTCGAAATCACAGGACGCCTCGAAAGACATGATATGTGGAAGCGCTTCATCACGTTACTCTGGCTTGTTATTTGGGAACTCATGCGCCACGAATGTGATAAATTGAAATATGCGCATGCCACTGGTTTTGACGCCGCCGAAATAAGAGGGGTCAAGCCTAGGCTTCGAAGTGACAGGGTGTTCAGGGTGTTGGCGTGCCTGAGTTGAAGGTCGTCAATATAAGTTCTCGGCGTGTTATACCTTGCTACCGATCGCGTTGCGGGAAATTGTAGACCGAGGTAACAAAAAAAACGGCAAGGCGCCTAAACGTCGTTGGCGGGTCTTTTCTGAGTGGCATTGCTGGGCGAGTCTGTCTGCCTTGAGGGGAACCGAGTGCGAGGCTGCTTGCAGTAGTGCGCGTGCGGTTCGAGTGGGTTACTGAATCTGTCCAGCTGACGCGAGAGGAGTGATATCGCTCGAATATGGTCGACCTTGGTTTGTTGAATGGCTCGAAGGGTGGGCAGCTTAGATCTTTAAAAACGAGAGACGAGCGCTGTGGCTTCGAACCAAAGAAGAAGATGCGTCGCGTCGTATCTATACGAGAGGAGCCTGCACAACTAGGCTCGAAATTTTATCCCTAGTATCGTTGAGAGGCGCGCTGCATCAGTTTCTGTCTAAGACGGGTTATCCGGTTATTTGTGACTGAGAGAACAGCAAGAGTTTGAAATTCGTTGCTCGGTGATAAGCTTCCTCGCTGTTTCTTGTCGTTTTGGAATCCAAAGCCCTTATTTTTAGACCTGAAAGACAAAGGTCGTATACCCCGACACCCATTTCCAGTACTCATATCTAGTTTGAATACTCATTTTCATCATCATGGCATCACGTTCCTCATGTTCTTCGTGGTAACAAATTATTCAGCAACATGCCCCTCTTCTATAATCATGATCGGCGATTCTTCTCCATTCATCGGTGAGATTTTTTTGCAGCATCTACTCCATTTTTCGACTTTACGAACACGACCGGAGATACTTCTGACGCCGCATAACTACATAAGCAGTCAGCCAATAGTATATGAGCCAACCATTTCCATGAACCAACCCACATTAGTCACGAACAACAGGAGAAGGGCAGAGCTCGTGATAGTCTCGCACTCAACCACATCCTCGCTGATACTATCTAACCCCTGTGGTCTAGTTTAGTATACAAAAAAGATTTATAAATTTGTTACATTCTCTTTCAATTTCTCAGTCGTGATTCAAAACATTGACATTCATTAAGAAAGGTTCTCATACGGAAAAACTCAAATGCATGAACACCATCAAGCAGTCTAGAGGTACTCCCACAACAGTTGTACACATCATCATCAGCATCACCACAATAGATTAATTGACTGTATCCACCTAACCCTCAACGTAGAAGAAAGAAGCTGTGCATTCTAGTAATATTTCTTATTCAATCATCGACCCATATCCACCGATATCGCATATTACTTTTCATCGGAATCGTTCGCGACTTTTGAGTATTAGGATTATATATGATACATAGAAGAAGTTGTAAACATAAGAATTTTTTCAGGAGCACAAAGACCACACGAGAACCGAAGGACTAAAAAAAATAGATCGCTGATTTTGCTACAGAGGTATTTTCACGACAAGGAAGTAGTAGACTTAAAGAACGAGAACATCGATGGATCAAAAATCATCATCGCGCTGCACGTAGTACGAAGTCTCTTCTCGAAGCTATTGCAACGAGAATCCAAGCATCGAAAGCAAGCACATCAGGAAGAAGTCGGAGTCACGTCGGAAATAAGAAAAAGCCAGACCACGACGGCAAAGCTGTAACCAGGTGCAGTTTCTGGTAATAAAGATCATTTCTACAAAATGTAAAATGAATAGCAACAAGAATGAGGTCTTTCGTATGATAGTCCAAATCTGACAGAAATTTTCAGGTGTAGATGAAAATTTCTGCAGAAAGAGTAGATTCACGGGCCTCGAGGATGCCTCTCCAGCACTGTAGATCTCATCTCCCCTGTCGTTGGATTCCTCTCCAGCATTGTAGAGCCCGTTTCCCCTGCCCTTGGATTCCTCTCCAGCACTGTAGATTTCATCTCCTCTATCCTGGCATCTCGATTTAGTTTCTTTTTTAATGGTTCTCTTCCGTCCCTTTTTATTCACATAGTGTGACCATGGTTGAACCGCGCCGGCGCATCAGTTAGCCAGTGGGAGCTTCGGCTTTTTGGCCAAGAGCTACTCCCCTGGTGCTCATGCTCCCCGCCTCCTGAAGAAAGTAGTACTTACTATATTTAGGACAGAAGTGGTAGGCAGGTAGCTTATGACCCCTGATTCGCGCGGGACCCCATGAACCGCCTGAACAACATGAACCGCCACTGACGGCATAATTCGTTGCGCAATTCGTTGCGCCCTGCGTGTGAAGACCCAGAATCTTGAGTGTGGCCCGGCCGTCGTCAGGCTTCGTCCTTCCACTTGTTGTTGTGCTATTAGATACTAGGCCCAACTACAGGGGGAGGACGGAGTGACAGCGAGTCTGTCATGGGTGGGTGATAGTTTAGGGCCCACTTCTTTTTGTATGCTGAGAAAGGGCGATAGATACTGCTTCCTAAAAAAATTGGTCGTCATTCAACAATCGCAGGGTTGGGTGATTGTTGCTAACTGATTTATAAGTCGCCGTGGGTACTAGTGTTTGTGTTTCGTAATGTTGGCCCCTTCAATGGTGTCGATAGTTGACTGGGGCCACACGTAGCGCATTTTGGTTGCTTTGCTAGTTTTGTGCGCCTACGCGTCGTTTGCACAACTAAGCAAGCTGCGCCCTGGTATTCTATTGCTGGGCCACAGCGAGCTCGTTTGCGATTGCGTTGTTGTGCGTTTCTCATCATAGTTACAATATAGACGAAGAGTTCAGCCATTTTTACTAGACTTCAGCGCCCGATAGCTCTCCTCCCGCTAGAACCCTCCACCCCCTTCGAGCATTTCCTTCGCCAAGACGCGCCTCCCCCGCTCCTCTTCCGCCAGCTCGCGACGCTTTCCTGGCGAAGTGGTCCGCGCCAGAGGAGTCGGGACAGAGGCGCTGCAGAATTTAACAGAGGCGGCCGCTTCTGTCTCTGAGGTTTTTGAGATGTCTCAGGGTTTGCCTGTTTTTGAATTTGGTGCAGGGCTCTGGACTGGGGGGCTGGGACTGAATTCGGCGACTTTGAAGTGCTAAAGTCCCAAAGTTTTCGGCTTTAAGCACTTCCCGGGAGATTCAATCTTTTAGACTCGAACTTTTCAAATTTCGAAAATTTTCCGCGTTTTTTCGTCGTTTTGGGATTCAGTCCTGTGAGTTTGAAGCGCTAAAACCCCAAAGCTTTTGACTTTCCGCACTTTCTCTGAGATTCAACTTCTTGGACTCGGATTTTTCAAATTTCGAAAACTTTCCACGTTTTTCTGTCGTTTTGGGGTTGAATTCGGTGACTTTGAAGCGCTAAAGCCCCAAGGTTTTTGACTTTAAGCACTTTTGCTAAGGTTTGACTTCCTGGGCTCGAATTTTTCAAATTTCGAAAATTTTCCGCGTTTATTTCGTCGCCTTGGGATTCAGCTCCGTGAATTTGAAGCGCTAAAGCCCCAAAGTTTTTGGCTTTGCGCAGTTTCTCTGAAATTCAATCTCTTGCGCTTGAGTTCTTCAAATTTCGAAAATTTTCCACGTTTTTCCGTCGTTTTGGGATTGAATTCGTTGCGTTTTAAGTGCTAAAGCCCCAAAGCTTTTATCCTTAAGCGCTCTCGTTGAGTTTTACTTTCTTGGGCTCGAGTTTCTCAAATTTCGAAAATTTTCCACGTTAATTGCGTCGCTTTGGGATCATTCAGCTCCATGAGTTTGAAGCGCTAAAGCCCCAAAGCTTTTGACTTTAAGCACTTTCGCTGAGATTCAACCTCTTGGGTGCTTTCAGAAATTCTTAAACTCATAAATTCCGAAACTCATAAACTCAGACAGAAATTCATAAGTTCAGAAGTTCATAAATTCTGAAGTTCTTAAATTCCTAAACTCATAAAGCCCATAGATTCATAAACTTGTAAATTCCTAAATTCTTAAATTCATAAGTTCCTAGGTTCATAAGTTCATAAATTTATCCATGAATTCGCAAATTCCTAAATTCGTAAATTCATAAATTTCGCAACCTCAGAAATTCAGAAACTCAGAAATAGACAAACTCATAAATTCATAAGTTCGGAAGTTCTGTCCATAGGTTCATAAGTTCAGGGGTTTGGGGTTTGGAAGTGGGAGAGTGAGAGTTTGGATTGGAGGGGTTGCTGTAGAATTTTTTTTTAGCTCTTTAATATTGATTGTTGACCGGACCGAGACCCTGCGGATTCGTATTTAGAAACTCCAGCTTTGATTGATTCTCTCCTTGTTTCTATCTGATGAACAGGCTTGCACTTGTGTCCACGACTAATCTCTGCACCCAACATCGATTCCGCACGACCCCTTCAGAGATCGGCAGAGGAAACTGACCAAAAAGGCGAGCATCTATCGTCCATCATCTGCCAAAGATGGAGGCCTGGAGTCGAGAAATGGAGGAAAACGCCGAGTATGACTTAGAGGAAGCCATGGCGAAGCGGCTGCAGGAGGAGGAGGAGAACTCCGATCGCAAGGCGCCCCGTCGAGGTGGAGGCTGGGGATGGCATGCCGATGCCCCTTTCTCGTTGGTTTTTTTCATCTTCTTCTGGGTGGCGGACCTCTCCACCGGTGGCGTTGTCTTTATGGTTTCAATCTGATAAGAGTTACCAGAATAAAAGTGAAAACTCTCTTTCATTAGGATGAGAGTTTCATTGGGATAAGAGTGAAGATCCCAATGGCCTCGAACGCTAACAAAAAGTAGAGCGAGGATACATGGGCAGGAGCACTGCCGAAAAAGTATAAGTTTCTAGACCATGAAAGTGCAGGGCGTACTTGGTTAAAGGTTTTCAATTGACAAACTCAAATTACATCATAGCTAGGCGGGACGATGTTCCTTTTGCGACACCTGCGTTTACTATGCGCCGGATGAATGACTAAGAGCGAAGTCTCAGTTTTGTTTATCTCATCTGCCTGCAGCTGCACTCTGTGGATAACGATTTTTGCCTGATGACATGATATAGCTGTTGCTTGAGCTTAGCGAGCTCTTATATTTCTTTGCTCTTATTTTTGACTAGTTTGTGTGTGACTTGCAATTTGTAGTTTTTCTGTTACAATAAATACCTACATCATAGAAGATGTTCGTGTTGTATGTTCTTTCTCGAGTCGCTGCGTGTGCGTCTGTGTCTGTGTGTTCTGCGTCTGTGCGTTCTGTGTCTCTGCGTTGGTTCTGTGTCTCTGCGTTGGTTCTGTGTCTCTGCGTTGGTTCTGTGTCTGTGCGTTCTGTGTCTGTGTGTGTGTCTGTGTGTTGTGGGCCGCTGCGCTTTTGCGTGCTACTTAATATAAGGGCATGGGCCTGCGTCTTGTTTTTGAAACGGGGATCGCTGCTCTTGCTGTGAGGCTGTAGTAGGGCTCTCTTAGGGTTGTTCGAGTGCTGTGAAGGCATGGCCCTGCCCTCTACTAGGTGCTGGCAGTCTGTCATTAGTGGGCTGCCAGCAGCGTGGCTGCGGTCAGGAATGCACGGTCTTGCCCTTTTGTGGTTTATAGCATTCGGCCTCGTCTGGTTTATAGTGTTTTTGTTTCAGCGAAGAACAACATAAGCAACAACAACCAGGAGCAGATCTTCGCTGCTGTTTACAAGTATTTTTCTTAGTCTGACTTGTCTCAGGCGGTACGCGTGGGGAGGATCTTCTGAATTTTACTAGTTCTTAAACTCAGACTTTTTCCATTTCATCCTGGTCCGCGGCTGTCTGATTTACTGGCTGATTGTTTTTCCTTCCGGACTTACTGGCCGGTCGGGTCACTGCCATGAAGAGTAGTCACCATACTTACAACTTATCTGAGGACGGAAAAAAGTTATAGGAAAAGGGATCCTTTACCTTTTTAGTATAATTTTATCGCCTTTGCGTCTCCGACGTTCTCTTCCTTCTTTTCAGATTTTTTTTCTTAGTGAGGCCTCTGCCGTGACAACTTCCTCACTTTTCTAGTACGCACAACACGATGTAGCTTGCTCTGCTTGAGTCTGATTTTTCTCAGGTTTCTTGGTTGCTTTCTTAGTGGCTCTACAGCAGTTTACTTTTTCTGCGTGATAGGATACAATAGGGCCGTAAGGGGCCTGGGACACTCTGGATTCAGCTTTTGGCGCCCTGCGGCTAGCTGAAGGACACGGGTCTCTCGTTAGGTTTGGCCATCTTAGCGTGAAGGCTGCAGCGTTTAAATTTTATACCTTTCAAGTTTGTTTGTTTTCTTTAAATAATATTGAAGACGTGGTCTCCTAGTTTTTTTTAAGTTTATATGTCTTCGGCGTTTCGGAGTACTGATCTGGGCAGCATTCCATTCCACTAGAAACCAAAAATTTTGGGTGCCATGCTTTTGGGCTGACGGGCTGACTGGTTGGGTTTGTGCGTTCGCTGCTCTTAGTTTGCTAGTAAGAAAACAGGGCGGGAAAACTTTCCACGGAGGTCGCGCGTTTTTGGTCCGAGTGCTTTGGGTTCGGGTGTGTGTGGTTGAGAGTTTGGAGGGGGCGTTATTGTTTTTTCTTCTGCTCTTCTTACTTACCTGTTCGCCCAGCATCAGTGCCCTGCCGCGTCCTCTGCTGGCTGGAAATCTAGTAGGCCTCAGCCACCTGGCCTAGCTTTTATTTGGTGCGTTTATGTATCCTCATCTGCGGGCCTTGAGGAGTTCAGTTCTTTCTGTTTCTGCTTAGAGGGCCTGCTTTTCTTCTTTGTTCCTTCTGAGCAAAACAGGCAGAGCGCGGTGGAAGGAGTGGGCATAGAGCTATCCTCTGCTGTGGTGCTTATGATATACTACCTTACTCTGAACAAATGCTAGACTACAGCGCGGGACAGCCCTCCCACCACTAGAATCTTCCACCCCCTTTCAGCATTTCGTCCACCAAGACGCGCCCTGCTTCCGCTCCTTTCCCGCCAGGTCGCGGCGCTACTTTCATGCTCGGAAAAATCCAATCTGTGGAGGGAAGGCGGGACAGAGGCGCCGCGGAATTTGACAGGGGAGGCCGCTCCTCTGAGGTTTTTCAGACTTTTTCTGAAGCTTTGGCCCGAGATCTGTCAGGGCGTTAAGGCTAACTGCGCGCAAGCGTTTTGGGGTGGGGGCTTCGCTCCTTGGGGTGAGTTTGAAGCGCTCAGCCTGCGGCTTGCACTGAAGCCCGTGCCTTTCAGTTTGAGCAACGCTTTGACCTTCAGCGAAGGCCTAGGCGCAAAGCCTCGGGCTTGGCGCTTGGGTTTTGGGGCTTTGGCTTTACAAGCTGAGGCACTTGGCTTAGAGCATAGTTGGGTTTTGGGGGTGTTGTCTCAGGTTTTGGCCTGGAGGCTTTGGGCTTGAGGGCTTGGACGTCAAGTCTTGGGTGTTATGCTTTGGGCCTGAAGCCTTCGGCCTGAAGGCTTGGGGCTGACGCCTTGGGCCTGCACTGTTGGACTAGGGTCTTTGGCCTTGGGCTCGAAGTGTAAGGCTTGAATGCTTGCGCCTGGGGCCTTGGGTTTGTGGTTTTGGAGTCGGGTCCCCGCATTTGAAAAGCTTGCGAATTTTTTGGATCAGTTTGGAGGGCTTTACACTTGGGCTTGGCTGATAAAGTAGAAAAGTTTGCTACTGTGGCCCAAATGAGTGAAGTTTTTAGCTATATCGCTTGGAGTTTAAGAAGCTAAATCGCCTGCGGTCGTCTGTGATTGGCTACGCGTATGTAGGCTAGACTTCGTAAGCTCGTAAGCGCGAAGGCCTTGGCTTTTGCGGCAGTGGTGGCTTGGCTCGATGTGCTGCTGCCTGTTTTAGGCAAGTTTGCCGAGGGTCTTCCTTAGGGCTAAGGCTAGCACATTTGTGGCGGGGGTGACTTTCGCGGCCTATTCAGAGGAGTATATCAGGCATCTTCGGGGCCGTTTGTGGAGCTTTGATTTTTTGCCGATCTTACCATAGTGTCTACTCCTGGCCCTTTCTCGACGGCCTCTGGGCCGCTCTGGCTGAGTGACTGATCGCTTTTTTGTGGGAAAATAATAGTATATTCGTGCCTGGTAGAAGTAAGTGACTGAAGGGAGATTTTCTTTTGTTTGAGTGGTCACGAATAGGGAGCGCGAGTCTTCCTGCTTTAAATTTCCCACCCCCCCGTCCCGGATTTCCGCTTTGAGTTATTTGGATATCGGCCCGGGGGCTTTAATTTTGTGTAGATCCTTTCACTTTTGGCCATCTCTCGACGGCCTCGGGGTCGCTCCGGGTGAGTGGTCGCGTTTCTATTACTACTATCTGGTGCTGGTGGTGTGTTGGATGGGTAGTCCTCAATGAAGTCGCGTCCCTCTTGAAGGGGGAAGCAAGAATCTCCATTCTTCTGTGCAGTGCTTTTTTGATTGTAGTAAGGCTGACAAGGTAGATGAGAATATACTTGATAGGTAGCCTTCGCTTTTTCTATCTTTCTCTGGTCTTTATTTTTTCTACTTAGGTCTACTCCACCACAGTCATCCAGCAATGCTGGCAAGGTTGAATAAAGGGGAACCAAATGAAGGGAAAGTTAGAATTTATCTCATACTCACTTAACCACAGATGCATATTGACTGACAGGCGCTAATGAAACCGTGTTGGCCTCGAAGCCGAGGGAGCGTCGCCCTTCTTTGAGAGGTGCGGCGAACGTTTACTTGGCCCTGAACTATACCACGCCTGGCCACCTGCTAAACGAAACAGCTATTGGCGGCGACTCTCTCCAGCGCTCGCACGGTATAAACCCGGTGGTTTCTAGTGGAGCCCTTGCGACGGCCGTGGGCGTGCATGGGTTCAAACCGAAGGAGGGCGGCAGGCTTGGGGGCGCGATGAAAGCCGACTCTGAGTCCAGCGATGCCACGTCTGCTCACGAACTCAACCAAACTGCCCTCGATGGAAACTTCCTCCAGAGGATGGACGGAACGCAGACCCGCGTGGCATCCGCCGTAAGCCCAGAAGCCGTCCACATCACATTCACTCCGGGACTCGGTGGAGCGCCTGATGGCGGAGGCGTTTGGCAGCTGCACTACTTCGACAAGGAGGAGGATGTCAAGTATACCCCGCGGCGTCAGAACCCGGACAGACCGAACAACCCGAGCGAGCCTTATTTTGAACTGCTTCCGTTCTCCGCCATCCACTTGCGCAACGAGAAGGGTGGCCCAGCTCTACCCTACACGGAATACATAGCGGACGACCCCAAAACAGATGTCCGCGTAAACTTTCTAGGGCTGCAGGGCTGGCGTTTCTTTGGAAAGCGGGAATACCTCTACGCGACCCTCGAGAATGCCTGTCTGAGCTTTGAAAGCGCGAAAATTTTCGCGGGGAAACGTACGCTTCCCCCAAAAGGAGACGGGCAGGCGAGTCCGAGTACGACGCCGATCAACTGGCCGCCGAACACAACCCCCAAAATGGTACACAACCCCGATGGAAGTCGCTTTGCCGCACTTTGGGATTGGTTCGCCGGAGCCCAGCCCGCCTCAGACTCAGTTCTCCTGCCCAATGTGATGAGGGTAGAAGCAGCTCCAAAACTTGGAGCTGGATACGCAAGGGATACTTTTGGACTCTACCGAGGACTCTACGAGCCCGGCGCAATAAAATCCTGGGACAAAGTCGCGCCCGGGCCCCGGCTCCGGTATTGGGTAACCGGCTTCACCTGGAAGGATGTAGACACCCCATGCAAAACGGGACCATCCCCCAGCAGTCCGCGTGGCGGCGTAGGTGTTTGCAAATGGAGGGGATTTCTGGTATGGTAGAGAAGCGCAGGCGCTTGCTATATCAAATTTAGGCGAGGGCCATTTCGCTGGCATCGGTCTCTTCTCTGTCTTGGTTATTGGGCTGCGCATCTTACGCGCAGCGCGTGCTTTTATAGCGCACGGCGCCGAATCTTTCTCCGATAGCTTTCGGGCATAGTCGTTATCTCTTTCGCAGTCGCTTCACAGTCGATTCTCATTCTCAGCCTGTTTCGTGGCCTTTTCTTTTTCTCTACGGTCGGGTCAAAACCTGCACTCACAAATTTGACGAAATTGCCACAGCTTTTTGATGTCGCAACAAGTCTGCAATAGGAAGCGCAAGCGCGCTATTGCAAGGCGGCGGCAATAGGGCGGCGCGGCTCTTTATGACACTTGCCAGAAGCAGCAGCCCACCCAGCCACGAAGGCAGCAGGCAGTCTCTTCACCTGTAGAAGCTTGGTTGTTCCTTCGTCACATCTGCGCCGGCGGCTATCCAACCCTAATGCAAAATGTCTACTCCCGTTGGAGAAGGCTGGCGAAGCACATGCATCGCACCACCGACGCCCGTGCCATTTTCACCGACGGACCTGACAGAAACGGCGCCGCGCATCATTCACACGCGACTGCGCTTCGCTAAAGACTTTGATCGGCGACGAAGTTGCTCAGTATGGGTTCGAAAGTCACCGATTTGCCCCTAGTGTAGTACGAAGGGCAGCGGCGTACGCCGTGCCACTTTCAGCGACATCAATAGGCAACGTATGCACATGTCGCAGATTTCAATGCCTACAATAAACTCAGCCCTCGACCTCCGTGGTGGCTGTGGTAGGCTAGGCCTAGGGCTTCGCGCTCGTATAAGAATCGGCAGCAGCTACGAAAGCTTTCCTTTATAGGGTCCGCCGATGAAGTCCGGCCCCCATTGAAAAGAGAGAGCGCCCTGCCTCCTGTCGTTTTAGCCAATCTCGCTCCAATCGTCTGCGTCAACGCCCCCAATTCGCTCAGGCTCTCCCCTGGGTTCATTCTGTGCCGGGCTATGGCTGAGGCTACCTGTATCGTATGCCTGCTAGGGAAATTGTTGCTGGGTTCGTTTCATTGCTTTCTCTTGGCGCCTCTTTGGGTAAATTCAATCACCGGCAGGCCACTCCGCACGCAAGCGGCGTGCATGGATTCCCACCACCGACCCGCGCGTTGCATATTCTTAGCAAAGGAGCGCGCTGGCGTCCACTCTTCCCGGCCCAACGTTATTCGCCGCATATCTCTCCCACCCCCTGGAAGATGCTCGGCTTTTGGCTATCCCCTCTCCGCTCTCTCTCTCTCTCCCTCTCTGGACGGCAGAAGACCTACGAGCAAAAAAGCCCTCGCCGTATGTTAGCGCGTGGACCAGCGGGGGCGTTTGCTATAACAAATTTCATCGAGAGGCATTCTGCTGGCGTCGGTCTCTGTCTTCTATCTCTGTCGCGGATCCTACACGCAGCGCGTGCGATTATAGCGCGCGGGGCTGAATCTTTCGCCAATCGCTTTCGAATCTCGTCGCCATCGTGTTCGCAGTCGCTTCGTAATTAATCGATATTCGGCTCCGCTTTGTTTCGGGTCTTTCTTTTTCTCCCTCTTTGTTTCCTCTCTGTCCTCTTCTCTCTCCTAATCGGTAGCCTTCCGCACTCGCCTACAGGCGGCTTCGCTTCGCTCTGTTTCGCGCTTGAGTTCGTTGCTTAGGCTCGGAATTCAGCATCTTCGCGTGATCTGGTGCCGCTAGTAGGCTCGTCTGATGACTGACCAATTAGTAAAATAGCCCTCGCCGTATATTAGCGCCTGAGGCCGCGCTCTCGAAGTTGCTCGAGCTCTGGTGAGCGCTATGTCATGAATTGCGTGGACAACGACACACCGCTCGAGCAGCAAGGAGGGCCAGCGCCGTACAATTACAGTCCGAAGGAGTGGGGCGAGCAGTCCGTGCAGTCGTATTCTGTTTGGCCGCCACGACCCATTTATGGAGAGGAGGCGGGCGCGAGAACCTTCACCGACGCCGAAGAAGCCGGCGGCCCGGGCTTCGACCTGCCTGGAGCGGGTCCACCCTTGTTGGAGTAAGTATTAGAATTGGAGCCGAGAAGCCTGGGACTGTGTTAGCAAATAGTGGCCCCGCCTGTACTTAGAGTTAGTTTGGGGTGGATACGGATATGGCGCGTAAGAGGTGCGTTTTTCGGGGTGTAGGGGGTGTCGTTTTTATGTTCTGTTATTCTGTTGCCTAATTTTTCTGGAGATTGTTGATAGATCATCTGTGATTATTTTGCTTTTTTTCCTTTTGCTTGTGCACTGGCAATCGGGTATGTTTGTCGAAGATGGCGCGGCGATGGCGATTGGAATTTTATGGGGAAGTAGGCACTTGGAACAGTGGGCGAGGCTCTCCGCGTGCTTGCGCGAAAGTGCTTCACTTGGGTGTAGGGTCTCTTTGACTCGTTGTTGCTCGTTCCTGATTTTTTTCAGCCCGCCATCTGTTCAAATGAAGTGCAAAATTCGCCAGAATTAGTGCCCTCGCCGTTGTTAGAAGGGGGCCGCCTCAGTGTGTTTAAGTATTTGCAAACCTGTCCGTAAGGGTGCTGCCCTTTAGCTGCTACTGACAATGAATGTAAGAAATCGCGAGGAGGAGGCGCTGCTAAATGTTACTTATAACCCAGCAAGAAGCGAGGGAAGCAATTACCTACACCCAAAGAGCTGAGTTGGCTTCGAGGGGGTAGGCCAGCCTGTGCTCTCATGTCTTTTGTCCTTTTTATAGTCAGCGTGCGAACCGTAGATGCCGTAGAGTTTTTGCCAAGTATGTCACTAAAGGTCTCAGACGGCGATCAGCTGGCTTCGCAAGGGCTAGCGAATATGTGGCAAAAATAGACTCCATGCTTTGGGTAGGGACCAGGGGTGGCCCTCGTCAAGAAATAGAACTAATTCTCGGACTATTTATAAGGTCCCAAAAACGCGCGCTGTCGTCTCAATAGGAGACACGGCGGCAGTTTATCAAAACTTATGAAAGTGTGTGGGCTCGTTGTAGTCGTGCACCCCTCTTGTTCGTGGTGTTGATTCTCGTTTCTGGAAGTGTCATCTCAGGTGCCGATGAAATATTTTCGGGAATATTTTTGAAGGGGTGGACAGATGGGGTTATACGGTGTTCCACGGGGCCGCTTGTGAACTAGTTTCAGGGCGTGGCACGTGTCTGCTATCTTCTAGCCGCAACGGCTAGTCGATGGGCGTATCGTCATCGCCGTCCGCGTGAATTTTTTATATGTTGCTTCCCCCCAACATTTCTGGCACCTCGGTGCCTTCTGCATCCCAGTGGGAGTGCTGCCGCAGCTATTCTCCATCGGGTACTTGCAGAAATGTTTGAAGATGAAACTTGTGCAGATGAAAGCATGGCTGGGGTGAAGCGCATGCTTGTTAATAGTTTTTTGGGCTTATCGTCCTCCAACCGCAGTCAGGAGGCTGCTTTAGGGATCTACTAACTACTTGCTTCAAAGGCGAATATGTAGTAGGCTGATGCTATCAGCAGTCAACCTCAACTACTAACCGCTTTCAGCATATTGATCGTTGCTATGTATTCATGTAGATATCTGCAACCAAGCTCGGCCAGTGCAATTACCTTATGGCCGCGTCTACCCACAATTTTTAAGGGGTTTTAATATAGAACAAAAGAAGGGCGGCAGACTCTTGAGAGGGTTGTTAGGATCGTCATTGCCATCACGTCGCAGGAGCAGTTGGGGCAGGAAGTGTCTATCGGGGACCGCGCTGGTGTATTGCCGCGAAGAAGTGTAGCGGACTGCGTCAAGAGTGGGGCTGCGCTGGTGTATTTCCACAAGTTCTTGCGTCGAAAGTAGGCAGAAGGCTTCGAAAGAGGGGCGCAGACTGAATTTGAAGAAGGGTGTTCTGTTTTCTGCTTGGGTGACGGGCTTGCGGAATCATACCAAGGCACACCTCCCCACCCCACCAGGAAAGTGGCTGTGCGGTTCTCGTGCCTCTTTCATATCCTTGAGTGATCCTTTTTCTACAACAATAACAAGGTGCTCCCAATCTTCGCCCCGTGCGTCAGTGGCGGCACCTCGGTGCTGGCTGTGTTAAATTAATAGACGCACACTGAGGCGCGGTTTTGCGTTGTATGAACTGGACATACGGCTATAGCGCAGATTCCTGTCCTCGTGTACTACTTTGTCAATATTTTTTCTATCCAAATGTAACCACTTATACTAAAGGCAATTGCCATACCAGATAAGTATGACAGTTAAGGGGCTGTGTACACGCACTCCAGAGAGACGACTAAAGGGAGGCACTCAGTTACTTACCAGCCATAGAAGGACTACTAAGTGGCTGGCGCACCGCTTCTGTTTCCTCTCGCAACGATCTAAGCATACACCGCCAAGGCGAGCGCAGATAGGATTGATTTAGGATCGTGGCTAAGTTTGTTACACTTTTTCCGGGGTACTCCACCGCACAAGACGGAGCATCCGAGGGGTGAAGCAACTTCGGAAAAAGACCATCATGACGGGCGATATGTCAATACTTTTTGTCTCGGCTGAATAGGGTGGGTCGTCGGTCTACCGGGAGACTGAGTATGGGTCCCCAAGTCGGGCGCCATGCTGCCCATTAGGGAGTTGTGCCGCCGGAGAAGATGGCGCATCCTTAGTATCTGTTGTCTTGATTAAGCTGTGTAAAAAGCAATGTCATTCATATCCACGCTCATTGTCGCTGTCGATCAAAAGTGCCTAACTTCATAGGTTTTATTCTGTTTGCCAAATAGCGACGAGGTCCTTGACTATCGAGGAGACAAAAACGAAGATCAAAGGCTAGCGGTGAGGCAGAAGCGTCTGTTTTCCAACTGCAGGAAACGCAGCATCCCGCCGATGCCCTTGTGTGGTCGTTAGGGATGCGTCGACGATGTGGTCTGGAATTCAGTGTCCTCCCAGGTAATTCTTGTGAAGTCGTTGCACATTGCGAGGACCTGATCAGACCGGAGCCCCTGCTCCTTTTGCTCCTTCTTAGAGTGCCTCCCAGCTAGGGGGAACAAGGCGAAGTCCTCGAAAACTAACGCCGAAAGATTTTTTATGTAGGGAAGAAAGCGCACTGCTCGACAACTAATTACAAAAGATTTTTTGATAGTGCCGCGATTTGGCCACATTGCCAAAACGAATAGCAAGCAGGGGGCGTCTCTTTGACTTCGTGGTGGGGGGGGTTATGACTTCTACACATCTACCTGGAGGGGTAAGACTTCTGCACATCTATCTTTCTTGGGGGGTTAGCCTTCTACAAATTCTAACTCTTCTTGTGGGGCTTTGCTTCTGCAAAATCATCTCCAGGGGAGGCCGTACTCCTGCACATCCAGCAGTAGTTTGATTCTTATGTTGATCTATTCGACTAAGATCCTTCTTAGTTTTGCTGACCTTAATATTAGGACTCTAGCGCGCCTTGCGATAATCGTAGACCTAACTCACTGGCGCCGCCTATGTATTTGCTTTATGTCAAAACAACACCACTTTAGGACAACAAGGCAAAACAAAAAAACATGTCCTCCCGGAAGCAGAGCAAGACGGAATAAGTGACTTTCCGCAAAAGATACAAGAAAGTTTTCTAACTCTTAGGGGGAATACGTTTCTTGAATGCTAAGGCCAATGAAATTGCTTTATCGTCTTGCCACTGAACCAGTGTTGCTAAGTTCGCTACGGATGCATGTTGCTTAGGGCGTGCTGTCGTACTAATGCGACTGCTTTGTGAGTGATTTGGGGTATAGCGCTCTCAGCGGCTAGTCTATCAAAGGAGGTAGAGGGAGTAACAGAAGGAGAGACCATCCTCAAGCCCAAGAAGAATTGTAGAGCGATGTAGAAGTAGAAGAAGCAATAAGTAAAAAGGAGAATAGCAGAAGTTTTTACTCGTATTCTTAAGATCTCCGCACCATGGCCATGTCCGCTCCAAGGGAAAAGCGTTCCTATGAACTGGAGGTGAGTAGAGTAATATCTTCAGGGCTTTCGAAGTAACCGGATGCCTTTTTATCTACATGCGAAGAGCTAGGGGCAGAAGTAGATAGAGAGTAGTATCCCACGACTTTCGAAACGATAGAGGATGCTTGCATCTACTTAAGGATGCATATTATAAATATGGAGAACTGGGGGTAGGTAGAGTAATATCTTCGTTAGTGATTCCGAGTGTCCACCTGGTAGATAGAGTACTACCAGAAGAGCTAGGACTAATATCTTCAGTAGTGGCCTCGAAATCACAGGACGCCTCGAAAGACATGATATGTGGAAGCGCTTCATCACGTTACTCTTGCTTGCTATTTTTGAATTCATGTGCCACGAATGTGATATAATTAAACACGCGCGTGCCACTGGTGTTGACGCCGCCGAAATAAGAGGGGTCAAGCCTAGGTTTCGAAGTGACAGGATGTTCAGGGTGTTGACGTGCCTGAGTTGAAGTGCGTCAATGTAAGTTCTCGGTGTGTGATACCTTGCTACCGATCGTGTTGGTGGCAGCGTGAATGAGTGAATTCTCGGTGTTGGTGATGAAGTGCGCAAAAGATACAGGAGTGTGAAACAAGGAGAGCCTCAAACATGAAGTGGCCCTCGAGCCAAAGTGTGTGAGACCTCGAAAACTGGCCTACATCGTTGATGCGATACTCGGAGGCGCAGAAAGATCGTTTCGCGCCGCGGAAAGAGCTCGGAGGGTAACGGTTTTGAGAAATAGTAACTGCACTCCACGAAAAATGGGTGAACTAGTATGACTACCATGAGGAAGATCATTGAAGATGGCTTTCTATGATTGATTATTCCTACGATTTGTTGGTATCAGCCTCGCATTTGCTACAAATTATGACAACTAGGGTTTTAGCTATTTTTAGATCACCTATAACAATGGTAGAGAAAAGGTCGGGGTGGAGCAATGAGTGAGTGAGTGAGTGAATGAATGTAGAGCACACTCGTAGGGATATTTTTGGCACTTCTCCCACGCTTAGCTGCTGTGAAACTTTGGTAAAAGCAGACACAAGAAGTAGTAGGAGTTGCGCAGCACTTTCTTTGCTGGTAATGTATTCTTTGGCATCAATGTTTCTTCCAGTTCCACCTCTCAAATCATGGCTTTCCTGTCCTCCACGCAGAAGCATGTGCGCGGATTCACCGGAGGATGCAGGACTACCTTGTGGCAGGTGAGTCGTCGCCCCTCCTATCGTCCTAGGCCAAAGAAAAACCGAAGGTGGCACGAATGTGGTGTGATGTCTAAATCCGTATAGGAACTCTCTTGACTTGCCAGTGTTAGAAGGTGAACTCCAGAGGCGTGCGATGCGGATGCCCCTACAGATAGCCCCTGTATTACCTCAAGAGTAGGCACGTCAATCACGCCATTGATGGGTGCTATGGAGAAGGATGCAGCTTAGCTGATATGTGCTGCGGAGAAGGATGCAGCTTTTTCGTCGACTTTGGATGGTGGAACGAGACGTGCCACCAGAAGGGTGCCCACAGTACGTACGTGGAAGCAGAAGTCGGCGGAAAAATTTAGTCCGATCTTTCAAGGTGGACTTGCCGAACGCGGTGGACTTGCCGAGGAGTCATGGTAATGGAGCTGCAAGTTCTGCAACACCTAGTTCTGCGGAGACTTTGAATGATGGCACTGCAACAGCTTCGAATGATGGTCGGAGAAGTTCGATAAGAACTGTTGGTGGAAGTAGGACTAGAGAACAGCAGGGAGAACAGAACGCCAGGAAAACAACGAGTCATGGCTGTAGTTCTGCCATCTTTAGTACAACAGAAAAGAACCTCGCAGAGCAGCACTCACGCAAAGAGAAGAAAAAAGGAGCATCTTCTTCTGTTCCGACACGTGGCGCGACAAGTTCTACATCTTCTGCATAACGTCGACGAGGTCGGGAAGTGTCGACGTTTCCGCTGCTACCTTCGCCGGAGGATGTGCCAGGTTGTGTGAAAGACACAGGCGTCGTGAGTGCTTCCAGTATATTACGGAAACACTCTACTATTGCTCTACTAGTATCCTATTTTTCTTAGGCGTCCACTACTTGTAATTCTATCCTGGCAGTGAGGTGTAACTCTTATCCTAGTACTGAGGTGTAACTCTTATCCTGACACAGTGAGGTGTACCCCCTACTTTAGTGGCCGCGAAAGTTAAAGTCGTCTCCCGCCATTAGGTTAGGAGGACTGATGGGGACTCAGTGCGTGAATGAACTAATACCAAAAAAGGGGGTCTTTAGCAGTCAAGCATTTCAGTAGCAAGCATGTTTTTTTGCACTGTTCGTTCTGCTTCAAAGCTCATTATCAAGTATTTTCAACCGAGGAGAATGAAATAGTTACTGTTTCTAAGTGCTGCAACGTCCAGTACAGCCTGCTCGTCGTTCATATCAGCGGCTTGCAGAGATACGTTTCAGGCTATACAAGAGGCACCGTAACATGACATAAGTAGGTGTCATCTAGTTTGAATGTTTAGAAGTAGTCTGCAGTGAATCTAGAGCTGCTGTCTAGCTAGCATCTTCTGGATTTTTTGTTCCACCATGGTCTATTTTTATGCATAGTTTGTTCCTTAACTGAAAGCTTGTCCTCAACTGTACTTGAAAAACAGCTTGCCTTCGCCGCAGGGGAACTTTGCAATGTCACCGCAAGTGCAGCAGATAGTAGGGAGGATGCATGAGGAAAGGGAGAAGCTGGTGTCTCGATTTCGCGAACGAGAGCGAGAGATAGAGTGCGAACGCACCGCATTCGAAAAAGTGGAGAAAGAGTTATGATGATTGATGGTGTATGAAGAAGCACTCTTATATAGAACAAGAATTAGAGAAGCACACAGTACAGTTGAAGATACGCACATCAGAGTAGTCGCGGATTTATTTACGGCATCGGGCTAATGCGCAAGAAAAAAGACTTACAACCTACTCGTCCTGCATTTGACTATCGTGATTCTCATAATCATTATCTTAAAAATCAACTCTACTAAAGCTGTCATTATTTTTCTTCTTTTTTTTTTTTTTTTTTTTTTTCCTTTAATCAAATTGATGCTTCTAGCACTAGTATTGCCTATCTAATGAAGCTGGCAATCTTTCGCGAGGCGTACCGTTTGCGCGAAGAGGATGTGAGGAAGCTAAATCTACGTGTAAGAGAATTGGAAGGAGAAAACTCTGAGGCACGGAGAAGGAACCAGAGTAGGGAACTGCACGTGGAGGAGGCAACATCTTCTAGTGGAGCATCGATTGTGATGAATCAGAAGAGTACTAGAGAACCACATGTTGAGGAAGCAACTCCTTGTAGAAGGAAGCAGTCTTGGACGGCGATTGAGGAAGCAAAATCTTCTAGTCTAGCACCAAATCGAAGTAACTTGTTGCCGATGAAACGAGAGTCTAGGACAATATTCTCGGATGAGGAGATCTGGGGAAAGACGCGGAAGAATGTTCTCATCGCCGAGAATTATCAGGAGAGTCCACTTATTAGGGGACAACATGTTGAGGTCGGTAGAGGTTTTGTCGTTGGTAACCTTCATTAAAGTTAGTTCCTTGTCGTCTACTAAATAACTACTCGTCGGGGAAGCTGATCATCACCATTTTTCTGTAAATTATGAAACTGAAGATCGAGTGGCGGAGCACCAAGTCGAGTGTGCAGTAGAACTCAGTAGGTAGAAATTGCATGTGTTTGTTCTTTTTCTTATAGTTCGGTACAATCAACTGAGCACTGCTCCTGGGGGACTTCTAATTTGTGCGAGCAGCAACTGGGATCGTCAAAAGAAGGCAACATGAGCGATGGCCCTTCCACGAAGCTCCAAGAAGGTGAGGAGACTCACCAGACTGATCTTCTCAAAGATGAACCAGATACGAACCTCCTCATGAAGAACACCTTGGAATTGACGCCGCATGTGAGTCCTAGATCCAACGACAGTCCTAGCGACAGTCCTCACGACAGCCCCCTCAACGACAGTCCCGTAAACCCGCGCGCACGCGTACCAAATCAAACGACATTTTTATGACCCAGACTCTACTGGTATTTCGTCACATCTAAATTTTTTGAAGGGTGGAAATTGATTTTCTTTGTGCATGTAAATTACAATAAGATTTTTACAATGAAAAGTTGATTCTCCTTGTGCATCCAAATTTGATTAGGGTAACAACGACTACTACTACCGCTGGAATATAGGATATGATTGGAATTTGTACTGCTAGAGGACATGATTGGAAGTTTTGCATACTTGTCATTAAGAGCTTTCATACTCTGGCCGCGAAAAGGATCTCAAGCGCTCATGGGGCTCACGGGAAAATACAAACGATCGAGCAGTAATGAATTTACGGCGTTGTTTTCTACATTTGATGCAACTTGCATCTTGAAGATCGGTGTTTCAGGGTGACTGTTCTTGTACTAGGTAGGACAGGCTCCAATAGAGAATGTGAAAGAAGATGAAGAATGTTCTTGTAATGTAGGTAGAAGATCAAGAATGTCAATGTTCTTGTGGGTATACTCAGTCCTAAACACGTACACCAATTTAACAAGTAGCTCTACTTCTAAACAAGGTGGATGATCTTCAGGATGTTCTTGGGTCCGCTGCTCCCAGCAATCATGCTTCCGTAAAGAGAGAGTACGTGGACTACCTTGAAAGGGAGTTTCGTCGTTTGCAGGCACATTGTGAAAATCTGGAACTACAACTGGGACATCGTCTCGACAAACAGCACGCTTTTGTTATGGCTTCCGCATGTTCATGGATGGGAATGCTTGTGATCACAATACCTTTCGATTAAAGGAGAGTGTTGCAAATGGAAGAAAATGTTGCGCATCTACTCCAAAATAGTAGTTTCTAAAACAGGAGATTCTACTACTTGTATCTCCCATGTGTAGGAGCATCACTGAAGTACCCTAAGAACAAACTGCCCTACTTTGTAAAGTGTTTCTATCCTCCCGTGGAGTCATGCTTCTAAGTTTCCTAGCAAAGACGTCGACACGCATCGAGCTCAAGTGCAGAGCATTCGAGACCTCATCTTCGGCAAAACGTAACGTGTGCCGTAGTGATGAGTAATGATAATGATTTATAAATGCATTGAAAAAATAGATTCATCAAAAAGTTTCTTATGCAATAAGCATTTGTGCAGTTGTGCGCAAGATCTGAGATGATTTGCATTCAAGTTTTCAAGAGCCAAGTAGCCGTCGTTCTGTTTCGTAGTAGTCATTTTTTTTACAACTGTCAAAATACAATTCCCTACGTCCTCTAAGGTTGATTTTTTCGAACTTTCTTTGCATGGTGAGTTTCAATATTTCCGAGAAAAATGTACGAAGTGAACGTAGCGTCGTGGAGTAAGTGATTACAAGTGTGTAGTAAGTGATTACAAGTGTGTAGTCGATCGAAAATCAACCTAAACCACTCCTAAACTAACCCTAACCCTGCACGTCTTATAGTCGAGAAGGTCGCCTCATCTTATAGTCAAGAAGATCGCGACCAAGAACAATTTACGAAGTATTTAGTGTTCTACTCACGCAGAGATGACGAGACTCCTTGGCTTTTAATAAGAAACAGAAAATTAAAACCTGTAACGTATTAGACTCATCAAGTAAATAAATACAAACTAACCACTTTCCTAGTGGTAACAACCAACGAAAATCTCTCATGATCTTCGAACATCACGTGTCTTATGTTCCTGCTTCGTCTTATAGTCAAGAAGATCACACTTTCCCTTCTTGCAACATTTTGAATGAAAGTACACTTATCGCAGATCTTTCTCCTTGAAATTCTAGAATGCAAATACACCACACTGTTTGTCTCTCTCGTTTCGACACGGAATGAATTTGCAGATGAGAGCCAATTTGGCTTCTCTCAATGAACTTGAAAACAAACAAAAGATCACGACTCCTTGATAAGACACAGATTGCCGAAATTTTCGCTTTTGAAAACCCTACATGTTCAACATGTACTAGTACTCCAAAAAGCTCCACCGGAAAAGATCAGTCAAGCCATGAAGATCGTCTTTCACGCTAGAAGAAGAAAAGGTGTAGTTAGTTACTATCTCATGTATACGCACCACAAGAGCTGAAATAATGCAACTTGAACCTTAATTTGAAACGCCGACTCATTCTTCTTTTGACGCTTCACAAATATTGTTATTAACTACAGCGACAAAAATTGGGGAAGGACGTCGAAATCAATTGGCCCGATAGATTAACATGTTCTAATTAAGTCGTGCAAGTGAGACTCATTGGAGGTCGAGGTCTACTACGTTCTACACGACTTTCAACGAGGTCTACTACGTTCTACACGACTTTCAACGAGGTCTACTACGTTCTACACGACTTTCAACTCGCAAAAAATGGATCCCTCAGTTGGATTCGCCTTGTATCAGCTGCCAGGGCAAGGCGCAGCAAAGAAGAAAAAGGTCCCCGATAAAGCTCCAGATCTGAAGAAGCTTATGGAGGAACAAAGAGCAAAGACGACAGAGGTATTTGTTCTACACTTTTTCCACTTTGTGCGACAGTGGTGGTACACTTTGTCCACTTGTTTTTATATCCACCATATTCACAGTTGTGATGTCTAATTTCATGTCATTTTCTTCAAATAAAGTGACTTCTTTATTCTTTTCAAATGTTTTTAGGTGATGTATATTTGCGGAAACTGTGGTGAGGAAGTGAGTTTGAAAGCCGCAGACAATGTGCGGTGTCGATACTGCGGTCATAGGATCCTGTATAAAAAGCGAACGACGCAAGGCATGATGTATGAAGCAAGGTAGGATGTCCTAGACGCAAGGCATGACGTATGAAGCAAGGTGTGTGGATGTCCTATGACGCTGATTTTTGGCTTTCAAGATGGTCTGGGACGGACGCAGACGGACGCAAAAGACGTTTTTCTCCTACCGCCTCAGAGCAAGTAGGCTCCGCTTTATGCATCTTGCAAACCGATCTTCGTTTTGAATACTTCTAATGATACGCATTCCTCGTACTAGTTCTTCAAGCACCAGCACGCTTGAACACGACTTACAACTCTTTTTTACCACGCAATATCGAGTACTTTTTCGCATTTTTTTTCAACACCTGAAGGAGCGCAATTGAATTGGGGGATGAATATCAAAAACATGCTCTCACGACACGCGCACACGTAATAAGAGTGAATCCTTCTGCGCACACTTGATAAAAAGATGTTGGGAGCCATCCACATGCAACTGGCTTTCTGACGCTTCTGTATCTAAGTACTTGAAGCCGCACTTGGACCCGGATTTTCACTTGGGGACGGACAAAAATAAAGCAACCTATCCTACCTGAACTGGCTAGTTTGTGGAAATGGCTATCATTTATTGACTAGAATAAACTTAATATAGTGAGTGAGCAGGACAGAGGGCAGGAGCGAGTGGGTAGCCCTTAATAAATGTGCATAGTACGAGCGTAGTAGGTGCTGAGAGACGCAAGAGAGTAGAAAAGCAGACTCACTGTAATTTTTTTACGAATGAAAAAAATGGTGCTGAGAGAACGCGGAGAAAAAGAGGTGGATCATAGGACCTCTTCATCTACTGCAAAGCAGGCGTATCAGCCAAAGTACTTTAAGTCTTTCATGCAGGTAGTCCCCCAAGTTCGAGTTGTAATCCCCCCCAGTTCTTTTCCAATTCGTAATTCGTAAAGTCCTTCCGCAACTGTGAATCTTTGTTCGTAATATTAGACAGTAATTATAATACTGTAGTACTACAACTGTGGTGTGGGGCTTCAGGCCACAGTATCTTCTTCTTACAGGAACTGATTATTCATTGATTATTGCCACTAGTAAGAGTAATCAGCTGAAAAAAAAAGATGTCGGCACGATCCGAAGATGTCACAGATGTGGATAGCATCTGGGCGGAGATGCTGGCAGAAAACAAGCCTGCGCGCAACACGCGGTCAGTGTCTTTGGTAAATTTTGACGCTGCTATTGGAACCAAGAAAACAACGAAAATTAAGGGAAGTAGTATACAATTGTTACATCGGGGTCTGGGGTATCCTACTAACCTATACTATTCTACAGTGACAGTAGAAGAATCAGAAGTGAGGTGGAAATTGTCGAATTGATGTCCAGTGGTGAACGAGAAAGACACTCATAGAGCTTTGGATAATAAGGACGGGTTTCAAGCTACTCTCAGTCTGTATGGTTCTGGTATTTGGTAACCTGAATTTGATCATAAGGGAAAACATTTTGGTTTTTGCTTTCTAGTTAGGTGTGCTCCACCGATATCATAAGGGAAAACAATTCCCTTATGATCGAATTCAGGTTCCCAAATACCGGAACCATTCACAGTCTCTGACTCAAAGAGAGCTTCTGTAAAGAAGAGGGCTTACAGTGAGTTCTTAACCTACCACCTTTAAGAAAGAGGCGAAACAGTTCAAGTTGCAGGGAGGTTATGGCTCTGTCGGGGGCTCAGTTGAACTCGGTGATGATAAGCCTGCTGGAGGTAAGAAAAGAGAGCAGAAAGCGGCAGTGAGTGGCACCGCAAAACAAGATGCGACTGGTCATTATGATGTAGGTTGTCTTGTAGACTTAGCGGGGAATGGTGAATCTCTTTGGGGAATGCGTTTCGAAGCTCTAAATCCACCTTAGTCAGTGACGTGAAAAAAAAGTCAAGATCATCTGTTCCTTCTCTTTTTCTAGTTTGGGCTCCATTGGAATGATGGGTTCTTGGTCGCGGACGACTGAATTTACAGAAACACGCTCTAAATCAAGAAAGAAAGAAAGCCAGTGCTTGGCTCAGGTGGTATTGCGTCACTGATGGCTACAACGAAAAGTGCGATTGGGGCAAAGAAGGCAAGGGAAACTGATTTCGCTTGGTTGCAAAACTACGGTGTTGCCGCAACTGGTTTATGTGAAGATTCTGATACTATGTATAGATAATGACAATTTAATTGGATTTGTGGAATGTGGCAAGTTCTGAACTGAAAGAACTAGTGCCCTTTGTTCTTGTAAGTCGTTAGAGAGTGGTGAGGGTACACGGATTTATCACCAACCCAGCGCGGCATAGTCAACTAGAACCCCTACCGATTCTGGCATTGTCTATCCTATGATTGTTTCCACTTTCATTCTGCAGCGAAGATAGCAGTGTTAAACAAGGGCTGGAGCCTCAGTTTGAACCGATCGCAGAGAATGTGCCAACAGATTCTGCCGATGCCTTCATTGCTCATCTACAAAGGGACATCAATTGTCTGGATTCCGGGAACGAGGTTGAGTTGAAAGTTCGCCTGCGCGCAGTGAAAAAGCTCGAGCTCATTTTCGTGAAATTATGGCGGAGGTGAGTAGTTTTTTCAAGGTTCGATGGCGAATGCGAGTGCAAGCAGTATCCTCGGCGCCGGTATATGTGAGGGAGTACGAGTGCAAGTAGTTTTTTCACGAACAGATGACCACGCGGGAAGATCGCTGCTACAGAAGTAACAACTGAGCCTGATCTATCAATAAAGCTACCACGACCTCTCGTCTAAGAAAAAATCATGCCGAGCTGCCCTCCAACATCCTGGACGTGGCACTTGAGGAACTGACGAAGCCACTTCTCAAGCGGTTACATTATGGCCTGGTAATTTGGAACTCGAAGTATTTTCTCCTGTATTTCTTCTCAAAGACCAAGGGTTTTTATTTTTGTCCACGCTTACTTGGCCTTACTTTCATTTATGACGTGACGGCTCCGAGAAAATCCGGGAAATTGCAACGTCGGTTTTGAGGACGCTACTCGAACATGCGCCGAAAATTGACCACAGTTCTCTCCAGTTCATCGTGCCCATATTGTTATGCTGATGGAGGATCTTGTTGCTTTGATTGTTCAGCGTACTAGTCCAATTGATTAAAGCATCTGGCTCATTGCTTGAAGGTTGTACTTTAATGTTACACCCCTTCTACCTTTTTTGCGTTTATTTCCTAGATAGGTACAACAGCGACAATATTGGACTTGAGTCCATACTTTGTGGTCTAATTTCCGTTTCCAGATTGGGATCCGAAGACCTAGACGGAGTAGCGCACTTGCCTCCTGTTATGCGGCCGAACCCAGAGCAAAGGCCTGTAGAGATTCAAAAGCCAGTAGAGGAGTCAGAGGAAGTGCGGAAACAGTTGGCCTTGCTCATACAGGCTTTTGCTACACGGATAAGCACTCAACAGGTGCCTACTTTACAATTCTTGCGAAAGAAGTAGCAGGATAAGCAAATTTGGCCAGGAATCAAAGATATATTTGTTTTTGCGGCCTGAGGGGAGACTATTCTGAGGGGCGAAAGAGAAGTTGTATTAGTTAGAAGAAGACTTCTTCCCTACACACGCACACGCACAACGAACAACTGAAAAAATATCCCAACGCCAGGTATTGGGTTTTATCGACGAATTGACCGGTCTGCTGCGAGCACTTCTTATGGATTCCTACGCTGGCGTGAAGATGCTTGGATGTGAGACGATGACGACCTTCTTATGAAATAACAAAAACAGCGCTGACTTGAAGATATTCATGCCGTTAGTACACGTCCTGCAGGTGCCTCCATTTGGGTAATAGTCAACCTCTACAGAGCCGCAATATCTTACGGACCTCTTATGTTCTGCAGAGCAACAACATCCCACACCCCTGCTTATTTCATACCCTTGCTACAACCACAAAGACGTTCTCCTGCACTTTACGGAGCCCATGGGTCGCAGCATTACGAGCTGTCTGGTCCACAATCACTTTCGGCTGCGTGTTGCGGCGCTGCAGGTACACCTTAGTCGTGGATAGATTGTTGCAGATTGTTGACCCTACTACATAGTTACAAGTGATGAGTTTTTGTGTGGTCTCTTGAAGTCGACCTTGTGACTCGCGACTACAAAAATCGGTAATTAGGAAGTCCTAACTTGCTGATGGCCATCAAGATTGAAATTTATGAAATAATGAAATAGTCGTGGACTGAGTGTGGAACTGAAGATACAAAGATCTTTTTTTATTCACCAGACTTTGACCGCAGTTTTACATTGCGGAACATGGAAGCACAATCACGAAGTAGTGCAACATCTTGTGGCGTGGCAGGATCCGAATCAAGTGCCGATCAAAAGCTTCTACGAATCGCATACTACCGTGAACTACTTCTCCAGTCTCACTTTCGACCGGCATCCAGCAGTTAAGGCTACCACAAGCTTTACAACAAGCTTAGCAGTCTACAACAATCTTAATGGACTACAGCAAGAAATTATCTAAATGGAGGAACGCTCGACGTTGGGGGAGCCGAAAAGAGGAACGCTCCTTGGTAGTTCGTTGATTTGTGGAGGAGAGTACTAAATACTCGCGTCAAACTACTCTATAGTAGGGGGAAGCGACTCCAAGGGTAGGCTATAGTATCTAGAGAATGTTCCACCATTTTGGGTCACAGCCAGAGGTCTAATTCCGTTCGTCGCTTTTGGTTTGAAACGCTGGCCTTCTGGCTGCTCCGATTACCGGATCACGTTGACCACGAACCACACATCTTCCCGTATATCTTGTCTTATGGAAATGGAACGCGAAAGGGTGACTAAAACATACTGGGTAGTTATTGAAAACACTGCGAATAGGATCCTTTTCAACAACTCTTCTGAGGGCACAGTGCATCGCATAGTCTGGGGGCTGACATCCTCATCAGTGACAGACTCCATGACGATTTACTGAGCATCAGATGTACTTAAACATAGTGTCAAAAACTTCCATTTTCAAGTGCCGCCAGTTGTCATCGACCCCACGCGGTGTTGCTGAAAAACATCCACGCAGTAGACATCGTGTAGGTCTCTACAAGCTCCAAACATCCACGCAGTAGGCATCGTGGAGATCTCTACAAGCTCCAAACATCCACGCAGTAGACATCGTGTAGGTCTCTACAAGCTCCCAGTGTCTACAGAACTAACGACTATCCTCTAACTACCTGGTCTCTATGATGAGAACGAGGATATCGCCCTCGAGACCTTTTGGTTGTTGGAGGCGTGCGGTGCGCAATATGAGATCGACAATGAAAAAGACCTCCGAGAAAAAAAGCAGTACGGGTTGGATGCGGAATGGACCTACATTATGTGATGGGAAGTAGTTTATTCTTTTGTGATTTCAGTCAATTGCACGGGGCAGTGGCCGCTGATATTTGCAGGGGTTGGGTAGAACCGATCTTCACTAAGAAACACACCTGTCTTGCCGAGAAGTACCTTTTTTTTGAGCAACCTAGCAAGATTTCGGGTTTGCTACCATTTCTTTATATTGCGTTCCACCCTCGAAAGACTGATGGCCTTGTTCAGCTCCTGATTTCCCTTTCCCACATCTCTAAAGCTAAAGGCAAAGTTATTGTGCCTTTCCCGTTGCAAGGGCGCTGGCGTAGGGAGATACGGAAGCGCACGCAACCTCAAGGCCCTGACTTTCAGGGAGTGCGAGCCAAGCAAACCCGTGCCATCGATTTGGATGAAGAAGACGGAACAAGCCCTGATAAAGAGGACCTTGTGCAGTTGCCGCAGAGAGAGTACTTTTTCCTATGTTTTATTCAAGAAGATGGTGCGTAGCAGTAGTACTTTGTGCCGTTGTAGTTTTCGTAGATTTGGTATGACTTGATGTGAAGATATTTCTCTAGCCTAGGCTTCACCGGAAGCAGTACGAAGCATCATTCGACATGTAGAACTCGATGTTTGATTCCCAATCTCTAGTATGGAAGCAGCAGTTACAACCAGAAGTTGTAAAGTCATTAGTTTCGGAAACGACAATACCTCTTTCACATCGATACAGAAAGATCACAATATAAGCAACATCTCTGCGAGTACTTTGAAGAGATGATTGGAGATTGAGATCACTATCTTCACACCAAGAAGAACATCTTTGAACATCTTATAGATACCCCATGATACCTAGTAACGGTATAATGCAGGAATTTATCGGACCTTGTGCCCCTTTATGGTGCTGGGTTTTTTGTTTCCTGCTAGAGAAACATAGTGTTGTTTACTACATCCTCTTCCATTTTCCATATGGGTGGATGTTATGCTTCAACGCGACAATCAATACTGTTGGTTCTTCAAAATCCTTCAAAGTAGTGACGTGAAGGTTCGCGGATAAAAACCACTCCAACGTTGCGTCTTAGCATCACGAGTTATCATGAGTTATAATAGACAGCTCATCTTCACTCACTGTGGTCGACTGTACTCGTAGCCCTAAGAATCTTTGAAAAGATAGCTGAGTTTCACTGAAAAGATAATTCAGTCTCACTCCAACCAAGGAATCCCAAATCATTCCCACCAGTTACTCCCGGTCGTCCTTCAATCCTTCCCACCAGGTATTCCTTGTCCTTCAATCATTCCCACCAGTTATTCCTGGTCCTTCAATCATTCCCACCAGTTATTCCTGGTCCTTCCTCGACTGCCTCTACGTTTCGAAGCGACTTCCAAGACCCCGCTTAGGTGCGCGCATGTGGGTTAGAACGCACATTCGGAGGTTCATCAAGGCGTTGTTCAACAACGTGTTGGATTTCCGAGAGTGCAACATGCTTAATGCGAGTCGTTTGCTCACTATGTGCGTCGCATATGCGGAAGACAACATCACAGAATGGCTGTCGTCGATATCGGAAGCGCTTATCAAGTAAGTAAGTAGTTTGGAGCTATTCACACTATACTCATAGTGTTTCTCTACCTCTCTAGACCCAATGTGCTGTCATCAACTCATGCTCGACTAGAATCACTCATCTCCACGAAGAACAACATTTAGTACTCTAATAGACTCTGATTTCAAGAGCATGATTTCAAGAGCACTCACAATAGACACACCCTACTTAATACCCTGCCACCATTCAGAATGAAAAAGTTGTACCTACTATCTCCAAAAGTAGCTACTACCCTGTCCACATCATCTACTACCCTGTCCACATCATCTACTACCGTGCCCTGTCCACATCATCTACTACCCTGTCCACATCATCTACTACCCTGTCCACACCATCCAGGTTCTACTCCGGCAAAGCGTATCTCTCTGGATCCGCAGAACTTGCGGAATCCTATGATTTGATCGGGAAGTTGATCGGGAGCTACGTCGAACCGGATACGGTCTGGATCCAGTACGAGGACAGCTTCGATGTCCGCACAGTCTGGTACTTGGAACAAAGGTTATGGAAGGTTCATGGTGCTGGTGGTGGATTTCCTGATACTTGTAAATAAATTGATAGAGAGTGACGTGGAAATCTTCATGATCTGTTGTAGATGATACTGGATGCAAGAGAGCCCCCTTCAGATGAACCAGGAGAAGGGTGATGTTGAAACTTTCTAAGTCTCCTAGCAGTCTTCCACCTGCTCACCTGCATGTTGGATGGCGCTTTCACCAGCTTAGAGGCCGTTTGGGACAAGGATGCGCGAGAACGAGGCGACAAGCAGATCCAGGATTTGGGCCTGTTGGATAGAATGCTGCCTCAATTGATCGAAAATTAAGGCTCGTAGATCCCTATCCAGTGTGAGAGCGTCCTAGATTCCTATCCAGTGTGCGAGCGTCCTAATTGAGTGGGTTCCTTCCAATTTTAACCAGACAGAACCCAAAGGAGTAGACAGAACCCGCTCAACCACGGATAGCGACTGACTAGCGTTAAGAGCGGTTGAGTACTTGCGATCTAGTGCAGGACCCCTGTGGATCCGAGGGACTGCCGGTTGCGGACACTCTGTGGAATCTAGTTGCGATGGTAGCTCGTGGCAGTGCGGCTTTGTCGTGGGACTGGCGCTGCAAAGTGCTCGTGGTAGCAGTAGCCCTTATTGCTGGCGTCACCGGCCAAGAGGAGCAATCTTTCGACGAAAATGAGTCGTCTAGTAGAGCAACGGTAGTAGAAGAGGTTGCGGCACTTCCCGGAGCAGCATTCTTTGGTGCTATATCCATGCCATTGACGCTACAGGCCAAGAAGAGCGGAGCATCAACTGATGTAGTTGCTAAGCAAGCGAAGACTGCGGCCTCTGAAGATGTGGCTGAGGCAATTTGTAGTAGTATTGCTGCTTCCACCGCAGACAACAAGGATCCTTCATCTACAAGTGGCAGTAGTTCCTCGTGCTCGCTGTCTCCTATGCAGAAGTTTAGTGCCCTTTCCAAGCGCCTTGGAGTTCGAGTCGAGGATGTAGCATCGAACTTGGTGGATTTCACGCGTGAAAGCTTCCCCAGTTTCGAGGCTTTCTGCAAGTTGCTGCCAGTCCAAAAACTCGTGGATTTCTCTGGCATTTGGGACGGACTGCATGCTTTCTCGTCGCCCACAGAGGAGCCGCACACGCGTCTCGCTGCTCTGCGGCTCTGTGTACTACTGCTCCATCGGGAGGACCACTTTTACCAAACTGTGGTGCGGGAACAGGTGGCGAGATGGAAGAAATCCTTGGATATGGACGATATCGATTGCGACGATGACGTGTCAGCAGCGCAGCAATTTGATTATGTTCAAATATCCCCAGATTTCATGTGAGTATCACGATGTTCACGTGCTCTTCTGAAAGGTAGGTCTTTCGATAATATTCAAATCTCGCGGTCGCGTCTGGGAGTGCAACGAGAAACCTCCCCATCTCTTCCCCTTCATTTCCCAGGATACGAGAAGAGACGTAAGCATTTTATTGCACGCTTGCTTGACTGCTTTACGCCAGTTCTCGTGCAAGCAACACGCAGTCCTCCTGAGGCGCCACGACGACGACCCAAAGACCTCAACGACTTGCGCAAAATGCAGGGTGGAGCAGGAGCCGATGAGAGCAAGGAACTTCTAAGTGACGAAAGTAATACAGTAGAGGATGTCAAGGACAAGGCAGAAGTTGAAACTGCTGCATCGCCAAAGAAGGCATTCGACATGGATGATATCGACGACGACGATGATATCGTGGTTGAAGAGGTTACAGGGTCGGGACTGGGAGCAGTAGAGGGAGATTCGTCGACGTCTCAACGGGATCAACAAGCAGCATTGGCAGACGCAAGTGAAGAGAATAACAAGAGTTGTACCAGGGAGGACTCTAGTGCAATTTCCTCACCTGCGCTAGCTACGACACCCTATTTCATCGTTGTCCAAGCCCTTGCTGTTTTGAGGGACCTGATCGTTCCGAAATTCCAGGGGATTGAGATTTTGGGACAAGGTGTGTGGCACATGAGTGGAAGCGACCTACTAAGCTATGTGCCAGAGGCGTTGTTTTCGGCACTCTCCTCCTTGGTGACGGACGTGGAGCACTACAAACGAGTGTCGCGGAGTCTGGAGCAGCAGGAACGGATCGCACTGAAAAAGAGCGCCGATGACGACATTTCGGCAGTGAAGATGAAAGAGATCCGCGAAACGAGCGTCGAAAAGTCAGTGCAAGCACGCTTGTCCGCAGCTGAGTTGCTCTTTTTACTTCTGAGGAGCCGCTTCAACACAAACTGCGTGGCTACTGTCGTGAACAAGAAGAAAACGGTCGTGAAGAATTATGGTTTATAATTAAAGGAAATGTTTTTATTGTGTTAGTAGAGAAAAGGAAAATAAACGAGGACCTCCAAGAAATGTGATTGTCCAAGAGGTTGTTGAATTTGACTCTCGATAGACTTATTCTCGACACCAGTTCTAATGAATTGCGCAGCGGACAACGATTTCACCGAGTGACGCAGGCGACTACGAATATCTAAAGAGCGGACACACGCCGAAAGAGGGATCAATATCCAAAGGTGACGAGATTCTGATAGTGTCTGCCACAAAGGACCACCCACTATGGGACTTGCGTTCCATATTCCGTCAACTGCGAGGGCTCTTGAAAGGCAAGTACACACCGACATTGGAGCCGATGTTCGTGCGGCCTACGGCGCCACAAATCTTTCTCTTCGCGTCCGAAATGATGCGGATGTTTCTGCAGGCTCCGGCTCGCTTATGATGGTGTTTGATAGTTTTATACAGAATTCTTTTTCGGCATTCATTACAGCAACGTTCTATATGAAGCTATGTGAAGGAGACAGGCGGTACTGCAAAACTATTTATTTGACCACTGGGAGCATGAGCAAGAGGACTTATCTTTCCGTGGTCAGACGGGCCGTAAAGAACCTAGTAAAAAGAGTCTTCCAGCACATTCGTCTCTAACGGAAGGCGCCAAGCATGGAGTGCGTGCGCAGTTATATGACGATGCTGCGAGACAGATGCTGACATTGGAGACACCGACATTCGATGACCTGGAGAGGCGCATCATCGAAGCCGAGGACTTCTTCCAAATCACGACTGACGTCGTCCTACAGCTCATGGGCCTAAATCTCAGCCTGCCACCAGTCCCAAATAGTCCGCTCACGCCTTTAGTTTCGTCGGCCAATCAGGGATCTTCGGTGGCCACTATCTATGATGGGCGGACCTGATGATAACGTTTGTCTAATTTTTTTCTAGGTCCTAACCGACATGGTTCGACCTGTACGGTAGTCATGATCATTATCACTACTTATATCTCTAGTAACGGTGCCATGATCAGGGATACACACATACAACTCAGACCCATACAGGAGGAATACAGCAGATTGGATTTTGGTCATCTCGAAGAAGTTTGTGTCTTACGGGACCAGCACTATGATAAATGTTTTCTGGTCACCAGTTCTAAACCAGCCAGCAACAGCAAGCGGCGAAGCGCGCAACGGAGAGCATTGAATACGGCATGGAGGAAAGCGTACTTGGCGATGGCCAGATGAGTATGGAGCCGGTACCAGTTGGCTGGCTCACAGACTACGAAAAGCGAATGGCAAAAGAAAACGCAGTACATGCTAGAACGAAATCAGCCTCATCTTAAGAATCACTGTACTTCATTTCCAAAGGCAATCCTTCTCTTTTTTTTTCTTGGGATCTTCAGGAGAGGACGATAAGCCTAAGAAATGGATCGTTTTGAGCTCTAATCTTCCTCTTTCTCGACCAAGGGCAACAAGTCCTCCGACTGTTGCTCTGAACCAGTGACGCTGATTATGCTGCAATCTGAAGACTGTCTGAGGTGGAACGCGGGACTGTCTTTGTACAAACTGATTTCGGAGCTAACCAAGATCGACCCAACGCACTTGCTGACGGCGGCACACAGATGGGAGAACGAAGGCAAGCAGGGTCGCATTGGCTTAGTCAAGCATCTGATAACCTCTCTCGATCTGATGAGCATGAAATGATCGAATTTGAATTTCAGAAATTAATTTTTGGTGTAATAGAATCTCATTGTGATGATCATGAGGCGGTTCGTACCCTGACGAGGTACTTCTAAACACGGGAGAAAGCCAAGAAAGGGAGATGATCGCTAAAATGAAGGTACTCTTCCATGACCGTATGGACCTGATAAAGACATCGATTTGAAGCATGAGAGTCACATTCATCCCAGAAAGATCTAAATTTTAGTTTTTTCCACGAGTTATCCTTATCGTTATGTAGATAATCGTTCTTCTCAGGACTGCTAGGACTGCGTAGCGCTCGCAGGAAGATCAACAACCTGTGCTGTCAAATCGACACTCGTCAAGAATGACTACTTTCTGACGGATCAAAAGCAACCTCCAAGCTCAGCTCACACACGGAGACGTGAAAACATCGCGTCTCGTACGTACCTACTTGTATCTTGGACTTATTTGGATGATCTCGAGAGTCAAATCTAAACCTGAGATGGAAAGGTGGGTGAAAAAATAATTAGACCCTTGAGATCAAAGTACAGGTTCAAAGTCGTGTTGAAAGTTGGATGACAAAAGGTCTGGATATCAACTTCAGAATCGAAATCCCAAAGATCGAAATCCCAAAAACGATTCTGTGATCCAAGACATTGTGATGTAGAGATGTAAAACTTTTTTCGTTCTAATTTTTTGTAAACCAAGCTTCATCTTCTCTGCCTCTCTCAACCCACGACTTGCATGGACCGCTCGTGAATCGCTTTTTCTTGCGATCTTGCACCTATCTACTTGAATTTCTCTATCATATTTATCTAATTTTTTCTATCAATAATCACGAAATATGCGCATCTAAATCGCATCGACGGTTGAACTCGGCTTTCCACGACTCTACAGGGACTCATTTACGGTTTCGCACCCTAAACCGAGAAAATGCAGATCTTCGTCAAGACCCTTACGGGTAAGACCATCACCCTCGATGTTGAGGCGACCGACACGTACTATTTTTTGCATTTTTTTTGATCAGTTTTTAGATTATTTTAGTGATATGGTAGAGAAAACACTGGTATTTTTTCTTGTGGACAGATAAAGAACTTAAGATGAAATTGGAGTTCGGTGTAGATTCGGGCAGATCTTGAGGTCTACAGGATTTCATTCACCATGTTTAGGATTCAGGCAGCCTAGAAATAACTTGATCGTAACTCACAGCTCAACGTCAATCAGTTTCGCACTCTCTCATACACAACATCATCGTCATTTTTCGCAATTTCTACTTCTGACAACTACAGCATCGATAACGTGAAGGCTAAGATCCAGGATAAGGAGGGTATCCCGCCGGATCAGCAGCGTTTGATCTTCGCTGGTAAGCAGCTCGAGGATGGTCGCACTTTGAGCGACTACAACATCCAGAAGGAGAGCACCTTGCACTTGGTGTTGCGTCTCCGTGGTGGCGTCATCGAGCCGACCCTTCAGGTGTTGGCCCGTAAGTTCAACTGCGACAAGAACATCTGCCGTATGTGCTATGCCCGTCTTCCCCCGCGTGCGGTCAACTGCCGTAAGAAGAAGTGCGGACACAGCAACCAGTTGCGCCCGAAGAAGAAGATCAAGTAATCGATTTGCCTCCTCTAACTGATGTGGTGTTGTTCCTCTACATGTTGTGGTGAAGCACAAGGGAGAAGCGAAAACTGATCATTTTTCGTTGGAGCTACTGGACTTGCGGAGAGAAGGAGTCTAGAACAAGTGCAGAAAAAGCGGAGGGGATCCTGAAAAAGTCTTTTTAGAACACATCGAAGATATAGGGATTATTGTGCCACTCGTGGTCTGGAAAACGTATTCATGATACTGTTGGCTGTATCTATGTCCAGATTTAGACTAACAAGGTGTGGTGGTATTTCCTGCTTGAGAACGGACGAACAAGCTCTCGCGTCAGAAATGCATCTGTATAAGACGTGAGATGTGATCAATAATCTGAAAGACTCGTCATTTTCTTCCGTTTTCTGTATGGGCGAAACACGAAAAAAAAACCGACTTCGAACCTCTAAGTGGGTACGATGCACTAGCGAAAGACTTTCGCACGGAATGCCTCATGAGGACCTTGTTCGAAAAAAACGATTGAAAATACCTTCGCAGAAAGGTGCATAGATCAACCACGAGCGAGAGCATTACTGAGTGATGATATGTACCAAAGATGGATGGTCTTGGAAGCTCCTCTAGGTCACTAAATATTGACTTTCTTTCCGCAAACGAACAGATCCAAAAACGGGATGACCCTCTGAAAAGGCTATGAAATGCCGCAGAGTCGGAGAGAGTGAAACAGAAGACGCGACCCCATGAACCCATTTTTTTCATGAACTTTGATTCAGGTCACGGGGAGGACAAACTAATACAGTGGGGCGTTGTTTGACTAAACCGCTTAGTCTGTGTAGCGTAGATAGCCTAAATAGAAATATCATAGATGAAATGGGGCTCTACTGACGGAAGTGTCATTGTCACAGTGTCATTTGAAATTTCATAGTGTAGTCTGGTGGACAGGTAAAACCAACAACAAATCATGGACGCACGGGAGGAAGCCCAAGCGCGGCAGGCTGCCCAGATGCAGGCTGGCCAGGAGGCGCAGATGCAGGTAGCATCACTGCTTTATGATACAGTGCCTTTTTTTCGGATTTTGTGAACGTCTTCATTCACCTATCCATGATGGAGAATTATGATGTTCCCCAGAGAAAGAACTACTTGGCAGAAGAGACTCCTTGTCACCCCGACTCCCTATTTCAACATCTCAGGAAATGCAAGCCGAGAAGCAGAAGCAAGAGCAGGCCCAGAATCAAAAGAAGATGATAATCCGACAATTGCTTGAGCCAGAGGCCTTGGAAAGGTTACAGAGGATAGCACTTGTTAAAAAAGAGAAGGAAGAAGTCATCGAAAGCGCCATAATAATGAAGGTCCAGAAAGGCGAAATAACAACCAAGCTAGACGATGCCTCTCTTGTGCGGATGATCGTAATACCATTTGCTATGAGGATTTCAAGAAAACTGGTCTACCTTCATCCAAAAAGAGTACAGTCTTATCTCCCATCTCGCCTTCTTGCACGACACCTTTCAACCACCTAAAAAACTTCAGGACGAACTCGACGCCGTAACAGCAAGCTCACGAAATGTGAAGATCCAGAGAAAGAGGCAAGATAGCGACGACGATTTAGACTTGGATGACTAAAGAAACGATGTCCGCTGAAGAATACCCCCCATCCAATTTGAAATGGATAGAATTTCCCATCACCCGCGGAAACCTTCGAAAATATCTAATCGACGAAGCAGAAAATCCTACTTAATTGTATCAACTGTCATTATGGAACAAGCACAAGATTTGTTCATTCTAACATTTATCAAGCGAGACTCCAACCGACTATTTTTTAAGCAGTTTGATTCAGTGTATGTCATATCTCCGTAGGAGACGTAACTCGGGTCGCTACAGAACCGGGCAGCTCTGAGTTGCTACGCGGTTCGGATGAAAGAATGTTGTAATTTTTGCGGCGGTTGGCCGTAGTACAAATCGATTTATGCTGAACCTCTCAAGAAGAGAGGTCGGATTCGGAAGACCGTAACATCGTGCAGGGGTAGTTGCGACAACAAATGACATCTTCTGGAAGAGATTGTAAACGCTTGAGCGCGAGAAGGGAGAGACTACAGGCGCAGTCTTGTGTCAGAAGGCGAAGCTCATCTGAAAATTGGAGCGAGAGATTTCCAAAGGTTTCAAGAAAACGAGACAGATGACCATTTGAAAATTGGTATGAGACAAGAATTTCAATGTTGAAAAAGCAGAAGCATGTGGTGATGCGAAATTTTGGAAGCACTACAAAAATGTCTCTTTCGATTCCGACCTACGCCTCTCCGCGTGTCACGCTGACGTCAGAGGGAGGCGCATCATGCGAGATCGGCGTCTGGGGTGCGCATGTTCTCAGCTGGAAAGACGCTACCGGCACTGATCTTCTTTATATGAGCAGTGGCGCGAAGTTCGAGGCGGGTAAGTTAAGGTTTAGCAAATTCATTGCATTCGTTACTACCATTTTTGACCTTTTTGCCATCGTGGAAAGGAGCCAGGAACGCTCTAAAGAAGTAAGAAGTCAGTCAACATCTAAGCAAGACGGCGCTGAGAGGTGGCATCCCGATCTGCTGGCCTGCTTTCAACACCAAGAAACCTAGCGTAGGAAAGCATGGATTCGTCCGGACAGCCACGCATGATGAGTGGAAGGTAGAAACATCCTCTGCCTCAAGCGCGACGCTTACTTTTAGAACCACATTTGGGCGTTGCATTGGCGACGGAACGGGACCGGACGATGGTGGAGGTCGTTCTACTTCATCAGAAGAGGCTGTGTCGACCCACACTGCGCCAGTCGATTTGAGTGTCGATTTTCTCCTGACAGATACAGCACTCGCTTTGCAATTGCGTGTGAAAAACGGACACGGCAGTGCGGCTCTTCCGTTTTCCGGAGCACTGCACACTTACTTTGCGAAGGGTGCGGACCAGAAGCTTGTAGTTAGAGGCTTCAAGGATCGATACGAGTACACGCGGGAACTAGGAAAAGAATGGAAGAATGAGGATGACGAAGTCGCGGTTTCAGGCGACATGGAAGTGGAAAGGATGTAAGCGATGACGTTTTCGATTTGTGTAGGTTAAACTGGACGATTTTATATAGATACTGGAAGACGAAATAAGTGCTCTTGTTGGATGTACGGGTAGTAGAGGAAAATTTAGAAAACAGAATGGAGTTTGAGGGTCAATGAGAGGATCAAGCCCACATATCAAAACGCGCCTGAGGTTTATACCTACTAAAATCCAGGTTCTACGTCCCTTCGGTAATCGATGACGGTCACTCAGTTCCCGATCCATCTCCTTCGACTTTGAGCGATCTTATTTTCACTTCTGCCTATTCCAAAGAACCAGCCACTTCTTTCGCAGCGACGTCAAACCGACCAACACCTGCAAAGCTGCATTTGTACCAATCTAAATCGCTGCCTGACACGGTGGTTTGGAATATAGGGAAGAATGTTCCAGAAAAAATTCCTAAAGATTTAGACGACCCTGCTGCCTACATTTGCGTGGAGCCGGGAATAATTGAAGCAGAAGCGTCAGTTTTACCAGGGAAGACGTGGGTGGGGTGGCATGTGATGCAGTGTGTACAAGATGCAGGGAGCTGAGCTCGGATTCAAAGTGAATGCTGTCCAAGAGCTGATTCTTTTATAGAAAACTTGGGCTCTGACATGGTCTGAGGAGATGCAACACGAAAACTGACTGACATCCCTTTCCTTTGGTTTCGTGTTGTGATTTTTAGAAAAACGTGAGAATAAACTCGGAGGATTCCCATACACAGGAGTGTTAGACTTTGAGATCCTGGAAAAAATGGAGAGTTGTTTGACGATCTCAGGACACACAAGCAAAAGATCTGATCGAATTCATACACGTTCTTTTGATAGATCGACTTGCACTGAAAAATCTAAATTACTCATAGGAAGGCGTACGTGAAACAACGCAAGGTCATTCGAATTCGCTGTACCACGATTATGATCTGTACCACGAGCTTAGACCTGTACCGAAAGCGAAGATCTCAAGCAATGGATCCTAAAAAACGCTTGTTAACGGAATTGTTGCTCAAAAGAAGAATTTTCCGCACTGCTTGATCCTAAGAATATTGAGGATCTCCAACTGTGATTGAGTATGGATGCCTCATTTTAGTTCTCTTCGTCAAGCAATACTGTGTAACACCTTCAACATCCTCAACTTGACTCCATTTTTCGCCAATTTCACACTTTGCATCCACAATCCGGACTCACAGGGAACAAACAGACCTGTTTGTTGGGCACAAGGAGGTTCTAGAACCTAAACCTAAACAAAAATGGCTCGTCGCACGAAGAAAGTCGGAATCACCGGTCGTTTCGGAACCCGTTATGGTTCCACCTTGCGTAAGCTGGTCAAGCGTATCGAGGTCACTCAGCGCGCCAAGTACCTCTGCCCGCACTGCGGAAAGACCGCGGTCAAGCGCAAGGCTGCTGGTAAATATTTCTAATATGTTCTTCGGATCTGAATGCGATTCTTAGATGTAGTTGTTGGACACTTTACTGACGTTCTTCCCCGTTTTCATCTGTTCGCAACACGGAATCCTTTAGAATTGCGTGTTTTTGTCGTGCAGATGCAAATTACATCCCTCCCTTTTATCGTTTCATCCACCTCCATCCAACGAAAAAGGTATCTGGGGTTGCAAGCCGTGCAGCCGCACTTACGCTGGTGGCTGCTGGCAGTTCGCCACTGCCGCGGCAGCTTCCGTGACCGCCACTATCCAGAACTTGAAGGCCAAGTAAGTTGGATTCTGTGCGACACAACTGCCTAAGAGAGCCAAGGTCGATTTGCATGCACCATTGTGATCTGTTGCCAGTACTACTTTTAGGGGAGGAAAATTGACACCATGTTCGTTTATAGGTGGTCATCGTGGGGTTGGCGATGTCAACATACGGCAGTGCAATTCTCCGAGGAGAAGAAGCTGACTTCTCGATGTGATAGTCTTACTGCAACGATTCTTGCCTGTAAATGACCTAGGAATGCCCAATAAAAAAGCTAGTCTATAATCCAGACGCGGTCCCTTTTGTGACTCCTTCATGGACCATCTCGTTGTGTTGAAAATAATGCTTTCTAAACTCGGGAATCGGTCCTTACTGAGCGCGAAAGAGGGAGCGAGAAACTGAAATAGTGTGATGGGGCGCCCCAGATGGGACCGCCGTAGTTGGTGGACAATCATCTCTCTGCAAGAGAGACTACTAAGTTACGGAAGAGGAACGCAAGAGGTGAGATCCCACTGAAAGTAGCACAAAAACGGTTGAGGGAGGATGTTGAGTCTGAGACAGAAAGTAGTGGACGCAACAAATCCTGTATGACTTCAGTCTAAGAACTAACCCACCAAAAAATGGCCTCACCTCCGATCCCTCTCAATCCGACTTCCGGCCACGATTTGGCCCGCGCAGTCCGGGCACGATTGCTGGTTACTGACGATGCAGCTACCGCGGAGAAGAAGAGTCTTACAACTTCGGACCTTTTGGAAGCGTCGATAGTCGCCTGTGATGACCTTCATGTCTTGCAGAAGCTGGAGCTTCTCTTTGCCTTGCACGTTGGAGAGGATGGGAAGATGTACGGATTGGAGTTTTCGGCGTTCGTAGGCTTTGTGGAGACGTATTATTGCAAAGGGAGAGCTTTGCCGGATGCCGCGGAGAAGACAGCCGAAGGTCTCTGGAGGACCTGGGTGGCTGGCCTACTCCAAAAATCTAAATCATGCGGACAGGATCAGAAAGCGGAATCGCATGTTGGAGAATCCGGAAAGATGCAGCCTGCGTCGGTACTGGCATGGGGAAACAATACGACTTCGCACCTCGGTCTCGTTGGCTACGGCCATCTTCGTGGACCGTCCGCATCCAGTGCTGGTGCAAGTCCGCGTGTCATCCTTGGCCTCGACAAGATATCGATAAGGAAAATTGCGGTCGGAGAACGGCATACGCTTTTTCTGTCCACGAGTGGTAGGGTGCTCGTGTGCGGCACTGCCGTAGCAGGGTCACTGGGGTTAGAAGCGTCTGGTGATGCTGATAAAGTAAAGGCCGGCGTTCAGGTTGTCCAGATTCCTACGCCCCTCCCGGATCTTCCTTCGATGCAAGACATAGCGGCTGGAGTGAGACACTCAGTTGCTGTGGGCTGTTGTGGACGTGTGTTTTCTTGGGGTGCGGGTGACTATGGTCAGCTGGGACATGGGAAAGCTATGATAAGTACTAGATCTACTCTGGAAACGTCGCAATGTCCCGCCACTCCAACAGATACGACCGGTGCTGAGCATCAAGAAGGCTACCCAGGAGACGCAGACATCTATTCTTTCGAGTACGACACACGCTTAGGCGGCTCGTTTCCGTATCTGCCGAGGCCGACGGTGATTGCCTCTCTGTGGGGTCGTGGGACTAAGGCGTGTGGGTGTGATTGCGGCAACTTTACGACGTTTATCAGAGTAAAGTCTGAGTCTGCGAACGCGAGTAGTGCACCAGGTTCTTCTAGTACGACGACCCCGGTTCTGTTCGGAATCCTAGCGTTTGGCAACAACACTGACGGGCAGTGCGGCGTCGGTGCTGGACACGACGTCCTGAATTACGGCAGAGGCTAAGTACGTTGTCTAGTTTATAATCCTCTATAAGGGTTCGAGTCCGACTACTTTCCGGTGTTGAAAGTAAAGCTTTTTCAGGGCAGCGTCATCTAGAAGGACGTGCAGCGTGTTTCATAACTACATCTAAAGGTAAATACTCCTCTAAGCTCAGGAAGAAGACGTCGTCCACGCGGATCCGCATGTGCAACGGAGCTCATTGAGAGTCCTCTGGGACCCACATCCTGTCGCCGAACTCGCCTCCACCTGTGCCTTTCTCGCCGTTGGCGCCGACCACTGTCTGGGCATCGATAAGCAGTGCCGCGTCTGGTCCTGGGGACAGGGCGTTGGAGGTAAGGTGTAGTTTAGATTTTGAGATCCGTTTCGACAGTTCCTGTTCTTCCAAGCAGATACGAGTATGTACTTTAGATTTTGAGATCCGTTTCGACAATTCTTAGAGGCAGATCCGAGTATGTACTTTAGATTTTGAGATCCGTTTCGCCAAGTCTTGCAGCAAGATCCGAGTATGATAGCCAAGCCGATCAACCGGAAGTTCCCAATGATGACACACTTGAGATTCGATTTTAATCACCGTTTCTCAAACATTCGCAGTAAAGGTCCGAAGATGTGACAGCTCACTTCTCTAGGTGAGTTGTTGCAATTGATGGACAACTTTTCCTTAGATGTCTGACTAGGATATCCGGTTCGGCGTTGGAATTGAGTAGCAACACAGATGAAGATCAGACTGCCAACCTCAAAAGTCCTTTCATGAACACAAAGATCCTCTCCTTCCTTCCTTGTCTAAGTCGCTTCGAATGATGATTCTAAAAGTGCCGCGCCATCCATTTTCGTCGAGGTCCTTTCTAAGGGAGTTTTTCACCGAAAACTCCCTCTGAAAGTGACCGTTGACATCAACCTTAGGCATCCTGAAGAAGCGACGAGAAGGTCTTTAGTTGTATCCTGTTCGGGTTTAGAATCCTTGGTTTAGATTCGTCTAGAGAACGATCGAAGTTCTCATTTACTACCTTCTCTGGACTTGGTCACCGCACGCTTTTCATGATGACATCAACGAGATTCGATTTTTACCGTTTCTCAAACATTCGCAGTAAAGGTCCGATCCAGCAATCTGCAACTTTGTGGGTTGTGTATGAGGGACAAACTTTCCTTAGATGTCTGATTTGTTGGGACCACAAAAGGACGAAAAGAATTTCTTCGCTTCTCTATGTAGATCTAGATTAGGAATGTAGCTTGACACTGTTCACCATATGATGACACCCATGAGAATCGATTGTGTATCACCGTTTCTCAAACATTCGCAGTAAAGGTCCGAAGATGTAGCACCTTTAACTAGGAGCTGCAATTGATGGACAATTTTTCCTTAGATGTCTGACAGTTTGCTTCGCTAAGCGCCTCGCATGCCTTGCCTTTTCTCGCAAATTTGCCTGCCCGCGCACCACTCTTAGCTTTGAGTACCTGCTATGCTCCTCCTTCGCTCCCTTGCCTTTCTATTTTGGACTTTCCTCTCTACTTCGCAACAGGAGTTTCTCGATGATGAATTCTAAAAGTGCCGCGCCATCCATTTTCGTCGAGTTTTTCGATGACAACAACTTTGGGCATCCTGACATGAAACTTCTCTTACGTTTTTCTTCCATGTCTAACATCGTATGCTCTTGGTCTTATTGCTTCTTGCTCCGCCTGGTCTTTGAAAGCCAGGCTTTTCTTCGTTTTCTCAATCTAACCCTTGCTCACCACCTTACTTTCCCTATGAGTTTCAATGATGAATATTAAAAGTGCCGCGCCATCCATTTTCGTCGAGTTTTTCGATGACATCAACCTTAGGCATACTGACACGAGACTCCTCTAATTCTAAAACTTCTAAATGATGACACACTTGAGATTCGATCTTCATCACCGTTTCTCAAACATTCGCAGTAAAGGTCCGAAGATGTGACAGCGCGCTGACTTGAGTGGGTTGTTGCAATTGATGGACAACTTTTCCTTAGATGTCTGACTTCGTGCGCTGCGCTTGCTCTCCACCCACTCCCTCATCTAAAACTAGTTCGTCTTTCTTTCACCTCGCTGCACTTCACCATCTTGCTCAACTACTGCCCGCTTTCCGCTTTGAGTTTCGATGATGAATATTAAAAGTGCCGCGCCATCCATTTTCGTCGAGTTTTTCGATGACATCAACCTTAGGCATACTGATATGAAACTCCTCTAATTCTAAAACTTGTAAATGATGACACGCTTGAGATTCGATCTTCATCACCGTTTCTCAAACATTCGCAGTAAAGGTCCGAAGATGTGACAGCGCGCTGACTTCAGTGGGCTGTTGCAATTGATGGACAATTTTTCCTTAGATGTCTGACTTCGTGCGCAGCTCTCACCCTTGAGCCATTCTTCTCGAAATAGCTCGTTTTTCTTTCACCTCGCTTCACTCTACCCTTCACTTCTGCTTGTTTACCTCTTCTCTTTTCGTTAAAATACGAGTTTCCATGATGAATAGTAAAAGTGCCGCGCCATCCATTTTCGTCGAGTTTTTCGATGACATCAACCTTGGGCATCCTGATGAAACTCCAGTAAGTGTCACATCCTTATCACTGACAACCAGTCTCTTACTCGTTAGGTAAGCTAGGCCACGGCGACCAGCGATCGTTGCAGACGCCGACCGTTGTCCAGGCACTCGTCGGTCGGCGATGCGATCTGGCCGCTTGCGGGGATGCTTTTTCAGTGGTAGTAGGTCGTGCGATGGAAGTAGTGCTGAAGCGAACTTCTCAAGCCTTCTCTGCATTGCAGTTACTTGCGCCTGGCGTGGATAATGGAGGGTTGAACTTCACAACAATGCTAACTGGAAATAATGTCGCATCGGCAGCGACCAGCACAGGAGCAAGCAACATCTGTAGCAACAATACTAACACAGGGAATCCCAGCACATCAGCTTCGACTCCTGCCACATCATCACCCGGTGCAATCCGCAATGCCAAACTCCTACTAGCACCTCTGCCCACCACCAAGCCGAAGGACATAGCAAGCAGTATTGTGGTGACAGAACGGCCTCTGGCAGTAGGAGAATGGGCTACCTTTGACATAGGGCACGGTTTGCGTGTAGACCTACCATTGCACTCTTTGACCCGCACCGTTGCTCAGAAGGGAAGCGTGTTGTGTACGGGAAGTGTTTGTCTGCGTGTATCGAAAGATTGCGACAAGAGTATGCTGGCGGCATGTTTGGAGAAGCTGTCCTTAGCAGCTGTGGAAGCGAAGAGTCCAAGTGCAGCTAGTCCCGCAGGAAAAAAGAACGCACAGAGCACGAACAGCTGCAGTACTACTTGATGCAACTATGTGACGGAGATCTAACCCTTGTGTCTTTGGATTTAGGGTTTAAGGTTTCGGGAGATCTAACCCTTATGTCTTCTTGACTCCGCCAAGCATTTATTTGACTAGAAGATACAAACTCTTCATTTTTCAAGGTGGTATCCAATGAAAAAATAGTTGACCTCGTTCAGGTTGTATCGTCGTTGCCGACCCCAGTGCATGGAATGTTGCTGGAGTGGCTGAGCCAACTAGTCGGACTCCTAAGAGAAAAGCTGCACAGGCTGTAGACAAAGGCGAGGATCAAGTGATGCGGAAGAGGATCAACGACTTCGTGCAAAAGATAGTTGCAGCAAACAGCACTGTCGCTAGTGTTAAGGTCAACGCTATGTGTCCATCTTTCTCGGCATCTCGGTACCCTTTTCCCTTGAATTCTCAAGAAATACAAGGTAAAAGGGGTCAGGATGAGGGGGCCGACATGCGAGCTAGCCGACTCCAATAGTGGGCAGCATCAATCGGGAGGAGTGAATCAAAGTAGTCACGGCGGTGGTGCGGTGGTCGACATCACAGCCGTCATTTGTGTCTTGCCTCCAGAGGCAAAGGTCACGGCTGCTGAGCTACAACGAATGAAACGTAGTGTAGGTGAGTCGTCTCCGGAAGCGTCCGTGGCAGGTGCGTCGAAGACTCCACTGCCAGTAACTTTCTGCACAGATTATCCCGACTTTCATCCTGTAGGACAAACGTTTGAGGATAGTAGAAAGGCAATGTCGAAAACATCTGCTTCCAAAGACGAAACTGGAAGTTCTGAGGCAATCGAGTCCCTTGAGAATGAAGAGCAGACATTAGATCAGCCATCCACCCATGAACTAAACCCTCTACCCATTCCCACCACCATCCTCGATATTCGTTCGCAACAGTGGGCTTCTACGCTGTCCAGCATTGCGAGTTTGAAACCGAAAGGAGTTTTGATTACTCAGAGAAGTGCTAGTCCAGCCTGGGAACTCTCTGAATTGCCTTCCACTTGTCAATCTGTATTAGTTGGCCTACTTGGTTGGGAAGACGGGGCGAAAGTCTTGGCGGAAGCGGGGGCTACTACTTCCACTACAGGGCAATTGCAGGCCACTCCTACTTCCACAGGTCCTGCTGCCAGTCCCGGTGGTGGTCCTCGCGTTTCTATCGACGCGGAGAAGCGACAAACGCTGTTTTTGTTCGGCAGTGGAAATGTGTGCCAGGAAATACGTGCGGATGTAATGCAGGGAGGGACACCGTCGTTCTCTATGAAACCAGCGATTTGGGGCACTCCTAGACCTCTAGAAGTCCGTGATCTGGTATGCAAACTGAGTTGTGGATCGGATTACGGTTTATCCGTTGTAAAAACTCATCACAGTGTTGAACAAAGTAATAAGCAAGAACTCGAACTGCATCATTGGGGCCGCGGCAGGATGAGCACGAAGGCCCCGTTTGAGAATGAGAATCGAAGCCATGGTGAACCTGAATCGTCAAAAAGTATTTTGACAAGCTTTAGTGAGGCAGTGCCTCTTTCAGATATGAATGTTTTTGCTGGACGGCGTCATGCATTTGCAATCATTTCTTGAGGCAAGAATCAGAAAAATCCTCATCTTCCAAGTAAGTGCCTTCTGTGCAATAGTGTAAGTGCATGAGCGAATGTCCGAAATCGTTTGTTGCGTCGATTCTACCAAGCACTTGGCAAGTAATGTGAGTATGTGAAATCTGAAATTTTAGTTCTGTGGATGAAAAATTTTACCCGCCTCTCAACGAATCCTGCGTGTTCGTCTCAAACTGCTCGAGTGTCGTCTGGAGAGTTGTTTAGAGGTGAGAAGCATCCTCGCAGCATGGTAAGGGTGTTATGGTGTCCTCCTCTCTCTGGAAGATTTCTCGGTAGCGCTGGTCACGAACTAGCTTGCGGGTCGGAACGAGAGGGAAAGAAAAAATCGAGTCTGGCGACGCTGTCATCCGGATTGAGCGTGAAATTTGTAACTTCAGTCTCGTCAGCAAATTTGAATTTGATATATTTACCTCGTGGCCTTGGCTATCATACTACTGGCAAGGCTATTCTTTGGCCTTAATCAGTCAAAAATCTGGTTTCTTCCCAATGTTTGGCAATACAAATGTGCTGAGTTGTTTGTCTGGCAATCGGGTTAATTTGTCCCACTCCCCCATCAACCACCTCCAAATTATCCAAAGCTGAGACCTTTTCTTGAGACATTTGTGAAACAAAACCAGAGTAGTCGTTTTGTGTAGTGGATCTACTGTAGTTCGCATATTGGTGTATGGATAACTCTCGATCTGGACGACTAGTTTTATGCATGCGATAGTCTCGTTCACTGTAGGCTGAAATTACTAGCCAGTTAGTATCAAATAATTGCAAGCGGCATTGAATCAAAACAAGTCAGGAAAAGGCGTGCGAACTAGTGTCGTTCTCTTTCGTAAAATATTTCCCTACGCCGCAAGCGTGTGCACATTCCACCAACCCACCCACCCACTCACCCACTCACCCACTCACCCACTCACCCACTCACTCACTCACTCACTCACTCACTCACTCACTCACTCACCTACTCACCTACTCACTCACTATAAGAGCAAAGTAGTTGAATTATGGCAGTGGCGTTCTTGACTATAATCCTCTGAGCATGGACATATCCAGACAGTCTTGTGTAGTGACTGTATTAATGCATGCTTTGTCCTCAGCGCTCATCGTCAGCGTTGGTTGTTGACTTTTTTCATGAGATGATCACTCGTACTAGGCAGTTGTTTACGTTTAGCTTTTTTTAGCGAGATTTTGAACTTTTGTTGATACTAAAACGTGTATCTATACTGGATACTAAAAAAAACGTGTATACTGTACAGTAGAAGTAGTACTTTCATAATAAGGTCTGGTTGCCAATTCAGCACCGGGCTACTCTGCATAATGATGACGATAATAAAATCCAGGATAACTTCTAAGCATAGTTCCTCCATTACTCTGTAGAATTGTTTGTGCTGAAACTCAGAGGTTCCGCGACTTGTTCTTCAAGAATGAAACGGGGAAGGATCAAGCGGCCAAATGGTTATCAACTATCTGCTCAACTACCTTCTGTGCCCAAAAAGGTGGAGCAGGTGTGAAACTATAGTTTGGCCTATAAGGTGTCTGAATGAATGGCCTATCCAGAATCACTTTTTGTTCGAAAGAAAAAGTAAGTTTTGAAACGATGTTGGCAGTGTTGAAACTCTTGTCTTCAAGAGTCGATTTGCATCGGAATTCAAGAGTCAATTGTCAACTCCTTTTCGAAGGGAATTTTGGAGGTCGTTATGAAAAAACGAACCAGATAGAAGACGAATCCTGGAGGAGGCGTCTTCTGTCTGCTCGCGGATGACTGTGGTCTGGATGCGCCGCCTTCCGACGGGTGGTGTGTCGATGTGCGCGGAAAAGAGGACGCAAGTTTTTCAGAGCGTGTTTGGCAAAGCCTGAGCCAATTCCAGGACAGAGAGATGGAGGAGAGACGCACGTGTCTGGGAGTGGTCTTACGAGCGTCGAAGAGAGAGAGAGAACTGAGTTTTAGTACCCCAGGAGTTGATTGATTGCTACTACCATTACTACTGTAGAAGAAAAATGTGTGCGAAAAGTGCTTAGAATCCAACAATCGGTTGCCTCCAGATACAACATCCTCCCGAGATCAACAATCCACAAACAACTTCTTTCTGAGTGCTTAGTTGTTTTGATGTTTCCAAGTACTTACTGCTAGTGGGATCTACATATCACAACTGTAATTTCTCAGTACAACTAACTGTACGTACTAGAATATCTAAGCTCTCACGCGTCATTTTTGTGAAATGATGTTCGCCCGGCCGGCAGTGCTGCGCGGCCCGGCTGCTGCAGTACTGAAGAGCACTATCAGCAGCGCCCAACTACCGATGAGGAACAAGAATGTGGTTCCTAGCTTTGCACGAAGTAGCTTCGCCAGAACGTCACCAGTTCTCGCTCGCTGTCCACAGCTGGTCGGTTGGCAGATGGATAGGCATATAGCAACTCTTGTTAAGGCTGAAGCAACAGATTCTTGTTTGTTACGTAGCTAGTCGCTAGTGATGTAAAAGGATAAGATCTAGACCACTAAGATCTGTCCTCAGAAGAAGACCACGATCAAGTTTTCTCTCCGAGACTCGAACTCCTCTGTACTCGAAGATGCGGTCAAGTTTTATCCTCCTCGAGACTCTAAATCTGTAGTTTCCTTTTCTAAGTACCTTACCCGTTTAGCTAATCAATTAAAGGTCAACCCTCATTATAAAAGTACAAATCTAAACCCTAAAGAACCCTCGACAGCCAAACTCTAAGGAAAGGGTAGCAAGAGGGGGGCTACTGGCTGGATCGAGCGCGCGGTTCAACAACCCAACGCCTGTTTTCTCAGTTCCACCTCTTCCGCCACTCGAATTCGAGCGAGATGGATCGCCTAGAAGGTATAATCTGATTGTATCACCAGGTATGAAGATATCACCAGGTATGAAGATCATGAAAAAGAATGCGAGAAATTCTGATTATATCACCAGGTATGAAGATGAAAAAGAATGCGACAGATATTGATATGAGTTTTTTGCTACTTGTACTCGTACCACGAGTTGTCTCTAGTACTGTAGATGATGCACGGGCCGCGACACATACCGGAAGCAATCTTATAATGCATTGTGATTCCACCTAGTTCAATACAGGTATCCCCTGCATCAGGCAGTGTACAATCACGGATACCACTGGGAACATTGGGGGCTGAAAAAAAGTGGGTTCTACCACAGCGTATATTGGGGAGACTTAGCGGTAGACTACGACGCCTACCAGGCATGGCTGCAGTCGCTACCCCTGTGGGTAGGAATTCCAGGCATTATTTTGTGGGCAATGATCATGATCTCTATGGGTCTTCACGGTTCAGCCATCGGAATCAAACCGAAACGGTACTTCTATACGTTTTTTGTTGGGAATACCTGGGTACAACTTCACAGAAGGCAATGCAAATACCTCTTGCTAGGCACATTCATTCACTCACTCACTCTCTCTCATCTTTTCACTGCAGCATAGGGCTCGTGTTCACGCCAGCTACTGATTGCACATCATAGCACCTGTAGTTTCTTCCAGTATTATAGTTGCTATTAACGTGATCACGCATGGAAGTTACGTCAGTCACGACCCACAAAGAATTTGGCACCAACAACCAATCTTTTTTTTGAAAAATCCATCTAGATTCACCATCGATTGGGTTATGGCTGCAAAAGAGCGTGAGCGATGTGAGAATGGTAACCCTATCACACGCTATCTCGATCGCCGAATTTCTGAGCGAGGATGGCATATTGTTGTAGGTACGCAAGAAATCTCAGATGACAGTCCCTTCTACATTCTTGTGTCTGCCCTTACACTTAACACGCAAGAAATCTCAGATGCCAGTCCCTACCTTGTGCTGTCTGCCCTTACACGACTTAGCTCTAATAGACGTCGATGTAGTCCTCTGTATGTTGATTCAGGGTTCTAGACAATAATCAACACGAGGCAAATAAAGACCACAACTGCTTCTACAGTGATTTCCCACGATTCCTACAACTTCTCTTCAGGTGATTACGTTCCTCACAATTCCAATTCAGGTGATTACATTCCTCATCACAAGTACTTCTTGTGGATGCAAGACGCTTATGACCATGAATGGCGAGAGTCGAGAGGTCTGCCAGACCTCACAGAACCTGGCTCAAAGTGGAGTTGGGTCAACCCATACCACATTGGCGGAGGGGACGATGATGAGGAAGAGGAAGAGTAGATGCTAGTACTTAGAGAGTGGTATTCAATTGTAGGTGGACTTTCTTCATGGAAAAAAATAGAATGGGTGACGACACGGTTGTAATGGGTTGCCATGTGCCTGGGAGGGCAGCGTAGTACACAAGCACTGATGTTCTTTAACGCCAGCTCGGTTATAAGGAGGAGAAACAGAACTGTGGCGGCACTGTACTGCGTGTTTACAACTTGACTTCTTGTTCAACTCAGAATGTCCTTATTCCAAAAAGAAAAACCACTATACGTAAAATTGATTATGTCGCTGGGCTGCAATAAATGAAGATACCAACTACGCTTTTGATCTATGATGACAACTGGAGTAACATTAGGACGCGCCGTTGTGTTCTTCTACTCATTGAAGCTTTTCTTTGAGAACCGCGAGAGAGAGAGAGAAAGAAAGCTTTCACTCCTAAAACCACTTATGAAAGTTTTTTTGAGACGAGCAGTACCCCGAGTGAAAATAGAGTTGTCTGGGCACGGAGAGCGAGGGCGCCAAAAGCGAGGACGTTTTGTGTTCCTCCCTGGAGTGGGTACATTCATTCATTCATTCATACCCAGGAGCAAGTGAATAACAAAGTCATCAACGCCTAGCAACAAACACTTCATCTCTTTTTGTAGGAGATTTCCATTTGCGTCTAAACTTCTTGTCACCCACCAGACCAGGTCGTGGACGGTTTGACCGAGCTTCCACGCTTCAATTTCCATGATCACCCGCTCCAGTGTCGGGAACGAAGTCCGAGTCACCTTTTTTTTTATGTTTTAGTTCAAGTTTGTAGCACTATTTTTTTATAAGAAAAGTATCTCGAATTGTCCTAATCAAGTTTCAATGGTTGTTTTTAGGGTGCATGAAAACCTACTCTGAGCACTTCTAAGAAGAATCACAAATACCAATTTATTAAGTTTCCCTTTCTACCTACGTCGAAACAAAAACAAAGGATTTTAACGATAAAAGATTACTTCACCTACTTCTATGATCTTGCAGCTCACCTCTTCTTGCTAGGTGTTGTTACCGAGATATTTTTGTTGACTTAGAGCTTGTTGTCTTATTACTCTAGAGCAGGAGGTTCGCAAGAAGAAACAAGCGAAAAAATGTTGTCGACATTGAGGAAGTCGCTGCCCTCGGTGCAGAGGGCCGGTGCGCGAGGAATTTCCACCAAGCAGCTCGCAGGATACACCGTCCATGATCATTCGTACTTTAATTTTCTTGACGTTCAAAATTTTTGCATTTTTTTTTTGTGGTGATGCATGTTCAAATAAGAACTTTCTTCTTGACTCAAAAGACCGATTCTCCAAACGCAAATCTCCCATCAAAAAAGTTTCGACGCCGTTGTGATCGGTGCTGGTGGAGCTGGTTTGCGTGCAGCTGCTGGTTTGGTCGCGAACGGTCTCAACACTGCGTGCATCACGAAAGTTTTTCCGACGCGATCCCACACTGTGGCCGCACAAGGTGGAATCAATGCGGCTTTGGGTAATTTTTACCACCGATAGAAGCCTACAAGAATTCCAATTTGCAGGAGTGGGCTTACTTTTACGTAGAAGTGTGTTTATTTGTCGTACAGATCATACATGGAGTTTTCTTCTGGTCCCGAGTCGAGGCTACGCGGACCATATTAATTTCTTCACTAAAAATTCCACTACCATGTCCCACAACCACCACAAACCCACAGCCCAACTACATGAGCCTTTCTCACCATAAAAAAACCCGCAGCCAACATGACCGAGGACGATTGGAGGTGGCACGCATATGATACCGTCAAGGGTGCAGATTGGTTGGGCGATCAAGACGCTATCCAGCATATGTGTCGAATGGCACCCAAAGTCGTGCTTGAACTCGAATCTTTCGGTTTGCCCTTCTCCCGAACTGAAGATGGAAAAATCTATCATTATGAATTTTGAATCATTGTTACTCAGATGTAGCACTGCTGGTCCTTGATTTAGCGTAAGAAATATGGAATAACACCCGCACTCTAAGATCAGCGCGCCTTTGGAGGTCAAAGTTTGAAGTTCGGTAAGGGTGGTCAGGCTTACCGATGTGCGGCCGCCGCAGATCGTACGGGACACGCAATTTTGCACACGCTCTACGGAATGAGCTTGAAACACGGTACTGCTAACTAGTTAAAGAAATCTGGACTTTCACTACTGTTAGCCAGTGAGTGGTCTATTGCTACTCCGGATCCTATGGATGAGCTTGAGTTGGATGCCAATGGCTGCACTCTCGTCACCATGATCGTGATCAATGCCCGCCGCCCCTTGTCTTGCTCTTTCGCTGGTTCCTCGTGTGGTCGCAACGTGAACTCAGTGACTTAATGAATGACATCACCCACGCCGTTCATGATCTTCGCGCATTCGCTGCTCCATCATTCACATCGCGAAGACCAATATGTTATGGGTCAAGGTAATGACCAGAATGGCGCAGCTACGTAATGACATTGCCACGGTGCACATGAATGATCGCCCGTTCTGGTCGTCTTTCTGTTCCATTGCTTCGGTATCAACTCCATCCGCCCGCAAGAGCTTCGGAGTGCGCTCAGACGTGGCCGGGTGGTCCAGCATACACTTACTCACATTCAACGACGCAGGTTCGCTGAACTAGATTGCCGTCGCACCTTGGCGACCTGAGCGATCCTATTCACTCCAAAAACTCCTCGTCCATCTCTCCATCCCACCAGATTGCCTCTTCTTCGTCGAGTACTTCGCTTTGGATTTGATTCAAGACGAGACCGGAAGAGTTGTTGGCTGCCTGGCCATCTGCATGGAAGACGGATCGCTTCATAGGTTCGGTTCTCACGCCACAGTCCTGGCCACAGGTGGTTTTGGCCGTGCTTACCAGAGTTGCACTTCGGCGCACACTTGCACAGGGGATGGTGGAGGTATTGTTTTGATGTTTCATTGATACGATTTGTTTCGATTGATTCATTTTTTCATCTTCGACAGAAACCATCAGAGCTGCACGACTGAAAACTACGGAACCATAGGAGGTACTTATAATCAACGACGAATAACTGTTCTACACAACTACACATGCAATGGCAAATTCTAGTGCAATTGCAAATTCTCATCCAATAACAGCCATGGCATCTCGAATTGGCCTGCCTTTGGAGGATTTGGAGTTCGTGCAGTTCCACCCGACCGGCATCTTTCCAGCCGGTTGCTTAATGACCGAGGGTTGCCGTGGTGAAGGTGGGATCTTGAAGAACAGTGAGGGTGAACCTTTTATTTATGACGCCGGAACCCTTAGTCCTCTTAAAACTACGGTAGCCTTGTCAATGTTATCCCAAGTACATCTTGTTCTCGCCACCTCACACTCTTAATATTAACCTTTTTTGATGCTGCTTGCAGCAGTTGACGAGCTCTTGATTGATGCATAAATTTAGATCAGAACAATTTGATGGTGCAGCAGCACAACTTTTGTGGTAGCGACTATTACCCTCTTTCTCTAATCTGCGGCCCGATACGCACCTACGGCCAAGGATTTGGCTTCCAGAGATGTTGTCAGTCGATCCATGACCATGGAGATCCGAGAGGGACGCGGCGTCGGTCCCAACAAGGATCACGTGTACTTGCACTTGGATCACTTGCCGGCTGAGACCTTGGCCCAGAGGCTGCCGGGTAACGAATAAGTCTTTTAATCTACAAATATTTGCTTCACTGCAACTACTAAATACTACTGGTTGTTCCATATTTGATTTGAAGAATTTCAGTTTATTTTCTCAGTCAGATTGTACTTTGTTTTGAAACTGCATCATGCGTTTTTGTGTAAGGGAGATAGACGACATTTCCTGCTTTTCCTGCTTCCACCACCATATCTCATCATCACCACAAAACAGGTATCTCCGAGACTGCCAAGATTTTTGCGGGTGTAGATGTCACGAAGGAGCCCATTCCGGTGCTTCCTACGGTCCATTACAACATGGGTGGCGTGCCGACCAACTGGAAGACCGAGGTGCTCACCAAGGATGAAAAAATCGTTCCGGGATTGTTTGCTGCTGGTAGACAAATTTTGATCACGACATCTGAATCTGTAGTACTTAGGAAGGTCTTAGACCTCTTCCAGTTCCAGCCACAATAGAGTCTTCAACAACCAATACTGCAATCACAATCTCAGGTGAAGCATCTTGCGCATCTGTCCACGGCGCAAACCGATTGGGTGCCAACAGTTTGTTGGATTTGGTTGTGTTTGGTCGCACAGCCGCTGAGACTATTAGCGGATTGGTCAAGCCAAACTCACCACCGGTGAAACTTTTACGGCTTTAGATTGTCGTTGAATAGGTTTTTCCTTTTAAGTATAACGGAATTAGTTGAGTAGTAGTGCTAAGTCAATAAATGTTACCAGGGACTACAGCATGCATGAAAACTACAGAGGAATGGCGCACTGCCAGTGCCGGTTGTAGTAAATCAATTCGAATATAATTCATGTACCTACGACGTAGTACAGGAGGCACTTCATCTAGCCTTCCAGTTCTTCCTCCCACCTTCTAATCCCCGCCGACAACGCTGGTGAAGTAACATTGCAGCGATTTGATCAGATCCGAAATAAGAAGGGACCGATTCCGACCGCAGAGCTACGAGCCGAACTCCAGATGGCCATGCAGAAATATGCGCCAGTCTACCGTAATAGCAAGGATTTGGCGGAGGGAAAGAAAGTTATGCTCTCGTGTTGGTGGAAAATTTTGAATCCACGATCATATGTTGATGGTGTCGATGCTGGTGAAAAACATTTAGTATATGCGAGAGGCTTAGCGGCCTCTCATGATAACCCTCGCCTTTTTGAAAGTAGAAACGTACTAGAGTTCAAGTTACGGGTACTTTCTGTGCTATTGCATCCATGGATCAAGCATCCCTCTAAGAACTTCGTGACCGACATCTACAAGAAGTTCAAGGACGTTGGCGTGACAGACCGCACGCTGATCTGGAACACAGACCTCATCGAGACGTTGGAGTTGGAGAACTTGCTTACTCAGGTATAGCGCATTTCTTTGTATTTTCAATCACGATGAGTACTCGGAAGTCCTCTGGACTCAAACAACTTATGGGTATTTCTACTTCACACTCTTTTTTTTTTGAGATCCTCTCTCCATAATCAACATCAAACCTGAAGAAAGCAATCACATAATGATAATGCCACATCTTTACTTCTAGGGCGCTCAATTGATGTTCTCGGCCGAAGCTCGACATGAGAGCCGCGGCGCGCAGGCCCACGAGGACTTCCCGGATCGCGACGACAAGAACTTCATGAAGCACACGCTTTCTTGGCAAACGTTAAGGCTTCTTTGTAGATTTTCATTCTTTCATGAATATTCTAGGTAGGTTTAGGTAGCTCTAGGGATTAAAAAATTTGTACCCTGCTCACAAGCAGAATCCTACACTAGTAGGACGTGTAAAAACAGTCACAATAGTCATCGTCAGTCGCATTGCAAGACAGTGTAATCACAACTACAATAAGTGACACCAACAACCACTTCTTCTTCCCACCACCTCTAATAAACGGATCCCGCAACATTGAAGACGCCAAGATCGAGCTGACTTATCGTCCGGTCATCGACCAGCCTCTGGATAAGGAGATGCACCACGTCCCCCCAGCAAAGCGTGTCTACTAAATCTTGCAGCTCCTCTGGATGCTGATTCCACTAGAAATGGTCAACGAGTGGCGAGAAAACTTTCTTGGGTGCACGTCTTATCCTGGGTTAGGTAGCAGAAAATTAAACAAAATTGAGCAGCAGCAGTTGACTAAGACTAAAGATACTAAGATACCTAGGTGTTTATATATCGGGATCGATGTACTGAAAGTTTTTCTAGTACTAGTTTATGATGTAGTATAGGTAACAAGTTTCAATCAATATTATTCGAAATTCATCTTTCAGAGCAAGATTGTCATTGCAAAGCAGGTAGTAGAGACTGACATTCAACATAGGATAACTAACTAACAACCAAGATCCATCAGAATAGAGTAGTTTTTGCAAGAACAATAACACGGTTATGAATTACCTCCATGTTTTACTTTTTACTTCCGTGATGTGCAGCCGAAGGAGGCAATCTTCGTGTATGAACACGGGGAAAAAAGAGATGACCTTAATAGAAGGTCTATCTTCTAGGAAGATGCTAGACACATACTAAATATAGAGGAGAGTTTTGATGAGTTTTCCTTCGGTTTGTTGCCTCGAAAAATTTTTGAACTGAGAAACACAACAATCGACAGACAGACAGGCGCTCCTTGCTGGGTATCTTCGTATAAGATTCTCAAAAGCAAGGAACGTCTTAACGGCGCCGCAAGTAGGTTTAGCGCTTCCGTGGCCGTCTTCACAACCGCAGTAAACGTATCATCCCGCCGATGGCCTAGCGTGGTCGTTTGGGGTGCAGTATGATGATACAACAAGCGATCACAATACGTACAATCGCCGAGGATGTGCATTCAACATCATCTAGGACTGTCGTGTACTAGCGAAAAATTGGTGTGGTAACATTGACACACGCCTGTTTCGGCCTAGAACTAGCAGTTGCAACTAGAACATACATAAAATGTATTACTAGAAAAAAAGGGCGGCAACTACAACATCCGGATTACTCGTTGTGTAAGTCTCGTTGTAAGCTCAAATTTTCCATCGCATTGTATAGACAGCAGGACACGACACACTTCTTATGAGAAGTTGTGTCGAGCGCTACCTGTGACACGAAGCAAACTGATTTCAACTACAGTGACAATTATTAAGTTTGCTAGTACAACATTCTTTCGAGGAAGAAGTGAGACCAGATGAAAAAAAGGAAAAAAAAATAGCAGAAACACACTCGTCTAGGAAAACAAACAGACGCGCGCAGCCCATGACGCGTGTATCTATTCGCCGGACGGCACAGGCTGAACCGATCCTCGCGTGCGACTCAGGCATAGCTCGGTCTAGCATGATAGATTCAGTTTCGGCGTTTTCATAGTCGTGAACGCTCCCCTCCCTGTAGGTGAGCTAATTCCTATCCTATCGATCCTATCCTATCCTTAACCTGTGGAAGGTGAGCCAACTCCTTTTCTATACTATTCTATCCTATCCTAGCCTTAACCTGTGGCAGGTGAGCCAACTCCTTTTCTATCCTATGACGCGTGGAGCTCTACTCTCATCTCTAATGGCTGGCTGCACAGGGTAAAGCTGGTGATGGGCAAGAAGCCACATGCTTTTGATGCATGAGGATGACTGATCGCGTATTGATATGTCGTCAAAGGAACTTCGGTTGCGTGTCCGAGAGAGTTAATGTTGAGCGGTACACAGACTTGGGTCCTGGAAGGGCATATCGGAGTATCGAAGTACAATTTCTTCCCCTCTTTCCCTGATTTTTTTTTAACTTTCTCCCCGATCGAAAATGTCAAGGGGCTAGAACAAAACACCATGGGTTGCCAGGTGGAGTCTGAAAACTTGGAGATGAATCGGAAGTACTGGCACAAGGAGGACAGGCAGATATTTAGCCAGAAGTTGCACTAGTGCTCGATCTCGAGTATCAAGAAGCCCCGTTGTTTCTTTGAATAATTGAGGAAGACGGAGGTCGCGGAGGTGTAGGAGCTCGCAACACTTCGATTTGATACTTCAAAGCTAATCTCCTTGGTACCCTTTTCAGTTTATCCAGAGATCTCTTAGAATCAAGAACAAAACACTATGGGTTGCCAGGGCAGCAAGCATCGAAAGATAGAGCCCGTGAGCTCTCCAGAACAAGAGGGCGTTGCGAAGTGCACTGAGGCAGGTGCTGCGGTCGAAGCCTCGCCAAACGCCGACGCAAAACCTAGTACAACTACGAAACCAGGAGCGTTCGTGGTCGATAAAAGCAAGCCCGGCTTCGATGATATTTTAAGGTGGATTTACAACTAACTCTCGTCTATTCAGTCTGCCAGAGACGTTATCCACGTCGTTAAGCAGTCGGTCTTTTGTAGCTGCCGTGTCTCTATTCGGGTCACAACTTGAACCAGGCAGTTACTTTGAGCTGCTACGTGGTTCGTATGAATGACTGAATTGACTCATTCTACTACGGGGAAATAATAGAACTTTGAAGATCTTCTCCTCCTCCTTTTCCTCCAATCTGTGTTTTCATTCAGTCAAGCACTGTGATACGAACTACAACTTCTTTTTAGCTATCTCTAAGCACTGCAGAAGTCGAGGATGAGGATGCAAAAGCCGCAGGCAAAGGGACCGACCGAGGACATAAGGAGCTCGCGGGAGTCGCCAGCATAACGACAGCCTCGGATCCGCCTTTGCCTGGTGCGGTTGGGGAGAGTCGAAGCCCAACCACAACCGATGACGCAGCTAGTAAGGATAAGCTAGGAGTGGGTTCATTGTGTGGAAGTGGATGTAGGAATTTCACGTACTTCTCAACAGACGGTCTCATACTTTTATATCATGAACTACTTTGTACTATGCATCCTTAACCTTTTGATCTTTCTCCTCCTGAAGACCTCATTTCTAAGAAGGGACGAAGCAACCGCAGCTGGCGGTGGGGCGTCAGGATTGCCGAGTCTCGCTCCACCCGCAGGAGCCTCGGTTTCCGCATCAAAGGAGGCTGAACCAAGCGCGCCCGAGCCAAGTAAAGAACCTAGTGTTAAGCAAGGCTATTCTATCTTTGATGAGGAGCAGGTGTTTCTCGAGTAGGTACTAGAGTGAATGCTCTGTATTCAGTTTTCAGGTTGTCGAGAAAACGATGAAAGTAGATAAAAATAACGAGCTCGAGAGATCTCTCTAATACCAAACCAAAAGAAGCTTCCCCAGAGGCCACAGCAGCACCGACCACAGCAGCACCCACAGCAGAGCCACCTGCGCCACTGCATAAGCCGACAGCAGTGCATCTGCATGCGATAAAAGCCGCCGACGAGGACGACCTGCAGAAGCAAGTGGAAGAGTAATTTTTTGATGGAGGTGCTAGCTCAAGAGGAAAATAAACATAATAAACCAGTAGCTACAGTACAACACTTTGAGGTCTTACTTGGTCTAAAATCTGTATCTGAATTCACAAACTACACCACATCACTCAGGTATCTGCCACGAGTAGACGAGACACTAGGAAAATCGTTGGGAATAAATGCGTGGGCAGACTTGAAAACGGAAATGCTCAGGGATTCAAATAAGCCAAACGCCAAAGAAAGACCCATACAATGGATGTGGATTTCGAAAGGTATTAATGACTTCGAAATGGACGTGAATCTGACTACTATGCCGTCATTGAGTCGAACGATTTCGATGGATTCGTTTTTTCGCTAGTACATTCATAAAAATTCCAACAACGCAGTTCTCTAGTACTCTTTAACTACCTCTTTCACCACATGCACATCGCAGACGGCGACGCCTCACCCACTGCGGCGACAGCGGACGGGCTGCTAGCTTTCCGAGTTCTTCGTCTGACATTTTCCAGTGGGATTGTGATAAGTCATTTTAGTATACCCGGTGGCGTCTGGGAACCAGAGTTGCCAGGGATTCTTTATGGTGTCCGGAAGCAGTTGTTCGCAGGGGTTGCGGCAGGTAATTTGTTTCAGCAAATTAAAATTACTTAGACGTAGTTTTGAATCATAGGTTTTTTTCGTCGCTCGTAAAAAAACCAACATCACATTATTCCTAGGGCAAGGAGGAAAGAAACAACCCTTACCCATCTTTTCCGTGTCCCTGCTCAGGCAATCTGCGGATAACCCTCAACTACTACGAAGAAGGCGAGAAGTACACCGTAAACAAGCCGTTGGAGAAGGTTTGCAAAGATTTGGGCTTCCGTTGGTTCCAGCTTACCAACTACAGCAACGGGTCGCGCGGACAAGTGATGAATGCAAAACTTAAGGCAACAAAGTAGATCTATTTTTCTATCCCTCCATGAGGAAGCAGTAACCTAGGCGCTAGTAACACTGAAAAAGCACTGAAAAATGAGTAATATGTGTTCACTAGAAAAATGAAAAATAAGAGGAGAGCTGAAAACAAGAAACATCAGAAGCTTCTTCTCATAGAGGTGCCACCATTTTTGAAGGAACTTGGGAAAGGAACTTGTTCTCATAGAAACTACCACCATGTTTTTTTGGACGTGATCCCAAGTCGTCTTGTCTAATGTCCGTGGTCTCGTCGGACCCGGAGAGATCGACCAAGGGGAACTGGATGGCGAGCCTTCAGCGACTGAGGAGCGGTTCGATCAGGGCTCAAGAATGGCCACTTGTCCAGTCGATGAAGTGCCGACTGAAGAAGAAGAAGAGGGTTGAAACCTTGACGTGAACATTTTTACATCGTTTTTAATCTTAGTTCGAACCCTGACTCCGATTGCTTCTGTACAATAGATACCCTGATCGATGCGCTTTCAAAATGAAAAATTACACACCACGACCTGATGTTGATGAACTAACTATGAGAATGAACAATTACCCTTCTGTCGTTGACGAGAATAGAAGCACTACGCGCCAATAGTGCAAAAACAATCATTTCACAGCCAGACCAGACGTGAAACTATCTATTTGGTAGATCGAACCGGTAACAGTGTTTCAACAAAACGACGATCTTTCATCCACAGACAAAAAACGAGATCAGCTTGAGCTTCAGTAGTCTTCCTCATGAGAGAATTTAGTTCCTCGTCCGTGATCTTCTTGAGAAAATTCCACTCAGATGAAGATCCTTCACAAAGAAGAATGTTCTTGAACAGTGTGCAGTAGAAAACGAGCTACCCAGGTCAGATCCACTTTTGATAGTCCATCGGATCCTGAAACAAATTCAAAAAATCGATCAGCGCACTGCATGCCTTTGAGTAGTTGTTTTTACCCCCACCTTTTTATGAAAAACGCGTAGTTGTGAAGCTGGAGGTCGTCTATTCGAGCAGTACGCATAACTACAAGAAGCTGGTTATAATTCGCCCTTTTCTATGTTGATTCATCTAGAATTTGCATGTGCATGATTTTTCAATCACTACCAGACAGGAGGAGGGATTATTAGATCGCATTTCCGAACAAGGATTGCGTTATCATCCACATCAGTATTAGAAAGTGATACCTATCAACTCAATTGCCAAATAAACGATTAAATTGTTCATCATTCATTGTTCATCACAACGAAATCTAATTGTGCATCACTGAATTTTCACCTACTTATCTTCATAAATCCAATAAATCTTTGTCGTGCTTCCATCAAAACCAAGAGAGGAGACAAAATGCTTCTGTTAACGGAGACTGCGGCTGGTTACGGCCTTTTTCGTCTGAAGAACGAAAAGCTGTTGGCTGCAGAAAAAGATGACATCGCAAAAGCTTTCACTGATTCTGGGTGCCAGGAGAATGCTGAGATGCTCGCTTTCAGCAAATTCAAGGTGACGAGGCTTTTATAATTTGACTAATGTTCTTGCGATCTAGCCTCGATCTAGCGTAGTGTATTGGCGCCCCTAGTACTCTTTCGTAGCATGAAAAACTACATCACGGCTTCCGCCTTCAACCACGCTACCTCATGAGATTTAGCCAAATCCCCACACAACCAAAACAGGACACGAAAATGGCCTTGGAAGAAAGTGCAGCTCTCATCGAGAGTAAAATGGGAAGCCAGTTGAAGAAATTCTTGAAGAAAAATGTCGTCGAAAAGAATCTAAGCGAAGAATTGTCCGTCATCGATTCCAAGTTGGGAAGCATCATCAAAGAGAAATTCGGTACTTTAACTTTTCGATGATCATGTAGTTTTAGATGTTTTACTGTTTTTTGTTTTATACTTCCTTGTCACTCAGTATTTTTTATTTCCAATATTTTCTTCTACATTTTTTATTTTTTCGAACTACAACTACAACATGACTAAAAGTAAACAAATAATCCCTAATCACTATGAACACAGGTATCTCCGTCGCCGTCTCTGAGCAGACTAAGGAATTGCAGCGTGCTTTGCGTTTCAATATCGAGGAGTTGCTGTCCGATATCACCAAGGAGCAAACCAAGCAGATGGAAGTGTCTCTCGCCCATGCCATGAGTCGTTTTAAGCTGAAGTTCTCCCCAGACAAAGTGGACATCATGATCATCCAGGCCATTGGCTTGCTTGACGACTTGGACAAAGATTTGAACAACTTTGCCATGCGCCTCAAGGAGTGGTACGGATGGCACTTCCCAGAAATGGCCAAGATTCTCACTGACACATTGGTCTACGCCAAAGCGGTGAAACTGATGGGTATGCGAGGCAACTGCAAGAACACGGACTTCTCCCAGATCGACATCCCGGAAGAAATCGAGAACGAACTGAAGCGAGCGGCAGAAACCAGTTACGGAACGGAAGTGACCTCAGAAGATATGGAGCATATCAACAGCCTGACGGAGAGGGTCATCCAGCTGTTGGAATACAGGACGCAATTGAGCAACTACTTGAAGGTACTCACAAAGAACGACGAATACTTAAAGAACTTTGTTTATTTTTTTTGACCATTGTTTGAACAATTTCCTTGCAGTTTATTTCAACAAACTCTTCAGAAGTGAGAGTAATACATAGCATTTTAAGTACATCCTGATTTTCGTCGTCACTAGCCATTTTGGGAACATATGTCCAGTACTAGCTTTCAACAACCACGAACATCATCCCCAATTTCCCAATTTTCCAAAACTCATCAACAGACTCGCATGTCCGCGATCGCACCAAACTTGACATACCTTGTCGGCGAACTCATCGGAGCACGACTTATCAGTCATGCCGGTTCCTTGCTTTCTTTGTCGAAGCACCCGGCTTCAACAGTCCAGGTCCTAGGAGCAGAGAAAGCGCTTTTCAGGGCAATGAAGACGAAGAGCAACACACCGAAATATGGTCCTACTACTACTAAGTCATGAGACTTCTTTCACACCTCGTCCTTGATATACATAGCTGCTCGTAGTAGAAAGCTTTTTTCCAACGAACAAGATTTGGAGACCGATCATGTCAAAATGAGTACATCTTCCAGATGGTTGGTACTTTGTCACCAAGCAACACACCAAGAATTCTCTTCACTCTCCAGGTTTGATCTACCACGCTTCTTTGATCGGAAAGTCAGCAAACAAGTTCAAGGGAAAAATTTCCCGAGTCTTGGCGGCGAAGATGGCATTGGCGATCAGGGTTGATGCTCTAGGCGAAGACACCGAGGCCACAGTGGCTAAGGCTTTTAAGGACTACGTCGAGAGAAAAGTAGCTGCCTGTGAGGACGGCGACGACTTGGCGGCCAGCAAGCGACACCTGAAGAAAGCGGCAAACCAAAGCGTGGCCGTTGCCAAAAAAGCGACCGCAGAGGCTGGAAGTAACGGTGTGTACAACCAGGACGCCGATGTAGTGAAGAACAAGCGACCAGCGGAGGAAGAAGCAGCGGCAGTAGATGGAGAACCGGCAAAGAAGAAAAAGAAGAAGAACAAAGAGAAGGGAGCGAGCGCTAAGCCGATTGAAGCTTAAGAAATTGGAGGTTTTGTACTACTAGCTAGAAGATGTTGAACATGAAGAAAATGCTCGTTCCTACTGCTTCTAGGTGACAAGGAGGGAGGATTTCTTTGCAACTACACTTAGTAGAGATTTATTATTCTTCTATAACTGTACTTGTTCTTATATGAAGATGTTCTTGCAAATTCACTTTCAAATATAATGAACAAAAGACGAGCACTTTTTTTCGCACGATGAATGATGAACAAAATGAACTTTTTCGCATTAGGTATAACTTCACTGATTCGCAAAATAATGAACTTTTTTCGTTTTGGCAATGAACTTTTATCTTCACTATCTATGATGCATTCTGGGCGAGCTGAAAATTCTAGGTCAGAAGGAGTCCCAGAATCATTTTGCACCATGAAAGATCGATCATCGATCTATTTATCATCTCAATACATAGGTAGCACTTCAACAACTTTATTCTAGTTACAATACATCACACAGTAAAGCATCAGAAGATTCTATTTCGAATCTTCCGAAGGAGATCGGGGTTCCGAAAATTGCACAACGTACGCTGGCAAAAGATTATTGCACGAATATTTTCGTCGGACAAAGAACACATCAGATAGTTTTACTAAAGTAACTAGAAAACGGGACGCCTCAGGGAAAACACACAAAGTATGTGCAACGAAACCGAATGGCACAACAGCTGCTTGATGCCGTAGAGATTTAGAGTCAGTGATGTTCGTTTCCTCATCCCGTAAAATCGTTGCTGTACGCGAAAAGTTAGAGGATCTTCTGAGCGAAAATGAGAGGCTCTTGAGTTATCTCTGCTTGCAAAATTGTTGAAGTAAATATATAGTTAGATAGAGAAATCAAAAGATGGAGGCGAGGCCGGCGTTGCCTGCACATCCCGGAAAGGGTACGTCGAGTGAGAGGCCGGCCATTATTCGGCTGATTTATGGCTGGACAAAACTTTGGTCAAAATAAAGCGCGACTCTGTCTGCAGTGAGTCAGTCATGTTCTCACCATGTGATTATGAGAAATGCACCATGCTGCACTAAATGTTAGTAGTTCCTTATCCTCTCTCTTCTCCTTCTAAAACAGCGATTGGTACAATGGCATGCTTGCAAAGTACCCGTTTCAAGCGAATGCGTACTCGACTGCAGTCATCGGCGCTTTTGCTGACATACTACGACAATTCGTAGAACGACTCATGGCGACGCGGAACATGAATCCGTCTATTTAAGATTCCAGTACCATAATGGTTTTCCACTATTTTGTGATGGAGACCACCAAGGGTACTTCTACAACTTGCTAGTCAGAGTAGCAGGAAAAACCTCACTACTCGCTACTACCGCTAATCATCCGCAGACCAGAATTCGTCAAACAAAACGGCACCAAATAGGAACAACGGCGTCGCGATTTTTCTTAGAGGATTTTACCAGGCTTTCTCCTTGAAAGACACCTTGGAGCAATACTTGCTGGGTTTTGCGGTTCTACATCCTCTCTGTTTCTGGTTTTTCGAGAAGATCGAAGCTGCGTTTGAAGTAGAGCACGAGGACGACGACATTGAGGTAGTCGAGTTTAGTAACAAAGATGAAAGTGGTAGTACTGGAACTGGATCTGGCAGTGGACGAGTAGTACAGAGTATTAAAGACGATGACAGGAGGACACAGCACAACAATAGTACACCAGATCAACATCCAGTGTCGTCATCCTTCTCTTCTTCGAAGAAATCGTCTGAGTCCTCCAGTAGTTTCATCCTAGCTCTCCAAAAAGTGTGCGTCGAGGAGGTTGTTTTTGCTCCTGTCTTCAACCTAGTCTTTCTCACATGCGAAGGCGTTCTGCGAGGCGAAACGGCATTGGATGCTATCAAAGAATACGGGAGAAAATTTCGACAGATTCAGAGCTCAAATATGATCTTCTGGTTCCCTGTGAACCTGGGCACATTTTGGCTGGTGCCACCAAAATTGAGGCTGCTCTTTGTAAACATGATGAACATCCTGTGGATGGTGTATCTGAGCATGAAAAGTAAACAGAAGTGACTTCATACTTCTTTTTACAATATATTTTTCATCTTATCAAAAATCTTATTTTTTGGAAATCCAATTGATTCCAAAGTGCTTGGTACTTTCCATCTTGGCATTCTTGATTGAACATGGCAAATACTAGAGGCCAATGTTGGAAGTGACAACATTTTCGCTTGAATTTTCCTTCCCTATAATTTTTTTACAAGAACAATATCGTTGGACATCAGTCTTCCAGTTGCTTATTATAAGCACATCATGGGTTCCACCACCAGAGACGACCAAACAAACAAGTACATTGTTCAAGTGATCTATATTGTCGGAATATTGGTGTGCTGTTTTACAACCGTAAGTACAACAGAATAGCGATGAAGGATCCATAACGATGAAGACCACCCCGGTCCAAAGTTGAATCATCATGAAGAAAAAACAGCAACAGCGCCTCTTTACTACACACGTAATCTTCGTAACACAAGGAGAAAAGAGGCACATTTAAATCTCTTGTGAAGAGTACATCATATTACAGCGGTGGAGAATAGAAAAGAATCATCAAGATGCCATCAACGGTCGTCACTCCCGTACTACAAGGACCAGCAGCTGCATTGTTTTGGTACGACCCTGGCTTGCAAGAGAAGAGCTGGGCATCAAAAGTAGAGGGTCCCGCAGTTAAGGCCTCATATATAAGTAACACCATGATAGATCTTCGATCGTTTATTCTTCTTTTTCTTTTCTCGAAAAAGAAGATGAGGTCGCGGGTAGTCGTTCTTTTTCTACTTCCTTGAAAAAGAAGGAGAGAGGAAAAATCAATTGTCAGAACCAGTCTCTTGCTCTTCTACGGATCGTGCTAGCAACTACAGGATTGTCAGAGATCCACACATCTAATAAGTCAAATGATGATATCGTTTCTTTCAGCCAACTCGCGTTGAACGTGTTTCCTAAGATGATACTGAGCAGAATCGAGCCCCTCCTTGACAACCAATTACAAGCGTTCCTTGCCTTCTCTTAAGGCTAGTTATTTTTCACTATCCCTTGTGAAGCGAGTTTGCTGAGGTGAGCTCTACGGGTTGAAACATTTCTTTTCCACATTCTTTGCTCCCTTAGTATTTATTGCTATCAAAAAACGAAATGCTTCAGCCTTTGATTAAAGTGGAACGAAAGAGGGTGAAAGAAGGCAACTCACTGAAGCAGGCATAGGGAAAAACTACCTGTAATGATCAGCGGAACAGGTCAGTGTCATGCCAGTGCAAACGGTTGTTACGTCGTGCCTTTGTTTGGGAGTAGATGTAGAAGAAGAACTTGAATTTCTATCTGTTTCATCTACAGTAAGTCTAAGTCGAATCAGGCTTACAGTTACACATATTATACATGATATATCTTATTATCTTCACCTGTATTTTGAATACGACTGAAAGGCTTGAGCGTGTTGCTTCTATATATCACCACGTTGAACGGAAATACAACCTTCTAATGTAAGCCAAGCCCCGTTTGGCGCTGTCCTTGGCGGAGAGCAAGCACAGTGTTGCGTGAAAACGGGCTATATCCACCAAAGTCCGTCTTTCGTGATCAAGGTTGCCTCAGGCGGAGCAGGTCACGGGAATACTGGCTTTCTCTTGTTGTTCTCGCAGAAGACTATGAAGTTGACCAAAATGTTGATGGATGAGGGAATATTAACCGAGATCCGCACCGCAGCAGCGAGTTGTCTAGCGTCTGGACTCTGCTTGTATGGATGTAGTTTAAAAGAGACTATCCCGCCATTTTTCCTCCCACATTTGACATCAAGACGAGACTACGATCGAGGCTGTCCTTTTTTAAGTTTGATGTGATAGGCTATTATTCAAGGGCGGGAACAACCCCCATATAGATTACACACTTTCAGCACTCAAGGGGAAAAGGGAAATAGGGGCAGCTTCCTATACGGTCTGTTGAATTGATGGGAGGACAAACAGCAAGATTTTCTATAATTTGGGATTACCTGCTTCGACTGGAGCAGAAGGAGGAAAAAAAGGAAATGGTGCCGTGGGCCTTACCTCCAGTAAAAATCCCGTAGTGACAAAGATCGGCATATTGGGTGCTGGTGTACAGGCTGTGTGGCAATTGCGGCTACTGCAACGCATGTGGTCTTCGGACGCTGGTGATGAGCGAAATCCGTAAGGCTACCACTGATGCGGGATCATTATAGAAGTGCGAAGGACAAGGAATATCGAATTGAAAATAGATACTGATATAAGATAAGAGTAACATTTTTAGGATACGTTTGTTGAGTCAACTGAGAATCTGAGTTAGCATATATCTAAGACGCACTGATGACGTTTCCTCCAGTCTTACTCTGGTGCCGAGACAGAGAAAAAGGACAGACCTTTATCAATCGGATGCGATCTTCCGACTTGCCTGGAGATAGTTAAGGCTACCGCACTGGAGCATCCTCAGCATCATCGATCCTTGTTGGCCTCTTTTTCAAGGGGAAAAAGAACGACTGCCCGCGAGCTCCTCTTCCTTTTCAAGAAACGGAAAAGAAGAAACAAGGTAGATGCGCTCACGGGTGCGAGCGCGGGAGTAGCTTTAAAAAAGGGCCATGGAAATCGAGTTGGCCTCGACTGTCGCGGAGGTGTTTTCACAGTGCCAGCTAGTACACACTTTGACGGCAAGTCGGGAGCCGCTTGTTCGAGAAGTGGACCTCCCAGAATTAATATGGTCAGAGGTTTACTTCATTTTTATCTATCTCAGAAGCATTAGCATTTATAATATTGGTACCCTTTGTTCGCCAGACAGAGTGCAAGGGTAACTAAAAGTACGAAGATGAGGCGGGCGACATGAATTATATACAATTACAAAGCACATCACTAATCGCTCGGACTCTTCTAAGAAAAGCAAAAGACGCGTCAAGCTCAAGACTGCACATTACATGCGTAGGTGCGGACTCACCGGGAAAGCAAGAATTGGAATTGGGGGTTTTGGAGAGAGCGGACTTTTTGCTGTGCGATTCTTACGACCAAACTTTCCATCGTGGCGAATTCCAGAGTTATGACGCACCTACTTATGTATTGTAAGTAGAGTTAGAGAAAGACTGAGTGAAATGTGCACCAAAGTAGAGGAACAATTATCGCACCAATTATACATTAGCACTTAATATTGCCCTTTCTGTATGCACCGTATCAACACAAGCGGATGCGGACGCAGTTTACCATCTCCTCGCTACCCTCGCCACTGAGACTTTGTCTAACAACAGAAGTGTAACATCAGCTGACAAGTACTAGGATACAGTAGAAATGCAAGTCCACAACTTTATAGCCACCTTCTTTTCTACATCATTCTAACATCACCTCTTTTCGGGACGAAGTCTTCCTTCAGCAGAGGTCCTTTCTAGTCTGCGTAAGAGATCCAGATCCTTGGGATCCATGGAGAAGGATGAAGATAGAGGTAACAACGACCGGGGATGGGATGCAGATTTTCGAGAACAGTTGTATCCTCTCTCTAGTACTTCTAGAAGTAGTTACAACGAGAAAGACAAAACTTCTCTCGTAAAAACACCTATCGAATTGGGCATATTCGCTTCGAACCCGAAACAAGTACAACACAGGCTCGGAGGACCCTCTCATTTTTCGATTTTTGACACTTCGGGAATCGCAGTCCAAGACGTTCAAATCGCTCAACTCGCATGTGAGATGTTCGGAGTGGATTTGTCGTAGAATATTCAATAAGATAGCCGGAGCCGGACTAGATTTGTCGTACTAGGGTGAGATTCTGGGATTAAGTGGACGATTTCTCGCACATCATCGAGATTCTGGGATGGGACGTGCCATAGGAATTTTCGCCTTATCTGGTACACTCGACCGCGTTTCATCGGGGAGGTCATGCTGCTGCTCGAAGACACACTTATACAAAGCCTAGTATTAAGGCTCAGCTTTCAATGGTCATTGGGGTTGGTCACTGAGATCGAAGAAGCGACCCTTTTAGAGAACAGGGGAAAAGGAAGGGAAAGGGGAGAGCTTTGAGGGGAGTCTCTTCCGTTCAGCATCAGTGACCATTGAATGCTGAGCTTTAATAGTAGTACTAGTTTGTTAGAGATGAATAAATCCCGAAATATAAATATTAGCAGCAGCAATTTTTACTTACTCAGTAAAATGAATACATGATGGGCATCTTTCGGGAGTGTTTGTCGCACCAGTTGTGGGCAGATACAGATACCAATCCCAGCAGAAATGTCGTGAGGAAAACTACATCAGGGCCAAGACCAATAAACAGTCTGCACGAACAACTGCCAAAAGCGTTCTCTACTTCATTTTTTTCCTGCAACAAGAAACACGACAGAAGAAGTACAACAACAAGTAGGACGAGCCTATCATCTTCAGAAGTATCAACACTAAGGGTTACCACATTGCATTCTTCACGACCATCCTTGGCTTTTTTTCCAGTAGGAAAAGGGTCAGGGATGATCTGAAGAATGCAATGTCGCAACCTCTAACAACAAGAAGAACAACATCCTTTTGTTGCCTCCTTAAAAACAAGCATTGCTGCAACGAAAAAAATGAGGATAGTGCACACTGCGCGCAACGCAATGGACAGGTGATAGCCAACGTCTACTGCTTACAACATCCGAATTGTTCTGACAGGGAACGGGACCAAGAATGCCCGGAAGGAATGAATGTCCAGGGGGGATGAACGCATGAGCTTCAGGTTCTGCAAGACGAGGCAAGTTTGAAAGCAACGAGCATTTATTATGAGTGATACAACTCAGGTGTTGAAGAAGAAGAATCGAATGCGCAGGTACTGGTAAGTATGTTCCTCGTCCCTCTGTGAGGACTTTCTGTTAATCCTCTGTTCGCTGAGGCTGTTGAGGCTGTTTCGAAGCACGCAGAGTCGGTCCGTGTAGACAAACGGAGCTGTGGCAATTCTTGCGTCGGTGATCGGTGCAAGGAACTACGGTCTGTGTGTGTGATGACGCACAAAGCCGGCTTGTAACAACCCTCCTCAGAATTTCAGAACCGAATCCCGTATGGAAATGAGTCGCACAGAGAATCATGTGGAACATATCCATTGAGGAAAATTTGCAGATTCACTCAGACATTTTAACGGTAACGATTCTACATCAAATTATCATTCTCCATTTTGAAGCATGTTAGAGAACAACGATGATTGATTAAAGCATGATGGGACACAACAGGAACAGACTCTCTGTATCAAATTGAGTAAGTTGTAAACACAAAAAGAATATGACCCTGTTTTCCACGATTTTGGCTTCAACGTTCGACGGCAGTGCAGCTGACGCATGGGGTAGCGTTGACAGCCTCGCAAGCAGCCTGCAGAAAAGATACAGTGGAGCTACAGTTTGTGACGACTCCTCTTATTCTCGTGAGAGTGCAGCGTCATCTTTCATCTCAGCACGACGTCGAGGACCTAAAGTACTCACTGCATTTTGTTGTAAGCTGCCGGACGGAAAGTGTTGCGACGCCAAAGGTGAGACAGACACGTGCTCAGGGCAGCTTCTTTCACAAGCCTGTCCGTCTGCTGGTAAGTGCAGCCAAGGAAGTGAAGGGGAATGTCCTAAGGAAGGATGATCATCATTTGATGCTTGACAGTAGCACTTCAATTGTCGTGACCCCTGTTGCTCGTGACTCATCGTTCATGCAACAGTAGGCGGAATGTTCCTGTTACAATGGATAGCGCAAGAGCTGATAGTGGGAATTTGGCAATGCTAGTCGTGTACAACTACTGTCCGGCAAGAACGGTTTTTGTCACTGCGAAGCTCGTGTCTTGTAAGTGAGCAAAGCTGTTGGCAAGTAGAAGGGTTCAAAAGAAGTCCGAGGAAAGTGGATGGAACGCAAGATCATTTTCGTTTTATGATTTTCAGAAAAACATGCTGCGCTTTTCGTTGCTACGAACCTGCCTAGTTTTTCTTGTTTTTCCACTGCGAGTCTTCAGCGCTGTTGACGACCTGCTGCTATCTGGCGACATTCATTCACGTGATCCCCTGTCTGTGGAAAAGCAAGGAAATTTTACTCCTTGGTACGTCGACCAGCAGGCTCATTCTGAGACGCAGCAGCTTCAGTTCCTGCAAGGTCGTGAAACGATAACCGCTGAATTCTATCGACAACTAGGCGAGTTTGCACTACAGCGTGCTGGCGGTTTTAACAGTTTTTTAGAACTTGGGTGTGGCGATGGCGAAGCTGCACGTAGGGTCGTGCCTGTCGCGAGAAAATCCGTTTTGGTCGATAAGGATGTGAGTAAGTGCCGAACAAGTAGCGAAAGCAGAGGCTTTCTAGTAGAAGGAGATTTGTACAAAAGCACGACAGGAGAAGGGGTTTGGACTAGCATTCGAAACAACGGACCTTACTTAAGGCTCAACCTTCATTGGTCATGGAGGTTAGTCACTGAGATCGAAGAGGGCCCCCTTGAGAGAACAGGGGAAAACGAAGGGAAAACAAAGGGACGAGAGGCGTGGGGCCCCCTTTTCACTCAGAATAAGTGACCACTGACTGCTGACCTTTAACTTGTGACTTCATCTTGGTGAATGCAGTCCATCTGCGAGATCGGGTCTTCTCAGACATCGTGAATGTGCTGGAAGTGGTGCTGCATTGGAAGAAGATCAGCATGTCCTTGAGTACTCCGGTAGAAATTTTGTTCGCCGACTATGGCAACACGAAGAATCGTGGCGAACCAGGCAGACCGGATCCCGGTGTAAGAGAAGCAGTAGATTACTTCCGAGAAGCTTGTATCCTACAGAATTGTCGTGGCTTTGGGTTTTATTATCCATTGGCGACGAAGCCAAGCGAGAGCATTGAGAAGCCAAGACCAAGAGAAAACATTGAGATAAACCCTCGTCAGCAAAGAGAGCTTCAGAATGGCTATTTGGGAGACATGGATCGTTGGGTTGAAGGGTGGGAAGGGCTGTTGTGCGAGATCGAGGTGAAACAGTTGATGAAGGACGATAAACCAGAAGCAAGTCGTCGCCTTTTCCTCAACTGGCGTTTGCAAGCTCTACGCGCGCGTCCCATAACGTATTTAGTTTCCCATTCGGTTACTGGTTATCCCTTGAATCTGGATTTTGGTGGGGAGCCGTGTGGTAGTGGAGCGGCCATGATAGAATCTCCTACAACGTCTTGCCCATCCTACGTCCAAGAGGGAGAGTTCACACCAGTTCGAGTGCGCCAAGAAGAAGATCCAAACCAGTTTTATTTCATGTGGAATGGAGAACGCGATCGTGAGCGGAAGAATTAAGGCTACTCGCTCTGCTATACTCAACTCGAAATTTTTTGAGTATTTTTTTAGAGTCTCTCGAACTCGTCGGTAGTGGGGAAGTATAAGTTTAGAATCCTCGATAGTTGGGGAGTACCTCTATAAGTAGAAACATCACATGAGTACATCCTAAGGAGATAGATGACTATGATTTCTCATCCTGTTCGTTGATGCTTCTAGAGAAATTGTCCAATGTCCATCGATAAGTAAGGTCTAATCTTCGGCTGCAGAAGCTGCGGGTTTCGACTATATTTTCATTTTGAATCACGAGAAGCAACTAGGAGCAAGGATTGATCACCAAAATCTGAGGAAAGTCGAACTCTATGATCTGCACACTGGGGATCATTTCGGACGAGCTATTGACATTCAAATTTTACATCAGATTGTGGGGAGATGAAGTGGAGCATCATTTGATCTACATCTAGTCAGAAAGAATTTGCAGTTGTAGGACTGTTGCGAAATGGATCTGAAGTCTGCTGCTCTGTTCTATTTGGGGGCGAAGCCTGATCCTGAAGCTGAAAGTAGTGACTTCGAAGAAACCAAGCTTACTGCTGACGAAACTACTTTTCAAATCGGACAATGGACAAAAACAGAACAGGAACTAGTCGCTCTGTGATAGATTTTTTCTTTAAGCTAGAATCGAAGCCCTTCATCACGACTGAATTAGGAAGCCAGCTAAGCTTCGTCGAGAATCTCGAACATCTACACCACAAATTAAAGGGCACTTATTGCTGCAACTAGATATTGTTATGCCTATCAGCTGAAAAAATTGCTAGTACACGAGAGTTGCATCACAGCATCCAAATTAATTTATATACCACTCATTTCCAAGAGACTCACTTTCTTTATGATCCTCCGCAATAATGTCCAACAAGAACATGAGGAGCACAAGAATTCAACACTTCTCTGCCCGCTCTTTAGGCAGGCAGAGAGAACCCGATAATTTGTGGACATCAAAGCAGCCATTTTTTTTTGGCCTGATTCAAGTCGCGCTTTTCGCACAGTCCTGCAACGCAGCAGCTAACTGCGGTCCCGGTTTCTACCATGCTACCCTTTCACCTGATGCGGCTAATTGGGATTCTTTGAACCGTGCAGGCGCATTAGAATCCCTTTTTGCCGGACAAAGAGATCACCTAGAAAGGCGTATATCACGCGTTGGTACCAAGTATGATGCATTTTCGCCCGAAAACACGGTGGTGGAATTGGGTTGGAACTATGATCCTGCATTATTGGGGAGTGGAGGTGACTCTATTGCGACTAGACAAGAAAGACCTGAAGGTCCTGTCGTGGATGGCGAGCAGTTCGTAGATATGTTGCAAGAGCGTAGACGAGATTTGGATGAGGTTTTTGAAAGCTTGCACAATCAAAACCCTTTTTTGGTTCACGATTTTCGAATGCCTGTCGGAGGACCAATGGCCGGAGCAGCTGCCGCCAGTGCGGCAGGCGCCAGTGTTGCTAAGCCTTCCGCATCACTAGTCTTCGAACACGGAACCTTCGTCTCTTTAGATTCTCCACTGTTACTGAAATTTTCAAGCCGATTGCTACGCGATGGACCCCTTGTTACGGCCATATCTACGCAGGACGGAGGCAGGGCGATGTTCTACTCCCTGATGTGCGAGCATGGTCGTCTGCGTGTGTCTGTTTTAGGGTCACCACTGCATCGGATGGATCCACAAGAGTTGGATTTCGCCAGCAACATCTTGCGCCATATCTCAAAGAGCCGCGTCCTTTTTCTTCGACAAGTTGTTTCCCGTATTGAAATAGAGATTGCGCCGCCTGAGGAATATCCTATTCATGGGCAAGTGGAAACGGAGTTTCAAGCTTCCATTCCAGGAAGAGGTCCTAGGGAAATATCTAGAACTTCTACAGCACAAATGATTGCAGAAGCGATGGGCGATGTGGTTTATTTTGGTCGGGAGAGAGACGGAGACGGAGCCCCTGTACGTGGAGACGGTGACGCAGATGGTGATGTGGGTCTTGGTGATGGTATGAGAGACGAAGCCATTGATGATCTCGTTACCATCCGGGCTGATGACGGCACTGTGACTCCTTCTCCAGAACGAGGTTCACCAAGAGGTCATCTTGGTCATGCCGGTCGCACAGTTGGGCCCTTGGCTGCATTATTTTTAGAACCAACATACGGCCAGCACAGTGACGAGGAGGAGGAGGAACTGCTAGAGGCTGATGACGAGGAGATTTCAGAAGGCCATGAGCCGGATTCAACTGAAGATTCTGACCTTATTTTGCGTTCGCCTTCGCGTCAACTACATGCTGAAGTGGCGAGAGACTCTCCTTTGAGTCGACGCCAAGTTTTTCAGCCTGGTGAGCTGTCAGCTATAATGTTGAATGGTATTGGCGGTGGTGACGCTGCAGCTAGGCAGGTTGAGGATCCACGTCTATTGTCATCTGGAATTGAAGATTCTAGAATTGACTCTACACAGCTCCCTAGAGGAGGCCGATCTATCCTATCTACCTCATTTTTTGGAAGGAAAGAGCCGAGGAATCAGAAGAAGCTTCTACTGCCGGAAAGGAAAGAAAGAAATGCAAGAAAGCATCAACATGCCGTTTCGCGTCGTCCTCGCAGCAAACGACCTCAGTGGCCACGCGAAGCTTGGGATGATTTGGAAAAATTCGTTGCTGAAACCTACTTAAACCCGAAACATCGTCATGCAATGCGTGCTCGTTTGACCGAGTTGAACGAACAGTTCCGAAACACTGGTGCAGATAGCTGTTCCCGTGGTGACGGCAAAACTGCGATCGTGACACAAGGAGGCGCAACAACAGACGGCCACTCTAGGATTCCGATGTACAAGCCAGAAATTCGTATGGGAGACACGGAGCTTTTCTCTGCGCCTTCGTATGCTGTAGAGCGAAAATTTTGGGGTCCGACAGACGCAGAGGGGGTCACATGTGAACTGGCCAGTACTGTAGAACGCACGTTGCTCTCTCAATTTATTTTGGGAAGAAATGGCAATCGTGGTGGCCAAGGTCAGGCTCAACACGGAGGAGGAGTTGGGGCACACTTTTCTGGAAGTGCTCAACATCTTCAAGGAATTTTGCACGAAGCACCATTTGCTACGAATCTCCGACTTGCATCTTTCCTCCGGATCGGGGCATTGCCTGAAGCCGCGGGTTCGTTTCGCCGTGCCAATGTCGGCAATGGCACGATTTTATTCTATGCTTATGCTGAACCGACTTATGATGAGGTTGCGAGGCGACTGAAAATATGTGCTCAACCTGATCAGGCGAAGCAGGCTTCTCTATCTAGAAATGTCCAGGCCGCTGAACAGGAGCAGCTGTCTATGCTAGCTCGCTTAGCATTGGCGAGGAGGAACGATGGTAAGTGAAGACATTTGCACAGCACTAGATGTTGAATTAAGGAAACAATAAGACATGACTTTTGTTCCTACTATGGTCGCTCAGCGGAAAAACTTCAGTAGTAGAGGGTACTAGGCCTACTGTTGCGTAAGACTTTGCGCCCACTGTTGAATAAGACTTCGCACAGCACTAGATTTTGAACCCGTTGGCTTCGCTCCCGCCCAGGTGACGACCACGCACTTAGACTGTTCTCGCGAAAAATAGGAGAGCAGATCTTTTTGATCTTAATTGCGGTATGCGTTCTCTTCGTCACACCTCCTTCCTAGAGCTAGAGATGAGTCATGGTGTGTCTTCTCTGAGTGGGACGAGTTTAAGTACTAAAGGAGTGATGTAAAACGGCTTTCATCTTTTCCTGAGACCTAGTTTTCCTGAGACCATTTCAATTAAGGAAAAAATGGATCTACTTATTTAGTGTAAAGGTGCTGCGTTGGTGAAGAAGTGAAGAAAAGGAAAAGATGTTGAAGTAAGTATAGAAGCGTAAGCGACTCTACAAGGCGTGTGGAATGCGTTTGGTGGCGGGCTCCGATGGCGTTCCAGGCTCCGAGGACGACGAGGGAAACCAGCCAAGATTTGAGGCGACAATGATGTGGACACGAAGCGAAATTGTGAGAGCGCAACTGTCGTGCAAAGCCCGGGGTAACCGCAAGTGGGTCGTTCTGCCAGTCGCATCGTCGAGGACTGCTTCCAGCATTGTCCGTTATCTCCGGGCCACTTGGCGTCCCGAGGCTGCGCGCGAACCGACAGAGCTGTACCGATCTCTTGTGGAGAGCACGAAGGATCGGAAGTGCGTGGAGCTTCTGCACGACGTGAGTTTCGTGGAACGCCATCGGAGCCCGCCACCAAACGTATACATAGAAACAAGTGTGGAATGCGTTTGGTGGCGGGCTCCGATGGCGTTCCACGAAACGGCTTCACGTTGTCGGGTTCGGGAAAAACGGTACTCCATCGAGTTGGCGCGGAGATGAGTCGGCACTCTGACTGTCTCTACATCAGTCTATCGCGCTACGGTGGGAGTGCGACTCACATCCCAATCTACGAGGCTGACATCACTGATTTCCGGGTGATATACCGCTGCAATCGGGAGTGGAGAGACCGCCTCGGGTCTCCCATGGCCTTCAACAGCGCCATGGCGCATAGAAAAGGGAAACTCACAGGCCTGAAGCCTTACGGAGACGCGTCGCAGGCCACCAAGGCCTCCGAGGAGGTGGACGGTCTTTTTGAGTTGCCACGCGCCTTGCTGGGTGTTTGGGTACTGCCGAATGCGGAGCTTCACTATTGGCTCGGCATTGGTACGACAGATCGACTCAAGGGAAAAAAGTGCTTCTACGTTTACAAACCAAACCGTTTGAGCCAGGTCCGACCACGGCAAATCCGACAGACAAGGAATACATGGGCGAGACGACGACACATTGCCAAATATTATGCCGATCTTTCGCAGGAGGTCGGCAGCCAGGCGCATAAAGCGGAACTGCAGAAAGCAAAAGCAATCTTCGATGGCAAAACATTTCCTTTCGAGGATGACAGTTGCATATCTTCATCTCAATCAACAGATTCAATTTGCCCAGAAGTGAATACGACGCATCAAAAACAAATGTACAACACAAGTGTTGGCGGACCTGTGAGGACATAACACTTGCACCTTGGGTTTGAGTTGGAATTTATTGAATGAGAAGGACCTACAATCTAGTCCGCTCATCATCTCGTCATTATATATGAATATATTGAATGAGTAGATTTAGATATTTGGATTACTTGATTCTTTTGGTTTTTTGTTTCCTAGTTAGCTTGGCTCCACCCGTATATTGAATGAGTAGAAGGATTCGAACTTGCAGGAGAATTTGGAATGTACTTGCTTCTTTGTGTTTCATCTCGTTGAGGATCGACAAGGATCATTTGAGATGCACTGATGATGATGCACTTCAAGAAGGGGGGGGCCTTATGCAGTAAGGCGCTTTAAATACTATTAAATATATAGTTTTTTTTCAACTATTTTTTCAGGCCTCGGCCGCCTCTGATGAGAAGACCTCCAGGGCTGTTGGACGACACGCGGCGCCTAGAATAGACGGATCCTACTTAACTTGGCCATTACTATAATTCTATACTTATATTCTTTTTACCTATCCTTACCTTTTCTTCCTAGTTAGCTTGGCTCCACCCGTATATAGTTTTTTTTCAAGATACATCCCTCCACTAGTTATTCTTTTGTTTGAGTAGTAGATGTAACGAATTTCGGTCTTCCCCGTCGGTTACAAGTACCTTGTAATACTATGTCTGATGTTTTTCAAAAGCTTTCTTTGCTGGGTCAGTCTGATTCTACAAGTTTAGATCGTCTAGACATACGAGTAGGGAAACTTCATATAATGAGGCTCAGCTCAGTTGAGGCTCTCGGAAATGACAACGAACTTGAGATCGCAACACTGAGAGCTATCTTCAATCAGCACTGAGATCTATCAATGCTGAGATCTATCAATGCTGAGATCAATCACAAGAAGAAAGATCAAACCAAGCTAGATCACTAGAAAGACCATGATACTGAGGGAAGTTAAGCAGGAAATGACTTATAGAACGGCTCATGATCTTCTATTTACGATCCAGAACAGAGATCAAGTTCAAGGAGTTGGTAGATCTAAAGCCACATAAGGCTCAAACTCACTGCGATTGCTACAGGTATGATATAAAGGGATACACGACGTCATCAAGGAGCCCTGACGTTCATGCAAAGTAAAATATTACCTGTAAACGTGAAATCTCCTTCACATTATCCAAAAGAAAAAATGTTGAGCGACAGCGTGGGTTCCTACCCTAAAAAAGGCAGAATGATCATCAACTTGTTGATGAGTGCTGGTCTTGTCCTGGCTGGAAAAGTGCCCGAGCCCTTGCCCTTCTATTCTCGGCACGTCGAAACGCATAACATGCAGAGCGGCGATACTGAGTATTCCGTCTTTTTGCACAGAGTGAAACAGTGGATGCAAGAGGCTCAACGCGCGAGGCACGACTGGCCGTGGAAAAAGCGCACTGGCATTCTCCTGTATCACGATAGTCACAGCACCGGACTCATTATCGACTGCGCATTCAACTCGTCTCCGACAAAAGGCGGTGGCAGTGGGGGCGATAAATGCTGGGCAATGACTTTCAATACAGTGGAGGCCCCCGGTGGGACCCAATTCCCGCCCGAGGGCCAGGTGGCAGAGGACTTGAATCTGGCCTCCTTCGAACTGTTTCGCATGGAGCCAGTGTACGACTTCAGGCGTATCAGCTTCGAACAGGAGCAAGAGATTGTGAAGGAAAAGCTTCTGAAGATAGCCGAGTTGCAGCGTTTGTTCGACTACAGAATCCTGGACGCGGACGGGGAGAGGGGGAGACAAGAGCGCGCGCTACGGACCATCTACTATGACGCACGCGGAAATCCCTGGCTAAGAACGATACTGCAGCCTGTAGTGCAGAGTTTTGAAGCCAGAGGAGAGTGTCATGCTAGAACAGTGGCAGCCCTGCATTCGCTACTTGGCTCTCACGGCGAAACGCTATATGACGCTCTGCACGGTGCAGCGAAACCAGTGTACGAAGAAGTTGTAACATTGGATGAAAGAAGGTTTCCCAATGACCCGGGGGAAAAGGAGGGACCTGACTGGGCTGTTCAGCGCTCCCTCTTTTCTGGCGCTGAGCCTAGCTTTCAAAACATGTCGCTTATTTCCACCGAGGAGAACCTGGAAGGACATGATCACAATGTTGGAGATCGCGGCCCTGCGATGGAAATTTCTTTCGGAAGCAACTGCAAATCAGAAGCGTGCAAAAAACGCCAGAGTGACGTGAACGATATCAAGCGATCCCTTTTTGAGAAAAATAAAATGCAGCCCGCTTCTGATGAACGGAGTATATACATAGTAGACTCCAAATCTTCAGCAATAGCGGAAATGACAAGCGATGGACAAGTGAAGCTTACCCCGCTACATCCCTGGCTTCATTTCTACCCGAATGGCACAGTAGTGTCGTTCGCGAGGACGGTAAGGAAGTTTCTCAGCGCTTCAAATGAACAGCTCGCAAAGCTAGGCTTTTCCCCGAAGGTTGGAGCCGCGCCCAAGTGGCACGGAAATAAGCTTTGGCAAGACGAGGACTTTTGCCAGTTTGCGGCGCACAACAATCCTTATGTTGTTGTTACAACTAAAAAGATGTTTTGATTTTTTCGTGTCCCGTCGTGCAGTGTTTGCACTGTGCCTCCACACTGAGCATACTTTTGTTACTTTTACGAGTGGGTTAGTTGTATTCTCCTTGAAAGAATGTTGATGAGTGTTTAAAGCGTTTCCCTCCTTCTAGATCTTCTTAATAACGTAACATTCTAAGATATTTATTTCGCGCCTAGGGAGAAGAGGGTGAGACCGCCAGATGCAGATCCCAAACGTAATTGGCGTGCAGGAGCGCCTCCTGGTTCTGACGATGACTTGTCCATGTTCGATTACGCAGTGAGACTGGCACAGTTCGTTGCTTCGGAGATGTACCGCACAAAGCGCAGCTATCGTGTCCACCAGTTCGTTCCGTTTCCGAAGGTGTTCGAAAAGCCGATCACGGTAGATGGAGCAGAAAATACACAGCGCGTCAGCGATTACGAGTTAGGCGGCGATGATGGGGAACTAAATGGGAAACTAACTCTCAGATTTTGGGGCGATTTCAAAGATGCTTCCTCAGGGGGCAACACTCCAGGCTTGACGGTGCCACAACTTGCTGAGAGAAAGCCACGCAAACTTTCTCCGGTTTCAAGGCGCTCTCGTCGTGCTCTCCCGCCCAGTCTTAAAGAACTTCAAGGTACTGTGGAGAGTACACGTGCAACCATTCGCGCTATGGATATGTTTTTAGAGCGTGGAACGCCTGCAGCTCCTCTTGGAACGGCGCGGCACACGTCTGCAGCTCCTCCTGGTTCAGTGAGTGAAACATCTACAATTATGCGGCACACGTCTGCAGCTCCTCTTGGAACGGCGCGGCACACGTCTGCAGCTCCTCTTGGAACTGCGCGGCACACGTCTGCAGCTCCTCCTGGTTCAGTGAGTGAAACATCTACAATTATGCGTCACACGTCTGCAGCTCCTCTTGGAACGGCGCGGCACACGTCTGGAGCTTTCGATGGAGATCGCAGGCTTTTTTTTGGTTCTTCATCTGGTGGAAATCAGCCTCAAGCTTTTCAGAATCAGAACCAAGTTGTAGATGAAGTGCCGAGGACCACTTCTCTGTCTCTTGGTCACCAACAAGGTGTCGTGTCCCGGTCCTCTGGTGGTAGTTCTCCGCCACAGACCGGCTCTCGCCTCGGTCTCTGGCTGGGTCTGGGTCTCGGAGTTGGTGGAGGATTGGCCTCTATTGGCATCTTCGTGCTGTGGTTTTGCTTTTGCAACAAGGCGTGAGAGAGCTCAGCTACTAACTTTCGATTGGACCACTGCTTCTAGATGTATTTTTTTCGCCAAAATTTACATTTTGTCATTTTTAGCGTGTTCCATTTATGGTTGTGTTTAGTCGAACTAGATACGAGGCATTTGGTATATCTAACACGTCATAGCTTGTGTTTCCCTGCGACTTGTCGCTATGCCTCTGCCCGTTCGTACTATCTAAACACAGATCTGCTAAATTGCTAATTGACTGTTTCTTTTGTTTCTTTTCCCACATAACTACCCGGAAACAACCAAAAGAAAAAGTAAATATCTGGTGAAAAACGGTGATCTCCTCAAATATAAGCAAATAAATGTTTAGATTTAAAGTTGTCGATGTCCATGCAAGCTGCTAAAAAAGATGATGCTAATAGTTCCAATGACATAAAGAGGACGCCTGGTGTTGCAATAGTTATTTTCTTTCTCGGTACTTCATTAAATTTTCTTGCGCCTGCAACTGCATATAAATACCTTTCTCCTTGTCGATAGTCTTCTTCGAATATTTTCCTTCTCTAACTACTGCGCTTCAGGATGTGGCGGGGCACTCGGTGGGAGTGATCAGCTAGTGAGGGTTTGGATGTTTAAAGAAGCTCGCAGGAAGTTCATGCAATAGTCGACCCGTTGTCCGACAGCTCTCGACTAACCAAGCACTAACAATAGCATCAAGATAATCAAAAGCCTTGAATTTGAAGGGAAAAATGACTTGTCGTCGCCAAAGATAAAAAAAGCTGCGCACTAGTAGCCTGGGAAGAAGAACGAGAAACTGGTGGTGGCTTGAAGAAAAAGTGTCCGCTTTCTGCGGGGATGATAGTCGAACTTTTCGCCTCGGTCTTGATTTTTGTATTGTAGAAGCAAACGAAAACGAAAGTAGTGGAGATAAAAGGTTTTAGAAGTAGAAAAAGGGTGTTGCGGTAGAGAAGATGCTACTGTAGAAAAAGAAGGTGAGAGTAAGAAGAAAAGAGAAAAATGAGGAGAGTAATCCAAGTCACCACGAGTCTCGATTAAGTTCCTCATGTTGCGAAGCTGGTGCGCTTATGTTGGATGATGATGACGATGGTGTCCAGATTTGGATCTTGATGGTAGATGTTACTTGATCTAGATTAAGTTCTAGATTGTTGTTGTCCTCTTGGAGCCATGGGTTGACACCTAATTTAGGACACATTGACGTTTTATTCGTCAGTACAAGTCCTTCCTCCCCGAGGTAGTTCTTAAGTCGTGTCCTGGATCACCTGACGAAAGAGTCTTACGATCTAACACCGTCGAACTTCAGAAGAATTGACTGGACCACTCTAGAGCAGGAATGGAGATGCTATTTGTCTGAAAGTAGAATCTTGCTACTTCCTCGCGATTTTATTGAAGTTGTGACTGTGGCTGATCTTGTCCCTTGGTCTCCTGCGACGAAATATTAAATGCTTCGACTCTTTGTCTGTTCGTTGCACAGGAGTGTGTCGATTTCCGTTTTCTCAGAGACGGATGCGGTGCGGGCGCTTATGATTCTACACTGCCTTCGTTCGTAGAGCGAGGAGTGTTTTGGCTCAGTAAGTATTCGGTTTGGAGGATACACTTAAGTACTTGCAAGAAGACGAGCTTAGATAGAGAAGATACAACTCACTTACTTGCAAGAAGACGAGCTTGGATAGAGAAGATACTCTGAGCAGAAGACGAAATTGCCAGTTCAGTGCGAGACCTTCTCTGAAACATGGGACATTAGAAGACTACGCAGATCCGCGTGGTCTCCAGCAATACGCTTCTACGCAGAAGTTGTTGCTGAGCAGAATGGTAAACGATCGCGAACAATATGTAAGCCGCGTAGGAACGAGAGGTGCGAAAGCGAATGGTACGACACGGACACCAGGATCAGCAGTTGTTAACACAGAAAATCAGAGTAGAACCTTGTACCAGACACGGAAATAGAGACAACGACATACACGTGATTTGTTTAGGATGCCGCGGTCCAGCTTCAGAAGTGTGGACAGCCTGTGGGGCGAGAACCGCGACCAAAAGCTATCAACAAGGTTGCCAGTGCATTGCTGGTGGATGTAGCGCCCTTTATGTTGTTGTTTGTTGTTGTGTGTGCTCCGGAGACTCGATAATGTTAGAGCTATCCTGCTGCTGTACAAGAAAAAGACACTTCTTCACATACTTATCATGTGCTATAAGCGCTATATGCTATGTGATAACTTATGTGGAGGTAACCCATTGGAGATTGTTTATATGGGATCTCAATCCGTCGCAATCTAATCCTAGGGAGTCCACAAGCCACTTATTATAGACGGCTTTTCAGGAGAGACTTGCAGTTGCGACATTTCCGAATATAACATTCCACATACGTGATGCTTTCGATGCAACACGTCTGACAGAAAATTTTGACGAATGGCTCGACCCTACCAAGAGATTGAATGTGATTTTCATTTATCGTTGTGCCTGGGACGCCGGTCAAGACCGAAGCCGCAATTGGTTTCAAAAAATGCTCAGATCTGGAATGGAAGTGGAGATATATTTTGTCTCTGATGCAGCGCAGACACTGCGGACGCATTTCAAATTGCTTCATCAGAGCCAAAACGAACACCCACTTGGCACCGAGCCATCGTCTTCCATGAAAGACGAACGTCTAAACATCGAACTTTTTACCTAGAATTCACAAGGGAGGGACGGGTGCAGGGGGGTCGAGATCATAAGCAGGAGCAGCGAAAAGAGGACTTATGATTCACACTCAGGCCCGAGGAAGGAGAACAGTGACGTGTATGCTGGTGGAGTCAACAGAGTGAGGAGATGGTCATTGTTCTTCCAACATAATCTCTCTTGTACGGAAAAAACACAGGAAAGATCACACAGACTGACCCATAATGCCCGTGGTTGAGAGTACTCTGCGCTGTAGTTCTCCATAATATCGATGTTTTTCAAATTTTTTGTTCCTCGAGAGAGTGTCCAAGGCTTCTTGCGTATATTATGGCAACAAGTGTACTAACTAGAGTTTGATGCGTTTTCAGTTCCAAAAGGATGGAGCTGCTGGTCGTGCCAGGAGTACTAGCACCGCTGCCATGCAGGCCTGCTGGTAGACACACGACTGGTGGGTGTCTTCCAGTGTGCTGCTATCGGAAGAACGTTTGGGTCTAGAAGTAGACACGTTTGCAACTAGATCCTGACTTGCTCGCGAGAGGAGACCGGAAGATGAGCATCCCTGGTGTGCCCAATTCGCCAAGTGGCATGCCCATGAGGCGGCAGGTAAAGAGGGATACGACCGAATTTGAGGACTATTTGAGCGGGCAATCGTATGTGGCTCACGTTTCCTTCGCATTTCGGTCTGGGCTAGACGGTCACAACTACGAAAGCGAACCAGACGCTTTTGCGGATTGGATACGGGACCACCTCTTTCTCGAATCCATAGACTTGAGAGGAATAGTTATGGAGGTATGTATCAATTAAATTTAAGAGGAATAGTTAAGGTCCACTGATTATTTGACAGGGATACTAGTTTTAGTTATGGCTTGCTTCTTCTCGTGCTTTCTAGAAGCAAGTGTGAAAATGTACATTGACGATGACGAGGCAGCACCACCACACCACCAATCCCTCTCTCTAATCTCAAGCCGACCAAAGATGAAGTCCTCATCAAAATTGGCAAGGGCTTGGCAGGGAATCGATCGATCGCATGTCTCAATTTCACGCACAACAACCTTGGGCAGAAAGACGTCAGGGGGTTTCTTCTGGCCTTAGCGGAAAACGTAAGCATCTGGAGATTGGAGTTGCACAAAAAATAAGGCTGCCTCTAAGAAATAGACCTAGGTATAACTCATTAAGGCCAGGAGAACCTCTCAGAAAAAGAAATACTTACAAGTAGGCGCAACTAGAAGAAGTCATCTTCTAGTTCTATTACTAGGCTACTTCCACACTCTTAGGCTTATCCCATGCAACAATCTTCTATTACTTCTAGGGTCTACTAGAGTGATTCTTGACATATCATCTCTAAGCAATCCAGATCGACGTGAATGGTGCGAAAGCAATTGCTGAGTTTATGCGGGAGAATGTCGGCGTGACGCACTTAAACCTGAGCCATAATCCTTTGATCGGCGAGGAGGGCGCGCGGCATATACTTGATTATGGAGTAGCACTTTTGTTTGTTTGAAGAATGCGTTCGCTAGCTTAGTGTGCATTCAAAAACAGCATTCTTCAAAGACACTTATTAAGTTCGCTCTGTTTTGAATGCACTCACTAAGTAGCTGCTACGGAACTCCTGTGCGTTTCAAAAACAGCCGTTAATTCTACTTTTTGGAAATTCAACTTCGACTTTTGTTTCTTTGAAGAATGCGTTCACTAACTTGGAAAAATGCGTTAACTAACTTTTATTTCTTTGAAGAATGCGCTTGAGGACAACGACAAGAGTAGTTTTCACTACTCACACTCACAAGCATTGAAGTTGAACAAGATGCATTCCCCCTATCCCCACTGAACGATAGCCCCTTTGCCTCATGAATAGGTAAATCAATCAATCAATCAATCAATCAATCAATCAATGAATCAATCAATGAATGAATCAATCAATCAATCAAGCTGGGAATCAATCGCGGCATTATTTGTCATCCTTTCGGAAACAGACTAGTCCATACTAGATCCAATCAATCGTAAGGAGTCTACTTTCTCTAACAACAAGCATTTGCAGAGAATGGTTCTATCTATGTGATGAAATTAGCAGGTTGCAATTGCGGAGAGGAACTGTTGGCTGCTATCAATAGATGCTGTCGACGAAATCGCGCTGCTGTAGCTTACAAGATGGAAGCTGACGCGCCGCAGGAGAATAAGTACCACCGCTTTTTGAGTGAAGATTCATCGGTTCTGTGTGTACTTACTTCACCTTCCTTCTGTGATGTGTACTCTCCTAGTACGCGGCATAGGACACAACTTTGCGATTGTATTTCTGTTGTATTCATTCCTCTTCTTGTACGAAAAGAACAACCACTGCACCAATCGACAACCTTGTAGGGAAGACGACGCTGAAGACGCAGAAAACGAAGAAGAGGAGGAGGAAGAGGAAGACGCACAGGGGGATCCTGATAGATTAGAGGGTGAAGTTGCTGCTGAGGGGGAGGAAGGTGGAAAATCAAAAAATTATGAACATGGTCATGATGGTCATGGTGTGTCTAGTAGAGCTAGAAGAGGAAATCTCGCACAAGAGTACATGATTGTCTCCACGCTCCAGTTATCTCTCACTGAAGATCTTGCTCAACGTTAGTAAACGTGTGAGAGGTTTGAGTTTGACACGATTAGGACCAGATCGCCGCATTTTCCTTCTCCAACCACTACTCCTTCTCTAACTATCAGCAAAAAAGAAGCGATCCATAGGTTCGGTCACTGCGAAGGACGACACAGAACTACTACCCATGGAGACCATTTACGTCCTGACCGACCAAAAGTTAGGGCTTTCAATATAGGACCCATCTTATTTTGGGACTGGGAAGAAAGTGGTGCTGGTCGTGGAGTTCGATAGTATAGGACGTTAAAAAGGTCGTAGAACGTAGGATCTTCATTCACGATAATTTTCGAGGCACTAGTCCACTCATGTATTCAATTATAACCCTCATTCCCATCGACCAGTTGAAAATTTTCTATGTGTAAGGATCCAGGAGTACTAACAACTGTTCTTTCATCACTTTCTAAGGATAAAGCGCGAACAGGAAAGATTAGACGACGCTACCTTCTACGAATTCCTCGCCGAATATTTGGACGCCCTACTCGTGGACTCCAGGAATTTCGAATCCGAAGAAAAAAAAGCTCTAGCCAACATAGAAAGGGACAGTGCCGCTTTCGCCTCTAGGGAAAAAGAACATGTTCAGAAAATCAAAGGTAGTAGTTGTACGCACCACGTATTTTGAGTGTTTTCGGTGGTAAAAATGAAACAGATGTTTAGAATCCGTGTAGACCATCTACGACGCCCTTATGGCAGTCTGCACTGAACTTTAGCCATTTTGGCTCAAGATGAAGAGTAAGATCAAAATCAAAACATCATCAACTAAGTGACGAAAGGACGTGGACTCGTTCTCACTCCAGTAGGCACGACAGTTGTGACACGGCCAGGGAAAAAGAACATTAATTGTATTGTGCGATAAACATGCAAGCTCTTCCCTTTCGGATAAGCATGGCACTACAAAAAAAAAAAGCGAGATTAATTGTATTGTATTGTATTGTACAATCCGATCTTCCACTCCCACCAGCACCAAAAAACCTCGAAAAAATCCAGATCTCGAAGGGGGTATTTTCGAACTGTCAAAAGAGATGCTTGTCTGCCGAAAGATGCTCGAATTAGACAAGGTCAAGCAGAAAAAGCTGAAAGAATCAAGGCTAGAGTTACGGCTTGTTGCTTACTTTTGCGTGTACTTATGACATAAGTAACAGCTCCTTCTTTCAAAAAGTTCTTCTAATGCCTCTCCTGCAATTGATGGCTTCGGAGGAAGAGACCTTCAGTGAGAAGGTGGAGAAACTTGAGCTCGAACTCAAGTGTGTGGAGAAAGAGCGCGTCAACTACGAGGTGCAGACGAATATTGTCCTAAAAGATCTGGACATCGTCAAGACCGAGAACAAAAAACTACGAGCACATATTCGGAAATTTCAAGAAGATATTTCGGAAATTGTGGGGCAGTAGTGATGGTAGAAGTCTCTTTTCTCTATTTCTTGCGGGGGATGCGTCCCTGTGCAGCGTGGTGGCGGAGCACGGGACAATGAGGATTCTGGATGAATCCAAAATAATAGCGTCTATTGGCTTTATTGCTCTCTCATGATGTCATGCCCAGGATTCCTTTTTGTGTACCAGATTCTTGGTCGATTTCCTATACTCATTTACTTCTCTTCAATTTCATCAATTATACTACTTCTAACAGCAACCAAACAACACAACTCGTGTACCACTGTTATTTTGATTCCTTATCGATTGCAACTGCTCGTTCCTGCATGAAGTACTTGTCAACAGATGTTATTCGGAGAAACCACTTGCGAAGATCGATGCGCGGTGGTGCCAAGAAAGAACTCATTTTTGCTGAAAGCAGAGTGTCCACCTGCCCTACGCCAAGAGTCGCTACCTGACGGAAAGAACGATCAAAATAATTTTAGCGTATTCTATAGGGGGTTAGCCCCGTCCATAGCCGGCAGCTTCTCGGATAAACATGCAAGCTCTTCCCTCTCGGACAAGCATGGCACTACAAAAAAAGGGCGGCTTTTGCCACTGCGCTCGGGATTGAGAGCACTCAGTGGCTCAAATAAGGAGGTAGTTCTTTATAACATGCTTGCTCCACTTGCTCCCATTACAGCATCTATGATTCACTACCTTGTTTCCCTCAAGAACAAAATGTCATGAACGACTGTCTTTTCGCTTGCGGTGTGGTGGTGGCGTTTAGGGCGGTCGTTGGAGTCGTAGAATGCCAGATGTCGGATTGGTTTCGACCTGAAGCCAGACGGTTCTTACGTGCTTGGGGCGTCGCACCTTGCGGGTTTTTAGGAGTGGAGAATGAAGAGCAAACAGGAAACGCGTGAAGATAGAGACTTGTCAGCCATGTTGAGTCTAGGGTGATATTCAATTTGGATGACTCTGAAGAAATCCAGCTTGTCTTTCCTGAAGAATAAATCTAACTTCGTTGTCAAGTATAATTGCCATGTGAGTGAAATAGTGTTCATTGTGATGGCCCAACGAGTAGAAAGTGCAAGTTCAACAAGAGATATTATAAGAAGTCGTCCACGAGAGTGAATATTGATGGCTTGAGCGACTGAGGGCCTACAGGAGAGTCTCCAATTATTTGAGCAATCTTTTGAAGCGACCGCTTTTTTTTAGGTGTGATCCTTGTGTTGTGATAGATACTACACCCAAGTATGCGGTACCTCCGCGTCAGTTGACCTCTTTCTACGTTTTGGATATTTAAGTACCTAGGTTTCACGATTAGTTAGATACCGACGCAGAAAAAATCTTTAAAAGTACTGAGCAAGTACAACGAAGTATAATAGGACAGATTATTGATATTCTGAAGAGTTTCATTCGAAGTCAAAGTCAATTGTCGCTATGCAACACATTCGGTTTCGTGTTTCTTTTAATTTAGATGTCATCGGAAAAGCGCAGGAACGACTAATTGTACGCGTTCCATGGCTTTTTCGCAAGTAACTGAACCCTTAAGGACGTTGTGCCACTATGTATATACAGAGATACCACATAGAAGAGAATTTAATTTGTGTACAGTGTGCGTGTGTGTGTGTGTGTGTGCAGTGTTGATTAAAATTGGACAGGCTTTCACTCCAAAGTTTTAATGTAAAAAGCAGCCTGCTTGATTGTTTACTTCTACCATAAGGAGCAACGAAAGATGTCGATGCTTCACCTGTTAATGTTAGGTGACGTGAACGAGGAGTGCCTGTCTTGGCAAGCCCGTTCGAGCATTCTAGCGGCTGCTGTCTGCGGACTACTATTGTTGTTATGAATGGCTCTTCCGAGAAGGAAACAGCACAGATTTCTACCTGCAACAGCCTAGTATGTAACAGAGGTTTCTAACTCATCAAAGACTCAATTTCCTTGTAGTTTTGCGGCGGTCAAAAATAACGTTTGTGAGTTTCATCTTCTAATCTTTCTCCTTGTCGTTGGCAAGCTCGGAGTGGACATGGGATACGCCAACCTGTTTGCGTGGCATCCAATCTGCAACGTTACTGGGTTTCTTTTCATGTCCGCTGGCTATGTTTTGGTTGCAGTACCACGCATGCGCTTCGGGAGTGAAAACACGAGGAAATATTTGCATTTGAGTACTACTTCGGAGTTTGGGCTTGCTCGTGATGAATCTGAGAAGCTTCGATCGCCATCACCACCACCTACCTCACAGTTTTTCAAATACTATACCTCGTGGTGATTCTTCGCACTATTCCACTTCACAGGTTTTCAATTACTAGTACCCCTCGTGTTGATTCTTCGCATTATTGTACTTCACAGGTTTTCAAATACTATCCCTCGTGTTGATTCTTGTGGGTGTTAGTTTTATTTGGCGAAATCACGCAAAGATGGGCAAAAGCCAAATCGGATACAACGGAGGACAGTGGGACCCATTTTTGCCGAACTTGCTGCATTTATGAATCCGACGTGGTTTTCTAATCCGAGTGAGTCTCGCTATAAAAAGCGAAGAGATCATGCAGATACTGATACTGCGTTTTTCTCATTATCACCGCGTGGTCACCGGTATGACCACTAGCGAGCAAGAAAAATCTCAATCCCAACCATACCTCTAATCAAAATGCTTTCCGGCTATACTCTTCTCGCCCTTCTGATCGTACCACAACTCGCCGGCGGCGTAGGTAGAGCGATTCCTAGTGCGATGCCTCCACTTCCTAGCAAATTGGAGTGGCCGTCTTGGTCTTTTGAAGAGAAGCAAGCAGCAGATGCCGAAAGAGGCTTGCTTACTACACCGGCAATAAGTGCTGGAGGAGATGGTGAAAAGAAAGGAACGGCGGCTGCGGTCATGAGGAAAGTGGGAAGCTTTGTGAAATTTATGGCAACATTTGCATTTGGTTTTGAACTCACTTGTCTGATTAGAAAGGTCTAAAAATACAACGAAGCCGCCTATTTCTCTCACCTCTCAATTCTACTCCACCATGCCCTCTGCCCCCTTCTAACCTCTGTCTCTACGGCGTGGCGTATTGGCGACATAAGAATATGGCACTTGTGATCTACTCGCTGTGTGTCTTGTGCCTGCTGACTGCACCATGGCCACCGACGTGGGGCTTCGCCTCAAGTATGACCATGAAGACGCTCTCTCTGATGACAGCGACCGCAGTACTGCTTGCGCGATCAGGTTTAGGTGCAGGGATAATATAGTGAACAAGTTTTGACGTTGCGGGTGTGCAGATTATATGCCATTATTTATACGTTCTAGTCGACAATATGAAGAGCATCTGATTCAGAAGCGAAATAATCATCGTCATCTCACCCCATATTCATCATCATAGCTACATTTACGTAGGAGAATGAGAATTTCGAGATTTCTCTCTCCTAAGGATTTAGAATGTAGTCTGTTTATTGACTCCACAATATTGTGAACAACGATGAAGATGATGTTCATAGCGTTCTCTAGGATAGCGCGCGCGTAGTGATAGTGTCATGACGTTTGTGTGACCATTTTTCAGTGTTTGATGCTTTAATGAGCAACGACTGCGCCACAGCCGTAGTTGTTAGTTTTCAATGAGTCATCAATATTATAGGGATAGAGTTTTTGCTAGTACGTACTTGTGTAGAATAGTACGTACTAGTGTAGAAACCCTATCATACTATATATAACTCTCACAGAAGTTACCAACTGCTCGTATGCGTATCGTGTGTAGTGATGGATCACAGAGCAGGAAACTTCTGTATGTGTGAAGTAATCGTGTGAACATCAAGGAGTCTCGACGAGGTTGGTCTGCAAGTTTTCACAGGATGAAACTTAAAGTTATCATGTGGCGCTCGCTATGCGGAAGAACCCTCGCGAACAACGTGAGACTCAGTCGCAGAAGGATGTCACTCGGTCACGTCGCATGAAATACCTTCGTGAAAAAGTGTCGTTCAGTAGTTTTATAGACGATAATTCGGTGTGCCACGTCGGAAAACATTGTCGGACGTCCATCTTAATATCTCTTCCTCCGTGTCCTCTTCCCCACTGTGCCTCTTCCCGATTGTCCCTCTAAGTATGCAAGTATCGACGCTGCTACCATTGAATACAATAAGAAGAAACTTGTATTCTTTCAGTAAACACTAGCAACAGGACTATCGATGAGATGTTGTAGAAGAGCAACATACGACGTTCTTTCAAGAATTGGAATAGTAGTTTGTGAGTGGCAATTAAGACAACGTCTGGGAAATCTTAGGCAGATCGCCAAGACAAAGAGAATGAGAGGAGCACCACGTGGACCTCCAAATGACGCGGCAAAACGCGTGATTAGAAGCGAGACGCATCCTTTGCCGGTCTCCTGGCTCGGTAATGCTGAAGATACCTTGCTACGGGGAGTGGGCCTGAGCATGGCACCCGGCAAAAGACTGCCGAATGGAGGCCGTGATGGCAGTGTCTATTTGCGGAGTTTGGACAAGGATCTCGAGCATTTTTATGATAAGACCTCCAGGGCAGATGGACGACAGACGGCCCCTAGAATAAACGGATCCTATACTAGATGGCCAATTTTTGCTAGTCCTAATATATATACCTCTTCCTTTTTTTCTATCTTTCGTCCTAGGTAGGTTTGCTCCACCACAAATAGTGATGGCACTTAAAACAACCGGTTCGTTTTCTCTCTACTAACCTTCGAGGCTTATCCACCCTTCATGCAATTTATGGTCATGAAATGTACAACTTAGTTGCACTAGAATGCTTCTCAGTCAGTCAGTATTACTTACTACATCAGGACTCTCGCCATCTAATCCACGCGCACTGGCGAAAACGTTCACCTCGTAGTATGCCTTCTTTCGCCTTCAGAGCTTTCCTGTCTGGGCGTACGCATTAACGATTATCGCCGTTGCTGCCAAACTCTAGGTGTGCAGTTGGATGAGTCTCTAGCTACAGTAGAAATGGCCGCTTTTTCTGACCTGGAAGCGGTGCATGCGGCTTGTAGAACTATGGCAGAGGTGTTAGGGAGGAAGAGCGGCTTTTCCAGTACGAAGAATCTTGAAAGAAGCGTTGTTCCTGCAGACCAAAGCAAGGCCATCAAGATGAACACGAGGACGAATGTTGACCTTGTCAGCGGTCTCAGTGATGCAGAAAGAGTAGATGAAGTAGTTTCTTCATCAAAGCCCCCTTCTTCGTCTGACGAGGAACGGTTCACGACAGCGTCATCGCAAGCTGCTACCTCCGATGAAGATGGCGCATTTGCTAGTTGTGCTGAGGACACGTTCAAGGGAGACGAGGAACTAGTACTAAAGGTAGACCTCCAGGTAAAAATAGATGGTGGTCAATGCAAGACAGAGACAGTGACAGAGGTGGAAGACCTCAAGAACACCAATCCCGTGCCAACAACTGAGGGAGGAGAGGAAAATAGGATTGATGCCTCTCAGCAGGAAAAGTCCTTGGTCGAGCACTCGCAGAAAGACAAGAAAATCCTTATCCATTGTCGTGGAGGATTAGGACGTACGGGGACCTTGGCTGCATGTCTCTGGCTTTTTCTGCGTCTTCTTACTACGCGGAGTTTGCCAAAGAGTAAAGAAGCTATAGCTGTGATACGAGGATTTCGACCAGGCAGCATTGAAAGTCGAAAACAAGAGGACTGCGTCGCAGCTTTTAGAAAGTATTCCTATTGTTCTTTACAACTTAAAGTATGTTGGAAAGTAGTAAGTTGTACAACCCCTATGCAGTAGAGATTGTATTCTTGAAGGCAACTTCTACAACACCACCACAGATTTCTCTTGACCAGAGGACTGGCGGCGCCGCCTTCTGCGCCATCGACTGCGCCTCTGGAGCGATCCTGCGTGGCGGAGGACAACAAGCCTTCAAACATCATCGATAGAGGAGATGACACTGCTCAGCCGGTTCCCACAAGGAGCTCTTTGCCAGCGGATGCACAAGCTGCATCTTCAGTCGTTCTCACAGAACAAGCATTTTCACTTGTTCCACCAGAACAAGCATCTTCACTTGTTCCACCTTCAGTTCTTGTACCCTCAAGACCCTCCTCTCGCGGCGCACTAGGCGCGCTGCGTACAAGGCCTAACTCGAAGACCACGACAACGAGTATGAGTGTGAACAACCTGACTTTCGCTGGTGTCTTGGAGATAGAGAATCAACATAGTAGTTCTCCGACTAAAGCACCCTTCAGGACTGCGCCTTTTCTAGGCTCGTCTCCGCTCCTTCGTTCCCTATCAAGACAACGAGGAGGAAGACAGAAATCTCCGAACAAGGTGTTGGACTCTTCTTCTACCTTGCGACAGACTGGAGGTCGTGGTGGACAGCAGTCGTTGACCATGTCGATCCGGGGCAACACTTCCACACTGTAAACGCACTACCGCGAGGACTTGCCACACTGCAAGTACACAGCGCCACGAATCATCGCTCGCCAGCAAGGCTGATGGCTCACAGTGATCGCTCCGAACGATGTAGCGGTGGGTCCAACGATCGCCACGGCACTGATTTGTGGCATGGACCGAGGGTGACTCCGCTAGCCTGGCACTAAATGCGCTGATGCAGGACCTCATCGGGGTCCGGAAAAGTAGCACGTGCACACAACTACAACAGGCAACACTTCTCCGACGTCAATCGTCCTAGAAACTGTCATACGCGCCACATCACAAGAATTAAGGCCTACCCTAATCCATCTTCCGAAGCATCTGGAAGAGGCTTTTCAAGGGGAAAAGGGGACCCGGATGCTTCTCGGGATGGATTAGGGTGGGCTCTAAAAATAGAGGCTCCTCACATAATCACAAGAAGGCTGGAGCGATCTGCCTGACACAAGATAGACTGAAAATGGACTCGGAAGTGTACAGGCTTTACAGTACAGACACGCGAACGCGCTGCGGCTCTTGTCGTGCAATGACACGTGTGTGCGAACATCTAGTTACTTGCACTCGCGAACCTGATTTCGCCCCTTTCCTCCACACGCAAGAAAAATTCCCTTTACGCGACAAGCAGAACTTCTAAATTTCTTGAAGAAAGTATACCACAGGAAGTAGAACATTTTTGTTGCTATTTCATCGCAAGTCAATGTGCAAAAGATGAAGGACGAGGATGGATGATTAGCGGGTCACATGTTCAAGCGATGTCCCATGATTTGGGGCGAGGTTGTGGCAGAAAAGCGGAAGTATTTTACGAGCAAAAAACGAGAGAAACGAGAGTCAGGAAGGGCGCATAGCATTCTAGAAGAAAGGGAAAAGGGGTCGTCTAGGGTTCTCAATCTTGTTTTTTTTTGTTGGCCTGATTTTTTGTTAGTCTGAACTGTTGGCTGGTATAGAAGCTGCTCGTTCTTCATCATTTTCGTCTATCAATCTCTTCCAAAAGCTGGTTCAGATTTCAGATTTTTCTGTCGCCAAACAAGTGCACCAACAAGCTGTTCTCTTCGTCTGACCCATGCTCCGCATGAAAATCAAAATTTGCAATTCAGAAGTAGAAGCAGTAGCAGCAAGAATCGGGGATCGTGCGACAGCACAGTTAGAAGTCAGTAGCTTCCATCATCAAAGAGAACACAAAATAAAAAGATGCCTTCGTCTCCCTCTCGTTTCGGCCAGAAGAATTCCGGCACAAGCGCGAAACGCGCTAAGTTGGATGGGACGGTGTATCGAGGATTTCATCTCGCTCAAGGAGAAACCGATAAAGCAAAGTGCACTGGCTGGATAGAGTGGAGTAACTCTTTGAAGAAGTATGTTTATGGCTGACTAGGAACAATACGACATCATTGTATTTGTAAATGTTCATCTGCTTAAAAAGCGGAGCTGCTTGTACTGGTACTAGCACCAGATAGACACCAGCTCACTAAACATCAATCTTCTTCATCCCAGCTTTTTATGCGCTAAGCGTTTTTTCTTCTTCATCTAATTTCTTTTTGCTAGCTCAGCGAAAGGCGAAAACGCAAGTGCAGGACCGGCAGGATCAACCTCGAGCACGACTGTCGAGGCTAGTACTACAGCAACAGCAACTTCAAGCAGTGTCGCTACAAATCAGGCAGATGTAAAGAGCACAACTACAATCGAGGCAAGCAGCACATCAGCAGCGGCAGTGTCTAGTACAACGGAAGCGAAGACTACTTCGGGTTTTGAGTTCACTGGTTGTGATGCTGGCTATTGTCCTTCGGATGAATTTACAGACGAGGACTGCGTTTCATCTGAAGATGAGGATGAGAATTGATGACATTTAGTCACCTAGTTAATGTCTGAACGTTCGATATTTCAGAATTGTGATGCACTTACCAGCAATAGGATAGATTCGCATGTTAGTAGAAATTTTTCAAAGAAATACAATTTGTTGTGACAACTCATATTTTGTTGAATTAATCTGTGATCGGATTCGCTTGTTGAAATACTTGTTGATTATAGGAGGTTTAGGTAGGTGCCAAGACTGGCAGTAAGAACGGAGGTACAAGGTGAAGTTTGAACTGGAACATGTGAAATTGTTGTTAATGAAAACGCGTATGTAGAGTTTGTTGTCGCGATGATTGAGGATTTTTACTGTGGTTTGACGACGTTTTCGCTTGTAACAAAGGTGGGTGAAGAAAAGTCATATAGGCTACAACGGGCGTAATAACCAAGAAAGAGGTACTTAGCCCGCTCGAAACTGCACTATCTATAATAATGTTCTTCTTCACCGTTCTTCTGTCCCTGGTGCGTAGCCAAAGAAAACAAACTGGGAGAGGCATTAAAAGCTGTTGAAGATTCGAGGAAATTTTAAGTACAGCAATGAGTGATGGGTCGGACTCGGACTCGGAGATGAATCAATGACTCCTAGAACCAACACTTAATCACCACAATGACGGGCCTTGCTCAACAAGCCGATAATTCGTTCCCTGCCGCCGCTTACGGTACCTACAAAGTTGGACGTAGTAGTGGAGATTCAACGGACCCAGTAGCTGTCGAGAGTGCCATAAAGGCAGCTTTAGATGCTGGATATCGTTGTTTTGATTGTGCCCAGTTCTATGAAAACGAAAAGGAGATTGGCGAAGTGCTGTGGAAACACGCCAATCGAGAAGAGATTTATGTGATTAGCAAGGTACTATTACTATGAGCTTTTTCTAAACGAGAAGAGATGTATGCGATCAGCAAGGTACTTCTGTCATTTTGATTTCTTTGCCTTTGTTTCTGCATTGTTCACCAATAAATATAGTTTTAACTACTTGATTCGACTTGAAATTGAATTACACAGCAGACTGACTCTATCAGATTGCGACCAAAAAAGGTGTGGACTACCACGGTCTACGAGGGACCGGAAGCAGTTTTGAAGCAGCTTGAGCAGTCTTTAAAGGACTTGCAGATAGGCTACGTAGATCTATACCTGATCCATTGGCCAGTACCAGGAAAACACGTCGAAGCGTATAAAGCGCTTCAAGGTTTTTTATGGCAACTGAACTGGATCTTTGTGATATGTTTTTTTTGAGTGCATAGGTTTTTTTTGACTTTGAGAGCAAGACGCGTTGTAAAATTAACCTTTATGTTTTTCCTCTAATCCTCGTCGGCCCTGACAAGAAAATTCGGCGCTTAGGGCTCTCGAATTACACGGTCCTCGACTACCAGGAGTTGATGAGCGCAGAGGGAATTACCGTAACGCCGTACAGCAACCAGTTCGAAGTGAATCCGTGGCTATATAGGAAAAAGACTATTTTTATGAAAAACAAGTAAATTGAAAGTAAAAGTAATGGTTGTTCTTGTTCGGGAGGTGATACGTATTCTTATGTTAGACATTCATGGTCATTTCTGTTTTGCTCGCTCCTGAATACGTCATGATCAAGGTAAACTCCCAAGTCGTAATGATCCTCGCCCCTCTCCTCCCTTCATCGTCTCCTTTTTCCAGCAAGCTGGTCTGAAGTTGCAAGCATATCGACCATTCGCCGATGGACGTCTGCTACGCGAAGAGAATGCACCTGAGGAGATCAAGAAAATAGTCGCTGCTCATCCTGGCAAAACGACAGCACAGGTCCTTCTGCGATGGGGCGTGCAGAAAGGATGGCAGGTTCTCCCGAAAAGTTCCACACCATCGAGGATAGCAGAAAACGTGAAAATTTTCGATTTTGATTTGTCCGAGGAAGAAATAGCTATACTGGATGGTCTGGGAAAGCAAGAGGAGTATGAAACAGCCTTTAAAAAGAACTATGAAAAATGTATTGTAAGAGACACGCCTGTAGCAGGAAGTATGACAGGTAAAGTACCAAGATGGTTTGATGAAGAAGACTGACTATGACTTCTATTACAAGGAAGTCTAAGCGAAAAAGGGACGTGTCTAGGTTATTGACTTCTGCGGTTACTAAGAAGAGACAGGCTAAAAGAAGCTGCGAAGCTGCTATCTGTGTACCAGGTGGATGTCAATGAGTCGACGTGATGCAAATGAATCGGACGTGGTAGAGTAGCGCAAGCGACACGGCCCTGAGCAAGTACGGGAGAGACAGAAGAGTGCTTTTCTTGCTCATGAGAAATTCATTCTGTAAAACAATGTAAGAGCAGGCCAGGACTGCACATTGTGTGGCAGAGTGGAGCGAGAAAACCGAGGGTGAGATGAAATGTTGAGTTGGGAAACCTTGCATCAAGTTGAAATGAGTAGCCTGTACTACTGTGAAGATAATTTGTGTAACGGAATAACAACAAATACTCAACACGCCTCTGAAATTCTGAAAAACAAGTAGTGTTTCGGAGGAGTACAAACCGCATGTACTCATAATAATACAGGCAGGAGCAGGCGCCTGCTGTCTGCGGCCGGACCGTCGATCCATCATACACGACTGACTTATTTTCTAAATCAGAAACAGAAAGAATAACGATCATGAATCACGCCTTATCCAGAACAGCCGGTAGCCTGCTTTCAGGTCTCGCCGGCCGAGCTCCAGGGTCTTCCGGTTCGCAGCGCGTCGTCCTAACCCAGGCAGTACCACGGCTAAATCCTACCGCATCGTCGGGGCAGCAGATTATGAGCACTGTTCTATATCACATTCAGTCTTACTTATACTTTTTGCATCTTCAGGGGTGAAGGTAAATTTATTTTGGAACAAGGATGTCATGATTTAAGCTCTAAGTACCCAACGAGGCGAGATTTCCGAACGTCCAGGCCATGTCGAGTTTTCTACGACAAAATGATTTCCTCTTTCCATCGACCGGGTATGCCATCGACATTTAAAGTGACCTCAGACCGACCGTGGTATCCAAGGCGAATTCTGGAGTATGAGGTGAGGAGTTATTGACTTCTGACGATGGTGATACGAAGACTTTTCAATATGAATCAGGAATCGGACACTAACACTATAGAGTACTTACCTGCTTCGCGACTTAGCATCATCCACCTAGCGATGAATGTTGTTCATCTTCATCACTTATCATCATGTTGTACCCAACCACAGGTCATGCCACGTGACGAATTTGGCGTTCCGGCACACATCCCACCAGATGTGAGCACCACGATCCAACATACGTAGTTTTCTCATTGTTGTTTTCTCATTGTTTTCTCATTTTGATTCAAATCATCACATGATATGTTATGAAAAACTTGGCGTGGCGGTCCGGCTTCTAACTAAACTGCTGAATTTTGCCAAGAACTAACTCTTCTTATAGGTTGTCCTCATATATGGAGTGCGATTTTTGATTCAAATCATCACATAATATGTTATGTTATGAAACATTTGGCGTGGCGGTCCGGCTTCTAACTAAACTGCTGAATTTTGCCAAGAACTAACTCTGCGCCTTGGAGGCGCTCCGGACCTTAAGGTAGTCCTTAGGCTGGCTCCTATTGTCTTGCACCTGATGCGTGGTGCGTGGAGTACTGTAGTGAACAGCCCACCAAACCCCGGGCTCACCTTGCCCCCGCTATTATTATTATGTTATGAAAAATTTCTCCACAACAAGCAGGTACCATGTGCCACCAGAGTACTTTCCGTTTTTGAAGAAGATGGGCGACGACACTCCGTCATTAAAGCCATGGATGGAAAAATTGATAAAAGGTACACTACCCACCTTTCTACTAGGTGCTATAATGTCATTGATAAGTGAAAGGGTCTAACTGCTATAATGTCATCATTAAGTCGGGAAAGTGCCTAGGTGATAGAAAAGTCATGTTCTTTCACTAAGTAGTCTGTCACCACGAGGATGTTAACCTCAGGTAAAATGACATTTGCCGACTACGAGGAGATGTTTTATCGGCATGCTAAGCCTCTTCGTGTGCATCGAACCAAGCTGCCCTTGCCGTATAGAACATTAAGGCTACTGGAGAACCCCGTCTCATCTCTTCAATCAAAATAGATACTGGGTTAGGAAAGGGTTGCTGGGATCGAGTTAATATTTTTGAAAGCTTCACCTGGACATAATGGTAGTAGTAGCTGCGTCTGCGGCATTTGTCTTTATAGTTTAGAACGAAGTGCGTGGAGGTGCTCGTACGAAAAATGTAACGGGACCGACCCTCTAGAATCGTTTTTAACAACCTACTTACTACCTAGAGTTTTTACTTACTACTACTACAAACCTCCCTCCTCTTCCTCCTCCCGCTCCTCTAATCTCAGAAGAAGAGATCTCGCGGAACAAAGAAGTGGAATGGGAGAGCAAATGGTTGTCCTTTCGTCAGCGAGTTCGAGCCGAGTACTACATCCGTGCCCTCTATCGAGATTGGGTCTTGGCAATGGTCATCGGTACAAACCTATAATTGTTGCTTCATCGAGGGTAGTTGGGTCTTGGCAATGGTCATCGGTACAGGCGTACTATTCTACTTGTTGCCTCGAGATTGGATGATGGCACTCGTCATCTGTATATTCTTTCTGTTGCTTTATAGTACCAGTTTTTTATATCCTTCATCTTGACCAAATGATCTTCGTGTCCTGACTTCTCCATGTGTTTTGTGCTATTGTCGGCGTTGCGACTATGTTGCGTCTAGCCTTGTTGTAGTAGCAAGTTTACTAGCTACATTAAAAGAAACTAATATCCACCTTTTGTGCCTTTCAGATTGTGTATCGACGTTAGAGGGACCACGCGTAGGCGTGTCTATTTTTGATAATCGAGATGCATTTAGTCACAACACAGTTTGATTTCCACCTCTTTTCTCCAGCTCTGTGGATCTGCCAGATCGTCGGAACACAGCAGGCATTCTACTGCGAGGATATGAAGCTCTTCTACTTGGAAGCGCCGGAGCACAAGGTCAATTGGGTCGTACCAAGGGGAGACCTCTAAGTCACAGGTGCTACAAACCTATTCGGGATGCACATGCGATGTAGAAGATACAGCACGGGAGGCTAACAAAAGAAGGACCAGTCTTCATGAGTACCAGCACAATGGTTTTCACGAACATGTAGATGCTGAAGTACATCGACCTCAACAAGGATGACAGAAACTTCATCTAAGAAGTACTTGTACGAGTCGTTCTTCTTGATTTCGAGTTTAGGAACGGTTTGAAACGATTGAGCGCAGGAAATAACTTTTCCGTAGTTGCGCAACTAAGTACAACAAGTACGAAAGAGCTGATTGTCGTTTTGTGCTCGGAACAGAGCGCCTTCTTGTTTGCTCCTCAAACGATCGTGTGGGCTCGTGATAATTAATGTTAGAGTGTGTCGTCGGTGGACGTTTGAATCGCACTAGTCGTAGTTGGAAAAGGAGGCAAATGGAGTTTGTTTTCGCGTAGTAAATTGTCGGATCAAAATGAAGAAGCGAAAAAGCATGTACCTACTCGAAAAACAGAAGACTTAGTCGGCTTGACCGCTATCTCCTCAAAAACGAATACATATACATAGCTAAAACTCGCTGGCTTTTGCTGAAACCAAGCAAACGTAGGAAAAATTTGGATTTGCATCCATAACAGACTTTCCTCAAGAAAGTGAATTCTTGCTAGTTGTAGATGAGTGCAGGAGCGGAGGGTTCCGACTCACAGTTGTCTCCTAGTGCCGACACCAGCACATAGTCGAACGTTCGTTCCTGCATCTGAGATAAGTGTATGGTAGCACTGAACGAGCGAGGACACTCTACTCTGGAAAAAGTTTGAGATACAACGTGACTCTCTGGAAATTTGAGGTACGTGTATGTAAGTCGTGTATGGTAGCACTGAACGAGCGAAGCCAAATGGCGGGGATGGGAGGCAGCTTTTTGGAACGGCTCGAAGCCGAAGCCGTCCCCTTGGTCGAGATGGCAAAGGAAACTCTGCCGAAAAGTAGGGTCGTCGTCGACCTGAGGGAAGCTAGTACAGCGGAACCGAGTCGAGACCACTCCTCGGCGTCCGCTACTACGGACGGAGGAAGTAGTGTCAGCGAAGGAGAGGAACGGCCGTTGTCCGCGAGTCTTGCTAGACACCGAGCATTGCTCCAACAGGTGTCGAGCGAACGGAAAGAGCAAAACCTGAAACTGCTAGGAGAACAGAAAAAAGCAGTACATCAGGAACTGGAGCAACAACAAGGGCAGCCTGGTGTAGTTGTACAACAACCTGCTTCATCTTCATCCTCAACAATTGGTGGAACAACGCTAGGTACTTCTAGTACAACAACAGGAACATCAACAGGATTGACGCCAGCCGCGCAGCAACAGCGCATGGAGCAGGAGACGGCGCGATCGACGTTCCACAGTGCTCGTGGAGGACCGGAGACGATTATGGGCAGCACCATGGCAATGGGGAGCACAATGGGAGATGAAGAGTTCTTCAATAACAACATCGGGAACACAACGTCGATGACCCGAACCCATATGGGTACTAGCACGATGGCATCGACGACGAAACAGGCTTAAGCAGGGTTTCCGAATTACATCCAGCACTTCTGCCATCCTTGGCTGCTCTTTTCCCACTAGAAGCCAGGGATGATTGGGGGAATGTAATTCCGTAACCTCTAACAGACCGCCGGAAACGGATTCGCCCAACACCAGAGAGCAACGGGTGGCAGCATGATGTCCACAGGAGGACTGGAACAAATTGGCGGAAGCTCCAGTTCCCGCAATGGCTCACCGTCGAAGCGACATCAAAAGCACGACGAAGCAGGCATGGCAACGACATCGACCGAGCTGATGACGACGCAACGCTTCGACCAAATCCAACTTGCGCAAAGTGTCGAGAATGCCAACCTGAAAAAAATGCTGTCCACTCCACGAACGTTGCAAGCGTGCAAAGAATTGGGAATAGTGCCAAATGAGTTGCATATTAGGCAAATCTCAGACTTCGCGAAAGTTGGCGATCCTCAGGAAAAAATGAAAATGAGGTATGTGATATTTTTGATATTTATTAAGGCAACACGCAACGCGCTCACGGTGAAGAAAACATCTTACTGTATGTTGAGTGGAAGAGATTTCGAGACTGACGAATGTGTAGTAGATGTGCAGTAGAAGAGACCAACGAATGTGTTGTAGATGGTTCCGAGTGCACATGTGTAGTAGATGGTTCCGAGTGCAGATGTGTACTAGTAGATGATTCCCATTCCAGGCTAATAAATTCAGCAGCAACTAGTACAGCTACAGGATCCAATTTTAGCATCTTACATCCGCCCCCTAGGTTTCAGCATTTCGAGGGTAAGCGGCAGGAGAAGCTTCGCTTAGTCCTCGAAGCTCGGTCGAAGATTATTGCAAGAGAATTTGAATCCATTGGACAGAACGCGGGAAACTTCTACAGTCTCCAATTGATGGAAGATATCCTGGATCAAGAGGCGAAGCGATTGGCGAAGAAGTTGAAGCAAGAGGTCCGGTTACATGCAGCTGTCGAGAAGGAGAATGATTAAGGCACGACTTTTCTTACCTTCTCTACTATGCTTATGGGCCGCTCTTTAAGTTTTTAGACGGTGCAGTTGTGGTAACTTTAATAGTACTACTTCTAAGTAGATAATTTGTTAGAATCGTAGTACAGGAGACTGGTTCTTTCAGTCATCCTATCCATATCACCTGTAGTAAGCGAGACTTAGCAGTAGTAAGTCGAGCAAGTCTACTACTTGTTCTACTTCTAAGAGAGAGTCCAGTTACTCCGTGAGCAGCAAGTCCGCGAAAAAGCACAGACACGAAACGAGAGGCGAAGATTGGCAGAGCTGAGACGACAGGAAGTAGCAGAAAAAGTGAGACAGAGGACGGAATCGAAATTAGAGCACAGTCGAAATGTCCGGAATAGTTTGGAGGAGTATGAAAGAAGCAGACAGGCGCAGGTGCAACTCGTTGAAAATGTTTCATCGGCTTTTCGACGTTCTTCAGGAGTTTGACATTGACTCACAATTGAAGATTGAAGATGTATCTTCTTCTATGCATGTGGAGCTGAGGAATAAATAGCAAAAATATTGATTTTCAGCTTATTTCATATTAATTCCTTTCATCAACATGACTTTTTTCCACTCCTACGCCTCTACTCTTGTCCCTTTGCCACTATAGATAGTATGTCTCTCCATTTCCAGATTCTAGCCGTTCAATTCGAGGATGAGATTCGTGTGCGGGAGTTCCAGGCGCAAAAGGAATTGGAGAAGGATGTTAGAAACGAGCAATGGGAACAGCGTGTGGAACTAGTGTTAAGGCTTGATTTTTAGTAAAATGGAATGCGTAGTGAAAGTGACGAAAGTGATTTCTTGTTCTAGGCTATAGAATGAGTACGCGGTCGTGTTTTCTTGTTCATCTATCCTACAGTAGAAAAGAGTGAGTCAAGAATCATCATCCCCAGTCGAGGCGTCACACTTCCGCGGCCGTCATCAACTGACACACTCAACTACGGACTGTTTTGTCCCGACGTTAGGCTAGTAGAGCTAACTGGGACACCCTGACGATGATGATCCCCAGTCAAAAGACCGCCGCATAACTGCGTAGTATGTATCAAGTGGCACATCGCATAGTTGTCTCTAATCTCGCAACAACGGAATCTAGAAAAGGAGTTGGAGCGAGAAATCAGAGCAGAAACGGTCTCTCTTCGCTACGAGGAAAAGCTCGACGCTTTCGAAGAACGCAGAAAGGAAGAGCTTAAACAACGTACTTCTAGAGAAACACTTTTTCGCGCAACTGGTCTGCAGACCACTGTGATCATAACCTGATTTATTTTAATATCTGACTGTACCGTGTAAAAAGAAAAACAGACTAGCGACGATGTCATTTGGTAAGCTCGGACTGGGGACTCACCAAACCCCTTCTCAATCACCACAACAGAAATGGTCCGGCATGAGGCAGAGCATTTGAAGGTGGTGGATGCTGTGGAACGTAAAGAGCGCTTAATGCGAATCGACGCGCACAGGAGGGAGAAGGTCGGCGAGCAGATCGCGGAACAGCATACGCGGATTGACTCCCTCATGCAGTTAAAACAGCAATTGCTAGAGCAGAGGAGGCAAAGGAATCGTACTATAATTGTTTTTCACCGTATTACTGTTTCCCTTTCGCTCGTTGTAGAATCAGTATGGTACTAATGGAACAAATGCTAAAAATGGTTCTAGAATTTTTCAAAGGAGCGGTTCGAGATAATTAATTAGACTAGAAGATTGGTATCGTGGTCTGTCTTGCCTTTGTCGTCGGTTTCGATGTTGTGACGCTTCCAATTTTCATCATACTGCTTTCAGAGGAGCTTCTATCTATCACAATCACAATCACAAAATGACAATTACTCGGCTCTTTCGAAAATGACAGGGGTCCAAGACGCGAAACACGGCTCAGTAAAGAGCCTGAACATCAAGCATCTAGACCCTGGTCCTGGAGCTTACGATGTGCCTTCCACGCTCAATAGAAACGGCGTTGGACGTTTGCCGGATCCAAAGCCGCTGAAACCAGTGGAAGGCAGTATCCAAGAGATGGTTATGCGCACGAAGGAGAACCCGCCGCCTGGATCGTATGATCCGAAACTACTGCCATCGGGGTCGAAGGTACTGACTGATAAGCCGATGAGCATGGGCATACGCTACGGATCCGCATCAGGCTTGGATAAAGCGGAAAAAGCGCATCGCGATAAGCCTGGGCCCGGCACGTACAACGTCGGTGGCAACTTTAAGTTGCAGCATGTAGCGAACATGGGGAAAAGGTACAACTACCCATGATCTTCGATGATATTTCTTGCACCACAGCACTCTCATCACATACCATATTCCAAGTACCATATTCCAAGTACCATATTCCAACCCTAGTACTCACGTACCATATTCCAAGTCCTTCTCTTGAATCCCTTCCTCCACCACCTACAGCAACGACTTGCCGACTCTGTCCGAAGCACCGAAGTGGGTCGGCCGCATTGACAGGGATTTGCCAGGTCCAGGAGCTTATGCAATCGATGAGTGGACAAGAAGAGAGAGAACGGCAAGGGTGATGAGCACCATGCCTAATTTCTCCAACCTTGGTGGTGCTATGGCCAAAGCCCCTGCAGGAAACGCCACAATAACTGGAATCAACCCAGGGCTAGGAGGTAGTACGGGAGTGGGAGGTGGAAAGAAATAACAGTTATCTCTCTACTAGGTTGGTCGATCGCGATTCGATTTTCGCCTTCTGACGTTTGCTCATAGAGGATGGGGTGAATGGCCTTTTTCAGTGGTCATTCTCGTCCACACGGGAATAAAGCGCTTGCAATTTTCATGAACAGTACGCTTCTACCAATTTAAATTTTATCCTTTGACAAAACTTATCAAAAACATCTTCTACAAACTTAGAGATATTACCGAATTACTAAAGCAGACAATACTAGAACCAAAAAGTTTTTTTGTAAAGAGGTTCGTGAAGTACCAACAAAAGCAGAATATCGAGAAACGATTCGCGTCTCCTGGTAAAAAAGTCTCGCACTCTCCGAGAGTACTACATCTGAACGAAATCCTTAGTTTCCACGTATCTTGTGACAACAATACGAATCAATCGCTGAGCTCATCTGCCATTTCGCTGAATGCGACAGCGTGTAGAGTACGATAAGAAGAACAACACTAGTATTAGTTTTTTTCAAAAATCTTCATGCAAGTGAACAGAACTGTTTTTGTTTTCACAGGATAGTCATTTTTGTTGAAGATTTTACTGGAAGGGCGAAAGACAAAGAGCAATCTAACTATACGAATGCTGGAAATATTCACCGAGTTATGGGGCGTAGCTTAACATCAAGGCTACTCTTCCTTCTCATCAGTATCTCGGTTATTTTCGTCTGTTACTCGCTTATTTCAGTTTAATATCGAAACTCGGCCCTACATGCAGGGGAACTACATGCAGGGGAACGCTAGGGACCACCGACGGATGGATCCAGACGCATGGTGTTTACTTTCGCGACACGAGTGTTCGACCTCTTCAAGAGCATAGGCTCAGAAGCGATCGGTCAAGAACACCTGCTTATCGGTTGCGTTCTCTCACCGCAAAATCGGTTGTTGTTTCTCGTTTTGGCCGACTTCTCTCCTTGGCTATCATGAACTACATGAGTTGCTTCGTCTTTATTTTAATATAGTCTGAGTCTGCGTGTGCCGTGTGGTGTTTATGGGCGTAGTGGTGATTTGAGTGCGTTCTTTATCTACCCTAGTAGGTACAACCTTGTCTCTTGAACAATAACTATAGAATGGTTCTTCTGCATTATTCTGTGAAATCATGGTAGGAGCTTGCAATTATAGAAGTTTTTTTTTACTCATCTCAATATCAATTAATGCGAGCGAAGAGCGCTTCCCCGCGATCTAAGCTAACTCACTACGCATTGATTAATCCCCTGACTTTATTAACTACGAGGACCAGAAATCACGACATCAACTTCAACAAGATCAAAGTTTTCGAGAAGTATTCTTCGAAACACCTCACATCATCAGAATGGCTCTGGATGTTTTTGGGTCTGCTGCCGCTTGCTAAAAAGCGCGGAAAACTAGAAGAAGGACTTCTATCATCGCTCAGCACACCTGCAGGGTTCCCTCAAGACAAGATCCACGCATTTCCAAGGTGGTTCCTTACAACCTCTTGGAGCTCTTGGCGTTCTACTTACCTACGCGGCACACGAAGAAGAAAAGGACCCCAACGAACAGTGTCAAGAACATCTTCTTTGTCGATAAGGATACGAAGATGGCGTCCTCATCCTCTGCAGATGAGGATACACACATTACTGGGTCAAGGCCTGTGAATCTGACGTTCTTAGGCGTCGGGAGACCAGGAGATGGCGTGCTTCTCGCGAGCTATGTGCATCCCCAGTATGCAGATATGATACAGGATACGGAGGAAACATTCATGAAAATCCTTCATGCCGCAAAAGTCAGACTGGCACCAGGACAAAGACAAAGACTCATGTGGGAAGATAGCACGGTATAAGAATTGAAATTTTTTCTGAGTGGGGTTCGGTGCAAGTAGGATATTAGATCTTGAAAATCTACCTTCAAGATAGTCTTAGTCATTAGATTTTCTAAGAAACGACGAAGATATGATTCATTGTTATGGCGTTCTCGAGTACAGAATTCGATTAGGTCGTGAAGATCATTCCCTCTCTAATTCACTGGTTGATTCCAAATTTCCAATTCAGGTTACAATCCAGCTAAATCATCCTCGCGGGGACTTGATGTATGGAGTCGTGGCCACAACTCAGGAGTTCCCTGAACGGCTGAGCTATAAGCTTTTATCACAGTTTGGAGCACAGATAGACGAAAGGCTTCCCGGAAACGAGCTTTCGAAATATCGCGCTCATCATTGTCTTTCGTTAAGGCTGAGTTGTTACCAGCATCGCAATATTCATCCAAGAACGCGTACGCGATGGAAGTTTCCTCTCCAGAAGTAAGCCTAGTTGTAAAGTTTCTTCGTCTGCTCTAACATCAGACGCATTAGGCCCCATGATGGGTGATCTTATGTCGAAATTTGAGCGGCCAGAGGAGTATGATCGCATTAACCGACTGCAGGAAAAAACGAATTCCATTAAGGGTCTCCTACGAAACAACATTAAGGAGGTAGTCGAAAACACGGAAAGGCTCGATTCGCTCCAAGAAGATGCAGAGGTACTCAGACTTACTTGTAGTTTAGGTTTTTTTTTCTGCTGTTTGGTCTTGGTGGATATATGGTATGTAGGTGGTAGCTTTTTACTATGAAGATATCAATGTGTAGGAAGAAGGAAAAGAATCCTCCATTGTCTGTTGCAGGAAGAAAACACGAACATAACAGGCTATGGAGGAGACAGCGCGAGAGTATCAGGAGAAGAGCAAGGAGGTAAAGCAGTACTTCTGGTGGAAAGATACGCGGCTGACCGTGATTATAGTAGTGTTAAGGCTGCCTTCCGCTCTGACCTAGTAGCTTTGGAGGCTTAGGCCTTAGTTGTTGTACTTCCCAAAGCTCTCTCGAAGTGTTTTCTACCTTATTAAGAAGGTCTAATGAACAGAAGCTTTCTCGAAGTGTGTTTTCTACAACCTTCGCGAAGAAGGAAAGGGAGAGACCTCATCTAACACTGGTGGTGGTCCTCGTACTCGGATACTTGTTCTACAGCTGCATGGGGGGCAGAGGCGCATCTTCGAACAGCAGCCAGAACTCTGCTCCACCTGCAAGAAACACCGCTGCTCTTCCAGATAGCGGTGTAGCACCCGAAACGCAGACATTGTAAGGCTGTGGTCTGCTAGATGTGATGTGAGGGTACTAGTTTTGTGGGTACCCTTTTTACAGATACAACTACCCTCAGAACAGATGATGAGGGTAAAAAATGCATTTGTTGTTCTACGTCGATTTGTTTGATTCGATTCATTGTTCCAAATTCAACTGAGAGTTCGTATTGGTATTAAGTACATGATTCATCATTATTCCATTTCAGTTTTCCATTCAACATTAGTAACGCGTGACACTTCTGACTACGTCTACGTCACATGACACTTCGACAGAGTTCGAAAATAGAACCATGCTAGCTAGTACGTCTTCTTGACCGTGTCCCTTTGTAGTAGACGTATTGGCTTGCTATTTTTCTTGTACGAAAATTTTGGAACCATGAAATTTATTTCCAACGCTTATCGTTAGCCAACATGGTTGTAACCACTACAACACACCTAAGTAGTAAAAATGAGTGCTAAGATTACCACGACCTATGTGGCTTCATGCTGCTCATTCAAGAGGATTCATAGAAATGGGCTGCATAATGAGAGTTGTGATGACAAATCCATCAGAATCTAGATGATTCGAAGAACAAGAAAGACACAGGATGAATGTGTTGATGTGGGAGGGAAAACACAAAAGATTGTGAGAAGTACTTCTTAAATGGTGCAAAAATCTGAAGATCATTCTCCGCAGCCTGCAGCCAGTGCAGCAGCAATTCGAAGGCGACTCGCGTTCGATTCGAAGGCGAATCGTGTTGCTCCTGCAAGCTTGAGGTTGAGCTTCAAAAGGACATATTATAAAAGCTAGGAATAGAGTAGGATAGGATGAACATCTGTCTTCTTCTTCCATTCTTAAGTTGTTACTTTCCAAAACAAACGCAACCTTACCGCTTCGCTATTACATTCTTTGCGTGAGATCCATCGTGTAGACCGTCTATGACGCCCTTAAGGCAGTCTGCGCTGTGCTTTGTGCGAGATTAATTGCATTGTGTTTGGGCAACAGTCTTCAATGAATCGGGATCATGTTCGCGGATCAAATAATGTTGCTGCGATAAGCTGCAAGGATCAACACTCTTGTGCTCTTTGATGCATGTATTGCCACCCTTGACCTTCTTTCTTTCTAAGTTAATTCCTCAGTTATCTGCTTGCTGTGGTGAGTCCTTCATGCTGTCTCCCGCTTTTTTGTTGATTGCGAAACGTACTGCGCCCCTAGGTTCCGCCTGCCGCCGGTTTGCGAACTGGATAAAGCTGAGGCCGCTCTTTCAGTAGCCCCAGGATACAAAAAAAAAGAAACAATTTCTGAAATCTCCAAATCCAATTCCAAATCACTGTAACTGATTCTTTATGCTTGTTCGGCAACATCTTCCACATTGTAAGTATTTGAGTCACAGATAATTTGAGTCCAGAATCAAAAGAATGGCAGAGGTTTTTGCGATCCATTCTCCGCGCAGCGGACAAAGCAGCAAGGAGGCCCCAGTTTCACACGAAGAAGAGGGACGACCAGCTACTCCTTCTGGTGAGTCTGCGGAAACAGCGAACAAGAGTTCTAGCACGTCTGCGAATACGTCTAAAAACCAAAACGACAATCCGACAGACTCTACGAGTCCGATGAAATCCCCTGAGAAGCAAAGTCAGTCTCCTGAGATGAAGCAAAGTAGCAAGAAGCTGAGTTTTCGCGAGCATCTTTCAGGAGAGGCGGATTTTTTATTACAAAGGAATAGCTCTCGAAGAGCTCTAGAAGATTTTGCGAATCTTCTAGATTCACTTGCGACAATCGAGGAAACCTACGCTTCGAGCCTGCAGAAATTGGTACAGGCAGACCACGCGCGAGCGGATATATCACCACTCGATGACGCGTATGATTCGGTGCGAAGCATGCTGGCAAATCGGGCGGATCATTAGGGGTGTTGTATAGATTTTGTTCATTTTACCTTGATTGTGTTAGTTACTGAAAGAGTCCCCGTCTAAGATCAAGGCAGTATCCTAGCGGATCAGATCCGGAGTGATGTGGTAGCCATGCTTCGCGGTATGCTTGGTCAGCACGCAGCAGTGCATCAGAGCGTCTCTGTGGATGCGCAACGAGTCTCTAGACTCAACGGAGCCAAGCGACATAACTATGAGCTCCTGAAGCAGAAATACAAGGAAACTTCCCTGACTGCAGAAAGGATGCTGGTTGCTGCATATAGTGGAGGTCATTCTTCTTCAGCGTCAGCAAGTAAAAGCTCGTCTTCCAGCACCTCTTGGGGATCACTATTTCCTACTAATGGTACAGGTTCACCAGATCCTGAAGCAACAACTACGAGTCCAACGAGTAGAAGTCCTACGAGTCCAACGCAGGAGTCTACAACTAATGCTCCTACTACTAGAACAAGTGCTTCTGCCACTCCTGTGCCTGGTCTTGGAAGAACAAGTACTTCTGCAACTGCTTCTGCCACTCCTGTTGTAACTGTATCTGGTCTTGGATCTTCAGAGCCTTCATCTCCACCAAAAGACGCCGGATCGCCAAAAACCGGAAATCTGCTAGGACCTGGTAACTTGTTGGGTCAAAAAATACTGAGCAACATTGGCTTACCAACTACAGCGGCTTCGGCCTCGTCCTCGAGTAGTAGACCAGTAAACTACAGACAAGAAAAGGAGAACCAACATCAGGGGGAAACTTCGCTAGTCACTTCGCGTGGCAAGCTTTTTGATGCGGTGAAAAGAGCTTACATTTTCGAAGACGAGTTTCGTCGTGTCAGTTTGGAGGCAAGGGAAGCAGAGGAGGTCTACAGAGCACAGATGGCTGCAATACTGGACGCTTTACAGGACATGGAAGAAAAAAAGCTCCAGTGTTTTCGAGACGCTAGTTTATGGATTTTCAGGATGGTATTGGTATTAACATTTTCTACATTCAGATCACTAGGACGACATCGACAACGCGTTCTTCTACCATGTATTAAGCAGTAGCTGCGATAAACCTTGAATATCAGTTATTTCACTAGTGCGACGTTGACTCTACTTGATACAAGAGTTACAACATGGCTCTTTCATCCGCCGCCTCTAACTAGTATGCGCTTACTCGTTTACAATACGAGTTGTATTCGGAATGTGCAGTATGACATCGAGGGAATTTTCAAATCTTGCGAAGATGTGGACTCGGTGAAAGATGTGCAAAATTTCATCCGTTCCAGAGTTGTGTCTCCGTCTGTCGAACAAGAAGGAGGTACTAAGACTGCTGTTTCTGCTTGGCAAAGGCTGATCGCAAATGATCAGCCTTTGCCACGATTCGTACGGTATCGTGAGATGGTTCCACCTCTATCAAATGATCCGAGTTCTCGTGCCCCAGGCTCAGCTTCTTCGAGACTTCCAAGACGGCCTATCGACCAAATATGCGGCGAAGTGCAGCGGTTAAGGGACTGCATAGCGACACAGTGGTTTGAAAACGGAGACTTCTCACTTTTGAGGAATCAAGAGTTTTTCGCCGCGTTGCGCGAGGAGCCTGAGTTTCGTGCCAGGATATTTGCATGCATAAGGCAGCAAATGGTCAACAAGCAGTGTGCTGTATGGGAGATAGGGGATGATCATGAAAGTAGTCTCAAGACGAAGCAGGATGAACCTGGTCAATCTGAGTACGGAGCCGTTCTTCACCACGCAGATGACGTCCTAGTAGAAGCGAAAAACAGTGGCACTGATGCAGGACTGCTGTCCAATTCTAGCCTTGTGCTGCGACTGTTTACAGAAATTCCAGATCTCATATTAAGGATGCACTCCTAATTTGGTTGGTTTGTATTTGTTAGTAAATGCTAGTTTGTTGTTGCATCTAATTCATGCTGAACGCTATTCCGTTGTTAGTAAATGCTAGTTTGTTGTTGCATCTAATTCATGCTGAACGCTATTCCGAGAGCTTCTGGGACCTGGAAACAGCGAAGCATTTCGTTGCGACTTGTCGACGTGTTGAAGTCACTGTTGAAAGGCCATCTTCGAGTTCATCTTCTAGTATAGTCACAACTGGAGGAAACTCCACCACCAAAGCATCAACTCCACCTAGAAGAAGACAGCGTGTCCAGGAGGTGATCTACGAGCATAGCCTTTGGGGCAACTCACGCTTTTGGGAAACGCTATTATCGTTAAGGGTAGGTTAACGTTAAAGGTGTTTCCGTTACCGTTTGTTATGCGTCTCCTAAGGGAGAAAGGCAGAACAAACGGGAAACCGAATAAGTACACAGAAATACCCTAGTACTTACCTCTAATATACAGAAACAGAATACACACAAATAACCTAGTACTTACCTCTAATATCGACCGCTGTTACAGACGCATGGGAGACCTGGTTTCGCGAGATGATAGATAGATCCGCAGATTTGGAGGAAAAAGTAGAAGACGAGGGGATCTTCCGGGAGCCATGGGAATATGCACCAGAAATAGTGCGGAATGTGGTACTTGATTGTACTTGTTGTAGCTTTTTACAATGAAAAAATGTAGCTTTTTACAATGAAAGAATTGAGTCTGTGTCTGAGTGATGATGAAATAAAAATTGAGTGAAGTTGAATGCAAGAGATGTCTCTGTGAAGATATTTGAGATTGAGAATGTATGAGTATCCTCTTGTTCTTCTCATCTTTTACTAGGTAGCAGAGTTCCTTAATCAATTGACGAAAGCAAACAACTCGTACAAAAACAAATCCTTATCTTTATCATCAGTTGGATGTCGCGCGACAAAGAAATGTCCTTAAATCTTAATCATCAGTTGGATGTCGCGCGGCAGATGTCCTTTTTCGGAATACCTGGTGGTGAGATACGCGCAGCAGTGGAGAAAGTAGTCACGTCGCAGTGTGACCATCTTGCTGCTCCAGTTCTCGAACGCTTGTTAACACACCTCGATATGACACTTACAGAGGCTGTGGCGCCTTCCTCGACGCTTTCCCCATTTTCTACAACGGGGGGCAGCGTTCTCTTGAATTCAGAATCAGAACAGGAGCCTTCTGCTGTAGTACAACAAGCATGACTGAAATATTTTAAGGTTGTTAATGGGAGGACCTTTGCAGACATTTTTCCTACAGACATGCTAATTATTTCCTAGAAGAAAAGACTTTGTCTGCAATAAATGAACACTTTTCGAATTTGACATGTTGTCAAGTAGAAGTCACGCTTTCGCAAAAAACATTGACCTGGATTTACGCATGTCGTGTTCTATAAGCGCCATTGCCGTGGTGATTTAGCACAGGCGTAGGTGTAGAAGACAGCAGTAAGTATAATGGTCGAACCTTTCATCTTTGAGGTGCTTGACATTGGTCTGCTGCATCTGAATTTGATTGGTCTCATCCGATTTTCTTATAAGGGACACAGCGAGTTAACTATTCTAATGAAACTAGTTGGAAGAATCTTCAAGATATCAATACCATGCACGCCAAGGCAGTGTCGAACAGGTGGTATGCGCATGTAATCGCAAATGGGCTTTTTATTTGAGTAATCCTTGTTTCTCGAAACACTTTTTTCAGATTTCTTATCGAAGCGTAAGAACCAAGAACAAATTTTAGAACAAAGTAAGATGACAAATATCGCGAAGGATGCTTCTGCATCCTACCGCGAGTTTGAGGATGCGGTCCTTGAGCGATTGGGGGCGGAGATCGCGCAGGAACAGGTTGCTCAATACGCAAGAGAAGTCGAGGCAAGATTTTCGACGAATCTTCCGGACGAGCTGGTGCAAGTTATCAAAGAAAGGACCGCTGGGAATGCCGATGCGCGGGACATCTTTCGTTCGGCGTCTGACATGCGCGCAATCGCGGAAGCTGCGAACAATAAGCGGGCGAAGGAGGAAAAGATCAGGGCGGAATCTGATCGGATGTTTCTCCTCGAGCCCTGGGTTCTGAAATGCAAACGGATCGTGCTCGAGCAGTGGGAAAAAATGCACGGGGCGAAGGGCAGTGGCAAATCGTAATGTAATGCCCTGATGTAGAAGTAGATCTTGTCTCGCTGCTCATCCGTTCCCCATAAGGGTCCGGGCCTTGTGATGTCCCTGATTGTGTTCCGCCATTCTGTTCCGCTCCTGTTTCTGCTTTTATAGTCACAGCCTCAGCCGTTTCCCCGTGCTGTTTCTAGTTGTAGAGCCTCAGCCGTAACCTATCGACGACCATGCCCCCAGACATAGCCTCAGGGCCTTCATGCTTGTAGTCTCGTCGTTCTTGTGCTGGTTCCAGTTGTAAATCGATTACGCTGGTGGCCATCCAGTCGCACGCTGCGCGCTGTTCGATACGCGGCGAGCCTTATACGATCAAAAACTGCGCCGCGTTTCTGATGTTTATCATGTTCCCCGTGATTATAAAAGAAGAAGTGGGGTCTTGCCCTTCGTGCTCTTTACCATCTTCCACCCTTCCAGCGCTCAAGATTTACGCGTCAGGAACTGCTTTGCGTGTCTGCTCTCTTTCTGCGCCCTCTGGGTCCTTGTTCTCAGGTATTCAACATCTTCGGAGCTACCTAGTGCTTCGCCTGCTGCTGCCTCAGCTGTGTCCCCCCTTAGCCTGCGCGCGTTTACACTGGAGAAACTGGATACATTTAGCCTGGACGCTTTTAAGCAGCTGGGCTCACTTAAACAGCACCGGTTTACATTGGGAGCGTGCTGCATCTACGCGGCCTAGTCTTGTTTTATCTGTATACATATGGAGACTGCTCCTGGTTCATACTGAGCCAAACTGCATGCCTTCGCCTGACTTGTGAAACTGCTACGATTTCTTGACAAGTATCCGCGTCTCCTGTCCCGCCTTGTGTTCTCCGGATCCTCCTGCCCGCTGCTATTTCTATCGGACTGAACTTGTGGGGCACTATCGCACGAGCGAAACCGTGCGAACAAAGGTCTGCCCTACAATATTACGCAAATAAGCGACGAAGCCAAAGCCACACTTACGATGTCGCCATGGATATTTGACAAAGGTCCGAACGGGACAGCATGGAAGTATCGAAAGTGGCAAGACGAAGCTGTGGACTTGGTATCTTTGGCATCCTTTCTTGGGACGATGGAACCTGCTTTGTTCGTGCTTGCATGGAACGAGGGGGCGGGAGCTGCAGTGCTCGGTCGTACAACTGCGAATGCAATTCTCGACGCTTTGAGAAGTAGCCTCGCCGGAGATAATTTCCTTGTGGTGACCTTTACGACCCTCGCACACTTGTACGTACTGATTTTCGTATTGAATGTGGCGTGCTCGTTGGATCTGTTTACCGATTTGACACTTCGCGCCCTTGTGAACCTCATGGTAAAGAGAAGAAACGCTTTAGATTTTGAAATTGATAGTAGAGACCACAAATTTCCTCTTTGCGATTACCCTAACAAGAATACAGCCGTTACGGTGCTAAAATCCGAGCGTCGACAGCTTGGCTACAATGTTGACTATCTATCCGGGGAAAAGTTACCTGATTCTCGATCCGTTTTCGGTGGGCCAGAGTGGGTATCGAACGACAGATGGACAATCACATGGTAAAAGCCAACACTGCACATAAGCAACATAGACTGGATATTGAAGATGACGCTTTCGACCAAGGAAAGACCCCACTTCTGATGTTGGCCCCATCCCCTCTATTCTACGGCAGACCCCATTTTAAGAAAGTTTAAGTTGACCAAAAACTCATCTTGCTCATGGCTTCGGCCATCTTGAGCAGCTATTGCTTCTTGGATTGTATATTCAAAATAGAGAATGTGAATGTCGCTCTTGCTGTCGGTGTTGAGCTTGAGCAGTCTACTTTGCGATCTGAATGACGACTGAGTGCTAGTAATGAGTTTCGATGTGCTGGAGGTACGTCAACACTCCGAGAGAAACGAAAAAACAACTCTGTCTCAAACGAAAAAACAACTCTGTACGAGAATCAATAAGGGTGGACGACAAGACCGCATGGAGAGAACAACTCGAAATCTGTCTGATATTGACTAAAACTCTGTGTCGAGAGTAAAGAAGATTTCATTATCAGATGTTGCATGACTTTGAGGAACTACAGCATAAATTCTGTTTACAAATAACAACGTATATTAAAAGCTCTGTGACTGTTGTGTATGAGAACTTGAGCTAGAAAATTACTTTCTACTAAGACAATCTCGTGAGACTGTAATCCTGCGAGATTAGAAATCCGTGTCTGTAGGGTTCTACTGCTGGTGTCTGTGCTCTGAGGTAGCGTCTAATGAATATTCATTAACATGCACTTGAATTTGGTTGTTAAGCTACTTACCTAGCTGCAGCATCAGCGTGCGACTTCTCTCGAAATATTTTTTCGTATTGTCACTAGCATGGCGATTATGATAAATGATGACTGAGATCTTGAAGATTCATTTTTCCAGATACATGGCCATGGGTGAAGCCGAAGCATTATTACAACACACGCGATTCTTGCCTGGATTCGACATCAACAGTGACGAGGTGACCCCTTTTATTTGTTTCCCATTTCCTCTTGCTTACTGCCCTAGATTCTTCCTCCCTCCCCTTTCAATTCCTCATAATTCCTCTACCTTCTATTACTATTCCCCACAAAATAAATCTTCAGACTAACAATTGAAATTGTTTCTTGAATTTTCTTTTTTTTTCTGTTGAATCTTCATATCACTAAGACAATGAACTTTCTGGTTCTAGAAACTACAACTCGTTCAGTTTCTCCCTAACCAACATCAAGCACATTCATCTTCTTCAAAGAAACTACGCAAGAACCGGGACAACCAAAAAAATGGCGCCGTTAGCTGGTGGACTTTTGTCTCATGCCATCGACCAAGATGCTGCTCAACAGGCGGTTGGCGCTGCAAGCGAAATGGCCACTATGGTGATGAACGAGACAAGCTCTTTTCTAAGCAGAGCGATGGAGGTTGTCGCTACGGGAGAACAACTTCCTGTGTCCTTCATGCACCAAGCTGGACAAACTGGAACTACAACATCGCGTGTGGTGGAGCAAGCATTGCGCACTCACGACATGATGACCAGGACCTATACGCACTTCGATACCCTCGCTAATGTTAAGGCTAGAAGTTGTACAAGAAATCGAAATCCACCATTTTCTTTCATTCTTCGTTCTATTGATCTCTGAGTTCTCTTCGTTCTATTGTTCTCTGAGTAGTTCTATAACTTCTAATGATGGCCACGTTACTTATTCCAGTGTCGATCACGAAGTGAGTGCGAGTACCTATGCGGCGTCTTCCTTTATGGACATGGAGCCTTCAAACAATGAGGTGTGGGACATCAAAAAAATGGAGGCTAATGGGGAACGCGTTAACGATCGACTGTTAAGGCTTCTCGTACAGATGATGATTTTCATTTTCGACCGAAATGTCCATGTCCATCCTTAGATAAGTAGTCGTGAAATGTCCATGTCCATCCTTAGATGTTGGATCTTCTGATGAAGAATCATCTGATCTGACAAGAAAAGAAAATTGAAACAAGACAAGAAAGTAAAGAAGAAACTAAGGGGAAGAAAACAAATATTTATCGCTTCATAGTGACAAACTTTGCATCACCTCTTGCTAGGCAAATTCATTCACTCTTTCATGATATCTGACAACAAGACTCTATCTCTAAAAAATCGTGATGACGTTGATGTGGACCCCGTGGTGCGGTTTATCAAAGTGATGTGGTTCCTCCTGCTCTTCGTGCCCATCGTCATCGCTTTCTTCATCTCGCTCTTCTATATTGGATGTCCGAGGTATTAGTGTCAATCCATTAATATACTTTTTCGTCGTATGAATCTGAAGACTATAATCTTCGTATATATAAAGGGAAGGGAGTGATCTTGTTCAGTTTTTCTCCTTTCTCAGAGGTGTGCTGCAAATCTAGATTGGCTTCTTCCTTTTCATAATTGGGGCTTAGGTCCAGCGGCGCTCAAAGCACTAAAATAAAACAACCTGTTAGTTTTTACCTTTGTAGGCTTTAGCCCTTCAGACACTATAATCTTCGTATAAATCTAACTATCTTCTCAGTCATTTCCGCTCTCCTGTATTTCTCGGCTTTTCTCTCGTCACGCTCACCAGATATTTATGCTCAAAGAAATTGAAGATCAACACTACCTTATAAATATTTATAGAAATCTTTCTCCTTCCGCTTCCTCTTCCTCAGGTGTTGTTGCCTTTGCTGTGAAAAAAGTGGTTGTAAGTGTGTGCGGATGGAAGAGGATACAAAACTGCAGTCCTTTCATCCAGGCAAGGACGGCATGAACGCCTACAAAACCCAACGCATCGTACCCGGCAGCTCAATCTTATGGTCAGCTTTTATCCATCTTGCACAGCATCTCGATACCGCTCTTTTCTTTCCCTTCTATTTTTTTCATGGGAAACGAAATTTAGAGGTCGAGACGAGGGCATCATCGAGATGAATAAATGTCGACTTCTCTAACAATCCAGGAAGAAGGGTCAGCAGATGAAGAGGGCACAGATGCGGGAAACAGTGAGGGAACCATAGATGGGGACAACGCTGGTCCTACCGTTGATGGTGAAGGAGAGAGTGGAAGTACTATCAAATTATTTAGATTCATCAGTTATTGAATCAGATTTCATCTACATGGAGATGTAGTAGATTACGTGTACCGGACAACTAGAAGATCTATGCTCTAACCTTATCATACTTGCTCCGAAATCCCCCGTATCCAGCTTTCCTTGCCTCTCTGCCTTTGTCATCTAACTTAAGTACTAAATTCGAATAACTACATATTCATCACTACAGAGAAGTAAGTTAAATTTGATTAATTTTTGGCGAGCTTTCCCTGCCTCGGCGGGGCCTTCGTTATTGACTCACCCTTAAAAAATTTATATCCACCAGCTTTCCTTGCTTCCGTGCCTTCGTTATTGACTCACTCCTAAAAAATTTATATCCAGCTTTCCTTGCTTCCGTGCCTTCGTTGTCGCCGACACAAACCGATGTACCCATGAAATCGAAATCGGCGAGAATTATGGTCGAGCCGATCCCTGCACCTGCTCCCTCCTCTCTACGCTATCGCGGTGCTGGCGGTCCGTCGCAGTATCTCAGCAGCCTACAACAGAGCGAAGAGTATGAAGAGGCATTGGAGAAGGAGCTTGAGAAGGACCAATTGCTCGAGGTTTATTACGAGGGTGGCGGTTGCTGTAATGGCCGTTTGAAGATTCGCCGAATCGGAGGGTGCCGCTGCCTCAGCTACAACGTTGTGTTGTGGTTGTTGTTAATCTTATGCGTCGTTTTTATCTAGATCTAACTACATTGTTCCCCAGTAGGTACTAAACCATCCTTCTTGACTTATAATTATTTCCCAATTTACTATTATTTCCCAACTAATTTACATCGGAAACAAGAAGAACAAAGCTACAGGAAGATGATCGTCTTCTTAGCAGGAATGAACTTATTCAATCTAGACTCTTCCATCCTTCTTCTTATTAATTTTTCCGCAATCTTTCTTTCGCCCAAACAATAATTAAATTTATGTGGTCTCTAATGAGGATGGTGCTCTGTTGTGTCGAGTTTTTGTACTGGAAATACTTCGTCTACGATCCTCGCTACAAAGTCGATACGGAGACGCGCGTCGTGATCATCTCGTCAGCTGGTGGCAGCGGACACCTTGTCGCAGAAAAGGAGATCATCAAGAAGATGAAGATTATGTTCCGTGTAGCACAGAATTCATCATATCTTTGAAAGTCTTCATCTGGAAGAAAACTGGTGTCAATAAGTTCGCCAAATAAGTTATTCGAGTTGTAGATGAAGGACTACTTCTATAGGTATTTTTTGTATGGGTATTTTCCTCGGTAGTGCTACATGATCTCCAAAGTCATCCGGAGAACTGGTGTCAATAAGTCCCAGACAAAAGAACCAAGAGGGTGCTGGAAAATCCAAAGTAACAAGACAAGGGAATAAAAAACTACGCGCTCAGATGAAGATGATCCCTCTTCAGAAGATGAATCTGCTTTGATTTATAGTAGTACCTCTAAGAAGAGCGCTGCCGGTTGGGTTCCGTTTGCAAAAGCAACGCCTGGCCAACTCGAACGTCTCCGCAATATGCCAGACAAGAGTTTTCAATCGCTATACGTTAAGGGTTAACCAATTACATCCCCCACAACCATTCCTCACTCTTTTTCCAGTAGGAAAGAGGTGAGGGATGTTCTGAAGAATGTAATGCTGCAACCTTTAGATACGTCGTGCCCAAAGCATGCGAAACTTACGACCCAAAACATAAGGTATGGATGCCGGAAGGCTGCTATAAGAGGAGCTGGATTCAGATCAATGACTTAATTTCAGGCGTGCTGGAGATGATGTTTGACAAGGTGTTGACCGACTTTGGACGTCAAGGCACTGAACAATGGGACGAGGCACAGAAAACGGGCGACTACGATTTCTTATTTCAGGCCATCCAGTTGAAAGACACAGTTGCCGAGATGCTATTTTCATGGGGCTTCCGCGAAAACACAAAGGCGTACTTAGTTAATTATGATCTTATAAGCTTGTTCTACTTGTTTACGAGACGAAGAAACTGGTTACTTTTCCCTCGTCTTTTTAGGCTACTTAGTCCCTTCATCAAAGAGTATTATACCTGATATGTCGCACTCGAAGGAGAACTTCCATGCCTTCCCCCTAGTAAACGCAGTTGGTCACCTGGTTTAACAGACTAGCACCATGATTTTTTTACCCGGGTTTCTACATATTCAAACCATCATGAAGTTAATGTATTACTTACTAAGTCGTAAAGGTAAACTCAATGCTCTTGCTCTCTCTATGCAATATCAATATGGCGCTTTGGGTAATTAAGCTAGAGGTAGCTTTGCTGGCGGCTTACCGGTTTGATCGTCCAGTACTAATTAGATGTTTCGGGCGTCGCGTAAACAGTAGGGCACCATCACTCTTTCTCTTCAGGTATTTGAAAACGCATCCGAACGTTGAGTTTGTTGTTTCGGTTCAGGCGCAACTGACGAACAACATTTACCAAGGAGTCGAAATAATCAATCGCAAACGCGAAAAACAAGCTTACAAAAAATATCTGAAGACGGGAAATCCAGCTGACAAAAAGTTCAGTGGTGTGCACTTCTGTTAAGGCTTCGCGTAATCCATCTCGTGGAGCATCCTGGGTAGGCTTTTCAAGGGGAACAAGGTGGTCTCAGGATGAGGATCGAGATGGATCCGGGTAAAAAGCGCTAATTCTGCCTAAGTCTCACCGATCCTCCTTCTCAGAACAATTTCTTCATTCGGGGATTGAAACAGATCCAAGCTCATTCCGGTCCACGTGACAAAGAGCACTTCATCCACATCGATATGCCTCACGCAGGACAAGCCTTCATGGGTCTGGGACATCCGCAGTACCCGCAGAACCTTCTCTCTTCGCCTCAAGTACAAGCTGGTGGACAGTTATGTTGACTACCAGTTGGTGTTGTCGTGGTTGAATAAGTAGATCATGTAGAAGACGTCGTCATCGTCGTTTGCTTCTCGTACAACTAGTTTCGCAAAATGACTAAGTCCTCGGGGATGCAACGACGTTCAGAGTTTGAATTTGAATTTGATAATATCTCCTTTCAGATAATCTGGCGAATTCTGTAGAGTGTTTCATCTTGTTTTCCTCCTCCCCTTTGTTCTCCTCCTATCGGTTTCTAGAGTTCGTCCTCCTCCTTCTCCTTCTTTGCTTTCTTCTAATCACTGTTGCCGCCAACGCTGTGATGAAAGACAAGGCGTTGATTGACAAGGCCATGGCTGAAGCCGAGAACGAAGAGTACCAGTTCATTGATCGCCGAACGCCAGCCAACGTCGCTTACTACAAGGGCATGTTCAACAACCGCATGATCAAGACGTTTCGCTTCACAGATGGGCCTATTCGTACCGAATTCCAGAAGGCTGTGGACGACTACTACTACAAATACCCGGATGGAGTGCCAAGCCGAAACGCAGCGTTGGTCTTGCCGAACATCAAAAACGTCAACATGAACAAAGAGGCCGTACTCCATTTGTTTTCTCACTATCTTCATAGAGACGATGACGATCGTGAAGATTGCTGTCAAGTGAATGAATTGCATGTATCAACAAGTGAAGGAAGAACTGCATGGAGTTTTTCTTCTTCAATATTACGTTTTTTCCAACTGACAAAGACAATCCTTTTAATAGGAGGTTTTTACTCTTACCAATACCATTACCAATATCAATAACCCCTATGTATTCCACGACACACTCACACAGCAACGCATCGACATCGGCGCTGACGAGCATGTTGCGGCAGTGATGTTGGGAGGACAGGCGGCTGTTGCAGCTACCAAGCACTACGTTATGGGTGAAGCTATGCGTTGGGTCAGCGTCGATGCCAATGGAAACTTCGACACAACCAAGAGCTGCCAGAAAGTCACGATCTTCGCCTTCTGCGTCAAGAACGAAAAACTGATCAACGAGGTGATGGAAATCAGCAAGACTCTTGGCGACCAGGCTAAGGATGGACATCGCAGTCGTATCCGCATCTTTGCGCTTGGGCTGCAGGACAGTGACGTGATCGCACCGATTTTCCAACGAGCGCAGAATGTCTACATTCGATCAGGTACAACTTTTGCAGCTGCTGTGGAATACAGTTGACTCGTGGTGGTCTATGAAGATGTTGTAATTTAGTTGAAAATTTATTATCAGGTGGCGTAGGTCAGGATCGACCTCTTCTTTTCTAATTTCCTATTATCAACCTACTTAGGTGGCATGCAAATTTTCGAGGCACGCTCTTTGGTGATGGGCTCCAAGGTTACGATCCATTCTGATCGCCCCTTGATTGTCACGGAGAAAACGAGAGATGGCCACCCTTACAAGTTCTGCACGCGGGGTACTATTTTAGTTTCTATGCTACGAACATAGTCGTATGCGTATCGGACAACTAGGAGATCTGTAACATAACCTATTTATTCCACAGTCGTAGGCCATAGACAAGCCTATCAATCTTGCCGAAGCCATTGAAAATGAAATCTCTATCTTTCCTAGGTATGCTCTCTCACGAAATGGGAAACGCAGCTTGGTTGTTGGAATCCCTGGGACAGGCGATGTTGATCTGTACCTACGACGGAAACGACCGCCAGTGCTTCGAGGTGCAACCGAGTGGAGAACGTTTGGAGTATGAGAAATTCGTCCAAACAGAAGCCGACTCGGCATTCTACGATCCGGTGGAGAAAAAATACAAATGGGCTTCGTGCATCTACGTGCCAGGGAAGCATCTCGCAGCCAAGAACATGAAGGCGCACAAACCGGAAGTAACTCGATGCCCACCGTAAGCAAAAGGTACAAGAGGACGTATGTCCCGGCGTAGGATGGAAGGGACAGAGGAGGTAGTTGTCTCCTCTACCCTATAGAAGGTAGAAGGGCGACTGAGGTAGGATGGAAGGGACAGAGGAGGTGATTGTTGCCTGTTGAACCCCATAGAAGGAACCCTAAAGTGCCTGATGGAGGTGGACGGATCGGTTTTTAGAAAGGAAAGGGAACATAAAATGGTGATGATGATTCTGACCCAGCACAAAAGAATTGAGTAAATACGACAATCGAATGAACTTCATATCTTAGAGACACTAAATTGAGCAGGAGCAGAGGTATAATAGAATCGAATGAACTTCATATCTTAGAGACACTAAATTGAGCAGGAGCAGAGGTATAATAGAATCGAATGAACTTCATATCTTAGAGACACTAAATCGAGCACAGGTATAGAATCAAATGAACTTCATATCTTAGAGACACTAAATTGACGGTATCTACACAATGAAATGCAATTATTGATATCTTGGAGACACGACTAGATCAAAACCTCGAAGCCTTATTTTTGGTTTGGTCACTTGCGCATGTTGTATAAGAAATTGTTACCCGCAAAAGATACGATCATTATAAATATATAGTAGTTTTTGGAAAATACAAATTATAGATGCACCATGACAATGACTACATTGGAACCGCATGATGATGTCCTAGCTTCAGACGACCCCAGATCTTCACAATTAATAACTTGAATAGCTTTAAGTAAGTAGCACTAGCATATCAACCTGCTTAACCACGACTTAGTCAGCACTAGCCTATGAATATGAAGATGTCATAGTCAACTCACTTAACATAGACTTACTATTTAACGCGTACTCTACTATCGTCGGGATTGTTTGTGTATATAAATCGGACTAATGCATAGGCTGGTTGATTCAAAGTGTTAATAACAGGCATCTGAAGAGATACGAGCATGATCACTTTAACTCTAGTTTTAGACAAATAAATGGCACGGTGCTTCTTTCGCTTCCGTGTTATTTCCATGAAATGAATGCTAGATAGCTAGTACCCCGACTCTACTATTTAATGAATGCTTGTAGATCAGTTCTTACAAAATGATACCGTAATGAGCATATTCTTATTCAGACACACAGGAGTACGCGACGAGTGCATAATGGATCGACACAGGCATAGTCCAAAAAAGAAGTACATAGCACCTTTTATAAATAAGGTGAAGCATTAGGTCCAGCGACGCTTAAAGCACATAAGTAAAGCAACCGGTTCGTTTCCCCTCTGAGTCTTATGCTTCTCCCTTCATGCAATACATAGCACCAGAAATACAAGTAGTTGATTCGAATTCACTTTCTAACTCTCACGTCAATAACCAAAACGTGAAGGCTGCTGATGAATGCTTTCTATTTACCAAGTAATCATACACATACTACTTCGTAGGCCATAATTGGAAGCTGAAGATTCGACTGTAAGAGAATCAAAATCTGTTGGATCGGCGAATGACAGCTGGTTGACGCTCGCGCGATATGGCCACGCAAGTGGTTGCGACCAGCTTTCCTACCATTGTGATTCATTAGCAGCAGCAGAAGCGCGGAAGGAAGACAGGCGCGAGGTTGTAGTCACACTTATTCTGCGTTCTGTGATCCTCCGAGCGTGCGCGTCAAAAGAAAGGTCGATTAGATCTGTCACGGGTTGCTGAACGCATCTTCCCTGTACCTGTACTCTTTGAGAAGCAAGCGGATGAAATGTAGCTGCTATCTGAGCGTATGCGTAGGTCATTGTAGTTGAGCTGCGTCTCTGCGACGCCGGAATGATTGCTTCGACCACATATTCATACATATTTCTGTACTGCTGAGGCATTGGTATCTTCTGTTGTGAGAAACAATGGCAGTGAGGATCTAGTGGAGTGTTTCTTCGCCTAGGCTTTCAAAGCAGAAGAGTCTTCATCTTCTGTGATGAATGGCACTATCTATTTCAAATCAATTATCCCATCCAGTCCTATAAAAAACTTTCCCTCTGGTCCCCGACTTCTCCCTCTTCGCTTTCTACTTTGAAGATTTCCCTTTAACAACTTTGTTCTTTTGTAATTATTCCCATCCTATCCTAAATTTTTCGTTCTCTTGCTGCTATCTTCCCAAGATTTCTATTTCATTTCAACGGTTCTTCTAAAAAAATGCCACATTTCTACTTCAACTTCAACTACTCCTTTTTTTAACAACACCACTAAGCAAGAAGTACATATGTATCACTCAGCCTGTCAGAAAATACAAACATTTAAAGATAAAGATGTCCTCGCAGTCCTATAAGTATGGTCGAGGTGGTGCTGACAACATGGGGTCTGCTGGTCCAGGCAGCATCGCCCCTTCCAGCAGTGCGCAGAAGACCACGTTCATGAGTCACGCGAACGAGTCCACCACAGGAGCAGGAGACGACTCCACCGTTGGAAAAAAATTAAGGCTTATTACAGTACTTACTCTTATTTATAATTTATGTTTATCTCAAGGTGAAGGTGAAGGTGTATCTTTGATGTATTGTTTTCTCTCGTACTCGTAAAAGAAAAAGGTATTGTTGTATCTCTGATGTATTCTACTCGAGCCTGCATCGTGCCGGACGGCGCGGCCTGGCCGCAGAGCCGCGGACCTAAACCTTGAACCTTGGAAAACAAAGTCGGTCAACTTTAGGATACGCTACTTCTTCTTCTTCACAAGAGCAAAGAAGATGATGAAAATAGTTGGTAAGGTTCTCTAAGAATAGTGCAGTTTATGGGTCAAACCGGCGCTCCGGTGTCCGGGCGAGGCAGCGGCGACGACAGCGTCGTCTTGACCGAGACTCAGTTCCTTATGGCCGATCCGGATGCAGAGATTGGCGAGAGTGTTCAGTTGACTGAGAGTCAGTTTCTTTTGGCGGACAAAAATGCCGGAATGACTATGGTTGCTGGAGGCAGCATGAACGCTACCACTTACTTGCCGCGTGCTTCGGAACAAGGTTAAGGCATTTTTTGGTTTTGTGAAGATGTGCTGCTGGGTCAGGCTACAGTACTAGTGCTAAGTAGGTCTAGTTGTTGTACTTCTATTCGTCCGGCGTAGAAGCGGTCTACTACTACTTCTTGTTGTTCCGACTTCTAGAAATTCTACTGTGTTGCATACAGCCCTTGATGGCGTCCTACCCTTTGATACGTCCTCTTAGGGGGTAGGACGCCATCAAGGGCTGAAGCTGATCTAGTGAACCTGCCTCCTCCTCGTCCTTGCTTTTCTATTGACCGATACTACGAGCGATGAGTGTGTCGATTTATTCGATAAACTGAAATAACCGAGTTACTGACTGAAATAAGGGAGGCACTAGCTTATAGCGTCAAGGCTACCTTTCCTTCTCGTCAGTATCTCGGTTATTCTGATCAGATACTCGCTTATTTCAGTTTTTCGAGTACGTCTAAACACCTCACGACCTGTTCCTCCTCTTCAGGATGCAATAATCAGGGACTACAAGGACTGACAACGTCTTTACAAATAAGATAGATGGATCCTACTCGTCCTACTCGACGTCCTTGACAGACCACTTGCCTCTCTACTAAGAAGCTTAACAAGGTAGTTAGCCTGCCCACCTTCTTGTCTAGTACCTTGTGAATTCGCGAATTTTTCTTTTTTTTCGTTCTAATCCTTAACCACAAGAAAGAGTTCTGCGGCTTTCGTGGAGTACAAAAGCCAGTCGCCGAACGCACCCTACGACCCTGACTATGAGGGTATCCCGGTCATCACACCCACCCAAAGCGACCCGCTTCGTCTCGCGTTTGCGCGCAGAGTGCTCCTCTACACTGCGATTTCGACACTCATCTCTTTCGGGATTATAGTCGGCATGAAGGCGCTTGCATTTTGCCGTGACTTGCATCAGAGGGTGCCGCATGATGACAATTGGCGTGACCCGATTACAAGAGCTGACGAGCTGTACCTACGCCAGCTAGGTTTTACATGCCTGGCTGATTTCAGATGGGGAGAAAAGAGTCACAAGTACGCCAATGACATGCGCATCATCCATAAAAGACGGTGGAGGGCTTCCCTCGGTGTCCTGATCACCGGCATTGTGCTCGCTATTTGTCTTGCACTGGTCGCGATTTTGCCTGGCCCGGTCGCAAGATTTCGGAATGCCATGCATTCGAAGAGCTGGCTCTCAGTCTTAATGTTAAGGCTCACACTAACGCTAAATTCTGTCTGTCTCTACTGCTACTACTAACTAATCAATGACTAACTAACTACTAAAATCAATACACTGCTACTACTACTAAAAACTACTAAAACCAATCAATACATCGATCTTCTTCCAAGGCATCTTCCTAGAGAGACTTTTCTTCAAGGAGAAAAGAAAAACAAAAAATGCTCTCACTTAAATTTCCCAAAAATAGGAACAACTGTCGCGGCAACCTGCTCTAATGAGAACGTTCGCGGTTGCGATTGTTTATGGCATGATCATGCAGTTTATGGCGATTGCAAGTCAGTGGAGTGATTTCACCTTGGGCGTTGGAGGTGTTGCCATGGTCAATTGCCTCATGGTGGTTATGAGTTTTACAACGCGTACGCCGACGTCCCCCACGATTGCGCTATGGTCGATGTTCTTCGTGGCCTTCTTCAGTCTTTTTATATGCTCCTTTCCGCTTCTCCCGCTTGTCGAGACTGCAGAGTACTACAACTACTACATCATATTTATATTTTTTTTGCATCAGCTTCTAGGAATAGAGCTTCTAGGAATAGAATGTCGATTCATCCAATTTTGATGAAGTAAGTACAACTTCTGACAAGTGGTAAACACGTTGAAATAGATCAATCTTTTCTACTCAATCCGAACAGTATTCGAAAACTCAAAATAAGCGAGCTACTGACTGAAATAAGAGAGTCTTGACTACGTTTCTCTTCTTTCAGTATCTCCCTTATTTTCAATAGTTACTCGGTTATTTCAGTTTTTCGAGTAGTACTCTCTTTTACAAGAACTCTCTCACTCTCCTCAGCTACCCCATGGGTTTCGTGCTGATGAATATTCTGTATCTGTTTCTGTACTCAATGTTCTTCTACATGGGCTTTTACCGATTGGTTTCGGGCAGACATAGCCGTTATCAATTCGGAGTGGAAGAGGGGGCATGGGCTGCTTACATTCTCGCGGTCGAACCGTGGGATATCGCTTACAGCATGCTCTGCACTAGCTGTGGCAAAGGCGGTGGCTGCTATTCCAAAGCAGGAATGAAGAGTCGAAGTAGTAAATAAAATGGACACCAAGGAGCACAAAGGATACGAACTACTGACTCGTTACTTACAGTAAAAAGTAAAATGGACACCAAGGAGGAGGAGCACAAAGGATAAGGGAATGTAAATGAGTTTGAGCAATCTTTAGAACTGCACATATGATAGGACATTGTCCTCGTGATATGAAACTGAATACTTACTTCTACTTGTCTGTCTTGTAAATGAAAAAAAGACAACTATTAAGGTCCTACAACACCGATTCATTGAACTTCTTTTTACGGACTGTACATCAAGTTAGACATAAAATGTACAGTTGTATCTCAACTTGAGGAAACCAGTAGTATAATTTGATAACTAATTGTACTTCTGATTTGTTTTATACATTATCGCACGGGAGATTGGGAGTCCAAATTACTGAGTTCTTCGAACATGGATAACATGCTTTAATTTGAGCTGTAAAAATCTGCTAGATGAGATGTAAATTCAAGGGGTCGACGTTACGGATTCAGCTATTGGGCCGGCCTTACCAGGCGCCGGCTATCACGACCAAGATGATCATGATGCGCACGCTGTCACAACCTCTGTGTTTTCTATTGATGTGCGAGCTTCAAGGACCTTCACCTTTATTCTAGGGCGGCGAGACTGCAAGGCGAATATCAAGATTCCGTAAGAGCTAACGTCGGTTACTATTTCTTGCAGAGTAGCTGTGCACGCATCCTAACCACTTCTAAACCTTTACTGAGATGACCTCAGAGAGAGAGACGTACAGAGAGTGGTCACTGACTTTCTTAGAGAGAGTGGTCACTGACTTTCTTAGAGAGAGTGATCACTGACTGTGACTTTCTTAGAGAGAGTGGTCACCGTCACTCACTTTCTTAGAGAGAGTGATGACTGACTGTGACTTTCTTAGAGAGAGTGGTCACCGTCACTCACTTTGTTAGAGAGAGTGGTCACTGACTGTGTCTGTGGCTTTCTTAGAGAGAGTGATCACTGACTTTTTTATGAAAGTAGTTCTTTGAGTCAGATAAGGAAGATTCTCCACTCGTAGTACAAGATCTTTTCTTTGCTACGACTGCATGGTAGAAACGAACATGGACTTTTAGGATGGAACAACGCATCCAACAACAGCAACTACTACCACATGTTAAATAATGTTGTTCTTTTCTTTGCGTTAAATGTCTCTGTCTCAACATTAACAAGTTTCAGTAAGTCGCACTAAGTCACTAACAAGAAAATCCATCGTTGCAGCAATCAACTCAATCGGCTACAACTCTTGTTCAAAAATGTCCTCCGTTTCCTGTGAGATAGACAGTAGCGTCTCTTCTGGCGGAGACGACGCGACCCCCACACCAATGGATATAGACGGAGAGGATGCTTTTATTACGGCTAGCTTGATATCACTATCCCATGTAGTTCTTGTGGACTATCATGTGCTGGACTAACTATGCTGAAGAGTGGATTCCCCTCACTATCTCATGTGGACTAACTATGCTGAGTGGATCGATTCCCCTCAGAAGGCAAGGGAAAAGAAAGCAACTCACTCAGCCACGTGATTGACTAGCGTTAATTTCAGCGTGGAAGAGAATTCCTCTGAGGGTGTCGAACAGCTCACGCCCTACGTGCCGCCTACCGCACGTTCCCGCGTGAACACTGAGGAGCCAGCAGTCAACACTGGTGGTGGTGCTGGTGCCAGTGTTGGCGGGGGAATGGCCGTAGTTATGTTGTGGTTGTCGTCTAGTACATTGCACTTAGTCATGTATTCCTGAAACCTACACGGCTTGAGAATAGTGTGCAGTTTTTACGAAATTAGTAGCTGGTTAATTACCTTCTAAGATGTACAGCCGAATTGCATCCACGACAAGCCCAAACCGAGGACGGGAATCGATAACCAGCATTATGCTACGAAGAGCGTCCGAGTTTGCTCTCGCAGGTGTACCAAGAACAAGCTACGGTGGTACTCCGATTCTGACTCCTCAGCAGAGGCGTGAACGAGAGTTGCTTTCCCGTGTGCTGTTCTCAGATGACCTTTTTTCCACTTGTATCGCACCCTTTCTGGATTTGAGAGAGTGGCAACCCTTGTTACTTACCTGCCGCGAGGCTGCGCGCGTGCTAACGACCGGCGACGGGCGCGCCGTGGGGTCAACATTGGTCCTCAAAGCAAAGAAAATACATGCGGTTGGAGGGGCAAATCTTATGTGCAAGAGACAGTACGAGTACTATGATCTTCAACAGGATATCGATATGGATGGACACGGGGGATCGTGCCCTTGGTTAATTCTAGTCCTAATCCTAGGCAAAGCAAAAGGAAATAGAGCGTGCCTTTGCCTATTCATCTTGTTCCACTAATCCACCAGCAGTGAACTCGAGCAAACGACCACGTTACAAAGTTCAGCGGCCTTTCTTTGTAGGGGTTGCACAACTGCGAGTACTTTCTGTAGAGGTAGAGGAATTTGAAAGGGTTTTGCCGAGACGAGATATGAGTGCTCTTTTGGATTTATGAAGAGATTTACTGCTGGTCTTGTTTTTATTTTTATGCTGCTAAGAGGACTAGTTTTCTCCTACAAAAAGAAAGGTGATTGAATGGGAAAACACAAAACTTTTATGGCGATAACACTGATTGATACTGAAACGAGTTGATCAAGCACCACCTTCCTCATCCTCTAATCACTGCCCTCTTGCCATTTTTTATGCCCTCCGGAGCATTGGAAAAGCTGGTTGAGTTTTCTCTACCCCACTACGCCAATGTTGGGTTCATGCTACCACCACCAGTAGAACATAACGGAATTACAGCCGTTTTGCCAAGAGCTGCGATGACGAAAAAGTGGACACGAAGCAATGGGCAGGAAGTGCCGTTTGGTATATTACCTCTGCAATTTATTTTCCGCGAGAAATACTAGGATCATGGTTGTGAGTGAATTTCGAAATTCAGAACTGGATTTTTAGCATGAGGACGAATGCTTCACCTGTCTTCGAAAGGTCCAGCGGAAGCTCCTCAGCGAAAAACGACCCAGCTTGCGCGAGGCTTGCGGAGTTTGACAGTGCTTGAAGTCTTGGAAATTCCGGTTGCAGTCGCGCTTGCCCGAGTTGGGGTTCCGCGTTTAACTTCATGCCGCTTACGAAGATTCCTGATATTCGGCAAGCTGGAATTGAGCCGCATCAATCGAGGATGTCTTGCTTTTCAGCTGGCGGTTCAAAACAAGATCCAAGACTTTGGGTGCAGGATTGGCCCAATACCAACGGGGGCTGCGCGCAAAGCCGTACTTAAGGGTAGAAGTTTATCTTCACCTTAGCTTCCCATGTAGAAGTTTATACCGCGTGTGGCGTGAAATCCCCCTTTTTGATCTGAAGGGGAAAATAATAAAGGGGGAAAAGGGCAACTCACTCGGGCAGGGATAGTGAAAAACTACCGCTAACGTACGTGCCGATACAGTGGCGTTCGTCTACAAGAATGGGAAGGAAAAACTAGAAGAAGTAAGAGCAACAGCTAACGGAGCCGGCTTACAACTCCAGTCCTCTGAGCAAGTCTTGGGTGCTGGAATGAGTTCATCCAGTTTATTTGCAAAGAATAAAAATACTACTGGTTCTACTACATCTACAGCTGCTACAACATCTGCTCTAGTGGAGCCAGACGACCTCGTGACGGAACAAGTACAGGAGTTTTTCCAGAACATATTAGCGAACCTGCATCGTCTTCGGCTCTATTGTGCAGCTCGATATTGTACTGGTGGCGCTCTGTGGGCCGAATTGTGGAAACCGAATCGTCCTCAGTTGAAGGAGCTCATTTTCGGAGATCCTAATTCTGTTATGGCGGTCACGGTAGAAGATCTTGTACTCAGTTTCAAAGTACTCTGGAGAGGATCAAGAGCTAGTTGTCCTAGTAACAGTAAGGCTTCAGGAATCTTTATTTATTAGTCTCAGGCAAGGCTCATCAACATGCTCAGAGCCAAATAACCGTTTCCTCTAACATTCAAGATTACTTCCCACTCGAACCGGTCCTGAGTTTTCCGATCCCCCACAGCGTCAAGACGTTGCGGATCCATAGTGTAGATTTCTCAAAGGCCGATCCAGCAAAAATTACTGCATTTTTTGCTCCAGAGGAACTACAAGTTGACGATAAGAATAAAGGTATCATCTTCAACACTATGACAGAAAAAAGTGTACTCATAGTACTCAAGAAAAGAGGCACTTTCTAAATAGGAATAAGTGCCTACTTTCTTGAGGATGACGAGTACACTTTTTCGTTTCATAAACACCGGCGCAACAGCGGCAGCGTCGAGTGTCATCAAGCGTGTGCCAGCGATGTTGATGTCTGCGAAAAGGGTGCTGGAACATCAGGCAGCGGGAAGGAAAGGAAGTTCAACAGTGGATACTCTTTCCCTTTCCGGGAGTTATTCTACTACAGGGGTGCCGTCATCTTCAACTTGTTCTTCAAGGACGACATCACTTTCCAGTCTTCAACTCGGTCAGCCAGGACCTGCTCAGCCCAACAGCACGACGAGTTCCTCAACACTAGGCCAAGATGAACCTCGTCCGACAACTACAACATCAATCTCAACAACTGATATCAATGTCAATGTGAATTGCGCACATCAAGATGAAGTACAAGCTGCACCTCCTACTTCGACTAGCACAACAACATCTTCTTCATCAACGATTGTCATTCAGAATGGCTCTTTTGCAACGGCCACATCAACTTCTTCTAGTAGTGGAACTACATCTACTGTTCCTACTTCTACTTCTACGCCTCCTCCATCATCTCCCGCACCAACCTCCGGACCCTTGGCGAATGTCACTTACCTTGACCTGGAGACTGAAAATCGCTTTGGCTCAGTCAATGTTGGCGTGTTGTATGGAATGCTGAGCGCAACCTCAGTTTTGCCATCATTGGACCCAAGCTGCCGACAAAGTTTAATTTATGCTTTTCATTTCACACACGACGGTTAGCTTTCACCTCTATGCTTTTTAGGCTTACCCCTCTAAACAACATGATATCTTAGAAAAAAACAGCCCCTGGTGATGGTGTCTCCTCTACTACAAGGTGATTGAGTTACTTATCATTATATATAGATATTATATTTATAATTTTGATTTTCTATTCATCACCTAAGCTCCGCATCTTTCACTTTCTCCCCCATCTTCTAATTTTGCCGATACTTCGAAACCGCAGCTAGGACGAAGAATACGACCAATGCAGGCGAAAGTAGCTCTGATGAGGCGTCGGATGACGAGGATGACGAACAAAGTGACAGCGAATAAGTGTGAGTCTTCAAAAATCCAGTTTTTTGTAGCATCGAATCCAGTTAAAGTTGATTTCGTTTTTACGTTTTTCTTTTTCATTTGCTTGATGTAGAAGATGGTGGTGGCCTTGATCATGGTAGTTGGCCAGTATGAAGTTATTTTCTTATGAGTATCAAGTTACTTTTAATGTTGGAAATTATACTTTCTGCACAGGGCTGTCGCATTTACCGCTAAGAGTAATTGCAGCCAATTATTTAGATGAGTTACGGGCATCAATTGAATCAAATTAGTACTCTTCCAAATCCAATTGTAAAGTGAGAATCTCTCTTCTTGTTCTTCAGTGGAACAGGATAATCTAACCTATTAGACAGCAGACCGGCTAGACGAAATCGATACAGACAGACTTTCTACCATCATAAAACTTAATAAAGCTCGTATGTACAGTTGACTAAGTCACAAGTAGAGGGAAGTGGAATTACTGGAGATTGAGTGCGTCCCGTTTTTGGAATTTTGAAAGACCTTGATGAACTGTGAAGCTAGATACAAGGACAACCATCGTCCCTTTATCGAGACAAAAATGGCAATGCATTCATGATCAAAATTAATACTAGTACTTTTCGAATGCAAAACCTTCTCCTTAAACATCTCCTCGATGACGCTGCTGCGATGGCTGAGTTATTGTCTAGTATGTGGACGCATCGCTTAGATTAGCGGGTAGAAATCGTCAGGAAAGTCTTAGGCAGGTTGCCGAGTAGATTCGCATCATCGTCATCATGTGGACGCATCGACCCCATCGCTACACGTGAGAGAAAACCGGCCGTCGTTTTAATATCCTTGTTTCGCTAAGTCATTATCGGCTTCGAGAGTTGCTGAGGTATTTCTGAGACGTGTGCTTGTTGTCATTCAAAATGCAAAATCGACTTTGTTTTGACCAGTGCAAATTGTTAGCCTGCCGCGCTCCTTCGCGTGGGAACCAAAGAGCATCGTCCATTTATTACACTAAAAAGGCCGTTACTCTTAATTCGATAAGGAATAAGAAATGAATACCCACCCGCCTCTTGGTCCTAGGAGAGCAAATGTGAGCAGGAGAATTCTGATGGTTACAAAAATGGCTTCGCCCGGCTGGGCCGCGGCCTTTGGCGGCATGTTGATTGGCCTGCGAGCAGAGGGAACGACGTAGAAGTCCCTACTACAACGAGTCATTCGTGAGGACACGCGGGCGTAGCATATAAGTAATTAAGCAGCTGCAGCAGTGCCAGTCGTGGCGTCCCAACGGCGAGTCTCACGAGAGGCCTATCCTTCGTGATCGTCCGCTGTCAGGCGAAGTCTAGTACAAGGATAGCCATCACGCCGGAACGACGCGAAGAACAACATTGGACCACTAGAGAAGCAGAAGAGTTCTACCGAAGAATACAAGAATTATAAGTACTCAAATACTACTAGAACAATTGACTCCGAGCAGACATCTCCGAGCTCAGAAAATAGTACAAGATGAAGCCGAGTTACAGTAACCGATATTTGGAGACGTCTAACTCAACGGCGTCTCTAAAAACGGTCAAACCAGACTGGTCCAAGTTGGAGGACCTTGACAAGTCTCAGGCATCAGCAGGAAAGCCACCAAGAATAAAGCCAGACTACTCTAGCGAATCACTTAGGAGAGATGGTAAGAATAGACTCTGATCTAGTTCTAGCAGGTTCTGTTGATATTGTACTAAAGCTTTCACGACCCAGGAGACCCACGGCACACAGCAAACCACCTGCATGAATTAATATTGCAAAAATAGATTCAACAGATTGTCTATCTCCACCGACAAGCGTGTGTCATCCTCGACATCCCTCCTCCAAAGGCCTCTTTAGGGTCCTTAAAGGCCTCTTAAGGGTTCTTTATAGTGTTCACATTAAAGGCGGCGGCCCTTTAGTGGTCACATTAAAGGCGAAGAGTGCTCGGGGATTTTTAATAGTATTTAAATAGAGTATTCAGATTGTCTATCTCCACCTAACCCTAAGTACAAACATGCATTATCCTCGACATCCCTCCTCTACTAGGTATCAAAGCCGGGATCGAAGTCACGACGAGGCCTGTGAAAAAACTGAAAGTAGATGATGTGCAAGGCGGAGTTGACGAGGCTCTCGAAAAAGTGGGGATCAAATATAGGGATCCTGCTTTTGAGTCTCAAATTCTGCTACCGCTTTTTGCATACGACGACAAGACATTGGTCTTCCGGCACCCCGAAGAGTGGCAAGAATGCTGCTTTCCACTCAAAGCACATAGTCTGAGGCTGAATTTTACGACAGGAAGTAGTGGTTGCAAGTTGTTCAACGTAAACTACACTCTTAATTAAGGGGACGACAATAGATCCGATCCATTGTGGTCCCCAATGTTCTAAGTACTAGCCCTACTTTTATTTATCACAGAAATAGTGCTATTGGGTTCCTTTTTCTTCTTGAAGCCAACTTAGACCCAGTGATTATAAACTTCGACATAGTCACAGTCACTACTTTTTCTAACACCCCCTCCGGTTCAGGCAGCTACCAGCCATGTGTAGTCGTCGATTACGATGCACAGGGGAAGAAGTTCTACCTTAACTGGATGACGGATTTGCAGACAGGAACGAGTTCCTCTAGTAGTAAGCCCCCAGAGGCGAAGCCAGTGGCCCAGGAGCCATTGCACGTCTACTTCGAGTTAAGGGTTCTTGCCAATAGTTGATGACTACATCTACTTTACAGGCATGATATTTGTTTCCTGATGATTTATTACAAGCAAAAAGGAAAATAAACAAAAACCGTTGAAATGCAGCACGGTAAGAACGGTAAGTATGAATGTCAAGAATTGAAAATGTCTAATCGAAGGTGAGGATTTAGACCTCTACTGCAAGCGAGTAAGCACTTGTCATCAGAAGCGGAGATATGCGGAGAGTCTATTGAAGTACAACTTCTGCATAGACCAGATGCCAGCGGATAAAGTTAGCACATGTCCACAACATGTGCTGGAGTTATGGCTTGAAAATGTCATTTAGAATTTTTTTCAATAGGAATAGAAGAGTGATCATGAGCAATTTCAATATTGAAAAACGAAAATACCACCATCGACATGATATGATTAGTGACGGCTTCATTATGATCGAAGTGTGACCAGTCACTCAGACTTTTTTACTTTTGCTTTTCTTTATATTTATATAAGTTCCTAGGTAAACCTCATTATATAAGTTTCTACTTTCGGCTCTGCCTCAACACTCCTTCCTCCTCTAAGGACACGGATCGGAGACACCGCGTGCAATACGAGTTACCTCAAAGAGGATAGGCACGAGTTGGACTTGACGACATTAGAAAAGGAGGTATCAACAGACTATAGTAGGGCGATGAACAAGATCATCTTTGATGACGTAGTCTCGCAGGAGAAGGAAAAGCACCTATTGCTAGACCTAGAGCTTCCGCCACCACCGGAACCAGAACCAGTACCAAGAAAGGGGGTGAAGTTAAGTCTAGAAGAGGTTAGACAGTACAGTCAACAGTACAGTGAAGTTAGAAGAGGTGGTTAGACAGTAGTAGAGTCAACAGTACAGTGAAGTTAAGTCTAGTAGAAGAGGTTAGACATCAGTACAGTGACAGTCAACAGTACAGTGAAGTCAAGTCTAGAAAATGTTTAGAACTCAACAAAAGAGACTCAGGGAAGTCGTAGGTCCAAGCCGAACCGACTAACTACATCCTCAGCCAGTGCGGTAGATTTCCTTGGCGTAGCTTCTCAGCAGGGGCATGTGGCCCAAACGTTTTTGTAGAAGTCTTGTAGCGTGCTGTTGTAAGTCTTGTACGACATCGCCTAGTAAGTACTTCTACGTGAGTATTGATTCTTCTTCTACTTGATGATCTCTCGTCCTACCCTCTTCTAATCCAAGACATCGGCTGTGAGGGGTTCGACTTCCGGCAGTCTTTTTCCGTTTTTTGCAAGACCTCATTGCGCATCCGACCGGAAGTGGTAGCCTGTCTGTCAGACGTCCAGAAAGAGTGCCAGACCGTGCTCAACAGGTCTATTTTTAGAGCGAATTATGCGGGAACCTACGACGCAAACTTAGTCAAGAGGTTGGATGAAGTAGACATCGTGCATGCACCGCAGACACCGGATGAGTTTTTGCGCGCAGAATCCGCGCACATAGACACCATGGGCTATCTGTCGCAGAAGTTTGTCCCAAATGTCCGCGCACATGTGTATCGACACTTGAATTTAAGGTGACTTCCCCCAAAAATCCATCTTCGAAAGCATGCATGATCTCCAAGAGGCTTTTCAAGGGGAAAAGGCGCCTAGGATGCGTCTCGAGCTGGATTAAGGTGTTGAGCGCTAATGAATGCAGTAGAGCAGAAGTGGTTCAACTTGTACGAGACAGACCGAAACAAGTATTTGGCTAGTCGGTTACGCTGTTTCTTAGAGGAAATCGACCTGCGAATCCAAGACACCATCCACACTTTGGGTGTGAAGTCGTTGCACTTTTTCGACCGGCTATTGGCACTCTACATGCCGGACAATGTGGTTGTGAATTCGTTGCGGGACGTGAAAGTAGTACGAAGAAAACCCTTGCCGCCAACAGCCATCGCCTTGAAGAAACCGGTAGTGCTGCTTCGGCTTCGTATGGTGCTCACTTTTGAGAAGAAAGCAGCGGGTGCGGCAGCAGTATCAGCTAGACCAGCATCCAAGGAGCCTGGTGCGCCACGTAGGTCGTCCAAGTTTCGTATGGCGGGAATGAAAATTTCAGTCACAGAAGCGTTGAAAAAAAGGACGTCGAAATCTCAACTGGCGAACCGGCGGTCATCATATCAGCTAGACGACGGCTCAGGACAACCAGCAGAAGATCTGAAGCCCTATAGCTACGACGTAAAGCCAGAAAGCATTGCGAATATGCTAATGCACCTATTCGACAAAGGCGTTAAGCAGCTAGACGATATTAGCAGTATCCAGCTTCTAGTACTGCCGCACTTGTTTGAGTCAGGCGAGGGGCTGCTGAAAAAGGGATTCACTGCGAATGACTCGTACTAGTTTTACTGAGAAGATTAATACTGAGTTGATACGTTCACGATACCTTGTGGTGCTTCTCCTAGATGCTAGTCTTAGCGTGGCGCTTTCACGGCTCTATAGTATAAATTTCAGTATTTTTACAACACCCAGAAGTTTTCAACAACAATTCCACCTGATCCCCAAGCTCAACTACTACCAGGTGGGTGAAGAAGCTCCGACTGCAGATCAAGGTGTGCATGGAGAAGCACTTGCCTTGGCTAGAAAGCACCATCGGCTTCTTCGAAGCCTTTATGGATACCATTGAGGTCAGTCCGGAGAAGAAGATTGAGGAACTAGAGACCAAGTTCAAGACCGAGGGTCCAGATTCCATACCGGTAGCAGAGGTCCAGAAACTGGTGGACCAGCAAAAGACAAAGCAGAATCATATCTTATGGCTTTTGCTGCACCCCCGTGTACTATAGGGGAATAGCCCCGTCCGTCGCCGGCATCTTCGCGGATAAACATGCAAGCTCTTCCCTTTCGGATAAGCATGGCACTACAAAAAAAAAAATACTTCATCATCTGCATTGAATAGAAGAAGCACTAACAATTACTAAGTTGTACTAAAAATACATAGTACGACAAGAACAACTTCACGTTTGATAACCTAGCTATGTTATAGTTTGTAGATGAAGTTTCTGAATACTTACCCTGCTTCATCCTCTCACTCGTCTTATACTTTTTTCCCTATCAACATCTTCTTCCTCTTCCACCCGCTCTAATCCCCAACGAGTCCATCCCAGACCACATCGTCGTCGGCTTTTTCCAGATCGACTGCGTTGACTTCAAAAAACAGCTGTGCGACAAATTAGAGCGTTTGTCCAGGTTGTACCTGAAGTTCTTGGCGGACGTCAAGCTAGGCATTCTACTGCAGTCAGCCACAGACCAGTTTGGGGATATGTTCAAGAAGCTGCGGGAACCGGTGCATAACATTGCGGAACTGTGCGAACAACAGGATTACATCGGTGGGTTGGAAGCGGAGGTGAAGAAACTCGAAGTCACGGTGAAGGATAACATCGCATTGTGTGAACTGTTGGAGTTATGGAAAAGGCCGCATAAACATATCTTGTTGTAACTCTACTGCATACAACGTGTACCAAGATTCTTAAACTTTCTATTTATCAGAAGTTGTTGTTTGAGTCATCATTCTTGAAGATCTTGAATCAATATATAAGGCCTTTTTTAACTTGAAGATCACGAAGTCCAAGAGAATTAACAGCTCACTCTCTGATAGCCATCTCTCCATCTGATCTCTCCTTTCATACCCCACAAAATACGGTTACAAGCTGACCCGCGACGTCTCTGACAAGCGCTGGCGCATGTTCGGGTCTCCAGGTGACGTGCGGAAACTGATGAACGAAGTTTCCGACAAGCTCGTGGTCCAACGTGAAGAGTTCTTGATTACGGCTTTTCTTTATCCATCTTCTGAGGGGGCATCCTGAAGAGGCTTTTGAAGGGGAAAAAGCAACTGGGATGCGTCTCAAGATGGATCGATAAGGGTGAGCTCTAACTTGAACGAGAACATGAGTGAGCAACAGGCCTACGAGAAGTTGTTCGCGAAGTTGAAGACCGAAGTGGCAGAATTTACCAAATTCGATTCCTTGGGCATGGTTGACCATGTGGCTGCGAAAACCCGATGGATCTCAGAGCAGTTCGAAAAAAGCTTGGTCGACACTAAGGAATTCCAAGCGAGAGAAATCCTGTTTGACCCGACGAAAGAACCGACAGATTACAGTTCTCTAGGAGAACTAATCAAACAATTCGAACCCTACCAGAACCTGTGGAAGACAGCAGGAGATTGGGTGGAAAACAGACGGGCTTGGATGAACGGAAATTTCAACGACATAGACTCCAAAAAAGCGGAAGAAGAAGTTCTTAGCGGTATTGCTTTTGTGCGATTTTCTTTTTCATCTACAGCTGCTCATTGCATTTTCTACTAGACGTACTTGACTCGACCTAGAGCTAGAGGTTGTAGAAGACGTAAGTAGTTTTTTTTTTCGTGACCAACCAATCAACGATTCAACTACTTCTTCTACTAGTACGTACAAGCACAACCTACCACCTCCATGCTCCCCTTTGTCCAACAACTTCTACCTCCCTAAACCTCTCCAGGCATCAAATTGATGTTCAAGACGGTGCGCATGTTCCAGACTATGGAGAGTAAGCAAAAGGAGGACATGCAGGAATGGAATATGGAACACCCTGACGAGGAATTCCCAGAAGCCATATTAGAACTGTCGGGGATCATCTCCATTGCGGAAGCAATCAAGGGCGAGCTGGAGGAATTCAAACCGAATCTACCTCTGTTAAGGCTTCGCTTGCAAATACTAGATGAACAGGATAAATAAGTACACACATTCTTTCATTTTTTACTCTCTTTCAAACTAAGTCCTGCTTCTGAAAGAATTGGATACATCTTTCAAACTCAATCGAGTTGTATGACCATCTCGTCTAATCCTTATCGTCGGCTTAAGGAATCCCGGTATGCGTGATAGACACTGGAAGCAGATCAGTGAGATGGCTAGCGAGACCACTGGACGGGAGGTTTCTGTGTCACCAGAAATGGACGGATTCACCCTAGAAAAGTTCCTAGGCTTAGGGTTGCAGTCCATGATCGAGGACATTGAGTCCATTGGAGACCGTGCTGGCAAAGAGTTCTCCTTGGAGAAATCCTTGGCGGCGATGAAAGCAGATTGGGAACCAGTAGCGTTCGACTTAAGCGGGTTCTACAGGAACACAGGCACGTACATCTTTTAAGGGTAGGCTAAAGTAGATGTTCCTGCTGTTACCGTTTGTTTTGCTTATCTTCCTGCGGGGACGAAAATAAGGCAAAACAACCGGGAAACAAACAGAAACTACACCAAGTAAAACCTAGAAGTACCTCTAAATCGTGAAAGGCGCCGATGAGGCTTTGGCGTTATTGGACGAACACATCGTGATGACGCAGGCGATGCAATTTTCGATCTTCAAGAAGCCATTTGAAGAGGAGATAGATGAATGGGCGACGAAATTGATGCTAGTGTCCGAAACTCTGGACATGTGGCTGAAAGTGCAGAGAAGTTGGATGTATCTACAGCCGATTTTCGACTCGGAAGATATCATGAAACAACTGCCGGCGGAGGGGAAGAGGTAAATAAAACTAAATTTAATTTATTTTATGTCGAGAAGTAAGGAAACGAAGAAAGTATTTGATAGTTATGGACGCCAACGTCGTGCATCGATCCTTTGTCTTTAACCTTCGTAACGAGTGACACAGACACACATCACGCAACAACTATCAAATGAACAACCTTGTTAGGTTCAAGCAAGTCGACACGCAGTGGCGCCGCGCTATGAACGCTGCGCATGCGAATCCAAAGGTGATCGAAATCTGTGCCGACGAAACCCTGCGTGACATGTGGATGCAGTCTAATGTCATGCTCGACATGGTCCAAAAGGGCCTCGAGGACTACCTCGAGATGAAACGATCTTTGTTTGCGCGCTTCTATTTCCTCTCGAACGACGAGTTGCTGGAGATTTTGTCCCAGACAAAGGACCCGACACGGGTCCAGCCATTTTTGTGCAAGGTCTTTGAGGCGATGGGCAGCGTCATTTTCACCGAAGACTTGGACATCACTGCGATGAACTCGACAGACGGCGAAACGGTGCCGTTTGTTGATTAAGGCTACAGAATAGTTATCTTTCTAGTCTTCTTGTTCTTGACTCGTCGCCCCTGGTCCGTCTAATCGGTACCAATGGCAACGAAGGAGAAGAACGTGGAACAGTGGATGACGGAGGTGGAGTGGAACATGAAGGAGGCTGTGCGCGCGGCTATGGAGGACGCCGTTTTGTCGTACCCAGAACGTGACAGAAAGGATTGGGTTCTAGAACATCCTGCACAAACTTATGGTCAGCTTTTATCCATCACCATCTATCTCAGCGTCTTGGTACTCGTCTTGTTTTCCCATAGACTTATAGGCTAGGAAGAAGGGAGCAAGATGATCTTGGGGAGCCGAGGTGAATTTTGGCACATAATTCTAACAGACAGTGTTGAACGGTTCTCAGGTGTACTGGACCGATGAAACGGAGGAATCATTTCAGGACAACAGTGTGAAGCAACACTGTGATAACTTGGCGAAGCAGATTTTGGACTTGGTCGGCTTAGTGCGTGGTAACCTGACGAAGGCACAGAGAACTTCGATAGGAGCGCTCGTGGTGCTGGATGTGCACGCGAAAGACGTGGTGGAGAAGTATGTAGAGGAGGGCGTCTGCGACGAAGAGGCCTTCGAGTGGATCTCTCAGTTGCGTTACTACTGGGAGCATAACGAGGACCATCCAGGCTACGAGAGCAGTCAGAATCGATCGAACCTTTGGGTGAAGTGTGTCCAGACCGAATTTCCCTACGGCTACGAGTACTTGGGGAACAGCTTCCGTTTGGTGATCACACCACTGACCGATATGTGCTACATCACCTTGATGGGCGCGCAGAGTTTGAACTTGGGAGGCGCACCCGCGGGACCGGCCGGAACGGGTAAGACCGAAACAACCAAGGATTTGGCGAAGGCTCTGGCGAAGCAGTGTGTGGTGTTCAATTGTTCGCCAGAGATGGACTACATCATGGTCGGTAAGTTCTTCAAGGGATTGGCTTCCTGCGGCGCTTGGTGCTGCTTCGATGAGTTCAACCGAATCTACATCGAGGTGCTCAGTGTGATCGCGCAACAGCTTCTCATTCTTTTCGGCGCGAAGTCTGAACTGGCGTCCTATTCCGATGCCAAAGAGCTAGATTTCGAAGGCAGCATGATCAAAATGTTCCCGACCTTCAACGTCTTCATTACGATGAATCCTGGTTACGCTGGACGAACGGAGCTGCCCGATAACCTTGCAGCGTTATTCCGACCCATGGCAATGATGGTGCCAGACTACGGTCTCATCGCTGAGATCATGCTTTACGCCTTTGGTTTCGACGCTGCGCGTCTACTGGCGAGAAAGATGGTTTACACGTTCAAATTGTCAAGTGAACAGCTTTCTTCCCAAGACCACTACGATTACGGAATGCGTGCGGTGAAGACTAGTATCGAGGCTTGCGGTTTGTTGAAGAAAACTTTTAGGGACATGGATGAAAGCCAGATTGAGTTGCGCGCGTTGAGGGATGTCAATGTGCCGAAATTCTTGAAGGACGATTTGCCACTGTTCGAGAACATCATCTCGGATTTGTTCCCAGACACACCACGACCCGTGGTCGACTACGGCGATCTCTTCACGGAGCTGGAAAAAACTTGTAAAACGGTGTTTAACTTGCAACCGACGCCGTGGTTCATCGAGAAGATCATTCAGTTAATGGACACGATCCGCGTTCGTCACGGAATGATGATTGTGGGTCCCACGTGGGCAGGCAAGACGCAAAACTACCGCGTCTTAGCGCATTCCTTGACGCAGTTAGCCCCAACCACGAATGAGGACTACTTTAAAGTGACCAACATCTACATCATCAACCCAAAGGCGATTACGCAGACGCAATTGTACGGTGCGTTCGACGAGGTCACGCACGAGTGGAGCGACGGAATCGCGGCAGAAGAGGTTCGCATTGCGGTGAAAGCGGGTAAATCTGGAAGCGACGACAATCAGTGGATCATGTTTGATGGGCCAGTCGATGCCCTCTGGATCGAGTCCATGAACACGGTGCTGGATGACAACAAGAAGCTCTGTCTCACTTCCGGTGAGATTATTTCTCTCACGCCGTTCATGCGCATTCAGTTCGAAGTGGAAGATTTGAGTGTGGCTTCGCCAGCAACCGTGAGTCGTTGCGGTATGGTCTACATGGAGCCTGTCGCGTTAGGCTCGATGCCTCTAGTAGAGTCTATGAAACCTCTCTTCCCGAAGTTGATCCCAGATCCGATGCGGGACAAGTTTGTCAAACTTTTAGCCGCCTTCCACACGCCTTTGATCCGCTGTATCTACAAGAAATGTGCTGAACCGTCTACCACGGAAACAAACCAAGTCGTTGCAGCGTTCTGTTAAGGCTACCACCTCCCATCTATCTATGTCTAAGAGGATCTTCGCCTCTCAAGCGTATGGAACCAACGGGTACTATTGTTCTTGAAGGGTATCGGTTGTATCCTATGTATAATTTGGGGATAGACCACGACTAAGGAAACGGAAAATATATCCTATTTGGGGACTTTCGAAAAAATTTGAAATAGTTTGTTCCTCTAATTCTGGCGCCTCTTCGCAACTTTCTTGCAAGACTACGAGATCACGGAGGCGCGCACACCAACCGACGCAGACATTGAGGATTTCGGAACCACTATCTTCTCCAACGTGTTTGTCTTTTGCTGCGCCTGGGGTATCGGTGGAAGCATCACAGCCGCAACGAGACCAGCGTTTTCTTACGGCTCACTTATTGATCATCCTATAGGCATGTAGACTAAGTACTTATGACTATAAATATTTTATATTGAGAAAAAATTTGAAGTTAAAGTTAAGCATTTGGTATTTCTACAACTCTATTCTCTATTGATTCGACGACATGCTCGACATGCTGGATCAGCTCTAATGCTTGGCGGACACGTGGGAGCTGATCGAAAAACATTCGGGAGAGTTGGAAGGCTTTAGCTTGAAAAAGGACACCTCCATCTACGACATGTGCTACGATGTGGAAAAGAAAAAATGGATCAAGTGGGATGACACTGTCCCTAAATTTCAGGTACAAATCTATTTTTTTTAGACTAGATTCATTTGATATAATATTTTCAAAAGTAATTTCATCGTACTACAGTTTGAGTAAGTGCGATGACACAGCTGTGGTACCCAAATTTCAGGTATTTCATGACTTTTAACTACAGTTCTACTAACTTGTTTATATTGGATTTGAAAATACGTTGCAGCGAGTCTAGCAGATCCGCTTATGCTACATCAGTCTACTTTCACGACTGTCTACTTTCCCCAAAAAATGACTTACGACAGATCCCTCCTCGAGCCGAGTATGACAAGATCGTGGTGCCGACTACAGACAGTATCCGCATGATGTTTACCGCTTCTCGTTTATTGGAGAACGACCGTCATGTCTTGGTTCCAGGTAATACGGGGACCGGAAAGTCAATCTTGATGGCACAGTATCTGCAGAAGAATGCCCCAGACTTTATTCTGTTAAGGCTCAAAATAGTTCTTCATTTCATCGTCCAACGGTCGTCATTTTCTTCTGTCTCCTGCTTGGGATTCCGAAGAAATGGAGGGAAGAAATGAATCATCTTTCTGTGCTCTAATTCTGTCGGTCTTCATCAATTTCTCAGCGCAAACACACGTAAACCAATTCCAAGACCTCCTCGATTCGAAGATGGAAAAACGACGACGAGGCGTGTACGGTCCGGCTGCAGGAAAGAAACTTGTGCTGTTCTTATGGCTTTTTTTTTCGACAGACCGTCTATAATTAAAAAAAGATTTTTTCGATTTCTCATCCTCTTCATCAGTTTTGAAGAAGGTCTCAAGAACAGAATCCAAAAGTACTTATAATATAAAATTTGTCTTAGTAGTACTTGCTCATCTATGCAAGAAGGACACGAAGACGAAAAGGCTCTAACTTCGGTCGACGATTTGAACATGCCGCAGAAGGAGTTCTACGGTGCGCAACCACCAATCGAGCTTATCCGCATGTGGATGGATCACGGTGGTTGGTACAACCGCAAAGAGCTAGTCTTCCTACAGATCATCGATATTGTGTGGCTGTCCTGCATGGGTCCCCCTGGTGGGGGTAAGACTGTCATCACCAACCGCCTTCGTCGACACTACAACACTTTAGTGGCTGCGGATTTGTCGGCTAGCTCGATTGAAATGATCTTCAAGACGACACTGGGCTACTTTTTGCAGAACTTCGAAGGTGGAATTCCAACTTTGATAGACCCGTTGGTGAAAAGCAGTGTCAAGGTGTTTGACATGGTCACGGAAACTCTACTGCCGACGCCAGCAAAATGCCACTACGTTTTCAACCTGCGAGACACTTGGAAGGTCTTCCAAGGTGTCTGCATGTTACACCCTAAAAAAGTGACGGATCCGATTTCAGTCATAAAGTGCTGGATTCACGAGAATTTTCGGGTCTTCGCAGACAGGTTCATCAACCATGAAGACAAGAACTGGCTCAAAGAGCTGCTATCTGGCATGCTGCCAGAAATCAAGGATAACTATGGAAGGAGGATGGACTGTTATTTGATTACTGTTGTATCTGGGAAGGTACTAACTGTTAATATTTGATTACTATCTTCTGGGAAGGTCAAGGTACTAGCAGCTAGATGAGTACTACGAGTTGTTCGCTGTAGGATAGAAATTCCTCCAATTGTCATCTACTTATTAAATCTTTTCTTGTATCCAGCACTTGCTTCTATCCTCCTCGGTCCATCACATCTTCGCACGACCACATCCTCTCCTCTCCATAGCAAGAACACTATAATCCCCATCTAACCTCAAGTAACCCCTGAGCAGATCTTCGACAAGGAGCGTCTAGTTTTTGGCGATTTCATGATTCCCGGCGCCGATCCGCGGTTCTACGTGGAGATTGCTGACATGGAACAAATGAAAACCGTCATTGAGGGATACTTGGACGACTACAACAACATGGCGTCGTTGCAGATGCCTCTAGTAATGTTCACAGACGCATGCGAACACGTTAGCAGGATTACAAGGGTTTTAGTTATGGAGATCATGGGTGAGGTTGTGATCAGACCGCAAGGTAGTGATCAGACCGTGAGGTCGTGATCAGATTCTGAACCTGGTGGAGATCTATCTTGTACGTAGTTAGTCTACTTGATTATTTGGTTCCCTCAGACTCTCGTGTCTGTGTCACTCATTTGTACTTTTTCTAGTTCAACGCATCGTGTGGGTTGTACAACTAGTAGGTAGGTTGTCCTGAAAAAGCACTCGTCTTCTAAGTGACGCATGCCAAGCGGAAATGCTCTACTTCTCGGAGTTGGTGGTAGTGGAAGGCAGAGTTTGACAAGGTTAGCTTCTTTTACCAGGGATTTTCCAACATTCCAGATTGAGGTGGGCAAAGGATATGGTTGGAACGAGTTCAAAGAGGATCTGCGAACTGTCCTTAAAAAGTGCGGTGTGCAGGACAAGGTACTTGCACTCTTTCCTATGTTCCTGCGCCGGTGCTTGCTTCTTATTTTCTGTAAAAAATCTTCTTTCTTCTATGACTTTGACTTCGTATCTTCGTATCCATGGATTTCCATCCCGCCAAAAATTCTTTCACTCCAGACCAACACGTTCCTGTTCTGCGACACGCAGATTGTGAAGGAGCAATTCGTGGAAGCTATGTCGAACATCCTGAATAGTGCGGATGTGCCAAACCTCTACCCAGCAGAGGAAATGGACCAAATTGTAGGTGCTTGCAAAGCCCTGGCTTCTCAAGCGGGTCTGCCACCCACCAAGACCAACATCTTCAACTGCTACGTGGCGAGGGTGAAGAAAAACCTGCATGTGGTCTTAGCCTTTTCACCACTCGGCGATGCTTTTGCGAAGAGACTGTTGATGTTTCCAGCGCTTGTGAACTGCTGCACCATCGATTGGTTCATGGAGTGGCCTGCAGAAGCCTTGTACAACGTGGCCAAACAGCAAATGGCTGGCGACGGCGCGGGGTCGGTGCAATCCAAACTAGCTGGCGTCAGCATGGAAGGCGTGCTGAATACCTTCAAGGTGATTCATCAGTCTGTGGAGCAATGCGCTTTGAGATATTTCGAGGAAGTAAAGCGAAAATCGTACGTAACGCCAACTTCCTACTTGGAATTGCTCAATTCCTTCTCGAAAGTGTTGGACTTGAAGTCGCAGGAGGTGAACACGCTGATCCATCGTTTTCAGAGTTTATGCAGCTGGACTGATAATCGTAGCTAGATTGATACTGAACTACTCGGATAATATATTTATTTCTAGTTAGAAGGTAGCTTGCTCCACCACAAAAGATATATCTGAACTCTCCGGGGAGAAAACCAAACGCGAACTAGAATTACTTGAGTAGAAATAGTGGTCGTCGAGGAGCCATCCTGGTTGCATCTCCCGTTCTTTCCCTCTCTAACCCCTGGTCTGGACAAGCTCGCTTCTGCGGAGGAACAGGTGGCAGTGATGGAGAAGGAGTTGGTGGAATTACAACCGATCCTCGAGAAAACTTCTGTCGAAGTCGCTGAAATGATGGTCGTCATTCAACGAGACAAGAAAGTGGCGGAAGATTAAGGCAAGTGCCAGTGATGTTTGGAAGTAGAGAGTCGTGGATATTTTTTGTTGGAGTTTTGCATTGGACGAGTAGTACAGCAGTTTTTACTAAACTAACTAGCATTTCTAATCAACAATAAGTACTGAAGATTGTTTGCTGGTCTCCTTGTTAAACGCCGTCTAGTCCTGTCATTATTGTTAAACTAGCAGTTCTTGACAAGCCACCAGGAGGAAGAAAAACCAGCAAGCTCTAATCCCCAACCAAAGAAGTCGTTGATAAGCAGGCTGAGGCGGCGGAGGCACAGGCCGCTGAGGCTAAGGAGATCAAGGACGACGCGCAGAAAGACTTGGACGAAGCGTTGCCGGCACTAGATGCAGCAGTGAAATGTCTCCAATCTCTGAAGTTGTCGCACTTGCAGGAAGTGAAAGCCTTAGGTTCACCACCAGCAGGTGTGAAATTGACGATGGAAGCGATGTGCATCATGTTCGAATATAAGCCGAAAATGGTCGCCGATCCGAGCGGCGCACCAGGGAAAAAAGTCCCGGATTACTGGTAAGCATATGTTCTTTTGCTGGTACTACTTGGCAAGCACCAATAGGACAAGATCATGTACAAGTGCTTCCTTTTGATTGGAGAAGTGGTGCTTCCTCTCAAGGCTACTGACTACAATTAATAGAAGTTGTGATGATGAAGTTTAATATTTTTAGTGCGAGGTTCTTGTTCTCTCCTACTCAACAGGGACGTGGCCAAAACGGGGCTGCTTTCGGATCCGAAGAAACTTCTGCAGGATCTGTTCGATTTTGACAAGGACAACATCCCAGAAAAGGTTATCAAGGGCATTCAGGCTTACATCGACAACGAGGGCTTCCAGCCTGAAGCCATCAAAAAAGCTTCGGTTGCTTGCGAGGCTTTGTGCATGTGGTGCCGAGCAATGCACAAGTACCATTTTGTGGCTTTAGCAGTGGAGCCAAAGCGAATCAAACTTCGTGGAGCCGAAGAAATCCTGTCGAAGACCATGGGGGAACTGAAACAAGCTCAGGATACTCTGCAAGGAATCATGGACAAGCTGAACGAATTGGAGAGCAATTACAATGGCGCAGTGTCAAAACAGAAGCAATTGTTAAGGCTGTACGTTGTATTTGTAATACATCTTGTTTGGACGCATGATCTTGATCCTTGTTGAAACGTATGGAGGAGTATCCTAATCCCAAGGGAATAGATACAACTCTCCCATAGTAAGTACTTTTCAAGGATTCTGCACTCAAAAAATTTGGATTACGGACAGCTCTAAAATTGAAAGAGGATTCCGATATGTGTATTGTCAAGTTGGAGCGTGCGAACAAGCTGATTGGCGGATTGGGTGGCGAGAAAACACGATGGATTCAGACAGTGGCAGATTTGAGGAGCAAATTGGAACTTCTGCCGGGTGATTGCTTGATGACGGCAGGTACTACAGCACAGAATAGACTAAGTATAATACCTGAGGACTCTACTCAGTGCTTGTCCTACTTACTAGTCTTGTAGTTCCACCTCATAATAATCGTTTGTGCCCCGTTTTTTCCACTCATTCTCCGATGGGTGGTCTGATCAATAAGTATCAACGTTGATGAAGAAGATGATATTCTCGAAGATGAACAAGAGACGACCACACCAGATACCACCACAAGAAGTATCTCCAACCTCTTTCTCCAACCTCCTTCTCAACATCCAACCTCAGGTGCTCTCTCTTATCTGGGTATTTTCACTGGTGTTTACCGTGACCAAATGACGGCGACCTGGTCCAAAGGGCTCGCGGAATTGAAGATTCCCAGATCAGAGAAGTGCGGCATCGTTGATGTCCTAGGTGAGCCAGTGAAAATCGAACAGTGGACAGTGTACGGCTTACCTAACGATGAGCTCTCTGTTCAAAATGCTATCATTATCGACAAGTCGAGGCGATGGCCTTTGATGATCGACCCACAACGACAGGCGAATGCGTACATCAAGCAGTACGGGAAGTTACGGCCAATTATAAATGAATGCTCCAGAACAAGATGATGAAATGAAATAGAAGTAATTCACACACCCACTAGTAGTACAGCAGGCAGTAACTACCTAGAGGTGTGTTGACTAGCACTTACATAGAACTATGTCCATGAATTCATCCAACCCTAAACCCTAAAAAACCCACAGCTCCTCTAATCCCAAAGATCAGCGAAGGAGGGTTCGAGGCGTGCAAGCTATCGGATCCTAACTTTTTGCGCGTTTTGGAGTTGGGGATCCAATTCGGGAAGTGGATTCTACTCGAAAACGTTGGAGAAGAATTAGACGCTGCACTGGAACCGATCTTGATTTATGGAAGACCACAACTAGGTCTTATCATTGCAGTTGTTCTTGTTTCTTTTAGTCGAACATCAATAGTTGTGTTGAGAGTTACTAAATCGTTTCTATGAGACATGATTATGATTTCTTGTTCGTCTTCCTCGATACACAGGAGCAATCCTCCCCAAACGAAGCTATCTAATCCTAGCAACAGAAAGTGAAAGACGGCGGCAGCTACGTGATCAAGCTTGGTGACAAGAATGTTACCTACATGGACAGCTTTCGCTTTTTTGTCACTACAAATCTCTCCAATCCGCATTATCCTCCAGAGGTGAGCGTCAAAGTGACAATCTTGAACTTCGCCATCACCCAAGACGGCCTGCAAGGTCAGATGTTGGGAATTGTCGTGGCCAAGGAAGCCCCGGAATTGGAGGAAAAGAAGTCCGCATTGGTCAAGGATAGCGCAGACATGAAAAAGCAGCTGAAGGATATCGAGGACGAAATTCTTAGGCTGTTAGCTGCATCCGGTGGCAACATTCTGGAGGATGAGACATTGATTAACACACTGGCGCAGTCGAAGCAAGCGGCGAATGTGATCAATAAGAAAGTGGAAGAAGGAAAAATCACAGAGAAGGAGATCGACGTGGCGCGAAGTGGCTACATACCTGTGGCGTTTCGAGCGAGTATCTATCATTTTTTGCTTGTACTAGTTCTCCTTCTCGGAGTTCTTGTTGATCTACCTAGAACAAATGCTTTCATCTTGTCTGCCCCGTCTTTAGTTTGCACTTCCACTCCTCCAACCCTAACCCTAAACCCTAACCCTCCAATCGATCAGGTATCCTCTTCTTCTGCGTCGTCGAACTGATCCAGATTGATCCGATGTACCAGTTTTCTCTCCAGTGGTTCCAACTCCTCTTCGGCATGAGTGTGGAGAACGCACCAGCATGCAAGGTTTTCGAGGAAAGGCTGGAAGTCCTAAAGGATTTTTTCACTTACAACTTATGAATGTTGGGTGATGATATGATGATACTCTACTGATACTCTACTTCTTGTTCATCTTGTAGTCCTACTCAACTTCTTGTTCATCTTGTCCATCTCGTCTACTTACATTCATTCTCATCTTCGTGTAGCTGACCACGTACAGATTCTTGTTCCTCTAACTATAATATTTTTCTAACACAGGAGACCACTAAGTTCTTTTCTCTGCTCTTTTCTCTGCTCATCTGCTCATCCACGACAGTCTCTACCTGTCCATCTCGTCTACTTACATTCATTCCTCCTTTTTCTCTCTTTCTCCCTCTCTTTCTAATTCCTCTCTACAACAACGTGTGCCGAGCTCTGTTTGAAAAACACAAGACTATGTTCTCGTTGAGTCTCGCTTTACGATTATTGCAAGGGGATGGTAAGATGGACTTCACGGAGCTGAGGTTCCTGTTAACCGGACCAACGATCAACGTCGATGACGGAATCGCTAATCCAGACCCCTCGTGGATATCAGGCGTGATGTGGAACGAATTGCTTACCCTGGACCGACTGACGCCGGCTTTTGCAGGCTTAGCTGCGGACATGGCAAAGGACCCAAAGGCGTGGAAAGTGCTCTACGACACGCCGGAAGCGCATGAGGTGCCTCTGCCACAGGGTTGGGCTGAAAAGCTGATCACGTTCCAGAAACTTCTGGTTCTTCGTGCTATTCGACTCGACAAGTTGGTTCCCGCAATTACGAACTTCATCACGGAAGCGATTGGCGGCAAGTTCGTCGAACCACCGACGTTCGACATTGCCACGAGTTATGGCGACAGTACGGCGTTTACGCCATTGATTTTCGTCTTGGTCACGGGTAGCGATCCAGTAGGAGAGATGCTTGCCTTCGCGGAAGAGTGCGGCAAAGCCAATATGTTGTCATCGATCTCATTGGGTCAAGGACAAGGTCCAAAAGCAGCGAGGATGATCGAGGAAGCGAAGGGGAAAGGAGGGTACAACTGTGACTTTTGGTCGTTGAGTCGTGATTATGCTTTTAAAATGAAGGAGTAGAGCATCAATCATGCGCGAGGTGAAAGTTGACGTTCTTGACTACTCACTAAAAACTTGATAATTGTGTCGCTGTCGCTCTTCATGATTATTTAGATTTTTCACCCCGCTTTGAATCTAAAACTTTTAAAAATATCACTACAGTTGGGTCCTCCTCCAGAATTGCCACTTGGCAATTTCCTGGATGCCAGAGCTGGAACGCATTTGCGAACAGCTGAATCCTGAAGAAGTGAACCAAGACTATCGATTATGGCTAACTTCAATGCCTAGTCCGGCTTTCCCAGCATTGTTGCTGCAGAACGGAGTGAAAATGACCAACGAACCGCCAGCAGGCCTCAAGGCAAACTTGATGTACACTTTCACAAGGCTTGACGACAAGACTTTGGACGACTGCAGGAGCCCAAGCGCGTTTAAGAAGGTACTACTACTACCTCTTTAATGAACAAAGTTTATGTTATTTATCGAGAGAAGATCGATCTCCAGACTACAACAAAACTGTGTTTCACATTTTGTCATACTTTCTAGGAGTTAGTCTCCAGACACACCCGATCACAGGTACCAGCACCAGAGGTCACTACAACCATTTCCACATCCACATCAGGTCATGTTCGCATATGCCTATTTCCATGCTATCGTGCAAGAGAGGAGAAAGTTTGGACCGATCGGCTGGAACATCCCTTACGGGTTCACAAATGAGGATTTAGCGACGTGCAGAAGGCAAGCCAAACACTTCTTGGATAAGTACGAGGAAGTGCCGTATAAGGTACTTACTCAACAATACCTCAAGTTTTTTCTGCAGGTTCTCAACAACAACAGCTGCACTTCAAGAACATTGAGTTGAACTTCAAGGTAGTTACGATGGAAAATCATGGTTAGCAAGTGCTCGAGATTAAAGCTTGTCCAAACTGTAGCTACCATGCATTCAACATTCGTTTTTGTCACACTCACACTTCCTTCCGATCCCAACCACAGGTGCTCAACTACCTTGGAGCGAAGATTAACTACGGTGGACGAGTGACGGACGCGCAGGATAAGATTCTCGCTTCCGCGATCCTATCAATCTACATCTGCCCACCGCTTATTGAGAAAGGTACTATTGTGTCTTCTTTGTCCTCGTGGCGTAGACGTAGAAAATACACCTGAACTGTTATTTGGGAGATTATTAAGTAGGATCATGAGGAAAACGGTGAAATTATGGAAGCAAGTGAGTGCGATGGCTGGAATTTGTCTGTCGTTTTTGAATATTGTTGACCTTGAGCTTGATATCGAATTCATCAATACAGGTGCCGGCTACAAATTTTCCGAGAGTGGCATCTACTACTGCCCGGACGCAACGTGCCAAGAGGAGTTCATTTCCTACATCAAAGGGCTCCCTCTAATGCCCACACCCGAAGCCTTCGGTATGCACGAGAACTGCAACATCGCGTATGCAGAAGACCAAGCGCAACTCTTACTCGGCAACATTCTCTCCATGGCGCCACGCAGTTCAGGCGGAAAGGGTGCTAGCAGGGAAGAGGTGATTGACGGACTCACAGAGAATTTGCTATCACAGACACCTAAGCCTTTCGACATGGAGTACCTGGAAGAGAGGTTCCCCACCAGCTACGAAGAGAGTACGAATACTGTGATTAAGCAGGAGAGTCTGAAGTACAACAGGTTGCTGCGAATCATGCTGAAGATGCTGCCGCTGCTTCGACGAGCATTGAAGGGACTGGTGGCAATGAGCGAGGATTTGTTTATGGCTTTTTCTCGTCGCTCCTGCATTAAAAGACTCTTGTTGAATGAGCCCCTAGTTGTAACTACACCTTCCATCTTCCAGACTCTCTAACATCAAGTACTGGAATAGTTAAGGCTTCCCCTAATCCATCTTCTGAAGCATCGCAGACCTGTCCCACAAGGGGAATATAGGTCTAAGATGAATCTTGCGATGGATAAGGGTGAGCACTAAAATAGAATCCACTTCTGTATTAGTCGTTTTTCAACCCCTGCTCTACAACTTCGACCACGTAGTAGTTTTAATGAATCCTTACACACCAGCCACTCTCCTACCTCTAATCCTGTGAGCATGAGCAACAGTATTTACATCAACGGCGTACCGGACATGTTCTCCGCACCACCAGCAGGCAGCGTTGGCTTCTTGTCCTTGATGCCTTTGAGTCATTGGACCTCAGATTTGAAGAAGCGAATATTAAGGCTTGTTATTCCCGTGTAGAAGAAGACACTATTACTACATTACTGGTTGGCCTCGCAAGTAGACGCTAATAGCTACACAAGAGGCCCCATGACATGACATGTACGCTAAGAAGAAGTGCTGGGCCGACTATGTAGAAGAAGTGCTGGGCCGACTATGTAGAAGAAGTGCTGGGCCGACTATGTATGTACGCTGACTGGGGTCATCCTTCCCCTTAAATACAGTTGTCCAGGGGTGGATCATCTTAAGGGAAGGAGAAGAGGGAACAAAAGGGAACCCACTGACTCAACTACGGATACTGAGGGACTACCTTTAAGAATAGGCTTTATCCAGAGTTGGATTGATTCGAGGATTCCCGTTATCCTGTGGCTGAGTGGTCTCTTCTTCCCGCAAGCCTATTTTACGGGTTCACTGCAGAACTTCGCGAGAAAAACAAGGACGGCGATTGATAGGTAATTAGTATCTTCAGTTGTGATTGGTCGTCGACCGTGTAGCTAGATTAGAGAATATGAACCTTGTTTCTATGTATAGAATAGGCGCGGGGACCGAGCACTTCTTTGAGGCACGCACAGGCTTCGGCCGCCTTAGATGAGAAGACCTCCAGGGCAGTTGGGCGAGAGTAGGCGCCTAGAATAAACGGATCCTAAGCTAGATGGCCGCACTTTTGTTGGTCCTAGTATATCTACCTCTTTCTTTTTTCTAATTCTATCTTTCTTAGGTAGGTTGGCCCTCCACCACAAAAAATTTATATAAATATGATTCCTTTAATTATGTTCTTGTTTAAAAATTAAATGACCACCGTGAGGTAATCAAGGAAAAAGTGTCTCTCCCGATGCGATTGCCATCCTTAACCTCCAGCCATCTACTTCTAAACATTTAATATCCTACACCAGGTGTTCGTTCGGTTTCGAGGTGATCGACGACCGCGAGGTATCCGACTTCAAAACACCAGCTTCAGAGGGTGTTTACACCTATGGTATCTACCTGGAAGGTGGTAGGTGGAACAAAGACGTGCATGCGTTGGATGAGATTAAGACTTTTGCAAATCCATCTTCAGAAGGAGCATCTTAGAGGACCTTGCTTTCCCGTAACTGAGGGGGCGAAAAGAGCAAGAGGTAGTTCAAGATGACTCTGCTCAAGATGGATCATACCGGAAAGATCTAATGAGAGCATTCCGAAGCAGCTCTACTTTACGATGCATCCGATCCACATGATCCCAATGATAGACCGCAAGAAACCAGAAGGTTGCTATGAATGCCCCTTGTACAAGACCCTGGCGCGACGCGGAACGCTGAGTACGACAGGTCATAGTACCAACTTCGTCATCAATTTGACGTTGCGCAGTCGCGAGCAACCAGAGAAGTGGACCGTGAGTGGCTTGGCGGGATTCTTGGCGCTGAAGGTTGTGATCGACTAAGGGAGAGCGAGGTCGTCATCGATTCAGCAGCGAGATAAAGTTGCTGTGAAGATGTGATCACGTACCTCATCATCGCCACTACGAGCGTGTAAAGTGTTCTCGTTTACAATGTAAAGAAATCACGAGATTATGGTGCAGATAGAAGAAGACGCTTATGTTGCCATTGATTTTTCGGTACCGATACTTATTCCTCAGACAGACAGTGACAGTACTTGTAGTGTAGTAAGAGTTATCGTAGCTTCTATGACATGTTCAAAAAAGTCGTTTACTTTTAATACTAATCTGTAGTTGATAGAAAGACACTCGTCGTAGCGGTTCTGAAAGAACTGCTCGTCGCTTGGGGTTCAATTCCCAGCTCGTAGAATATCGTGAAAGAAACATCCAGATAGAAAAAGAGAGAACGAATAAAGTCTACCTAGAACTAGTGTCCCTACTCATTGACAAACTGACACCTAGTTTTTTCAACTTCCCTGCTGAAGAAAGAGCACAACTATTTCGAGTTTATCACTAAAAAGCAAAAGACTTTGAGTTTACCATTCTTGTAGAAGATTACTTATCAATTTTTAGTATCAATTTACCCGATTGTAATTGTTCCAGTTCCGGCGATGAAGATGTTTGTGTGACGATTAAGACTAAGTCTAAGAACAGTCATCAATCACGATGAAAATTCATTGACAGAGATTTTGATTTAAATGAACCATGTTGTACTCCAGATTGATAGGTACAAACAACTATGAAGAGGATCATCATCTGAAGATGTTACTGAGTGGAATGTTATTGCATAGGCTATTATCATCGTCCTCCCCGTTTATTTCGCATTAGAGCTTGATGACTTCGAAGACAGTATACTACTAGCGAAGACTCACTGACAAATAGATATTTTCGACTTCCTTGTAAAGAATTTGTTGAAAGAACTTAAGAGTGAAAGTGGAAAGAAAAGGAACAAGAGGTGGGAGGTGCTTTTACCACTGCGCCGGGTAAGCTTATCTTCCGCAAAAGCGCTGCCGCGGGGGGACGAGTCACTCCCTCTACTCATGTGTAAACGAATGAGCGCACCAGAGTGGAGGTATGAATCGCTGAGGAGAAAATAATTAAGCGACCAAAGATATTACGAGCGCTTTCTTTCGTTGAGCATGAGCGTTCTATTTGAGTTTCATCGTCTGAACTGAGGGCATCTGAGAAACTCTACACTACTCATCCACCCCCACAAGAATTCTTCCCCTGAATTTTTTTCCAAATCTGAACAATCTTTGTCTAGTTGTTTTGTTCGTTGTCACAATTTTGTTTTCACATGTAATTCCGTTGCATCCTGCTCTTGATTCACGTGGGATTGTATCGTTGTTTAACTGTAATTCATCGACGAGGAAGGTTGTTTTGATTGATTCTTCGATTGCACAACTCGTTGTAATTCAATTGATAGGGTCCTCTAGCAGGATGTGGCGTCTTTCGGCGCAACGGGGGCTTCGCGTCTGTACCGGGCAGCTGCTGCAGGCCTCAAGGCCCTCGCTCTTCTTGCAGAAGTCAGCGCCGCATTTTGCTTTGTTGAAGCCATCCGCCCCGAAAAGGCTGATCTCGCTTGTCTTAAGGAATGATGAAATACAAGGAACATAAACGACTTCTATCCATCGAGTTTAAGTAACATTGATGTGGGCATTCATTCGATATTCGGGGCTGCACATCATGCAGTCAATTGAATTGGTGAGTCGAATTCGCGCTTAAATTTCTTCATCTTACTCTAATTTGCCCTAAGACGGTCCAAGACTATTTCGGATATTTCAATCGATACATCGGGCCACGGGGATGGGTCGGTATTTGTAAGTATGATTTTTGAATCTTCTGCATCCTTACTTTTGTTGTAGGTGAACAAAAGATGCAATCATGCACCTCAATTCTTGATCCTATCTTATTCACCAAATGTAAAGCCAGCGTCAAATGACGCTGGCTTTACATACTCCTTCTATTCCACCGTGCGGATTTTGTGATGAACGTCAGGTTTATACCCGTTGGGATTTGTGATCGCGCTGATGACGAGTGGCCATTATTTCGTCGTTATTCGGGAGCGAGACAGGCAGTTCATGGGGACGAATATTTACGACACTAGTGCTTGTGGTAGTGCCGTTTGATAGCATTGCAATCAACGAAGCGACTCTCCTATTCGATCATCAAAGAGTTGTACATCATCTGTACAACTTTTTTGAAGTCTACTAGTACAGACGAGAAGCATTTATTTTCAGACTGGGGCCGTACTAGTTGGGTAGTACCCCTCTAGTACTCCTGCTACATAATTCACTTTCAACCAGTACCACTACAACTACCAGCCGAATGCGGCATCTTCTCTAAATCCCGGTGAATGTGTGGGCTGATTCTGACAACACGGGTTTGGAATGGCGACATCCCTATGTCAGAGGTTCCTGCTACGAAACGATGCCACAATGGAAGGGTAAGGACCGATGGCGTGGAAGTCAGCAAGTTGAGGGACACCATGACCATGACGAGCATCATCACTAGATGAAGCCGTGGAGGATTGAGGATTTGAGAATCCCACTCATCGTGCACTTGTTTGTGATCAAAAAATGTGAAAAAAAGTACTCACGACTACAACCTCTTCTTGGGCAAAGAAATTCAGTTGAAAATACATTGAACTGAGCTGTGATGGTCGTGACGCTGAAGAGACGGTGATGAAAAATGAAATCAAGGAACCGTTGTATGATGACAAAACTAACAACATTCTTGATGAAAAGCGGCCACAAGTACAAGATATGTCACAAAAATTACAAGAACACCGATCCCATGCTCCTCTTGTTGTCGCAACTGAATCAAAACTTGATGATCGTTTGGCTTCCCGGATTAAGGCGATAGGAGAGGAAGTTATCCATCGTCGTGTCATTTTCGTTCACAATCACAACCTCAGGACTCAAGATCAGTCTATCATTAGTTCTTCATCGAATATCGATGAAGGAAGAAGAGAGAAAGAAAGGAAACTCATTCACGAGCAGGAAGATCCCAGGGTACGAGTAGAGAGATCCCAGTGTCGAAGAATCATAATTTTGGAAAAAAGAGCACGTCCACGAAGCATTACCAGAGTGGTATTTTCATAAGCATTGATAGCAGCCTGTCGAAATAACATAGATGATTATGGAAGAGCGGCACCCCACGCTCAATGTCTTCAGGCATAGGATTGATTTCAGGTCGACGCGAGATGGAGTAAAGAAACAAACGACTCAATCTTGTTGTCATGAAAAAAACATCGACGAGGCTCTTGCAGGTCCTCGCTGAAAGGAAATTGAAATTTTGCCGCCCTGATTAATTGTAGTGAAAAATGCAATCGCACTCGCAGATGAAGCAATGTCGTGAGCATTAATTACGTATAAAGTCAATCGATAGAGCACATGAATGAATGCATAATTTAGTTACATCAAACAAGTGTCACGCAAGTGTCAAGATATGTAGGCGAACAAGATTTCGCGAGTACTAGTTGTCGCGAGCGAGAGGAGCAGAATCTGAAAGGATGATGGATGTGATAAGAAGTAGTTGATGTACGATTCATCAAGAGCACGCGCTAGCAGCTTCGGCATCCTCGTGTCGAATCAATGATTGAACATCCCTCCTGTACACCGACCCTACACAACCCTGCGAATCTTCACTATCTTTCAACCCGGATACAGGCAAAGCAATTTCCTACTAAGAAGTGAGTGAAAGTTTTTTCAGGTTTTCTTTTGGTGAATACGCACATCATGAAAATGAATGTTTTTCACCTAGTACCCATTCCTATTCAATGAAAACCGATAGGGCACCAAGGTGATTGTCTTGTAGACGAAGCTGTGGTGGTTACGGTACTTGAGAGAAATTAAAGATGAGTTTATTAATTTTTTGAACTACAAACGGTCGTTTTCTTACGTATTGAAATTAGAAAACTTATCTACTTCTTTCTGTGATTCTTGATAAAAAAGCGGATAGCATCGATCAACAACATGTTCCCTCTTTGAAATTTGGTTTTTTTGATGAGGATGGAATAACGGAAACCATCTTCTGAACCCCAAGAAGTTGCTCCGAAGGCAGCTTGTTCTTATCGAGGGTTCTTCTTCTTGGTACGCTTGCGTTGTGAGGGATTTATGCCCTGCGCAGTGTGCCTGGGACTCTTCAGTTCAAGAGCAACTACTCTTGGTCTATTTCGATTTCGATAGTGGAAGTAGTGGCAGGCAAGAGGTGATTGATACAAGGAGCACGAAGAACAAAACAGCGTGACGTTTCACATACGACACCACTAGGAATAATTGCTCGTCCTGCGAATACATAGTAGGACTTAGACGAATACAGCATCTAGTATCAGCGTTGCGACACGACAGATTACTAGTACCCCAGCGAGCCTTTCTTGTGCAAACTCCGAGATATCAGTTAAGCATTGCATTGCAGTGAAGTTGCACAAGTGCAGTGCAGGAGTAAATTACCATTCCTAGTAGTAAAAGAGCCTGGACGTTACGGGGCGTTTTCTGCGAAGACAGTGCCAGTTTTATACTACGAGAACAAAGGAAATAGCAGTCGAGATCAATTATCCGGCGCTCGTTGATCGTTGACATCACAGCTACAACGCACTACCTACCTACCTACTACGACTAGTTGCTTGGACAGCAAACAACAAGATGCAGTTCGTCCCGATGTTAGCGACGAGTAACGCTCCGGCGACTTCGTCGTCGGGGCCTCGGGAGTCCCCAAGAGGGGGACCACTTGGAAGTCCACGGGGATCTCCAAGATTGATGGACCATCCAGCTGCCAGTCCACGGTTACAGCCACTTACGGGTCCAGCACCGAAACCACACCCCTACCCGGAAAACGTATTAACAAAAACTACTACGACTTAAACTATTGAAGATAGATCTTTGAGGTTAGTACAGGAGTAGAAATCTGTTTATTATGGACTATTTTGATGGATTTTTTGCTCCTGAACCTGACTCCTTGAAACCATTGGACACTACCCTGACCCCCACGACAACAGGCCCGTATCTTGATTCGGGGACAGGATGCCAAAGTCGCCACCCTTGTTGGCAAGAACGATTTGTCCACGTCAGATGCCGTGAACCAAATTCTCGGACTAATCGGCCCCACTGTGATGAATCCACTCGAGCTACTCGCAGTGATAAGCAGAAATCTCCATGCCATGGACAGACTCGACGACTATGCCAAGTGCATGGTGGACGCGCTGGCCAAAATACGGCACAAGGCAAATAGCATTCCGGGGAGTAGGGATTTGAAATCGGCGTTGGACGATAGCAAGGAGTATTCGTTTGCGGCAGAACTGATTAGTAACCAGGTGGCGCATCTGATGTTTCTGGCGGAGGGAACACCAGCGACGGCGAAAGCAAAGAGGAGACAGTAAGGACCTTTTTATTTTTTACCGAGTTTTTATGAATGTTGCATAGAATGCAGAACCAATAAGATTGTAGAAGAAAAAAAGAAGTGCTGATCATCCACGGTCGTGTTTATGCCGGGAAGATTTTCGACCACCACTTCACCCCAGGCACATCGACGAAGCACGCAAGTTGATTCAGGAGGCTGAGCGTTTTGGTATGTTCAAGAGCGCAGCACGGATGTACGTTTGTCGGGCCCAGTGCTCCGTTCTCGAATATCAGATTGGTTCCAAAGTTAGTGAACGGCCTCTGCGTCAGGCAGAAGCCGACTTCAAGCAGGCTGCCGAGATGTGCACAGCAGAGCAGAAGCGGCTTGATGCAGAAACACCGTATATCCGAAAGGAAGTCCACAGTTTGGCGTACGTAGGACTCGGGACTTTGTACTACATGCAGAGGAAGTACAAAAGTGCGTTGGACGCTTTTGAGAGCGCGATATTCACGGTGCATCAGTATGGAGTGCATACGCTATGGTAAGAGGGGCAGTTTACTTTGCGAATTTTGGGGTGTTATGATGCATCATGCTACGTCAACTGTAGGTAGCAGGAAGCTCTTGAAACAAAATCGTAGCTGCAATGGCGACATTTTACCCAAGGAAGAATGAGTTTCGTCTTCTGAATTGTGAAACTCTACCTAGAATTTTTAAAATTTTCATTCACTCATTCTTAGGTTCCTCGCTCTCTGTCACATGGCCATGGGTGACGATAATAAGGCGCAGTTGGCAGTCAGAGAAGTCCTCAATGCCGATCCGCAGCATCCGGAGGCTACAGCTGCCATGCTCAAATGGTTACCCAAGAACGCACTTAACTACACCGCCAAGTCACCAGAGTACCTCAAGATTAAGGGCACAAGAAATACATCGTCCCCAGGAGTATTTTGGTCCTCCCGTTCTTCTTACAGAGAAGAAAAGGAGACCCAAGATGCTGCTGAGGATGCTGGGCCTCCATTAGACCACCTCTAAAATGAACATCTACACCCTCTCCGCCGCGAACAACTCGTGTATGCAGACGTTTGTGGATACGGCGCTTGGAGCAGCGAATGCAGTGGGGGATGCCAATGTCCGCAATGAACAGTACGAACTTCTTGAGAGGATGCTGTTGAAGACACTGGAGAACGCAACGCACGAACAGGACACAGTGGAGACGCACTATCTCTTAGGCGAAATGGAGCAGCAAAGGCGGCACTATTCGCAGGCCTTGGAACACTACTTGCAGGCGCTAGGTACTTGCTTCCTTAACCAATTCTGAGCGGGACCAATTCCTGTTGATGTTCTTAACCAATTCCTGTTGATGTCAAGAGATTAGAAGTACTGGGTCAGTGTGTATTAGCATCTGTTTGCAGGTTGAAGTCGATGATCGACAGAACAAGTATCACTAAAGAACACAGATCTGAAATCAATTACAACACACATCAAGATCATCCATTGCCAACTTGCATGGTTCCTGACTGCGTCGTCTACGGATCCATGTTCGGAACAAACACAACCTTCCACTTTTACCTCAACAGCCTGCTTCCACATGATGATAAGTGTATAGGTCTCGTTCGTCTGAGAGATGTGATGAGACAATCTACACATCACCCATAGTCTGACTTGCAGTTGCTGAATGGTGAAGTAGGACGTGTGGTTTCGTCCATGGATCTCTGGGTTGATGTGGGTCATGCAACTCCATGCAGTTGGCAATGCAAGATCTCAGTCTATCTTTCTCGTTCTCTTCGTGATCATTTACTGAAACCTTTCTCTAGCAGCTTCCTGCTCGCAGAAAAGGCTCTACCCAATTCTGTCTCCTTAACCGCACTCAGACATCCGTGGCGACCACCAGCGTGCCCTAGCTGGTATCTACTACTGCTATCGTGAGCAAGGCAAGCCATTTTATGCGCGCAGCTACTTGCTCAAGCTGAAGGATCAGCTACCTCACGATGTGAACATCATGAAAGCTCTCGTCTACACCCAGACCGAGTGCAAGGCGTGGCATGAGGCGTTGAACGCTTGCACTGGAATGCTCAGTTACGCTCAGGAGAGACAGCGGAATGCGGAAAGGAAAATTATGGGAAGATGAAAGGTTTTTACTATCTTACGCGTAGATGTTGATTATACCCCTAGAACCAACGTACAAACAAGTAGAGACAGCGTGAAAATTCATCAACTTGTCTAAGGAAAGCGGGGAGACTCCTAGAGGCGACGGCCAGAGACACGAGCTCAATATGGCGCAGCTAGAAGGAGAGGTAAAAGCCCTCCGAGCTGCGGTTTACTCGCAGATGCGCGACGAGCACGACAGGAGAAGTAGTCTGGAGCAGTACCAGAAGATCCTCGAGGAGCATTATCCGGTGCCTTCTGAACCGAAGGAAGGAAAGAAGGAGGAAAAGAAGGATCTACTTGAAGAACGAAGGAAGGAGCGCGTATCTCAATGCGAGAAGCGGATCAACAAATTGAAGGAGGATATCGAAAAGGTATTGTCAACTTCTCTTGGTTCTTTGTTATTGTCAACACTCAATTCTAATTCTATTTTGGATCGCGTCACTTCTACAAGCTCAAGCTTATTATTTTGTTCTCTCGGAAAATCCGTCTCTTCACTTTTTGCGATATCATGCGACCACCGATCTTCTTCGTGTCTCTCTCCCTCCAAAGCTGAAATGATGAGTCAAAAAAAAAATGATAAGAAGAGTCCGATACGGCTCAAGCCGCTGAGGATACCTTTGACGACACACCTCTGACATCAGCTACTAGAAGAGAAGAACGCATCATGCTGTAGCATTCAATCTCAAAATCTCAGTGCTTCTTCTTTGTTCCTCTGTCTTCTCTGCTCCTCTGTGTCTTCAACGCCTTCATCTTCGCTTTTGTCAAATGTCGCAGTTTAGCATGATGAGCAAATTTACACAAAAGGAAAGGATGCTGACCCTTCCTGTGGAGAACTTCAAGAGACTGATAATCTCGCTTCTGATCTGCTTCTGCTACGTTGATTTTGAAGTCGTTTTCGCACGGATCAAGATACTTGTGGACGAAGATGCATTTATTGTAGCCTTAATTACGGGAGCCTTTCAATACCCGCGTTAGGTCGAACCAAGTCTACTTAAATGATAGCGTTCTCCCTGGCCAGCGAGTTGTGGTCGCGTGTGCGCCTGAGCTCCTCTGCGCCTGACTCTCAGTAATATGGACCAGGTGTAAAAGAGATTTAGGATGAAAGAAGTAGAAGTTGTATGCTCGTCATGATGACTTTTGTGTTAACTCAAAAAGGAAAGGATCTGAGCCTTTTCTGACGAGAACATACCCGAGACCATAACTCTCTCTGACCATAGGCATGTCCATAAGCAAATAGTCAATGATACACCGTTGTCAGTAGCTACGCACTACTCGCCATGTAAGTCGTCGGTCAAATCCGAGCCGGCGTTCATCACCAACAAGTAACTAGAACCATTGATCAGATAATCGTACCAAGGCATTCTCATGATGAACGACCGAAACCAAATAAGAAGAGCCGTCTGACGGGATTCTTCTCATTGGTGAGTACCTTTCGAAAGAGCACTGGGTTCTGACAAAAATGCCCCTACAGTCACATACTTAGTCACTATCACGACAAGACGAGAGAAATGACGTTTTTGCATCCTACGTAGATTTTTACTTGTAGGAGTAGTTATGCCCGCCCGTCCGCCTACCCTACCTACCTGCGCTGCATCTGTATTCGATGCTTTCGCTTGCTATTGTCATGATGAGCACATGAAAACAAATAAGAAGAGCCGTCCTAGGTAGCCTTGTGTTGCCTATGCCGAGACACTTTCAAAGAGCACTGGGTTCTGACGCTAATGCCATAATCACGTTTTTTTTGCTGCAGCCTCAGACTAAGTGGAAACTTGCCACTCGCGCTCTCATACTATGTCCTCCATCTTCTGTCTGCCGTAGGCCACTTTTTGAGGAGTAGTATACCAGCACCGATGCTGTTGTCGTGATGAGCACATGAAAACAAATAAGAAGAGCCGTCCTAGGTAGCCTTGTGTTGCCTATGCCGAGATACTTTCAAAGAGCACTGGGTTCTGACAATACAGCAACGGTCTGCCTCGAAATCTATCCCACCTCCTGCTTCTGCTACAGTCCTCACTCCTCACGTTTCCGCGTGGCGGAGTCGATATTTTAGCGAGTTATTCTGAGTGCTTTCTGTGGTAATCATGGCTCCATAGTCATACAACATTTCCATTTCCTCCATTGCAAGAACTGCTTGTCTCACTCCACCTCGTCTTCGACTCGGCGCCATCCTTTACCCACAGTCTTTTTCCTAACAAATCTCAGGTCCGAACTGAGCAGAAGGCAGCTGCCACGAATACGAATGCTAAGCCTAGGTCTTTCGAGAGCCGGATAGAGCGAATTCAGCGTAAAATCCAAATGGAGGAGACCGAACGTGGTAAACCCTACACCTACTGGGACTACATCTTCGATGACAACCCAGAGGGATCAGCTGAGGCCCTAGAGCGTTCTGAGTTCAAAATCTGGAACGATGTTGCGACTCTGCACTTTCACTTCAATCACTTTGAGTGGGCGCGCGCGAGCATTCTGCGTGCGCAGGAGCGGTCCAGGAACAGTGGAGGCGCGTGCACACGCGAAGATGAAGCAGTCTTGTGCTACAACTCTGGCGTGGTGTTGGAGCGGTTGAGCCAACTCGAAGACGCCAAACACATGTTTGCAGAATGCCTGAAGCGCAAACCCAGCTACAAGGATGCTGAAGCCGCTTTAGCGCGACTCCAACTAGCTAGACCAGCCGAAACCGCTTCCGCTGCTAAAACTCTAGCCCGTCTCTCCGAGGAAACGAAGGATGAGGGCGCTTGGCTCTTGTCGGCGCATGGTGCGATGAGTAGTGGAGAAACTCTAGCCTCAATCGAGTTGCTCGAAGAAAAGCTCCACCTTCTGGAGAATGAAAATTGGATTCAAGCTTTGGGTCCAGAGTATCGCGACCTAGGTAGCGATCCAGACTCGGTTGCGAAGAGGAAAAAACAGAGAGGGGATTTGTACGTGAAACTCGGATCGTTGTACGCGGAACAAGCCGAGTGGACGCATATGTAATTCTATCTTGTTCATCTACTCCTATTAATAAGTTCATCTCATTTGTGCTGCTTCTAGAGCAGTGCAGTTCGGTGCTGCTCCAGAGGTAGATGTCGGCATCATGTTGTGGTATCTTCTCATGATGAACACCTTTTTTTTCAAGCTCAACAGGACTGAGAAACCTCAGGGTTGTGCTGTCAATATTTCTCCGCTGTTCTGACGAATTGACGTAAGAATTTCTCAAACAAGGGGCTTACTTTTACACCTACTCCCAAGAAGACGATCTTCCTTACAGGTGGACGCAAACCTCGAGCGAGACGGAGCGTGACCACAAGCAAGAGGAGACTGTAGCCCACGTCGCCAACGCCGAGATCGCGTACAGACGGGCTCTCGAGGATTATGGCAATGAGTGGCCAGAAAGTACGGCCGCGGCCAAGAACGGCTTGGGCATTTTGATCGCCAGTGATGTTACCGGACTCGCGAATATCCCAAGGAAAATGCGCCTCAAAGACGCTGTGGTGGAGTTCATGCAGGCCAGTAAAGTCCGGGACTTGAATCCTCAGGCCCAGATGACGATCAAGCTGAACTTGGCGCATACCATGATGCGCAAGGATCCGAGTTCGGCTAGTGCCAGATTTGCATTGAAGAAGTACCTTCACGCTTTGAAGAGTCCAGCATTCCAGAAGAATATCAGCCTGCACAATGCCTGTGCATTAGCGTATGCAAGAGACGGGGACACCGAATCAGCCATCGCGACGCTGAAAAACGCGTTTCATATGCGTACTTACGTTGTTACGTTGTTACTAGTAGGATCTGTTCGTTGTTGTAAGGGAAAAGAATGCCTAGTACTTTCGCACTAACTCTGATTTTGAGTGCCGTCCCCGCAAGGCATTTCACGATAAACATGGAACTGAGGATTCGCAAAAAACGGCTTGAGATTATACACTCATTCCCCCCTACCCACCACCCCGAACAGACAAAACCTCCACCGATCTTGTCACGTGCTACAACCTTGGCGTTTTTCTGGATGGCAAGCAGAAGGCTCTCTTCGCCAAGATGGGGGAAGAGGTTTCCCTTGACGACTTTACGGCCGCCATGAGCGTCAAAGAAGAATCTCTGGTCTTCTACAACCGAGCCCTCAAGCAATGGAAGCTTTTCACTGGGAAGGACGATAAGGAGAAGGGAAAAGAGGTTAGATTTATTTACGAACTCTGCTTTTTGTAGGTTTCTTTGTTCATCCTGCTCTGCCTTCTATTACAGGGTGGCTGAGCGGCCGCCTCTATAACGTTAGACAAGACGTAGCATGAACATGGCATGGCGTGACATGACCCTATTTTTCTATCCTACCAAACGACCACAGCGCGTGATCAGAGCGGACGAATTTATTAAAATGGGACTGCAGTATACCACCAAGCGCGATAGAAAGAAAATGCTTATCATCGCTAAAGAGCGATCCACTATCCTTCGGAAGGAGGTATTTCTTCTAATCCTTGAGTACTAGATACATGATCATTTTTCCAATGTCACAGAGACGCATCAAATCCAACAAAAACGGGCACCATGATTATAACCACGATAGAGTATGGAGAAGCACAACTCCTACGTCTCCGTGATACATATCATCAACCTCTTCCCCTTCCTCTCCAGTTAAGAGACATCAAAACCGACCTCGTCAAACGGGACGAGAACGAGAAGCTGAATATCTCGAAGCGAGAGCATGCTCTTGAAGAGGAGAGAAAGCACTTAGACATGCTGGCGAAGAAGAAGGAAGAGGAGCGCAGGAAAAAGGAAGAGGCAATGCGTCAAAAGCAGATAGATTCGGATGCACTCGCGGCAGAGCAGCAGAGCTGGGCTATCGGCGAACTTCAGGTCACTCGTGGCGAAGACGAAGGCGAAGATAAAAAGAAAGACGACAAGAATCTTAGTGGTACTACTACTTGCTTGATAAGAGAATGACGATGAGAATCTTAGTGATACTACTACTTGCTTGAACTTGATACCACGATAGCAACACGTGGACGTATATGAACTGGAAGTTTTTAGGTGCGCGTAACAGTTAGGGAGAAGTAAATGTAGAAAACAAACATAATCTAGTCTATGCTGTTGTCTTTGGAGGTACTAGATGACTAAGGATTTGCATCAACGCCAGCTATATTTCATGGTCCAGAAACCACGTGAATAGGTCCACGTACACTATTACTACTACTCCTATCTAAAAAATACCACAGCCCTCGTCGACGACACTGAGATGGAGCCACAAAGACTCGGCTTCGGCCGTGGCCGTCCAGCAGGTCCGCTGTCTGAGGAAGAAAAGGCCAAGCGTGCTGAGAAAAAGCGACTAAAAGATCTGGAGCGCAAGGCCAAAGAACACTCTGGAAAAGGTGTCCAACGAGAACGTCGCAGAAGTGCCAGCCCCACCAAGAGTGTAACTCGTGGAGAAGGAGGAGGGGATAAGAAAAGGAAGAAGATCAGGGACGAAACGGAGGAACAGAAGGCAGAGAGGAGAGCAAAGAAGGCTGAAAGACGCAAATTGCGAGATGAAATTCCAGATGGTACAGTCTTTTGTGAAACTAGAATTGATACAACTGATGAAGAGGACGAAAAGCTACCTGACGAATCTTGTACAAGAATTTTTTTCACAACGAACAACAACAATAAAACAACACAGATCTATTCGATGTTTCCGGTGCAGTGGCCGCAGTGGCTGACGAGTTCGAGCAATTTCACCTGGATTTGGATGTCACTGGTGGTGCAGGTAATGTGGATGACGCAGTGACGGGTGCGATGGATGCAGGGGAGCTTGATGAATTCATGGCGGACCAGGGTTTGGACAAGGTAGCAGATGGGCTCTTGGAGGCAGATGCAGGTGCTGAGAGAAGGGAAAAGAAGAAGAAGGACAAAAAGGACAAGAAGAAAGAAAAGAAGCAAAAGCGGGATAGAGAAGGAGGTGATGAGGACATGGAAGATGGGGAAAAGAAAATTAAGGGTCGTAGGTTAAAGGTGCTTTTCTTACCGCTTTTTATGCCTCTACTCCTAAGGGAGAAAGGCATAAAAAGCGGGGTAAGCAAGCACCAAAAACCTACCTCTAAGAAAAAGAAGAAAAAGCGTCGTGGTGAAGATGGAGATGAAGCTGATGCCGGAGCAGATGATGCTGACATTTTTGGGGGAATGTGAGAGAAAATAAAGAACTTCAACTTGTCTTCATACCAGCACTGCATCTTGTTGATGTAGTCGTCACCATCTTATACAACGACCTCCCACGACTTCTTAATGTGCGTGCCCTATTTTAGGTAGCTAGTAAGTATACTAGTGTTGCAAGGAGGATATCCTCCTCCATCAACCTCCACTACATCCCTCCACGCCACCCCAAGTTACTTAGACGAACCGCTCCTCTCTCCTCAGTACGTAGAAGATCACTTAGTCTGTACTGCTAACTTCAAAGTACTGGAATTTCAAACCAGATCAACCCGTGATCCAGTGGATCGCTACCACAGTTGTGGAGCCAGCCACAACGAAACAAGAGCCAGTAAGAGGTGTAGTGGTTCTTTAAGGAGCATCGGAAGCAGAACAAGAACAAGAAATAACAATAAGAAAGAAAAATCAGCATTCAACGAATCCACCACTCAGGAGAAGCATAGCGGGCAGGACAGCTGGAGCAGACAGGCGCTTCGTAGTAAGATACTTCAGATGGTCTGCAGACGACGAAAGAAAGGGACACAACTGAAGAAGAACAACAAAGTAGGCAACAACAAGAAACAACATCAGCTATCAAATAGTTTTCGTGCTGATCGACATAGTGACTTAGGCCTCTTAGTGGAAAATCAATCTGCAACCTCTCAGAAACAACAAAGTAGCACTGAAGCCTCAAATACATCCTCAAATACATCCTCAGTGCACAATTACAACCTTCCAGAGAGGGAGACTAGACATGACGCGAAAAGTGGACGATCAACAGAAGTACTTGCAGAAAGAAAAGGAAAAGTGCATAATTCAACATCCCTTCAAACGTGGAAAATCCCCATACCCCCCAGAGCTGCAGTGTCTAGCAGCCTAACTTCTAGGGTACAGTCAAGCAGCGCCGAAATCCCGGGAAGCTGTCGCCCTGAACTTCGTGCGGAATGTCACAGAGATGTGCCGGGAGATCTCCACTTTGTTCCTGTTGACTTGTGGAGTGGGAGGGAGCAGAAGAAAACTCAGATCACTCACAGGAAGGACGCTGGGACAAGGGAGGATGGAGATCGCCAAGCACCAACGAGCAGGCCTGAGAGAAAGGTAGAGCCATGTCCACATCAAGCAGCCAGTAGAGATGCTGTAATGTCTGGAAGAAGTGATCAGGAGCAAACAATCCAGGACAGTGACCAAGAGGGCAGTGACTTGGAAGAGGAAAATAGTCATGACGATTCCCCTTCTGAGCACCACGCTCCGCCTCAGGATGCCTCTGTAGGTCACAAGCTCACCATTGCGACGCAGAACATGCGAGGAACGGGGCGCCACTCTCCACATTTTGAGGCGGTGGCTAGGCATGCACTTGGCAAAAGTATTGATGTTCTCCTTCTCTCGGAGTTTGAGTATCAACCAGCTGTAATGTATGCTGGGTCTGAGGACGCCTCGTATGACCGCCAGGGGCTCAACCACGGCACACAAATACAAGACGATGAGATTGGGGAGGAGCTTCAGCAGGCAGATGAGCAGCCGTTTTCAGTAATATGGGGAGAGCAATTTCACTTAGTCTTCTCTAATGGAGTGGGAGCTGTTCTTGTAGGTGGCAGAGCAATGGCGCAATTAGAGCGTCAGGCAGATGCTTATGGGCTGGACTACATCATTCGAAGTAGACCGCGAGTTATAGCCCTATTTCTTTATGACCTGGTCCTGCTAGCTGCATATGCACCAAAGGAGGTTGCCGCACTCAGTCTTCGAGTCCGTTTTGCAGATGATGTAGCAGCAGCGTGGGCCGATGCAAGGAAGAGAAAAATTGACAAATGGAAACCAGTTATATCTGGTGGAGATTTTAACTGTCATGTTGGCGCAGCGGTGGGCAGAGTAGCGGGCACGGCGGCTGGTGAGTATGGCTTTGGTCCAACATCATCTACAGCAAGACTGCTCCTATCTAGAATGCAGTCCGCTGGAATGGTACACATTCCCTCTCATATGGAGGAACCGCGGGAGAGAGGGGAGAGGCTAACGTACCTTCGACAGACGGAGTCGCAGCGTGAGTTAGATTTCCTCATGCACTCAGCGGGGAGGAGAGTCTACGTTCGAAGTTACAAGAGAACTAAGCCTCCTGCAGTACATCAGGCACGCCTGCAGTTGGATCATAAAATGATAGTTGCTGAATTCCAGGCAAGATCATGGACGCAGCTAGTACTTGAAGGCAGAGCAAGAAGAGAAGCTACAATGGTGTTTGACACAGCGCCTGAAACTACGACGCTGGAGTCTTTCAATGAGCAACTGAGGGAGCTACAGCGGAATGAGGCAAATTTTGATCTTGAGAAACTTCACAACTACCTCCAGCAATCTGCCCCTAGGTTTTGGGTAAAGGCAAAGAAGGCTCCGGTCATGTTTGCACCCGAACAAGTTGCAGAGAAGAGGCGATCACGGCAAGAGATATGGACGTTCTTCAGGGAGCAACAATCCAGGATACTCAAGGTTGCCTCGCAGGTATCGCCTGCCGATGCTCAGTCGAAATACTTCGAAGTGGGGAACACGCCCGTGCATCCTGATGGCGCAGAAGATCCGCCGCTACCCATTGAGCAACACATCCCACAACTCGTCCCACAGATGTCGGATGAGGATTTGCAAACCTATGATGCACCGATAACGGCTGGTGAGCTCAGGGATGTCCTTCGGAACACGATGAAGGGTGGAGCAAAAGACATCCATGGGCTATGCATGCAGCTCATAAGCTATCTTGACGAGGGCAACATGCGGTGGCTGGCGTTAGAACTGGATAGGCTGGCTCGTACACCAGGGGCCTTTTCGCGGTTGGGAGAGGGCATGCACCTATGCAGGGATGTCCCCTTATATAAGGGAAGAGGTGGCCCAAGGTTGGCGGACAACAGCAGATTTCTGGTTATCTCGCCTATACTCTTGAAGCTAGCCGCGAGGGTGGCGGGTGTGAGGCTTTTGAAATTGGCGGAGGCAAAGCAGATGCTGCAGGCTGAGCAGTTTGGTTTTCGTAAATCTATGGGTACGCTGAATTCGATGACAGTATACAATAGGCTACGTGGGGACTTGATGGGACAGCGCTCGGCTCCGCTAAAACAGACGCAGATGACGATGATAGACTTGCGCAAGGCGTTTCCATCGCTTGATTGGCGCCTAGTCACATCGGTGATGACAGCGATGGGAATGGGTAGCGCCAGGATCTGGAACATCTTGCAGGCCACGCATAGACTAGCCAAGCATAAGTTTGCCAACAAGCAGAATAGTCTCATCTTCACGGTGAGGCACGGCTGCAAGGAGGGTTGTCCAACAAGTCCCACCTTATTTGTGGTTGTATATTCGGTAGTACTGCGCTACTTTGACAAACTCTGTTCAGAGCGGTCCTTGTGCCAGGGCATTCCGCTTCTTTCGGCAGACGGCATGTGGGCGGAGACTAGACAGCGGAAGCTGCAAATTCTTCTTCATGGTGGACAAGGAGGTGAGCAGCACCCGCAAGCAGCCGCATTCTTCCTCAGACTGATGCTGTTTGCAGATGACACAGCGCTACTTGAACAGATAGACATGCCTGACTATCTACCAGAGTCTTCATATCCTGACATGCGAAACAGGCCAACAGGCGGGCAGCTGCTAACTGTGATGCAAAAGGCTATTAACGATGCAGGCACGGCGGAGAACACTGGCAAGCGACAGATTGGTCTTGCGAGAGACATCAGACAAAGAAATCTAGGCATGCAGACGTCGGAGGTTGATGATTTGGAAGTCAAACTAGTAGCAGGATGGAAGGCTTTCTACTCATTAAGGTCGAAGATGTGTGGATTATCTGGAATAAGCATGCGCGATAGAGGAGCACTAGTTTCGGCGATGGTTAGGTCGGTGCTAACCTATGGACTTCAGACCAGAGCGGTGCAAGCACCTGAGGCACGAAAACATGCGCAGGCTGAGGATATGATGATGTGCAACATCGTAGGCGTGCCTTATTGGAGAATGGATGAGCTGGGAATAACACCTTCTACACTAAGGATGAGGGCCATGCTCCCGCCGTTTCTGCCATTTGTCAGATTTATACAGGCCAGGCATATATCTCACACTCTACGGCAGGCTGACGGAGCCATAGACAAGCTTGCCCTCCAGGGAGTATTTCTTCCTGCCCGCAGGAATGCTGAGGACGGGCGGGAAGTATACCAGTTTTCACCGGCACGGGACACAGCACTAAATCCAATGTGGCGTGTGGCGCCTGACTTGATGAAGGACTTTCTCGAGCATGCTAACAAGGTCTGTTCACTGCCAACGGCCCTGCTTAAGCCGCTACTTACGCCTTTAGAGGAATACTTGAAGACTTTCACGAAGGAGAAGTCCTTGGAGAAGTACAATCGAGCGAAGAGCTTTCTTTATGGAGTCTTTCGAGAGGTATTCATTGCCCAGTCTGTTGCTGATTGGTCGAATGCGGTTGACGACGAGTATTATCCTGTCGGTGGCACAGCAGAACTGTATGGTTTAATGAGGCATAAACATGGTCGAGTAAGGCGAAGAGGTCATGGAGAGGTAGATGACTGGCAGATGGAGAAAACGCTTGAGCGGGCGGATACGATTCACCTGGAGGATGGGGCTGAACTTGCTAAGGTTCACAAGGTTGGGACAGCTAGCGAGTTGTTAACAGGCATAACTGGTTCAGAGGTAATTGCGCCTAGTAGTGACCCTCTTGAGGTTGATGTAACTACATCACACTCAGGGCACGTTGCCATTATGTGCCATACATCTGCCAATCCTTCGGGCGACACCATGCTTACCTTTAGAAATAATAGGCCAATGATAATTCGTGCTGTGCTGCCTAACAACGACGGCCACACTCAGCGGCTTAAATGGCAGGAAGCAGCGAGGATGCTACCGCAAGAAGAGGGATGGATGATCAGTCCGCTAGTAGTGCAAGCACCACAAGAAGAAGTTGGTCGTGTGGTAGTCTCTCGATGGTACTTGGTTCCTCAAGTGAGTGTTTTAGCGGTTCCGCCTACGGTCACGCTTTTTATAGAGGGGGCGCAGAACTTGGAGTTTCCTCAGCTGACCAAGCGATTTCCTCCATATGCGGTGTTGCATTGTCCGGCTTGTGCGGTCCGGCTAGCTCCGAAATATGATGTTATTCTATACTGCCCTGATGCCATGTCGACGGCGTTGATGGAGCATGTGACTGCAGGACATGCTGAGGCGAATATACCCACGCCAGCGGCGGCCTTAGCACTTTTGCCTTTAGCTAAACAGCAGCAAGAGTTGGTCCAAGAAGAAATCAGGGCTAGAAGGAGGCAGTTCAGAGTGGATCTAGTTCGAACGACTCGAAAGCGAGGCAAGAAGCGAAGAGGTTTGGCGGCCCATCTGCGTAGCTTTATTTGTAGGCACTGTGCTGTTACCTTGGTCACAACGTCTGGAGCAGCTTCCGCGCATGCTCAGGCTCATAAAGATAAGGACTATATCATCTTAGGTAAGAAGATTCTTGGCGAAGCGGCTCATTCTCTACCTGGAGTTGTCAAAGTAGAATATCGTCCGGAACAGCACCTGTTCTGTAAGCAGACAGGTCGAACTACGGTTGGTGGAGATGCGCGGATTTGTTCAATTAAGCCACCTTTGGGAGCTGAGACAAAGATTGCAGGAAGACCGGCCATATGTTGTAGGTGGTGCTGTAAGTACAAACTCGAATTCGATCGACAGAAGGAAAGCAATCAGAAATTAATGAGGAGGGTAAACATGATGAGGAGGCATGAATTCAAATGTGCGAAGAAGAAGGATCCTATCAGAAAGTAGGAAGAGGGAGGGAAGAGCCTGGGGAGTATGCTCAAAATCGTAAAAATGCAATTTGGAAGAAAAACACACAATCAAATGCAAGAATCACAACCCAAACAAACTCAAACCCCACCCTTGAAGAAGTCAGATGTGTGTACCCCTTGAATGGGTTTACTACTACTACTACTATGTCTAAGAAGTAAGTAGACGGAAGCGACCTTATGTGCAAGATGGTCCCGAGAGAAGATGGTCGCGAGCTTCGTCGAAGCAGCTATGCATCCTCCTCTAATGAACTTCGTAACGCTAAAATTTTTTGATGAAGAAGTCAACTCAAACTGAGATATTACTTACTCTGTAGGACTAGAGGCTAGAAGATACTTAGTCACGTAGAAGTATAATGTTGTGCTAATATATAAAAATCAATCTGAGTGATGTCTTAAATGTTTTCTATTCTTAGAACGAAATCGTCGTCGTCCGTGGTCGAGGTCGAATAAATGACCAATGTCGACGTGATGAAGGTGATATTTTTTTTATGAAGTTCAATCAAAGTGACGTGGTATAAAAAACAGAAATCGAAGAAAATGGTGGCTAGTTAGAACAAGTTGTATTCGCGCACAAGTGCTAGCCTACCAACTACTTGAATGAAAGCAGAAAGTAGTCTTCGGATGAACACATTTAAGTCACAAAAAATAGTTTTCGTTCGTCCCGTTGGTTCATCGCATACTAGCTAGCCCTGTTTGTTCATAATCTGCTAGTACCTGGAGATGTGAAAAGAGGACTCGCGCACTTCATCCTCATGGAAAGAGCACATCGGTTTTACCCAAGGAGAACATCATTGCGTAAAATTCTTGCAACATCAAGAGCCCTACCACTACCCGCAGTAAACACGCCAGAACTGTTATGTCATAATCGAGATATTTTTTTGTGCGAGCAGAGGTAGGTCTAGGTGCTCTGTCCCCTGTTTAGAATCGAGGGGTGAAATCGCGAGTTACGTTTCGAGATTGTGCATATTTCTGATCCGTGGAAGATAAACAACACATTTGCAGAGGGCTCATGTTTAGAAAATACTTGGTAGGACATCATGAATGTGTAGTCACTGGCAATGACATGTTCTTGTGCATAACCACTTCTAGGTCAAGATCGAGTTGCACTAACTCCAGATTTAGTTAGAGGCTCATTAAAAATATAGTTTTTGCATTATGAGCACGGATGCTATATATAAAAACATGATGAGCGCGCCCTGTTACGTCACGGCGTGCAATGATGACTATATGATGAAAGACTGCATGAACGACATTGCGCACTATGATATGATGTTGATAATAATTCTCTATACAACTAGTTGTTACCTATGGTCGTGAATACAAGAATTGCGAAGACCAGGATGCATATAATGCAGCATGGGGTAGAGGTACTACTTGGAAGTACTAGGTATGATTTCTATTTTTGCGTCACTAAAACCTCAGGTGGGACTGCTGCAAGACATATTTTACCAATTTTTCTTCAGACTTCAAGAACACTCTCTCCTGTGCGAAGTAGAACAGCCTCATCTAGGGCGGGTCACCAAGGAAGAAGACGCTGGGTGTTCCATAGTTACTGTTGGTAGTCCCTCTGAGGCTACGGACGTTCGCCCGGGGATACAGGTCAAACTGTGGACGGCGAGCCAACTCCTCTCCTGTGTTCGTGCGATGTTGATTAAAGTTGCGTTCTGACTCCTGATCTCGTCGAGCAGATCCGGGGAGATGATGAGCAAAAACCTGGACTCGAATTGAACTGTGATTCACCGAATGAAGATGCTGCTCGAACAAAAACAACGGTGATTCATGAAGGTGCTGCTCGAAGAAATGGAAATCCCAGCAGCCAGAAAATGATGCAGAACTGAACAGGCGATCTGATGAGCACAGTTTCTTCATTGAGCCGATCTTGCGAGCATCAGCATTATGCTGTCGATCCAGGGGTCCCATTCTTTTTCGGTATTTTGACATTTCTCACGTAGCATCATCTTGCTAAAGAACCTTTTTCAGTGCTGTGAAGAGGACAATGACGACGTGACGTTTTCAACTACAAAGTCAAGTTTTGCTTTTGCTAGAAGGTACTTACACAGAAGTAGATTGCGTTTCATTTTTCTCAACGAGTTCGTTGTACTTAGTCGCTTCTACTTCAAGAAACTCATTGTAATAACATCCACTCCTCGACTCCTCCAGTTTTACTTCTAGCTACATCTAGACTAAACAAAAAATGTCCCTCGCCGCGAAGCGTCTGCAAATGGAGAGGGTGCAGTTTAAGAAACGGCATCCTTTCGGATTTTTTGCACGGTATACGACGAAGACGGATGGCACACAGGATATGATGAAGTGGCGATGCGGCGTAAAAATGGATGAGGATGGGCCGTGGCATGGAGCCACTGTAGAAATGCACATGGAGTTCTCAGAAGACTATCCGGGGAGACCGCCTAAGGTATGGTTACTTAATTGTAGCTTTGATCACGACTAGGTTTTTTTTAGCTTGGAGGTACAGGTAGTGGTTGATGATCGATGACTTCGACGATGAGTGTATGCCTGACTTGCACTAGCGTTATCTTTTTTCTATCTGCTGGGTAAGGAACCGACCTCCACGAGACTGCATCATGATCAAAAATGTCCAACAACTGATATCAACAGGTAATACTTTGTCAAATCGGCGGTGCAACTTGCTTTCACCCCAATATCTACCCAAGTGGCGCTGTTTGCTTGTCAATTCTGAATGAGGACAAGGATTGGAGGCCAACACTAACGGTAACGACGATATTGAACGGCATTAAGGACCTCCTCAACAATCCAAATCCGAACTCGCCAGCACAAGAAGACGCGTACAAGGTCTACATAGAGGACGACAAGCACGAGAAGTGGCATAAGAAAGTCAAAGAACAATCCGAACTCATAAAAAGCGGAAAAGCTTACACCGACTAACACGAAGATACATCATCAACATACGTAGCAAAATCAAGAACCACATCTAAACGCAGTCAATCACATAGTGCAGGGTTTAGGGTTTTTTTTTCAGTTGCGGCTGGCCGCTTCTGTAAATGACAAGTGAGCATGTGCGGATAGCCGCTTTTTTTGGATTTTGGTAGCTTCTCGAACATCCCCATATCCCACTCATAATTGGCAAGAAATGAAAATAACAGAAGATGACCCCCGTGGCACTGTCCACTCGCGAGGGGGGGGGCACGAAATAAGGGCCCAAATGATATGGTGTTTGCGTTATCCAGCGAACTCATGAAAAAGATCAGAAGTCTATTTTTAGTATCGAATAAATCGATGAGTGATCATGTGCTTTCTAAAAACAATGCATGCGAGAGAACAGGGAAAGCACAGAACTGAAGGACGAAAAAGAGAGAAAGAGGTAACGGAGCTGTGACAACTCAGATCCTGCTGATCCTGCTGATCCACTGTCGTGTTGAAGATCTTCATGATCCTCGTCTTGGTACTGTTGAAATTGATAAATAATTAAACTAAATAAACTATCAACAGAGTCGGTGTCTACTCCTAAAAAAGTAGAGTCCCTCAGATATTACAACGATGCAGGGTTCACGACCGTGCTGCTTGACGAGCAGAACCATGTCGTCTCGGGAACGAACAACGACACCTTCGGGTACTAGGGTACGGCGGTCCATCCGAACCATGTCCTCGATAGCAGCATCAATGTTCCTGCTGCCCGCCAAGACCGTAATAGCAGAAGAACAGTGTGTTCAAAAAAATTGGTGGGAGATCAGCTCTATGGAGAATGCAGAGTCTCTAGCCCTCATGTTCGATCGTGAGTCTAGGAGATACTTTGTCTATCGCGAGGGACACATCACAAGCAGTCGGAAGGCGCTCTCTATGTATAGTTTGACTATTCTTTTCGTTAGTTACTACCTCTTCTAGGGAAGATGACCACTGACTACGCAACCTCTTCTACAACTGCTACTCAGTGCTATCTCCAAGGTCCTCGATGAGAATCTCACAGCTGCAGGGACAATTACAGGACGCTCTCTTGTTCACTATCCAATTGAATGCACTGACCAACTACAGGTACTTCGAAATCGCCCGTGCTCCCTTCGTGAAAAATATCTGCGAAATCGGCTTCAATGCTGGCCACTCTACGTCCATTTTTCTGAACGCCAACCCTAATGCTCGCGTTTGGTCCTTTGACTTGGGCCAATTCGACTACACCATTCGCCAAGGAGATTTGGCCAGGGAGCTCTTTCCCGATAGGTTTCACCTGACTCTTGGCCCATCTCAGGAGAGTGTCGAAGAATTCCACAGACTATATTAAGGCTGACGACGGGTGCAAGTTGTTTGTGTTTCATGATCTTCTGCTTGTTTGAACAAGGTTGGTGGCAAAGACGCCGTGCACAGTAGAGTGCAAAGACGGTGAGTGTGCACAGTAGAGTGCAAAGACTGTGAGTGTGCACAGTAGAGTGAGTCTCATAAAAAAATAAGATCTTCCATCTCCAATCCCTCCGCTAATCTTCCCCTGATATAACCTGCGACGTAATTTCGGTTGACGGTGACCACAGTACCGAAGGGACATACACAGACCTGGTGAACATGCGAAAGATGGCTACTTGCAGGAACTGGGTAAGAAAGTTTTTTCTAGAAGTCGACTATATGTTCTTGGGAGTAGAACAGTCGTCGTGAACAGTGACCTTTTTTCAGGAACTGGTTCTGTATGCTGACTGAAAAAAAAACATTTTTACTGTTACTCGCGTTTTTATCTATTAGTTACTATTCCCTCTGAGACCTCTTCAACACCTCTTTCTTCACCTCTTGCCAACAGGTGTTGATGGATGACGCAGGTTGGAATTCAACGAATACAGCGTGGCAAAAGGCTAAGGATGATGGCATAATAACGCAGGTAAAACAATAGAAGAAGCTGTTTAAAAACCTCTCTCGCTTGTCTTTTATTGAGAGTAGTTTAAAACTGATGGGTTATCGTTATGTAAACTTTCTGCTTAGTGCACTTTCTCGACACTTCTGTCGCACTTTTTCCCCCTCCTCACTCAAACAGGTTTTTTAATAACGCTTTAGCAGGAGCTTCAATCTTGTTTCATGTCCTCATTCTTCACAGATGGAATGCTTTGTCGACATGGCACCGGTTCCAAACTATCAGTTCATGGATTTTCCGGATAACCGATCTTGGTGTGTAGGCTTCTTCAACGTAGAAGGCTGTCCAAGGTGGTTTGACGAAGATAAGAATCCGAATGAGCCTGTGACACGAGTGAGGCCCATTGAGTATGAGTTGTAACACGTTTCGGAAGGACTTTGAACACGAGGTTTGGACGCAGTTCTTGGCAATGGCAGGGTAAGCATGTGGATGGAGCACGGTGATCGCTTTTCCTTCACGACCCTGAAGTATGATTGACAGCGCACTATCTTGCTATGTGTAAGATGGGGATATTTGAGAATACAGTCTTAGTACCTCTAATGAATGAGGACTCGAGAATACATTAGAAGCTTATGCTTCCTGAAACAAACCGAACAAGAAAACTCGCAATTGTTTCCCATTGTATTCCCTTTTCTCCATGTGTCTGGTAACCCCGCAATACATTTTAAAGGTTCTTCTTGGTCGACGGTTTTTGCGTGGACCACATACATGACCAAACTCGCATACTTATAAATATAAATGAGCATTCGCGACGTTGCATCTCTTTCGGACTTTGCGTTCTTCATTCTATTGTCCGAAGTCTCTCCACCTCTCGGTGTTGATCATATCGAAAAAGCGGGGCACACTTGGAAATATGATTAAAGTGCCCGCTGAAGAGGAAAATGCTTTTTCAGGAAAAACTTAGAAAATTTGTCGATACGTAGGGAGCATTGCCAAGCAACTAGAGACTTGTGAAACATGTAGAACAACAACTACGAGGACTTCTTGGGTGGAGTTGTAGTATTGCAGCATACAACTGTGTACAGCGAGATTTTTCCAAAACCGTATACTACGATAAACAAAATGCCGGCAGTGCCTCCTCCATTGTTGCCTGGTGGGGCTGCGTTCGACCCTCCCATTCGTACTGGCAGCGCCGGTGCAAATGAGCTCACGCTAGAACATTTTAGTGGGCAAGAGTTCGATCCGGTGACCTGGCTTAACGCCAATCTGTCGAATATCGGGTCTTTGTCCACCAGCTTGCAGCTGTTGTGTCAAGACGAGCAGGAAAGCGTGGACGACTTGGCACAGTCAGTCGTACAAAAACTCCCTACGACGCTGCTGCACTTGGAGACACTGAGGAAAGAAGTAGAGACAGGACATCGGAGAGTGCAGCAGGCGATTAATTAAGAGCCTTTCATGTTGATCCAACTCGTCCAACTGATAGGTTAAAAATACAAAAGTACAGTTTCCTCTTTCTTCTACTATTGCTGTCAGAAGTGTCATCCTAGGCCTGTTCGAAGCTGCTAAATTTTTTTCACAAACAAGTCCAACAGGAGCAATCTAAGGCACAGGTTGCCAGCCAGGTAAGTAAGACCTGCACATCAAGCACAAGCAGTAGGTACGAGTACCAGATCATCTACCTTCTAACTTCCGGAGTTATCAAGAGCAGGCAAGGACTCGTTTCCGATATTGACTGATATGGCTGTCACCAAAGAACGACTAGAAGTTGCGAAAGTTGCCCTACGAGAATTACAAACCTGGGACAAAAAAGTGCAAGAGGTATAATACTTGTCTACGAGGACTATGTTGACGTACTTGACAAAACTATCGAGCCACAATGACGTGCATCAACGAAGAAAAATTAGTAGGTTGTTCTTAGGTTCTCGAACTCGAACACTAGTAGAACTAGTTTGACACGACGTAAGAGACCTACTGTATCGATCGTGACTTTGAGCAGAAAATCAGGTGGACGATCTCCTCCGTGGTGGCGAATTGGTTCAAGTGATTGAGCGGATTAGAGGTGCTCAGGACGTCTGCGAGTGTTTTGCGGAATTGCCGGAATACGAGCAGCGCGTGGGTTCTCTGCGCAACTTCGAGTCCGAACTGAAATCTTTGGCCCGTCGAAAACTTCTGCTAGCCCTGGAGAAGGGCAACTTTGAGGATCTGCGGGTGGCTACAGAAGCGTTTCAACGCTGCGACTTGAATGACGAATTGAATCATTTAGTGGCGAATCATTTCGAAAACCTCGCACTCAAAGTGAAGCCATCTTCCGGAGGAAGCAACAGTGGCTCTGCGTCTGGCGTTGGCGTCGTAGTGGAGCACGTCTCAGCCTCAGCCATGGGAGAAGCAATTCGACTGTGCTTTGAAAGTTTGGTGACAGCCAGTCGCGAGATCGCGCGAGTCAACATTAAGGCTTCCCGTAATTCATCTGGAGAAGCGGCATCAGTCTGTGGAGGAAAAGAGACGACACACTTCTCATGAATAATAATGCTCTCCTCTCACTCCAGGATGAATCTTCAAAGTAGTAAGCTCTAATCCCAAGGCAGTCGCATCGCTTCCTGGAGGATCACAGCAGACATCTTCTAGTAGCAGCTCTCCTTCTGTGGCGAGTCCAACATCTGCATCACTGGTGGCCAGTGCAAATCTTACAGGAGGCTCATCGGCTGCTTCTACAACCTCAGGAGTACTACAGCATCGAAAAGAGGAGGATGCTCAGACGAGAAAGCGACTTGTGTACCAAAAGCTAAAGCATCGCGCTCGACAGTTAGCAGATGCCGAGGGCCGTGGTCGCGATGCAGAGTTGGCTGGAGAGAGGCCCGACGGCGAAGACGCATCACCTTCTGTTATGGGGCTCAAACAATTACTCACACGGCAGTTACCACAGTAGCTGTGTCGCCTTACCAATATTACCAGTGCAAAGTAATTTCTTCAAGCATAAATCTACGCCAAACACCTCTAACTTGTCTCGTTCGCCACTGCTTGAAGCCGGTGATCTAGCCATGTTAGATCAAGTAACACCAGATCTCGGGAGAACGGCAAGTGCACAGTCTGCCGGTTCCGCAGCATATCTTCAGGTCCCGAAAGCTGCCTCAACAACAGCAGGAGGATCATCTTTACAAGCAGAACAACAAGGTTCATCCTCCTCTCAAGCAACACTGTTAAGGCTTCAACAAGAAACTGAAATCCAGCTTTGCCAGCATTTTGGGTCCGTTTCTTAGGAGTAAGTGACGGGCGCCCAGATCCGGATGCATCTCAAGATAGATTTCTAGTAGTTCTAATCCTGAAGCCTTGCATCAATTTGCAACGAGCTCTGGTTGCTGCGCTGCGCAAACTACATGGACTTCTGTACGAAAGTATGAACGCAGATGACGGCAATGTGCCAGCAGAGGACCTCGTCACGCGGAAAACCAGTAGGATTCTATTAAGGCTGGTGGAACTGGAACAAAAGGGACGATATAGAGGCTGATCATGGAACTGGAAAAACAGAGGAGGTGGAGCAGATTCTTGAAAAGCGAACTACAAGGACTACGTTAGACTTAAATAGACCTTATAGTATAAATATTATACCTTCGCTTTTCTAATTCCAGCATCGTGGATAAGCTATGTGGATGGCGCAGAGAATCTCTCAGCGACATTGGCCGACTCAAATTCCGAAGCAGCGATCGAAACGATGTTCCGCGAACTTCCCTACTGGTTGCTGTTGGATACGGTAAGCGAAGTTCATACATAGTCTTTTTGAATGAAACTACTGCATTGGCAGCGATTAGATGATAATCTAGGTCCTTCGACTTCAGCTTCAGACGAAAATATCCAAGAATAATCCACATCCACAACGAACATCAGGTAAAATTTGTTTATGTGCCTGGCCTACAAGATTGTCGCGCGAAGAAAGCAGAGAAGCGTGCGACCACGGGCGCCTCGGAGCTACTCTTGACCGCGGAGTCAGAGTCTCTGAAGCATATGCAGGCTCTAGCGAAATTCGCTATCAAAGACGATGTTTATTTAAGGCTCTCGCTGAAGGACAAGGAGATGTTAAATAATGCCTAACCCGTTGTTAATGTCTACACGCCAAGTAGTTTGTTGTGCTGAATGCCTAGCCGTAACCCGTTGTTAATGTCTACACGCCAAGTAGTTTGTTGTGTTGAATGTCTAACCCGTTGTTAATGTCTACTTGGCGTAGAAGTAGACTTCACGTTCACATAACTTCTCACTCTAGAAATTTGAAGAAGTCAACTTCGCTACTACCTACTAACTATGGGAAAAAAGTACATCAACACTCTGCTCACACTCTTTCTCGTGAGACTACATCAATCCTGCATACAAACCTCTTCTAAGCTCACTTCTCTCAAGTGCCGAGTTCGTTGCCTTGTCAGCTGTTGACAGTTGTTTCGCCGCATCCTTGTCTGAAGTTTTCCCGCCATTAGGAGACATCTTTGAGAACAGCATCCAAGAACGGTCGACGCAGAACGCAATCGATGCGACCGTTTTGAACCTCTGTCTTAGCTTTTACGGCTTGTGAAGAACAAGTGGATCAGTCACTATATACAATTTTATCCATGAGATATACTTATACATTCAGAATTGTTCTGCGTAAGACGAGTCCTGTCCTAACGCTACCCTTTCCTTGTATTCGAGGCTCGCATTCTTTCCCATAAAGATAAATTCTGACGATTTCATTTTGGCAAATACCTGCAGAAACCTCTTCTAATCTATCTACAAAGTGTTGTCGCATGTGCAAACGCAGATGGTGAACGAGCTCGAACAGCCTTTGCTGGACCACTGTAGAATGCAGGGTGCTGAATCGCGAGTCTACCCACACTTTGCACAGGCATTGGAATGGAAATTCTTGAAAGAAGGGATCAAAGAGGTATCAGTATGCTCTATCCATATCACTGAATTGGAAGAATTGTCCGACGCTGTGCGAAGGCCTGTCGGTGGCAGAAGTAAACTGGCGCCAGCGCTTGCTTCGAGCAAGCTGATCAAAGGAGCGACCGCGAAGCTGAGCCTAATAGAGGACGCAGGCGCGGCAGCGCGCCACTGCCTACGTCATCCATTGCGCGAAGACCGCGGCCGCCTTCCCCTATGCTGTGAACACTGGACAGAGCCGCAAAGCTTTGGAGGGAGCAGCCCGTTGCGCTGGACCCAAAGGCGCTCGCAGAGCTTTGGAGTGCAAAGAAAGACAGCCAGATAATGGCGGACGCTGTTGGGAGTCCAGCCACCACGGCGACGCCAGGAGACCACACCCCCGAGACGCACAAGGCGCAGCAGCTGACACCACTAGCCTGCTGGCCGTGGCTTATTTTCTGAAGCTGCCGGCGATGCGGGCGCTGCAGGCTCCCGGGGGGCTTTTCAGCCCCCGCGCCTACCTATTGCCGCAGGGCGTGGGACAATCAGGGCGCCGCGGCGAATACACCAGGGCACCCGGCCGAAGCTTGACAGTCTGGGGGTGGCTTCAAAGCGTGTGGGGGCGTCGAGGCGGCGGGGCTGCTGGGCTTTCGGCGGCTTCCTTTATGTCGCCGCCCATCAACCGGAAGCAGAGAGACCGCGGAAGGCCGCCGCCGAAACGGTGAAAGCAGGGAGGGGAGCGGATCGTGGCCATTGCCAAGGTGGTCGCGTGAGTGCCCTGGGGGCGGTTGGGCTCACTCGGGCTCGTTGTGTGTTGAATTTTAGCGCGGTGTGTGGTGACGACGACGAGGTGGCGCGCTTCATGCGACAGCTTACGCGCTTAGCAGGCCGCGGCGGTTTTTTACGGCTCTGCGTGCCTGAAGGAAGTCAAACGCGCAGAGAAGTCAAAGCGACTGGGTCGGCTGGCTCGCGGTCCCGCTTGCACCTTCGTGGAATTTTCAGCGAGTGCAGCGCTTCAAAGCGGTAAAAGAAAGCGACTGGCGGGCCGGGCGCGCCGATGCATACGGGGGCGCGCGCTCCGTTGGCTCGTCCGCGCACGGGCCGTCGACGCCTTTGTGAATGCGCATAGCAGGGGGGGGGGGCTTGAGCTGCTCCAGATCTTTTCCCGCTGGCTGTGGTGCGTTTTTGGGGGGTGCGGTAGATGAAAGGGCTCGGGCGTGTGTCTGCGATGCTTGTTTGTAGGTAAGAAAGTCAGTTGTAGTCTTAAGCACTTCGGCGAGGCTTGCAGCTCCTTTGCACCCTGCAGCCCATGGAGCCTTCTCAGCTCGATCGATGCTCCCTTCCTTTCTTTCTTTTGTAATGCTCTACAAGTCCACCTCGTTCACTAAAAATCATTCTTTTGTAAAAATAGTCTACAAGCCCACCTCGTTCACTGAAAATCATTCTTTTGTAATAGTCTACAAGCCCCCCACCTCGTTCACCGACCGAGCCACCACACAAATTTATTACCCCGATCACCTTCAACGAACAACCTCAGATCCAGTCAGCGTTCCGGAAGTGGCCATTGGAGAAGACCTATGAGGACCGCCGTCTCCATCAGTCCCGAAGTAGAGTAGCGGAGCTTCTCCAGCGAGCCCGAAAGTTGGTCGGCTCTGCCTGCGTTGCACCAATACAATTATGGAGGAAAAGTCACTAAAACTGTTCGAGGACAACTTTTACAAATACGACAATAGTACGGAGGAGCTTTGCTGCGTTTTTATAGAGGACCTCGCAGGAATCAAATTAATACATTCGTAGACGACCTCATCCAGTAGATACTCCAATGCTCCTGTGTCTCTATACCATCTTTTTCGCTTCTTCTAATACCAAACGTCCTCTCGCCATACGCATCCCTGTCCGTATGGGCTGCAGAAGATCCAAAAGACGCTACGCCTCAGCAACTTATCACTAACGTGGGAGAGCAACTCTTCGGCATGGTGCCGATGCTCGAGCACTCTGGGCTAGTAGAGGAATGGTTACATGCTGCACTTCAAGAGGTGGCGAAATTGACCGTTTCCAATGCGCTTCAGATAGCACGTCTTTCAGCTGGAGGCTTTTCGCAACTCAAAGCTGATTTGGAATACGTCTTTAATGTCATCAGTGCTCTCTGTACTTCCAAGACTACTGAAGGAGGAACACATGTTATGAGACTCAACATTTGAAACAGCTGTACTTAGAAGTCGTTGTAGAAGGACGCCATGACTTCATGAGCTCCTACAGGGATAGCACTAGTCTTTTGATATTCATCGCTCAATTCGCTCAATTCTAAGGACTGAAGCACAAGCGCCGGCGCATCCCAGGACAGCGGCTCAGTGGACGAATTACAGGCACTCTTTAGCCTCGTGAACGCGCTGAAGAAGATAGATTCGGAACTGGCGCAAACAGGAAACAGCATTGCCGCTATGTTAGCAGCATCCCAGGATAACAAGGCAGGAGACTCAAAATACGAGAGAACTGTGAAACAAATGTTGAAAAACTTTGCGTCGCCTAATGTTGGGGCGTAACATCACTTTTGTTTAAAAATGTCTATTGGAGGTTCTAAGAACGAAGGTAGTCACAAATGTCGACAACAATTACCAGGAATTTGCTACAATATTGATGAGATTCGTCTTTATTCATACTGAACATTGTTGATTCTACTCCTTGAGTCAGCGCTGCTAGAAAGCAGTCGTAGCTTGTTGAATGGCAATGTGGCACATCGATGGATCACTTAGTTGTCATGCATCAAGGATCAAAGAAGAGGATCAAGATCATAATCCAGTGGAAGATCTTTAAACCGGTCTGGTTGTAGAACAGGATCAAGATCATAATCCAGTGGAAGATCTTTAAACCGGTCTGGTTGTAGAACAGGATCAAGATCATAATCCAGTGGAAGATCTTTAAACCGGTCTGGTTGTAGAACAGGATCAAGATCATAATCCAGTGGAAGATCTTTAAACCGGTCTCCGGGAAGAACTTGTAGTATTTTCGAATCAAAACAAAATCAAACGACCCAAGAGGCACGCTTTTCCTCATCTTCGATCTAAATTGTCCTCACGAGGGATATCTCCAACAAGAACATGCTTCTTTCATGAGCAGCATCGGACGTTTCCATTTATTCTATCTCATCGTGGCTACTTCCTTGTTTTCAACAAGGTAGTTATACCTCAGAGGTGTGCTGCAAATCTTGATTGGCTTCATCTCCCTTTTTATAAGGTTGAGGTTTAGGTCCAGCGGCGCTCAAAGCACTAAATAAAACAGCCGGCTCGTTTTTACCTCTAGCGTGTAGCCCTTTCAACCAAACAATTTACATTCATGCAGTTGAGAGCTTAAGGGAAGGTTAAAAATAGTTTGCTACGTCCTCCTCGATTCATCTTCAGAACGAAGTAGCGACCATTTTACGACGAGGAGGGATAAGACTTGTTCGTCCACCTAGAACGACCAAGACAATGACGGCCGCGTTGTCTTCTCCAGCGATTTCAGGGGGTGGCACCTCTCTACCATCTGCGACCACGAGCATGACATCGAACTCTACGAACAAGGTGAATCGTTCTGGCGACGCTCTCCGAGGACCACCGCAGAAGACTATTCCGCTGAACCTGGCAGAACAGGAGAAGCTTCAAACCGGTAGTTGTAGTACAAATGGTAGTCAAGAAGAAGATCAAGGCTTCGAGAATGAACATCAAGACGTTCGCCGTGCTCCCCGGGTCGAGCGTGAACATGTACATGCAGTGTACGATACAATCGCAGACCACTGGAGTCATACGCGGTATCGCGCGTGGCCAAGAGTGGCGCAGTTCCTAGAGAGTTTGCCTCCGAATAGCTGTATCGCAGACTTAGGTATGGGAAATGCCAAAAACGTCATCGCAGCCAGAAGAGACTGTAGAAACAACATCCGCTACATCTTCGGAAGCGACATCTCTGCACCCTTGGTGTTTGGAGCACGGGAGAAAGTCGCTGGAGTCGGTGGAGAGGAGAATCCTATAGGAGGTGGAGGTGGTAACACGACAAAGGCTAATTATAAAGGAGCGACAGGTGGTTCAACATCTTCTGGTAAAAAGAATAGAGCAGGTAAAAAACAAGGAGGTGATGTAAAACCAGTACTAGATGATGGTCATCGAGAGTCATCGACTTCTACGCCTGCGACCGAGTCCTCATCTACTACACTCTCTCCCTCTCCCGCTACAACCCCTTCTCCTCCACCCGCACAAGTTCCCGCTGCAGTCGCTGACCTCGCCGTCGCGGATTGCGTAAGCCTTCCCTTAAGGACTGGCTTCTTCGATGCCTCTATTTGTATTGCTGTTTTGCACCATTTGTCGACAGTCGCACGACGTGTGGCTGTGTTGCGTGAGAGTCTTCGTGTGCTAAGACCTGGTGGCCAATTCCTCGTTTACGCGTGGGCCATGGAGCAATCCGAGACAGGCGTCTCCCGTCATGTCTTCGAGAGCCAAGACGTGCTGGTAAAATGGCACCACAAACTTCCGGGAGTCAAAAGGGAAGAAGCGTTGGCGAAGATTCAGGAACAAACGGCCAAAAGTGCGGATCACGGCGCATCCTCTGTGAATGTTGCGGATCACGGTGTCATAGACGAGGAGAAAGGAGCAATTGTGTATCAAAGGTATTGCCACGTCTATAAAGAAGGCGAACTCCAGGACCTCTTTGAGACTCATCTTTCTGACATCGCTAGAATAGATGAAGTCTACCTAGACACAGGTAATTGGTGCGTCAGGGCGACAAAGATATGATATAATCTGAATAACAAGAGTCGTGGCTGATTCCGATTAGATTCTCCTGTGAGTGGCAAAGATGTTATTTCACTTGGTAACATGTTGTACACCCTGATACAAGATCACGAGAGCTTGAGTGACGGAACACGAGACCTTAACGCAACCAACACGAGAATTTAATCAACACAGAGCTCCTTCCAAAGTGAAAGCATCAACAAGTGCATGACATCTTCTACTACCCAGGCTCTACCTTTACCTCATATTCATTACGTTGTTCATCAGGATCAGCGAGGACGTCCTTTATTCATCTCGTGCCTTTTCGGAGCCGCATGGTGTTCTAGCAAGTGATACCAGTTTTTCTTCACGAAGAAATGATGTTTCTGAAGCGTCGAGGACCCTGCGCTGAATTCTTTTGGACAAAAATGAAATCCAATCCACTTACAATTCAAAGTCGCAGTCACTCACATCAATGAAAATGCAGAGAATCAATGGGCACACAATTCTGCAAAATCTTTGTCTGCCACCGCCACAAGCAATTACCATTCGTTCCAACGTAAGCACGTAATCACGAATTTTGCACAGTGTCCATGAGTCATATCATGTGCAAATGCTAATGAATGAGCGTGCTCTTCTTCTGAATGACCATGGGTGGGTGTGAAACAATCAATACGTAAAAAGAGTCGAAGATTAGAATAATGATGTAGATGTTGTGTGAATGAAGAAGACCGCGCCTAAGCAACAGATGGAATCCTGCCTTGCCAATCATTTCAACTGCAAATCCGGTTCGTTCCATACCCGTTTCGTAACTATCCATAACAACTTTTGATTGTCGAAGACGTAGCACCAGTTGTACTTGTTGTAGAAAAAAGTTGTATCCAAATACTTTCGAAAGTCTCGGTCTCCTTTCTTCATCAACCAGTTCATCTTGTTGAACACCAAACTGAGAAAAGATGTCGCAACAAGGCACTGTGAAGTGGTTTTCCGACAAGGGTTTCGGATTCATCATGCCCGCTGAAGGTGGCGAGGACCTCTTCGTCCACTTCTCCTCGATCAACAAGGATGGTTTCAAATCCCTGAACGAAGGTGAAACCGTCTTCTACGATACTGTGTGGGACGAGCAGAAGCAGAAGACTTCTGCCGTGAACGTGACTGGAAACGGTGATGGTATTCCTCGTGAAAAGGGCAAAGGAGGTAAGGGAAAAGGCAAAGGCAAAGGCTTTGGCGGTAAAGGCGACTTCGGTGGCTATGGCGGTGGCAAAGGCTTTGACAAGGGCTTTGATAACTTAAGGCGATGCAATGAATGCTTATCTTCAGTGAAAGTACAACTACACAAGGCAAACGCAATGTAGAATCAGGAACTACATGTACTAGGTAACACAATCACAACCGAACATCTTCATGCTAAAAGAGATAAAGTACAAATCGTGCTAAGAGAGAAGTAGAAATCATGCTAAGAGAGAAGTACAAATTTTAATCTACTTCCTGTTCTAACCAATTTTGGCGGAAAGGGCGGCTTCGGCGGTGGCTATGATGGCGGCAAGGGCTTCGGTGGCGGTGGCTTCTGGTAAACGATATTCTTGACATCGACAAAGAAACAAATAGAACTGTCATCTACAGATGGAATCAGAATTCTGGAAGAGGTGCTAAGTTCGCCAGGGGAATGTTCTTGAAGGAAAAGGTTTTTCTTATATTATATGATGTATCATGAGTAAGGGATGGAAAAAAAACGAGTTGTTGGTTGTCTTCGAACACACTATCTTGAATCCACGGTATTTGCTATTGCTAGTCTTGTTCGGCGGGCATGAATAAGAGGATCAATATGCGAAGGAGGACGACAGCACTCTCCTGCAATAAGAATTGTGAATAAAAAACATTCGTTCTCAACATCGTCATGGAGTAGGTCTTATCTATGTGATGTATTAACTAAGCTGGGTGGATGAATCTTAATGAGTACTTCACAGCAACAACAAGAACTATAAAGAGATGAAGTGTAGTGTCTAAAGCTAAACTGAGCAGCTACGAAGCACTAATTCTTGCACTACGAAGAATTATTTCCTAGTCCCAAGGATACTAAGGGTGCTGGGAGTGAAATAGTCAGAAAGACGTGGTACGTAGTAGACTCTGATAGGGCGAGGTTCAGGACCTAGGTAGACAAATACAAAGCAATCATTCAATCACCAAAGATTCTTATCGGTTCATTGTAGTTCTTTCGCTACAGCTTCATTTCTTATCTTTGTCCTTAATTTGTGCTTGGCTTTGGCAGCACCTTTCATTCTGGGATGAAGCGATCTGATGGTTGGCTGTATGTGGGGGGTGTAGTTAAACTAAGAATTCTTGTATCAAAAGGATAATGATAACGACGTATTACCGAACATGAAGAACCTGGAGGATTTTCTTGTTTCATCAATACTTGATAAAAATCTGACTTGAAAGAAGGATACTTACCAGCTTTGACCACTAACTTCAACCATCATCATGTTGCTGAAGTACGGAAAAAACAAGGGACCTCAATTTGATTTGCGGTGAACAACAAAATTTGATGGACCTTCTAGAAAAGTGCATATATTTCTGTGCCTGATATGCTGGCTTTTTTGGCTCGCTTCGCGATTCCGAGCTCGTCGGATATGCAGAAACGACGTTGGTCGACATCAACTTTCTCTCTCGTCCTCTTGTCTTGGTATGTAGTCAAACAACATCAAAGTGAACATCGGTGTATCAGTCAGAATCTCTGTTCAACATGTTGCAATAAGAATATATCAGTATCCATCTCGGTCAAACTACTGTTCCACTCTGTTAAGCCTGCTGTGGCAGCGCATCGGGTCTCTTTCGGTTCCTACTTTGACTATGTTCCATTCGTGTGCTCGTTGTTGCGGACGAAACAGGGGCACCGACGATACGACCTCCAAGTGGTGTGCCCGGAAATCCGCCACTTGTGCACCTACGCGCAAGTCCTGCTGGCGGTATCGTGGGCGAGGATATTTGGGACGAGCGAAGTTGATCTATTTACTATATTCAGCTGTAGACTTCTATTCCAGGCAGTGACGGCGATGGAATCTAAATAATTATTTCAGTATCCATCTCGGTCAAACTACTGTTCCACTCTGTTAAGCCTGCTGTGGCAGCGCATCGGTTCTCTTTCGGTCACACTCTCTCTGTGACTTGCGTGGGTAGTGCACGAGATCTTTTGCCATGTTGTGTAACAGCTGACTTCCACTGACGTCTGCTGCGACTTCCTCTGCCACAACTTCCCCTGGCTTTTCTTTATCTCCGCCTCACATGATGCTGTACAACGAACAAACGAAGATTGATAGCGCTCATACTTGTAGTTTAGCCTACTGCTGATTACGAGTTATTTGATGATTTCGAGATGATCTCATCGACTATGTGTGGTTTTCTTTTGTGTACACCTTCTTGCATTAGCGTTTCGTGAACATCCATATCATATGGTCTTGCCAAACGATCAAAAATGGAAATCATTGCATGTTGGAGCTAGGTTGGGGCGAAGCCCTGAGAAGAGGGTAACTCGTTTTCACGTTCTCCAAATTTGACGCTTTGTCATTCGGAGAACGGCAACAGGGAGGATGACGAAAAAAATGGCCACGAACAAAACATGCCTTGTTCCCGGACGCAAGTTCTCCGCTATCCTTGCGGCATCTCTGTTGAACGAGGCAGATGCTCGTGAGTTTCTGGAGCTAAGGAAGACGCACGATGTTGGAGCGATGGCTCACGATTCACCGGCTATCGTGATGCCTCACGAGGAAAAACCAGAAATAAAGCAGGGTCCGGGACAAGCGGGCGGTAATGTGAGACAATCAATTCACTGTTTTTCGACATTCGTTCACAGTGCTGGACAATGATAGTAAACCACAACAGAAGTGCCTAAAGGTTTCCACGACCCGTTGTTTTATTATTATTTTCTCCTGAACTTGACCAACAACAACACAACATCAAGATCATTAATAAAGGGGTCACAACTTCTTGATATAAAGATATCTATATTATTATTTTCTCCTGAAAACGCATTCTACAGGGCCGTTAACACCTAGAACGACAACAACTACAGCCGCGGATCCGCATGTCACGACAACAGCTGTGAATCCACAAAATGCGCAGCCAACACAAACGGTATAGTACAACTTATATGTATTTAAATGATTTTATTTACAATTAATTTACAGATAAAAAAAAAAAATTACCACCTCCAACTTAGATCCTGTTTGTTTCGATGATGATCTTCATAGTCGACAAACAATGATTTTCAGGTGACGCAGGCTGTTGGGCTGCACGAGGAGAAGCAGGCAAGGGAGGGCGGGTCGAGTGGCTCTGCTGGGTTTGAGGAAATTACTGCTCTGAGTGAAAAACTGTTCGATGAGACAAGGAGAGAACTGAATGTGATCAAAAAGGTGGACGAGATGATGAAGAAGGAAATCGCAGACGTCGAAAAAATGCGTTAAAAAATAAATCGTAGGGCCGATTACACGACAAATGCCGGCCAGGGTTCGAAGACAATACTATGATGTGTAGTTGTAACATGTTATGGAGGAACTGGGATCTGCTCTTATTCATACCTATTCCAATATATTGCATGCAACGATACCTCGATACGCATAAGAGATGAACCACCTGAGTAAGGCTAGCATAACAACACCTGATGTATCATGAAAACAAACCTTGGACAATAAACGACATTTTTAACTTGATGTGCAGAAAAGAAACGAAGGAACTAGTCGTGATTTTTACATAATAATAATGAAAATCAACGTCAACGTGTCGCGCTCCTCTGCTGAGAAGAGAAATGGATATTGTATACCTAGTAATAGTATTCTTGCTTCTTGGATTCAACAATGAATGTTATCAAAAGTTTGGAAGAGCTGTGATCAGCTGTTTAATATTTATAATTCATCAAATTTTCGACTAATGCTGCATCTTGAATGCAGCAGTGACATGAAGACACGCAAAAGCCGTTTCTCAAAAAGACTTCCTTAAGCAGTAAGTTGAGCCTGAGTTATCCTGTAGTGACGACATAGCGAAAGAATGTTGGACATCGGGTGCCTCTTCAGTTTGGAGCGACACACCGGTCGTCTTTCATCGGTCGGACTCTCTCTTATTATTTGCCAACTGCAGGAGTCAACTCGTCGGATCTAGAAGGATCAACAGTTGCTTTCGGAGGCCATTTTAACATTTTTCTATCGATTTCGAAGAGTAGTGCATCAACTGCAACTATGTATCACCCATGTTGGCTGAGAATAGTCGTAGAAAAAATGAGACTAATCAAAATGTTGAAACCTCCCGCCGGCTCGAGAACATCGCTTGCATCCGGGACGATCGTTCGCTGCCTTGCCTCCAGACGAGGTTCATCTGGTTCATCTTTTCCTTGTCGTGGTCCCGACCGCGTCCACCAAGGCCACAACGTGGTGTGGCGACTACGACCACGTGGGTACAAGAGTAGAGCGCAGTCAAACTCCAAGCAGGAGGATGATTTCAATGAAAAAAATGACCTTCCGCCTCCTGTAAAGACAAAACCGCCACCTCCATTTCCGATCCGCGTCGCTCTTGTGGCGACTTCTGCTGGGCTTTTCACGCCAGTGAGCGTTTTCGTTGGCGCGGGTGTGATGTGGAGTCAAATATTGCCGCAGAGTCCTATTGTTATGACAGAAGGGGGTTCTGAATTTTCGTGAAGGTGTAGTTAGGTAGGATAATTCTGGGAACGAGCCCATGCATACTCACTTTGAAACAAAATCATGAGACATGAGTTCCCATCGAGATCTTCCGGATCTTCATCTACCGCACCTTTTCTACCTCCAGTAGTGCACCGCTGCTTCTAATATCAGCCGCTTCATCAAAAACGCAGGCTCTTTCGCCGGTGTTTTTGGCGCCTTTTCTTTACTCACCGTCCACGTTGGTCCATGGTTGTGGCGACACGGGGATTTGGTTCTTCCATTTGCAATTTCAAATGCCCTGACAGCGGGATTTTGGTATGCTGTCCTCGAAAAGAAGATCGGCTTGACCTCTATGGCGGGTTTGGCACCTGAGAGTTCCTTTCCTGCATTTTTACGACCTTTCGTGCGATTGGTCGGGAGGACTTCATCTACAGGAGCCTCTCCTACAACTGCATGTGCAAGTATTAAGGCTCAGCTTTCAATGGTCACCATTTAGATTGGAGTCACTGAGATCGAAGAAGCGACCCCTTTAGAGAACAGGGGAAAAGGAAGGGAATGGGGAGAGTTTTGAGGGGGGTCTCCTCCGTTCAGCATCATGATGACCATTGAGTGCTGAGCTTTAAAAGTAGTACTAGAAGTTCTGGCTCTGGACCAGCACATAGTCTCGGTCTTCCCCTTGGTGGTCTTTCTGTGGGCATGCTCACTGCTTCCACCGCTTTTATGCTGTATCCTCTTGCATTGGACGCCTGTCTTAGCTCTGAATTGAGGGAGTTTTTATTCCCCTTCGGCACTGCGGTTGTGGCTGACCTGTATACGTATCTGCTGCTTCCTGTGGGGTTGCCGTGTGGCGTGTGTGCTGGCTATGCGGTGCAGATGCTGCTCGGGAAGACTATTGCAGCGCAAACATCCACAAGAACTACAGCAGGAGCGTCATCCTCTTCCTGGAGTACAACTAGAACAGCATACTGCTCTCCCTATTTAATCCTAGCGCAGATGCTTTTCTTGTTTTGTGTATACAGTGGACGCGCATCCATGACGAAGTCTGTGGACGATTTGAAGTGGGAAGTGCGGTTGGACTCAACCACTGGGAAGTTGTACAGCTGGAACCCTGCAAGCGGCGAAAGGTCAACTAGTCCCGACACCGCTCAGGATTGTGAAGTCCAGCGGAACTTCCTGTCAGGGTTTCGAGCTTTAGCCGGATCGATTCCACAACTGGATAGGAGTTGGTTTCAAGCATTTCGACAGCCACTACCGCGTGTTGTACAAGAAAACAAGCGGTCACTACCGAATGCTGTTCAACAAGATCAACATGGAGAAAATGATGAAAATAGCCAGACTTTCTCATGGACTACTCCACCAAGACTCCCAGATCTTGATGCGCATCAACGGCTCGTCGCACTAGTAGATGCATTAAGCCGATTACAAAAAGTGATAGGACGACAGAGCAACACTGGAGTAACCGATCCAGCAATCTTGGACTTCCTCCAAAGATATGCTTTGCACTACGATGTGCCTTTTTCAGAACTTCAGGTCTGCTCGCTTTCTCGCGTTTTAGCGGATTTTTCCAAGGGTGGCCGTACACAACTCCAGGACACGCAAAAGCGAGCTCTAGCACGATGGAAACGCGAAATAGACATTGCACAGCAAAACGACGAAGGTGGGGTTATCTGGCATTTCGTGTGTTGGCTCTTGGGTGTGCCAGCAAGGGAAGAAGAAAATGCGCGGGGGTCGACTGAATGCCAAGCAACAAGACCCTCCTGTGAGAGTGAGAAGAGTGCACTCACGCTTCTGATTGAAAACATTTCCATGTTGGATGATGTTTTGAAGAAAGATGCTGCTAATGAAGAATCTATAGCACAGCAAGTAGTAGTTCTCACAGGAGAACGTCCAGTAGCTTCATCATTCTACTCTCATGATAGACGAGCAATAGCACTAGCAGCGAGCCTCGTCCAGAATGATAGACGAGCAATAGCAGCCTCGTTGGGAAAGTCAAGAAAGGTTGATCACTATGATTCCACACGGGGTTTTATATTAGATGCACACTGGAAGGAGTCACTGAGATTCGTGAGGCTACTTATTTTGTCTCGAGGTATTATTAAGTCCTCATGAGCGAAATGCAGCTGAGGGATGTTGTAGCCTAGCAGAGCACGACTGATAGAAAACACTGAATCATGACTACGCCCACCCCCCTTGAGAGATGAACTACAACAACAAATAGAGATGCCCCGATGAAAATACTACGTATTTAACTTACTAGACTTTCGTTTTTATGGAGTTGCAGAAAAATATGACATGGCGACGCGGGATTGTGTTGCTTTATTGGCATCTTCCGCCTACATTTTAGTTTTTTTCCGACAGTTTCTATCTATGCCTGAGCAGCACGTAACAAATCATGACAGCAACGCAAGAGCTTCGATTACATCTTCAGTACGTGGTCCGACTCCGAGCATTCGAGTTGAACCAACGCTGAGAGGCAAACGTGTAGTCGGTGCCATTGCTGGAGACGAATATGGATCACGACGAGGATGCTCAATTGAAGTAGCTCCTGCTCCAAGAAACCGTCCAAAGATCTATCATGTCAGTCGATATCCGAACAAGGAGCCATCGGCATTGCCCACGACCAGCCGGAAGGAGCGTCCATCGTCTTCGTGTGCTTGTTCAGTCACAAGCACAATTTGCAGTAAAAATGGAGGAGGAGAAGAGGAAGACGCAGACGGACGGGGTGCAGGAGCTTCGAGTACTGACTCGTCGTTCAAGAAGATCAACCTTTCAGAACAAGGTTTTAGTGAGCCAACCTACGAAATCCTCGGTCATCGCATCCGAGAAAGCTTGCTACTCCAGAACGAGAATAAGTACGAAACGAAAACGAGCCAGAATCAGGAGATAAACAGGATGGTGGAGAAGACAACCACATCAACAGCCGTGGTCTCATTTGGATCTACAACGAGTCTCTCTCTACAACCTGGCACAACACCATCTCAAGTCATTTCCTTGTCTAGTAACAAGATCGGCTATGCTATCCTGACTTCTTGTCGTAGGTTTCGCCAAGTGCTAAGTCAAGTATCGCGTTTGCTTGCTTCCGGTGTTTCCTCGAAGGATATTTACGTCTTCTTCGCACGCTGTAAGCCTGCTTGGCTAGAAGAATTGACTCTCGAGGAATGCCGGTTTTTTGCGAAAAGTGCTAACGTTGTTCCCTTTCAGGAACCGCAGCTTTTCACACGATGCGGGTCCAATGGCGGAGAGCAAGGTCGAATCGTCTCATTACCAGTCCTAGGCGAATGGGGCTTGCGCGCTTTTCCTAAGTTGGCAGACGCGCACAAAATCTTCCAAGAACATCTTTCGGTTGTTCCACCCAATCGTCCAAGCGCCAGTACATCAACGCGGCAAGGCTCTAGAAGTACTACTGCAAAAGCTAGTAAAAGGCCTCCGTCTCTAGAAGACGCGGAAGAAGTGAACTTTTTTCGGCGTTTTGCTAATGTAGTGCGCACTCATCCCATTCAATGGAAGGAAACGGATTTTCGCTTGAGAATTTACCTCCTCTGGCAAATGGGCGTGATGTTTGCGAAGGAGGAATAATATGGCAAGGAAGGTTGAAAAAATCTGGCTCATGCAACTCACTCATGCATTTGCATTTTGTTCCATCTACTGCAAGATTGATGTTGACATGTTGGATGAGTCACGATAAGCCGAACTCAAAAGCCTCTAACTTCTTTCTTTCGCATTTTTCTTGCAGGATAACGTGGAGCTGTCCGGAAGTTTGGTGGAGTACCTAGAATTCGGCGCACGCGTTTTAGAATTGGACAACTCTTTGCTAGGAATCACCGCTTGGAATCTTATGCAGGCTGCAAAAGATGTGCAACATTTCGCGGATGCGACAGGAGGAAAGGGCGGCGGAAAAGGAAATGAGTATGGCAAATGACATTGAAGAAGTTGAAAGTTTTCAAAAATTTCATCACGGCCTGCGATCCACCTGACTAATATGCACCAGTACTTCTCTAAAACATGAAAAAAATGTTCTCTAATCCCACAAGCCAAATTTCTACTTGATGCGGCAATCGCACTTTGCAAACGTGGCATGGATGACCAGCCGGGACACTTTTCAGAATATTCTCTTGCCCTTCGTCTCTCAGACAGAGCAATGGGCATGGGGTGGTGATTGGTCTGAATTAATGCGCTTATTGGTCAAACCAAATCGTGCTCTTTTCGGCGTACAGAGATTTGCACGATGGGGTCCGGAACTAGGAAAAATGGATAGGAGAACACGGAACAGGTCCTAATAAGTATTAGAGACCATGAATAGTTCTGTCTCTGATTGTCTTTCTTTTGTTGGAAGAATTCATCTAGCATAGACGTTATTCCAAACGCGGCAGTAAAGGTTAATACTGATTGCTCCTGCACTCGCGACATTCTCCTTTCCTTCACAGGTACCGCACATTTGATTCCACAGGTACCTCGCACCTGACTCGTCTGAGTATCAGGTCGAAACTCCCGAAGACAAGTGGGGAATCCATAAGTCACGGGTTGCTTTTCTTTTACCCTCCATATCTCTAGTCCGCCACGTTGCCGCGATTTCAACAGCCCAAGCCAACAGTCAGTTAAGGTCACTTAATAGAAGATGAAGAAACTCATCTACCTCTGAAACATCTTACTTCCTTGGCTCCGTTTCTGAAGGAGAAAAGTAGACGAGTAGGATTCGGGTATGCTTACCCTTACCAAGAGGGATTTCCACCCAAGTACGAGTTCTAAGTCTGTCTGCGGCTAAAATCGCTCAATATGCACTTGTGAATAGCATGTTGGAACGAGCTAGTCATGTTGCATTTTGGACTGGGAGTATTTCCGATTGGCCATCACCACAATCGCTCGTTTCGTGGCACTACGACCTAGAATATCTAGAACAGGATTTGCTGGGGTCTCATCTTCTGCCTACTGTCGTGGTCGAGGAGATTGGGGGTGTATCTTCGATGGTAACTTCTTTGGCTTTGTCTAGCCGTGGCCAACAAGAAACAAGGAATAGTGTGGTGCGAGAACAGAAATTAAGAAAAACAAGCTTGTTCATGTTCAATACTCCTGGGAAGTGCATTTGCTCTTGCTGTTTGTCTTTGCGCTCAACTTGAAAGTCGTTTCGTACTTCTCAAGATTCAATTGGTAAATTCTCAAGAAGAGACTTATTTGCCGCTGTGCCTAGTTCTAGTCTGCTCTAACAAAGCGCTTTTTCCAGTGTGCCCAAGTCGTGTGCGATTCAAGACCGAGAAGCGACCAGGATCTTCACGGATGGAACCAAGCCTTGTCGAGATCTCTAGCTGCCTTGGCCGACGTCATTCACAAGTCCAGTTACAAAGGCACGGTTTTAACGCAATACGACAATCGACGCATTTTCATTGTTGCTCGCTATTCACCATGGTGGCACAAGTTTTGCCGGTCGTGATGACCCAGTGCCCTGAAGCCTGGTGCTTCGTTCGTTTCTACTTGCTCTTGCTTCCCGTATATACCGATTTTTACACAGTACGATAGAAGAGCCGAAGTCGCCACTTCAGAGCGCTGCAGGAGATTTTTATCCATCGGCACTCCAAATAAGATCGCCATGATCTCCGCTTGCGTAGTTCTCAGCAGCCTTTCTGGTTTTTATTTGCTGTCGACATTTTTATGCGTAGCTATCGATTTTACGGCAAGAGAAGGATCATCGATTTTCTTAGTTTGTGAAAGAGTACCTTTCTCCTAGTTAGGTCGGCTCCACCACAAGTATTAAATAAATAACAGAACAAGAGGAAGATCTCAAATAACAGAAGATACGACGAATTAAAATCCACTCCATTTGTGAGGGTTATCAACAACTGGTCTACGCTGCCCGAAAACTATGGTTACAACGTCGCACTAGGGTATCCTCGATCCTCAAGAAGTATGCTCATCTAACTCGAATGAAACACAAACACCCGTTGTATCTAGAATGCAAATACGCCCTTACGACGTCTTGATAGGTCCTGCAACTATGATGCTCTGTGCTTCTACGTGCTGTCTGTCCACTCGGTTCCCCACGCGAGCAAGGAAGGCAATGCGAAACCTAAACAAGCGAAATCGTGGTAAATGTCATTGTCAAAAAAATGAAGAAGATCTCTGATGGCAAGAACTACGACGTGTCCACGGCAACACATACCAGAGCTCTTGTTTGATGGTCTGTTGAGCGAGGACTGAACAAGATCGTTGCGGTAATGTCTTGACAAGAAGAATACATCACAACAGCTCACCTTCATCTACACCTTTAAGACGAATAAGAATCTCCTTAAAAATTTGAGAGAGCAAAAAGATAAAGAAGTAGTTGGACAACAAGAAGAGCTACGACGAAGGTAAGTGGACGAAGAAAAATAGAAGTAAGTAGTTGGACCTCTACTTGGTTTAATCCTCAGATTAACAATCACAATGTGGCAACTACAGGCGATGAGTGCTTATGAGCGACGGTGATGAATTAGTTTAAGTACATCAAAAAATAAGTGATTCTTGTGCTTCTGCGACGACAAAATAATCACAAGTTGTGCTTCTTGTGTAAATACAAGCGCTATATATAATGAATTAACGATGTAGTTGTATGTCAGCATTGTTTAACTTCAAGAACAATGTTCGTTGTGACGATATAGGAGTACAAACTTGGTAATACTACTAAGACTATTTTTAACGACCGAATAACGAGAGAACAAGTCTAAGTCCTAGTAAATGAATGATATATCACCTCCCACATGTTACTCCCTCGAGTAGTACAACTTCACCCAAGTACTAACTCCTTTCTTGAACCTACCAGACGAGGTACATAATTTTTAAATAGATCCGAGAAAAATGTCGGGACTTAAAGCAGACGACTTCATCGAGCGGGAGGCTGAAGAGGAGGATGAGGAGGTAGGAGAAGCCAAGATTCATTCTGAAGAAGAAGATGAACAACCGGGGAAAGACGACGATGGCCTTGATGGTAAGCTTTTTGAAATTGAAACACGTTTCCATTTATTTTATCTTAGCAAGTTGAACTTGAAGTTGTGCACTGAGCACGATTGTGTAAAAACAAAGACCCACTTCTTTTAGCTATGAACACTCTGAAGATTATAAGTTAATTATCAATTTTGATCAGACTTTATCGACGACGCAAACGCTGATGACGACGATGATGAGGATGTCGATATGGGAGACGCTTTTGATACCGGTCCAGGCCTCGGTGGCGACTACATAGCCGAACCCGAGGATGATGCTCCACCAAAATTGTCGCGACTCAAGAAGGCAGGCGACCAACCAGGTCAAGGTGTTACTGGTGCTCAACATCTACAGGGAGAGTCGTTGCTCGGCGACGCCGAAGGAGTGCCAATGTCGCATTATGCTGGTGGCGATCCCTATGGCTACGATGGCATGGAAGAACAACTCGACGCCAAGGATACGCTAGACGACTTCATCATATACGATGAGGACGAAAAAGCAGCCATTTTGGCCGAAAAAAGGCAGCAGAAGGCTTTTGAAGAGGGGAAAAAGGCGAACAAGATAGGCGTCACGGATGAGCAGAAAAGGGAGCTCGCTGATATGTTTGGCGATGAAGATTTGGAGGATGTGCTGGATCCAAATGCGATATGGCTCAAGGAAACGAACCAACAACGAGACTTGAACCAATTGCCGCCGGAAGTAACTATCCTTCATTATCAATTTTTGCAGATTCTGCTATAAACAAAAAAGAACTGTTGTGATAAATCTTTTTCGAAAATACTCCTTTCATCTAAGTTGTACTCGTCATGGTGATCGTTCTTTATCTTTTTACGTGGTACAAACAACCTACCTAAACCTATCCTGCACCTACAAACATAGGAACGACGCCAGCGCGAGCTGGAGATGCGTGGCTTGAGGAAGGAGGAGGCAGAGCAGGTAGCTTTGGAACGGAAGACGGAGTACGTAGCAGAGGAGCTCCGCGTTGCCTATCAAGGCGATGTGGATCACATCTTGCGGGAAAGCAACAAGCCAGAACGCATGACATGGCGTTATCGCAGAAGATACGAAGAGGGGTACATGCGAACCGTGCAGACCTTGATAGCCGAGCGAACGCAGGAACTCGGTGGTCGGGATGCAGTAATCCAGCGGAATGAAAAGCTGATCAGTGCGGGTGATATCAAGATGCGAGCTGAGAGGGAGTTGTGGAACGCGCATACTCAAGCGGAAATCAAAAGGGAGGCACAGTGGATCCTTCTGCAGCCGTACGTGAAGCCAGACGGATCAGCGCAAAACCAAGACGAGCAAGGCAGTCGTGACATAGAAACACTGAGGAACTACATTATGGATGGCTTTTTCGTCATTAGTAGTCAATACTCATACATCAAGGGGAACAACGCTCAATACTATTATGGTGACCGTGACGACAACAAGACAATACTTATAATTTCGACTTACAACAACCACTTTTTTGTGACAGAGAAAAGCTGTACAATTCTCTAATTTATTGTCTTGAAAACTTCTAACTATCTTCAAGAGTCGACTTTATTTGAAGATGAAATAAATGAAAATTATACCACCAAAATCCAGTAGTTCTTTTATCCCTCCTACTTGTAGTACTTCTTTTCTCTAATCCCTTGTTGCGTAAGAGTGAGATGAGGCCCCACGACGCAGCGATGCTCGTCGAGAGGGTCCTGTCTATGCTGTACGGCAAAGCGACTGGCCATTGCTACGAGCCGACGACGATCATGCAAGTCTATGCGTGGAGCATGGTTGGTGAGAAGTTCGCTTTCCCAACTGAAGATGCCATCAGCTTTGTCATCCGCATGGATTTGGACTGGCAGGAAGTGTGGATGTCCATCCTCGAGTATGAAGAACGCGTCAGAGCGATCACCGGCAACACGCTGTACAGTGGGCAATTTATCTTAAGGCTTCTACAACTTCCACGTATAGTGCGTAAACGTATTCATGATTGATCTACTTTTGCCGCAGCTACTTCCACGTATTATCCACGTATACGTTTTCATCTACTTTTGATGCCGCATCATGATCTGTAAGCTGTTTTATTCAAGAAGAAAAACGGAAGCAGATGAGCAGGGAAAGATGGATTATAATAGTGAGTTCTAATTATCGCAGAAGTGCGAACCGAAATTCCAATGTTTCTGGAAGAGTTTTTGTTCGGAGTCAGGCAGGAGAACGGGAACTATCACGACGAAACGGGGAATCAGCTCAAGAAAAAGGACGTAACAGCTTATGTCATATCTTCAGTCCAAAAATTATGAAGAATAAACTCAGTTTTTTTATACTCACTTCTTAACTCGTCTCTACATCTACTTGCGTGAAAAATCATTGTTGAGATTCAATTTCTAGGGACGAGGTGTAAATAACATCAATCAATTCAAGTGTTTCATTCTCCCTCTTGATCTCAAAAATATTGCAAAAAACCCATTTTTAGGTTCTGGCAGCAGAGCGGCAGATGGTTGACCGTGTGCAGGTCGGCGGCGCGGTGATGGCGGTGACCGGAGCGAATCAGGGCGATCGTACACCAATGTTCGAAGGTGGCGGTGAGGATGGTTCCTTCACCGCTCTAGCCGCGATGGACGGTGATGATAACGCCCAAACAGCCGTTGGCATGAAAACTGCAGCAGGAATGAAGAGTGTCGCAGATATCTACGGTGATATGACTCCGGGAGGTGGAGCAGCGACACCAGGATATGCAGCTGGAGGAAATATGAGTACCGGCATTTGTTGCTACAAGAACTTGATATTATTAGATAAGAAATTATGGACAAGAACTACTTCGTAGAGACTTGATTTTTCGTGCCTCGAATGACTTTTCTCTAGTAGTACACTTCATCGAACCTTGGACGTCGTGGTAGTCAAACTTCCTTCTTGTTTTCCTCCTTCACGCTTACAGTTATATAAATATACATCACCAACGCATGATTAGGTGCCGTTCCCGACACATCGGCTGGCGCTCAGACCCCAGCCGATCCAGGAAGCCAGACTTCTCATGGCCACCAAGTGGCGACTGCCGTTGCGCTTGATAATCAGCTGTACAACACGAGCACCACTGTGGGCAACATGGGAACTTCCACCGCTTTGGCGACACCCGGTGGCCAACTCCTTGTCGACCCAGCCAAAGCGCGCCTGGCCCAGACGCATCCGCTCGACTACGATCGCGCTACCTTGCGCCGCTATCTGGGAGCCCCTTCGACCATGACCTTGCCTGACGGAACCCAGAACTACATTCCTTACATCAGTCATGTCAACGGCGTGCACATTGACGCAAAAGCTATTAGCGAAGGCGTCTTTATCCAGAGGGACCGTCTGCCGATCTGCTTGATTGCTGACTTGGAAATGCTTTTGACCGAGAAGGACCTACTCAAACTCCTCAAGAGATACATCAAGTTCCTGGACTGCTGGTATCCATACACGCAGGGGACGAACGCCAACGAATTCAAGAAAAAGCGACACTGGCGGTTGCTCGAGTACGATTTAAAGACCTTGAAAATGTGAAATAGAAGAAGAAATTTGTGCTAGTAGGTGGTGGTACAGGTCGTGCAAAATTTAACGTGCTCTATCAATCGAAATCTTCTTCCATGCGTCGATCATTTTTACGCTACTTGCTGCTGGTAAATGACCCATATTAATGTTAATCACGATGTTCTACTTTTTACCTTTAATATTACAACTACGTACTTAACAACAACTTCCCCAACATGATAGGCGTCTGGGTATGACGAAGGGTTGCAGGAAGCATGAAGTAGGCAGCAATCTTGACGGAACCGGCTATCTCGACTACATGTTCGGGTATTGCACGAGCCCTATTGGTATGGGCACTGTGATGCTCCGACATCTTCGCGAAGTACCCTTCTTCAAAGAACGCGCCAATCATGAAACGGAGCTTTCGAACGCTTTTTGTACCCCTGATGAGTACAAAAACTCGTTGAACACGGCTTTCGACACGAATCGTTCCTGGTTTGGATTAAAGGCAGAAGGTCCTCGTCTCAAGCAGCTGCAAGTGCACCAGCCTAAGATCGGGAGTCACCTGCCACCGAAATTGGCACACCAGCGACTGTACAACGAACTCCGAGGTCACGCTGAACACTCTCCGGTCGAGCAGCGCGATCTGGATGATTTCAAACTCGAAATGCTCAAATTGCTGAAAGACTTGGTCTCGTCAGAACCCAGAGTGAGCGAATATTTTGTTATGGAGTTTGATCCGTTTGAAGATTTTGATAAGAAGAAATACGTCCAGTTTTTCAATAAAAAAAAACGTGCACTACGAGATAGAACGCTCTCTCGTCACTTTGTCCACGAACTTGTGATTTTCGTTTCGCAAGAACTTCGGTCAATGGATAATAGTGCTTTTTTTGTAAGCCCCACTAGGTGGACTAGATTCTCTTCTTCTCCCTCTCTAATCTCTCTACCCTGATGCGCATGATGTGTTTCGTGTACACCGTGCCGAAGCCCGAAGTCCGCGAAAAAGCCCAGTATATGCAGGAAAAGTGGTATTCTGCCTGTGTGAAGCTGGACTCGCTGTTGGCCTTGGACCCGGAGGTCACCGGCGGAAGTCCGCAAGACACCGAAGATCTGCTGATCGAGATTTTCGCTGCCGAAAAGCGTGGCTTGATCGACATCAAGTACGTTTTAGCCGTGAAGCAACCAACCGATAAACTTAAGGCTTCTCCTAATTCATCTTAAGAGGCATCTTCCTTCGTACCCTTTGTTTTTCAAGGGAGAAATACTTTACATACAGTAAAGATTAAGATGCCTTAGGTGCCTCCACAACATACAGTGTACCCTTTGTTTTTCAAGGGAGAAATACTTTACGTGCAGTGTACCCTTTGTTTTTCAAGGGAGAAATACTTTACAGGAGGCCCTCTAATAAAGGCGACACGAGGTTGAATGAGGTGGATCCAGCACATTTGGACAACTTCTTGCCCAAATTTTTGGATTATCATTGTTGGAACAAGTGGGTATGCCCAATTTCTGTGAAGAAGACATTGCCCCACGTGCTTTTGCGCATGCAGAAAGACCCGCATGAGCACACAGAGGATCTCCAGGACTTCGAAGTTCTGGCCAAGTACAATGCGCAGAGTCTGTGGGCATGTGCGAAAAAGTACACCGCAGGTACGCAAGACATCTATTTGGAAGAATTGGTGAAGGAAGTGGCTGGTGCCGCGCCAAGAGGAGCTGTCGAGAACAACAACTCTGATGCTTTGGATCAGAAGAAGAATCCCCAGGACGGCGACGAGGATGACGATGACATTCACATCCCAGAGCACCTGAAAGACAGAGCAAAAGCAGGAAACGAGACAAAGGCGAGCCAGCGACGACTGAGTGACGCCGTACCAGGAGCAACAGCTTACGTGGTAAAGAGCGCCGAGGCAGCCACGAAGAAGCATCAGAAGGAGCATTCTGAGAAGCTCCGAAGTGGTCTCAATCGCGTGACGAAGTTTTTGAAACAGTGCTCAGGCAAACTCCAGAAACGAACCACAGCAGAGGAACGAAAAAGAGAAGAAGAAGCAATAAAAGATTATGGCATTGCTGTTGATCTAAGTAGTTGGTTTTTACTGCATTTCGATTTTTAGTCTATCATTGTTGTCGTAGTACTATGTTTTTTACTTCTACTTCGCTCTTGTAGTTCTAGTTACTTGGAAAATCGCTCGACATTGAAGATGTTCGATGTATTTCATTGCTATTTGCAAGGAGCAACTACCTTCGAGTTCTTCCTTTTTACCTAAGCAGGCTAAGAGTTCTTCACATTTTGTTCTGAACTATTCTACAATGATCTCAATCTGTTTCTAATAGGAAGCCGATGACGAGAAGAAGGAGGAGCTGATGGAGGAGAAAAAAAGGAGAGAGGCGGAAGAGAAGCTTGGATGCCTGTACTGGACAGAGCAGAATTTCAACGCCCAACGAGCGAAGAAACGTGCTCAGAGTCGCAGATCCGGATCCCCCAACAAGCTCAAGGCTCTGCTCAACGGCTCAAGCAAAAACAACACGTTAGATAACTTGAACGTGGACAGCGACGATGAAGATGACGACGACGAGGAAGCCGGCTACGGATACGGTGGTGGTAGCCCTAAGGATTCATCTGGTAACGCAGTACAACGCAAGAGCAACTACCAGTTGTACTACGAAGCTTCTCAGTGCGAGCATCGCTATATTTACGGGTTTCCACCAAATTTCATCCCCCAGTACTAAACCATCCTTGGTTCTTTTCCTACTAGAAAAGAAGCCTAGAAAAGAAGCCCTGTGGAATGTAATTCCGTAGCCTCTAATGTATGGGATGCGATCCGAAGAAGGTGGTGGAGTATACCAAGGGTATGAAAAACATGCAAGCGAAGCACGACATGCTCACGAAGCAACTAGACGAGGCCATTGCCGCCGATGACAAAGAAGCTGAAGCGAAACTACAGGGGGAAATAACATTAAGGCCAATAATATCTTATCTACTTCTTGCACTACTTGATGCTTCACCTCCTTGTTACATTTCATGTTCGTCTCGTCATCTGCTGAGATCAAATGGATAGAATACTAGATGCACAGGAGAGAACCAACGAAATGCATCCATTGTTACAACTAATGAAAGCGCCTACAATCTAAACAATACGTTCATTGTTACAACTACCTACAATCTACAGAGAACGATATTACATCCACTGTTACAACTCTAACCAAAGCCCTCCTCGCCAAATTTCCATCGCCGCCAACACCAGACGATCAAATGTTCCACGAGCACTACAAACCGTGGTGGCTGACTGGCGTAGCAGTGAACCACCCCACGAGACAGGTTCCGGATCCAGTAACCGGGAATTATGCTCGCATTTACATTTAGATTTACTGCCTTTGTTCACTTGCATTTACTTCCTGCATTGGCATTTACTGCCTTTGTTCACTTGCATTTACTTCCTTATAAAGGAACTGCTCATGCATATCATTTTCGAACCTCCTCATCTAAGCATAGTCTGAATGTTTAGAGGTTCGAAAGTGAACAAACATTCATCAGACTATGCATGAGCAGTGGCTGTAATGTAGTTGCAGTTGTCCTTTCATCTTCAGCACCTCTTCATTCAGCAGTTGTATATTTGTAGTTCTTGTTCTGCCTCTAATCTTTGCGAAAGCATGTGATCGATCCTGCGGGAGTGAGCAGAATTCACAATCGCCACTTAATCGCGGAAGAAGATCCCCTGTACGCCTTGTTCCAGACGCTGTTCTTTCCGGACATTTTTGTTATGGCACGCTCCAAATTAATATCGGGCCCTTCCTCGGATTCGGAAGAGAAGCTTGATATTATTAGATAGTCCCGTCGACAGTTTCGGAATACTGATCTGGGCAACATTCCGCTCCATCATGTTAGTTCAATTTTTTGATCACAAACGGTCAGCACTAGCTAGTACACGTACACCTAGGTGTACCTCGTCCACGTTTTGCGAGTCTAGCTAAACAAGTTGTAGAAAGAACAATTGTTGCATTTTTGTCCCGAGAAGGAGTGCTTTCGCAAGTCACTGAATGGTTCCGGTATTTGGTAACCTGAATTTGATCACAAGGGAAAACAAGAAGAGAACCCTTAGGTGCCCAGCATCGCAAATCGCTCTAATTCGTAGTCTAGCCGGGAGGTGCAGCGAAGTGAGTGGACTGCAGAACGTAAGGAGTTGGTGATGGAGTTGGTCGAGCACATGTACGAGGTGACGTGGAAAGAAACCTTGCTCTCCGAGCTACGAGAAAAAGCGCGCTTTTGCATTGCGCAGCGCAGTGTGGAAGGCTATTTCAACATGCTAAATCAGCGTCCGGTGCTCTCGGTCTTGAAGACGACGGACAAGCCAAGAAAATTTGGTGTGGATGATGACGAGGAGGAAGAGAAAAAAACAGAGGAGGAACGCCAAGAAGAAGTGAAGAGAGCGAGAAAGGAAAGGGAAATGGTACTATTTTTCTTTTTATCTTCAGGGGCTCTTCCTACGTGCAGATGCTCTAGTACTGTACGTGCAGTAAGATCTGATCTCTCAAAATAATCAGGGACCACAACAACTGACATCAACTTTTAGACCACATCTTTGAAGATGCTATCAACATCTTTCTAGAAGTTGTGCTTGAAAAGCACCTACAGCGACACCGGAGAAAGCAGTAGTTCCTGATCGCTCTCGTAGAAGCTGCAAGTTATTGAAATTTAGATACATAGAACCACTAAGCGACTGTTTTTGTCAAAAACAAACAGGCTCTCCGTGAGCGTCGTGACCCTAGGATAGCGAAGGCACCGACAAACGAGCAGATTGGCCTTCGAGTTATGGCCCTCTATAGTGATGGTCTCAAGCCAGACCAAAAGGGCGTCGAGGACAACTACTACGCAGTCGTCCTAGATGAGCACGGACGCTGCCTCGAACGCAAGATTCTCACCTTCTACAAAGGATCATCAAAGACTATGGTACTCGCTTATACTTTAGTCTTTCAAGTACAAGAAAGAAGATACTTCTGCAAAGACCACCTCCATTGTGATGCTTTGAGCAATTTTTACATAGTTACGACCAATCACGCGACCTCCAACAGGAGCATCCTCATCTCTTTCAGTCTTCACATCATCTCCATCCTCCTCATCCCTACAACTACAGGGTAGCGAAATGCAATTGTCGAACTTGCCGACTGGCTACGCTGAGTTTGCAGCTTTGGTGAGACATTATCTCCCTACTTCCATCATGCTTGGAAGCGCTCTGTTAAGGGACGTTGTTAAGCGAAGGAGACACTTCGAGTTCATCCTCGAGAAAATGCGCAACACCACAGACGGACTGAACGAACAGACGTCAGGCCTTGGTGGTACAGCGATTGATATGACCATTCCGATTACCTACTACAAGGACAAAAACGGGAACGATGACATGAACCAACAAAAACAGGGAGATGGGTGGGTTTCCATCCAAGCAGAATGTTATGACAAGCTGCTTACTGTTACTTGCTGAAGATAAGTGATATTCCAGTTAGTTTGCCTCGTTGTTTCGGATCTTCTTAGGTTAGTGGTCCTCCCCATCCACTGATAAGTGATTATGATAATTCATTAAAAGATGGTGTCGCCGTAACTTCTCTGTAATAATGTCTCTTAGGTGGTTAATATGTTGAATTCCATAACGATAACTTCTCTGTAATAATGTCTCTTAGGTGGTTAATATGTTCAACCGCGGGAGGGACACACACGTGACTTCTGCTGCAAGAGGTATTCACAATATCAGTGTGTAGTGAATGTAAACCCTCTAGAGTTACATTGTCGACAGACAACTACTCACATTTGCAAACAGAATTTCATATTCCTCTTCGTCACTCATCTACTTCGTTTTTCTCCTTCTAATAGCCGGATTATCAAGCGAGTTGTTACATGCCAAAATGGTTGGATGGTCAAGGGTGGGTTTATTTCTACGAACAGAGCGGCATGGTCACGATTGATTCGCAAAAAGAGCACCTCCTCAACAAGCAAGCCCCGATCAGGAAAGATCCAGATGGCAAATGGGTAGATGAGGACCCCAATGATCCTAGTAAGGAATGGGGTTGGATCAACCCAGAATGGACCGAGAAAAGAAAATTGGATAAGGAGAGAAGAGCTGGAAAGGTATTCTAGTATCGTCTAGGCTGGCCTAGGACACGGATATCCATCATCGTATCATCGTGGTCTTCATACACTTAGACTTAATAATCCACGAGTCTATGATCCCGATCCAACCTTCTAAGTAGAACAATCAACATGGATTTGAGTATCCTGGTAACTACTTCTACCGAGGACCTAACATTTTCAACATCAACCAAAAATTCGAATTCCTACAAAATAAATCAGTTGAGCGCGGAGATGTTCGCCACGAAGGGAGGTGACGATGACAGACTCTTTTTCCAAAAGAATTTGGGATGTCACCGCGAGTGGCAACCTGCCATCAAGATTTCCGATTTGCGAGTTCCGGACCTCTGCGGTCGCGATTCTAAACGCCTTAGAAATACTGCGCCACACTTGGATGCTGACGGCATAAGTCTCGAATCCCAGATGCCTCCACCGTTTAAGATCGCTATGTCGATGGCACGATATTCGCAAGAACCGTTGGCTGAGATCTTGAACCTCTGGCACGAAGATGTGCGATACAACATGCTGTTGGAGGTACAAGAACATGCGTGACAGCACGACTTGTGAAGTTCTGTGAAGAAGTTGTTCTACTTTGTTGATAACAACATTGTCAATTTCATCTTATTCATCTCTCGTTCATCTTTGATAACATTTTTGTCAAGTACTACTGCTGTCCATAAGAAGTTCTTTGTTGATAACATTGTCAATTTCATCTTATTCATCTGCAGTTCTTTCATAACATTGTCAAGTACTACTGCTGTTCATCTTATTCATCTACTGCATATTCACTCAACGACAACACAGATTTCTTTGATTTAGTGGAAGATCACATCCTCACCGTCACCTCTTTGGCTGAGTAAGGAGTACTCGAAAAGCAAAACTTCCATGATAATTTTTCCTGCACCACCTCCCTAACTACCCGCCTAACATCAAACCAGATTGGCGTAACGCCTTATCAAGCACTCGCTGATAAGGAGAAGATCGTGTCCGAACTCTCCTCCCGCATTGTAGACCTTGTGGCCAGTCTTGGTGTCTGCTTGACGCGCGTAAAACGGTGTCCAAATTTGACATCGATGGTACAGTTTCTTCCCGGCCTCGGACCTCGAAAAGCCAAGGTCTTATTAGACTACCTGCCGAGTTTTGGTGTGCAACGAGGCAGGGACGGAGCAGGAGGCTTCGCTTTGCTCGAAGAAATTATGGGCAGGCTGTTTCCGGAGGAAGAAGACGTTTTGTCCGTGTACTACATGTACAGGCGCGACAACGAGGAGGACTTCAGCGCGATGCAAGAGAACCTCGCGAAAAAGCAGAATATGGTCAAAGCGTGGCAGAAATTTATGCCCTACACCGGAGAAGGTTGGGGCCCGCTTTTCCGACTGATGGAGCCAAAGCTGGCCATCGAGAGGAGACAAAGGCGAGTCGCGAGGCATATGCGCGCTGCCGAAGCATCCAGGCAGGAGGAAATTGGCTTGATGTCTTTATGGATCGATACTTTTACTTTTTCGAGTTGAAGATTCGGAACAACAATTTCGTTCATTGATGAAGTGTCTGCTCAGCCAAAAATCACTTTGATACTCACAACCTAGAAGCAGAGCTACCAAAACACAAGAAGTTCCAAAACACAAGTTCTTCTAGGTCTAGTTCACCGCTCCTACAACTTTTCTTCCCTCAAAAAGATACCACCTTCTAACCTCTGGCCACGGCACGATGGGAGGCATGACGCCTGCAGTCGTGAATATGGATAACGAAATCGACTACCTTGAAGAACACGAACAGCCTTTCTGCAATAACGCTTATTATCCTCACGACGAATGGGCCTTAGACCACGTTGGTGTGGGAGCGATGTACGGAGATCAAGGATTGATTTTAAGGGGAGTCGTGACTTCTGTTGAAAATTTTTGAAAACAAAAATGTTCATTTTTAGGCAACTGATTCAGTTTCAGGCAACAGATCCATAGCATTTAACCTAACCAACATTCATCTGTTTCAATTTGTTTCTTGGGCTCAATTACAACATCTCCTAGTTCAACTTCAATCATTCTTGGTAGATGAACTAGAAGATGTTGTTGAATTATGGAAACAAAACCAACAAGGTCGTACTAGCTCTAAAGTGACAGAACATACGCGCAGCATGGAATGACCAAGTGAATGTGCGGTTCAACATGAACGTCGTCGACTGGTACCAGCGAGAGTTCGCGATGATCTCTCACAATGATCCGAATGCGTATACACTGCTCAGCGACGATCCCCACGAAATGGAGTTGAAGAGAGGCAGCTCCTCTGTCGCACATTTGATGGGAACAGACCCTGAGGTGATGAACCAGAAACTTCCGAAGTCGCATGCGCAACGATTGCTGCGACGTATGGGGAGCGCTTCCTGCGTGTGGGCCAATCTCAAGCACTTCATCCGTGTGGATAATGCGCAAACTGGCTTTCAGCGGTTACACGGAATGGCGGGAATCTGTGAGGAACTGTTGGTGGTGGTGCAGATCTTCTGCGCCATGTACTGCGCGACTCACTTGCCTCCAGGCTTGAAGGTTCGATTCAACAAGGAAGAAACGGACTGGATCTCAGTCGCGTTGGACAATTACGACTGGTAAAGTAAAAAATAGTGTACTAGTAACGTTGATGTCGTTGTATGTGGACGTGGAGCAGTAGTAAGTTCTTAAGTAGTAGATGTTAGTATATCCTGGCAGAAGATCATCAAGTAAAATCAAGATTTTTACTTGGCTGTGCCAGAGTTTGCATCCATATCAAGACCATAATATTATTAGTCTGCTCCACCAAATTCCTTCTTCCTGCATGCATAGTATCCACCTTGTAGTTCCTACATGATCCACGACAAAAATTACATGCTCGTCGTCTCTCTCATCCTCTTCCTCTAATCCCTTGCAGCGTATTTCAACCTTAAAGGGTGGACAGGGTCCGACAAGGTGATCAACGTCGACATGAAGGACGCATGTGATGTGAAGAACGTCTTCTTCTGGGATATGGATGGGCAGAAAGACTCCACCACAAAAAAGGTGCAGGTTTGGCTGCGAGATTATGTGGTGCCAAGACTAAAAGCGGGAGGATTCATCGACAGGAGAGCACCTTACAAAGGTACAACTAATTGAAATTGTACTTAGTAGACTAGCTACCTTCTTCTACTACTCGATATAATATGCCTGCTCAATGCGAATGGGAAGGGTAAGAGAGTAATCGTTTCTCAAACATGATTTCGTGTCTTGCAACCAACCTCAAGGTCTCACCAAGCGTGAATATTTCGATCTAGTGCCTAATGTGACTGGAAGTTTGAACGTTGGCCAAGTAGTTGCCGCTCGGGTGGACGAGAGCGCGCACGATAGAAAAATCAAGCAGAAAAAGAAAGACGAGGGAGCCGAAAGTGATGTTAAGGCTTCGGCTTGTTTTTTAGTCGTTGTTAACCTCCTGTTGAACAAATATATTTGAATTTAGCCAGGTTTCCCCAATCATCATCCTAGGTTAGTTCCTCCAAAAATCCACATTTATTCGAATTTCGCGAGTTTTGGTCTTCCTCGGTAGTTCACATCAACATTAATTATTGTATTCGAATATTTTTATTCTACAATAGATACACTCACATCTTCTTCTGCAAATAGAAGTTATTTCTTCAAGTAGTACAATCTTCCTGTTTTATGGATATCGGAGTCGTATTACTTAATAGAGATTAATGGATTCCATTCTTGCAAGTGACATTTGTTTCCTCCAGTCCTCTTTCTAATCTCAAGGAGGAAGAAAGCAAGGGTTTAAAACAGATCTACGACTTGGTTATCCTGGACTCCGAAAACAGCAGAGCGGTGAAAGGTCTCTTGCTTCCATTTGACCCGCACCAGCACTACGCCTACAAACCGGGAGACAAAGTAAAGGTGATGGTGCAGAAAACCAGTTACGTTTCTCCGGGATCGTACGTCGCGTCTCTCCGACATGATCGCGGTCAAGAACCATTCGACGGACACGACAAGGCGTACCTACAACTGCGATCTTGTTTTCTGTTGTTCATAACGCTCCGACTGCCGGGCTGACTCATCTCGTGTTTTATCATCATTAACTCATCTCGTTTTTTATCATCATTACTAGCTGCAACTACATGTTGTAGTTGTACAGAGTTCCTCCAGCAGAAGTAGAAGATGATTGATGTTCGCCTCCACAAGATAAAAATTGTCTCAACCCCATCACCAACACCAACAGGAACATGCCTTTTGTCGTATGTGCTGATTACTATGACCGGTTAAGCTTGAAGCCGCGAAAGTATCACATACCCCTGGTGGACTACGCAAGAGACGGTAGACACGTGTGTCCAATCTATCTAGGAGCCACAGAACCACGAAAGGAGTGGGGAAAGTCAACCCATATTCTCACACGAGAAGAGGCAAGGCTAAACGCCGACGTCGCGGCAAGAGACATCAACGTCAAAAGACAGGTATTGTAGATTTTGTAGTACTTGTTCTTCTAAAAATGTTGCTCCTCTCACTGCTACATAGAAGTTAGTACGAAGAGATATTTATTAGTATCTTCAGTAGACTCCCCGGGCCCGGGTGCCCCGGGAGACGTTAAGGAAGGGAAAAGGATACTTTAGGGACGTGGGCAGGGGTGAATGGTTTCACAAGGTGAAACGGGCGCCCGGAGGGCGCGCACTCCCCTCCGCGCTGCGGCAAAGGGGAGCGGGAGCGCGCAGGCTTTAAATACAAGAGGAAGGTGGCAGTACTGCCACCGGTCCCCCTTGAAAATGTGGCAGCATGAAAGGCCTTCAGTGTTTCCTTTAAAGGCGTCTTAGGGGTCCTTTAGTGTTTACATTAAAGGCGAGGGGTCCTCCAGTGTTTACATTGCAGGCGCCTTAAGGGTCCTTTGGTGTTCACATTAAAGGGGAAGGGAGTCCCTTAGCATTCACATTAGTGGCGTCTCCGGGGTCCTCTAGTGTTCACATTAAAGGCGAAGGGCGTTCGGGGGTTTTTCGTATTATATAAATAGTCGCTGTTTGTTGCTGTTTGTTGCTGTTTGCTGATGTTTTGTTGCTGATGTTTTGTTGCTGCTGTTTTGCCTCTGTTGCTTTGTTGCTGCTGCTTTGTTGTCGCTGCTGTTGTTCCGCTGCTGTTGTTTTGTTGCTGTCGTTGTTGCTCTTGTTGTTGCTCTTGTTGTTGCTCTTGTTGTTGCTCTTGTTGTTGCTCTTGTTGTTGCTCTTGTTGTTGCTCTTGTTGTTGCTCTTGTTGTTGCTGCTGTTGTTGTTGCTGCTGTTGTTGCTGCTGTTGTTGTTGTTCTTGTTGTCCTTGCTGTCTTTGTTGTTCTTGCTGTTGTTGTTGTTGTTCTTGCTGTTGTTGTTGTTGTTGTTGTTCTTGCTGTTGTTGTTGTTGTTCTTGCTGTTGTTCTTGCTGTTGTTCTTGCCGTTGTTCTTGCTGTTGTTCTTGCTGTTGTTCTTGCTGTTGTTCTTGCTGTTGTTCTTGCTGTTGTTCTTGCTGCTGTTCTTGCTGTTGTTCTTGCTGTTGTTCTTGCTGTTGTTCTTGCTGTTGTTCTTGCTGTTGTTCTTGCTGTTGTTGATGTCCTTGCCCTTCCTCAAGGCCACCTGCTGCCCACATGAAAGGCCTTCAGTGTTTACTTTAAAGGTGTCTTAGGGGTCCTTTAGTGTTTACATTAAGGGCGCCTTAGGGGTCCTTTAGTGTTCACATTAAAGGCGCCTTATGGGTCCTTTAGTGTTCACACTAAAGGGGAGGGGAATCCTTTAGCATTCACATTAAAGGCGTCTTAGGGGTCCTTTAGTGTTCACATTAAAGGCGGGGAGCGTTCGGGGATTTTTAATAGTATTTAAATAGAGTATTTTGCGAGTCTATTTTATTCCAACAATTATTTATGTTACCACAACGAACCACCTCAGGAAGTGAACCCGAAGTATGGAAAGGCTGGTGCTCGATTACCCGCCATCATCCCCTTCAACCCTGAGGGACGCTCGGAGCGCGAAAAAGCCATCGAACTACGACATAGAGCACTCCTCAACCGAGGCATTCCTTTGCAGGTAGCAAACGGTGGCCAGCATGCTGGCGTCCAGCGCAACATTCACCACGACCTGTACATCCCGAAGAGCAACGAAGAGCTGTACGAAGAACTAGCGCAGATGGACGATGGAGCGGTGTTGTTTAGGCACAGTGACACGACTGGGGTTCTAATGGCGTACTACAAGTACGGTCCTAGCGAGTTTCAAGAACGAGAGGTGATTGCTGCAGACGGCACACGAACTGTCGCGAGAAACCGGGTTATAGATCCGCATATTATGGAGAAAAAGTTGTTGATAATCATGATCATCTTAGAACAAGTACTTGCTAGTTGTTGTCGATATTACGAAGTGGAATAAAGCCATGAATATTGATTATCTATCAAATAAACAAGTAGAACAATGCGTATGCGATTTGTGTATTTCTCATGTACTTCCATCTCTTTCTCTAATCTGTCCGGTCGTCCGAGACAAGATTTGCAGCATTGGATTAGGCCAATTGAGATCCGGGAAGAGTTCGACAAGGCGGCTGGCGCCGGCGGGCGCGGCGGCGTTTTAGGTGACCGTCTCCTAGTCCGCGTCGGCGGTCGGGACGTGTCTTTCTCAGACCTCGACGAGTTCTGCTCCAGGTATGTGGAAGGGTTGAAAGAGAAGATTTTGGACGCCAAGGAGCACAGAAAATGGGACGGCCGGTGCAACGGAGCCTTGGGGCAGAGGCAGGCGGTCACTTTTAACGGCCAGCCTTTTCCCTCGAGCAATACGGGACTCTTAGAAGCGAATAAAGCGGAACTGAAAGCGAAATGCAGGCACACACCAAAGGAGCAGCTCAAAGTAGAGACCAAGTTTCAGTGGGATCATAGGAATCCAGGAAGACTGCTTCTTATCTGGTGCTTAACGGGAGGAGGCTTTCAACCACAGGTACAACATACATGAAGATATGTAATTCACACTCCTCAAGCTTACCAGTCAGCTATGCAACAAGACATCAACGACCATGACATACACCACGACGAGGTAGTAGAACATGTACAACTAGTACAGACACCACGACAAGGTAGTAGAACATGTACAACTAGTACAACAACAACTAGTAGTACTGAAGATGCATGACAACTACAGGCTTAGAACTAAATAATTTAGATGACAATCCAAATCTATCAGGTGAACACCGAACACATCGATGTGGACCATGACGGTTTCCGAATCTGGAATAACCTGCTCTTGCACAACACCAAGGATCCGGAGACCCGCAAAGAGAAGGAGGACGAAGACGACGACCCAAGGATATCTAGACAGGCATTGAAGCCTTTCAAAACCCTAGATAAGCTCTATCGCTGGTTTGTCAAGGAAGGATGGTCCAGGGAACGCAAGCTGAGTCAAAGATGGAGAGCTTGGCTCAAACACGAGACAGAAGAAAAGGTGTTATAGATGCACATTTGACTTTCTTGACTACTTCTGCTTGCAAGAGCAAGATGAAATTGTCTTGTTGTAGATGGTCTATTTTTTTCTAATGAGCATCTTCAATGTCATTGATGTCAGCTTCTTTTAGTTACAACAACAACACAACAAGTTTATATTCAGGACCAGCACCCACTACCACCAGCACTCTCTAGTAGTAAAAAAAATACAAAGAGAAAGAGTACCTGTTTCACCTTCTCACATCAATCACAAATACAGCACGCGCAACTTGGTGTCCCCTCCGAAGTGGCAGGTTATGGTCATTGGAAGCATGCTGACGTCATCGCAAAGGATGAGGAGATGAAACGCAAGCAACTGCTCGATTATCACAAGTATGCCGCTGCAGGTGCGCGTGGCTTGCACAAAGACGACATGGTCGCGTTTGATGCTGAGATGCCTGAGCGCAGATATCATGGAGAAAATGGCAATATGCGAGCTCTCGGATACGACGCGAATGGTATGCTGGATGAGCCGCCTAGCATGGGTTCGGACTTCTCCCACGGCTCCAGTCTGCAGCGTAGCACCGCAGGAGGCTACTTCCAGAACAGTAGAGGTTACGCAAATGCCACGCCAGCGGATCCGACTGGCACTACGTTTTCGAACACGCCAGTTGGATTCGACGATGGCGGCTGGACACCAGCCAGCGGACATCCTTTTTATGAATCTGGAAATCAAATGAATCGAGTCAAATAAAAATTTCAATCATGTAAAAATAGTTGAAGCTAATATTCTCGATCAGAAAATGACAAGGTAATAACGTGAATGAAATAAATCAAAATGAACAAAATTACTCCTCATGAATCAACAAACTACAGTGTCCACATACGAGAAAGGGTGAATAAAAAGATGATGTGTATCATGTGACTTTCTGCAACAGCAACGACAACAACTTCTGAATCCTCTAATTCCCAGGCCAAGGCATCACTCCAGTGAGTGGCGCTCACGGCTATTCCCCGGGTTCGATCGGTGGTCCGGGAGCAGTTGGGGGATCTTCTTCAGATGTTTATGGTGGTATGGGCCGTCTTGGCACACCAGGTTCCGAAGCGATGAGTCTGGCTCGTGCACCAACACCAGGCGAAGCACATCTTCAAGCAACTGGAGGCCAAAGCGCTATTTCCGGCAATTACTTCGCGGACCCATTGGAAGAGGCACTGAAAGCTGGCAGACCGAAGAGTGTCGTATCAGCCGCGATGACAGGGAATGGAAAACCAAAATCACCAAAACGCCCAAAGGAAGAGGAGCTAGGAGGTGGAAATACGCCAGCTGATGATGATAACTATACTCCAGCTGGCATCGGAGCTGACGATGACGAAATCTAGGTAGAAAAGCGTTCATTTTGGTGTAGATGACGATGACCTAGAAGAATAAATCATCATCGATCTTCTGACGAGGAGGTGTTGTTCAACGCTGAGGATGATTTTCACTCATCTAGTTGTACTTCTCTTCAAGAAACAAATTTTTTCTTGAGTTTGCTGTATCATGTCTGAACCTCATTCAGTCTTAAAGTTACTTTATACGCCATTAAATCTAAGACTAAGACCATTTTATATCCGTGTAATCAGTTGTGCTCCTGTGCAGACTAGGTAGATCAAAGTTGAAATGACGATAAGATCATTCCAATAACGGACGGGCTTCATCTTCATGATGATATCTGCAACATTTTATACAGAGTTTTTGAAATTAGCAAGTATGAACGTAAGAAAACACTAGAAAGTTCAAGTTGCTTGTTTGGGGAACATGAGCAACTCTGGTTCTTAGACACTGAGCTTTTCATTTTTCGTTATACTTCTTCAGATTCACTTTCAGTGGTCATTGATTAGCATTAAAAAATGAAACAAACCGTACTCTTTCACAGGGTATTGAGTACAACTTCTAGGATCGCGGGTCGAGTCTCTAGAGTCCGCTTCAATATGGAAAAGACATTTCACAGCTAGAAAAATCGATTTCGAAATCCACAACTTTATAACAACTTATTCGTATCAACAAAAACAGCTTAGTTAAAGAACAACCTAGATGCTGTCGTTATTTGATTCTTTTCTGAAGATTTGTCTTCGTTCATAACGACAAACAAACAGAATGTTCTCTCTTCTTCATTATGCACGGCCATAGCAGTGCATGATGAAAGCATGGAATCAAAGTATTCATATAGCAGGAGAAGAATAAGAGGACAAAAATATGGAGTTTGAGTACAGGAGGAGTGTGCTGGGTAGTACCAGAGGGGTGGACCAACATGGCGACCATCCTTGTCCCTGAGTGCTCAACATCTTCTAGCGTTTTGACGACATCTAAAGTTTTTTTCTGTTGGAAACGAACGCATCATCTTCACACACAGTGATGTAAACAGATTAATGTTCAATCAATGTTTCGGTATCAATCTATCAACGAACCCCTTGAAACTTGAAACTTAAAAGAAAGCATCGGTTTCATCGATGACTACGCAGGCATCCACTAGTTGTAAGAGTAGATCCTTAGTCGGTCTCGATGTTATGCAAGTACATCCACTGTAAACGCTTGCTTGATTTTTATGTCAAGTGATATCATCGAATATATCTTGCATTTGTCACATGATTTTGTCATGAACAACGCGCCACATCTTGATGCTGCACAGAGAATGCTCAGAGATGAAGGACGAGATTCAAGTCAACATTGCTTAGCATGCACCCCTAGGCGTAGTCCCTCCTGCCTGTCCCACTTCAGTGAGAGCACTCTCAGCACTCTCACTCTTGATGGGTACTTCCCCCAAAGAGACCCTACGGGCAGAAGCAGATGCCCCCCTTAAGTTAAAAGATAAAAGTAAGCAGGTACTATATATAACTAAGAGACCTCATGATCCCTAATTAAGTAGACCAAGAAATTTCCAAAAATGATCTCAGGATGACAATCATCTCGCCGCACAAATCACCGTGCATCATCTGATCCTTTTTGTGAGCAGTCCCATTTTCCTTCACACTGAGGGATTTTCAACACTTTTTCTTCATTCATAAAGATTCTTACTTGTGATGTTGTAGGTTTAGGTTCTCATTGACTAGAGAAGGTCTTATTTATTACCTCAAGTAGAGCATAGTCCTAATAAATTAGTAAGTTTGATGGCGCAACCCCGACAATGCAATACTCACGAAAACGCTACTTAAAAAACCTAGTATGTCTCAAATGCTGAAGATGCTTGAACTTGAATCATGATTTCCTTCAGGCTGGAGAGGCACTCTCTCACTTCATCTCCGTATTGACGTTTTGGTATTCGAATGGTTCTTGCTGAATTTGCGATTGGTGCTAAATGAGAGAGAGCTGTTTGAAGCAGCTCTGGCTCTGGAGTACATCGTGCAGACTGTGATGAGCGTGAGCGTGCTGTATTGCCTCACATTATAACCTGGACTTGGGAGTCATGAAAAGTGATCTACTTCTGTCCTGCTGATGCTGCATAAAAAAGGAGGGAGCGAATATTGGATGTGGAAAACCTAGACCTGAGTTGACATTTTTGACATACATACTGATACTGCTGTCATACTCTTCTTTAAGACCCCTTCTGTCACCCTAAGTTGTATCTAAACTAGGTACAGTGAACAGACTGCTGGTGCTCCTACAATACAATACAATTAATCTCGCTTTTTTTTTTGTAGTGCGAGCGAGTTCCGACCAGTCAAAACCTACCTGCGTATTTTCTCGCACAAAGTTCAGAGCAGACTGCCGTAAGTTCAAACTATAAAAACTGGAACAATAATCGAGTGCGATTAGTAGACTGAATGCGGACTAACAAAAGCTTCTCGGTCTAAGTACTTACTATCAAGTTGTCTACCATAGTGACGGATGGTAAGAGCGCCTGAGGGTGTATCACGCGTGAGGCGATCGGGTCGCGCGCGAACGAAATAATAATAATAATAATACAAAACACAGCACTAAACGACCTTTCTTCAAAAATCAAAATGCCGGTTCTTCGTGCTGGAATTTTGCAGCAAGCGAAGTTGGATGGGACACGCATAAACCTCTGGATGTCCGCGGGTTACTGTGGCGTCGTCACCTACTGTGCGTACAGAATCTTGGAAAGGCGAAACGAAAGATTAAGGCTTCCCCTAATCCATACTCCGAGAAGTTATCCTAGGAAACTTTCCTTAATAAATTTTTGAGAATCCTTAATAAATTTTTGTGGCAGGGTCTAAGCAGGTTACTTTGGATCTAAGGAAAGAGGCTTTTCAAGGGAAATAGGCTTTGAAGGCATTGCTCAAGGGAAAGAGGAGTCTAGGATGCACCTCGAGATGTTGGATGAAGGGCGGGAGCTCTAAAGAGGGAGCTGGACAGACTGGATCAATTAGCGATGGCTCGTGTGCAGTTAGAATCTCCGCAATTCAAGTGCTATTTCGCAGCCCTTCAATATCGGGATTGGCGCTGTTTTGATCTACAGTTGTATAAAACCCTCCATCCAGAACTTCCTGAGGGCATCCGATACGAAAACGACTCGAGGATCCACAAGCTGTGGCGAGAGGCTCTGGATTAAGGCTGACGGGTTGAATGATGAACTTGATTCATTCAGGTCTCCTTAGGTAGTTTAGCTGCAACTATAACACGGAGCGATCTCGAGCACATGCCATCTAGGTACACGACCACTAGATGAATGGTTCCGGTATTATTTGGTAACCTGAATTTGATCACAAGGATTCTCTGCTTTTTGTCAAAATCAGGTTACCAAATTATACCAGAACCATTCACATTCACTAGAAGATCCATTCTCCTTCAACTACTAGAGAGGAAACGGCATCTGGGTACAGGACTAGAAGATCCTTTTTTTCAGCGTTGTTGTTGAAGAGATCAACGTCTAGAGAGGAAAGTGTGCATTGTGACAATCTCGTCTAACTGGAGCGTCGAAAAAATAAGCGCAAAGGGAATTCTGATATCGACACGCAGCTAGACTGCTCAGACGAAGGGCTTAGCGAAGATTTGATGAACGTCAACTACAAGGCAGAAGCAAAGTTGACCAATAAGATGCTGGAGGCTTGGGAGTTGGCGGTTATGAAATTCGATTACAGAGAAATTCAAATTTAGAAGGAATACAATTATGTAGGTTCTGAGTCGACATTTCTAAATTTGTTGATGAGAAATTCATCAAATATTTACAAGGGGAGTACACCGTCGAAGAAGCTAGCTTATCTCATTTTAGTATCGAAGAAGCACATAAGGAAGATGATAGTAGTGGAGATGAAGATTTCTAGATAGAGAAGGGAGTGGTGGCAGAGAAGACTCTATAAGAGAAAAAGAAGAAAAATGAGGAGAGTAATACAAGTCAGCACGAGTCTCGATTAAGTTTCTCTTCTAACTACAGCGATCTGTATGACGTTACGAAAGACTGGCTTAGGCGATGGTGGGAGTCGGGTTTGTTGACGTGGCCACCACCACCTGAGGACGATGAGGATTTGGATGCATTTATATTAAGGCTTCTCTGTTCGACCTCGTCTTTCTAAACTACACTTACACAATCAAAGTAAATTTTTGAAGTAGAAATAGAAAGGACCACATTGATGTTGCAGTTCTTCATGAGGGCTTACTATCTTCATGTCTAACCACATCAACGTCAACAACGACTCGTCTAATCCTAGCAACCCTCTCGCCTGAGTATCATGTTTAACTACTACATCAACGTCAACAACGACTCGTCTAATTCTAGCAACCCTCCCACCTGAGGAACAGAAGCAAGCACACGCGGAGAAGCGCCATCTTAGCGTCCAAAAAGAGAGACAAGAGGTCCTTCATTGCCGCAACCTCGATACAATTATCAATCGCTGTGCGGGTGAGCTCTACTCTATTTATGAGAGAAGATATTAGCAGTGAAGACGAGGGAATGATGATGTTTTATAAATATCATTCTTCATCTTCTTGATCTTCTGGAGGTCGACCTCCGCAATGTGAATGTCAGTCGCATGATGTTGTGGAAACATGTAATAATAAGATGGATGTGGAAGATGAAATAGAAATAAGGATGATCGTGATCATCCCCACCCATCAATCTTCTAATCCCGGATCCCGCCAGACACGCCTTGCCTGCGACCACTACCTTCGCACTTTCAACCGACGAAGGACGTCGTTAAGAATGTAGTCGGCGGGACAGTGCAATCCGATACTGAACTAAGAAGTTCCTCGCACGCTCCCTATCTGGCCTCAGGCAGATTTAGATGATCCCTTCTACCTTGGCTCATACAGTAGAGCAAATGAATGATCTTCAGTCACGATCATGAGGTGTCAGTTGCAGCACCTTCCAGCACCTTCGTAGTCGTGGAGTGAGTGCTGGTTTGTGGCTGTGAGGCCTTCGTGAAGGTTGTACTGACACCCGGGGGATAGCAGCACACCTAGGAGACCATGCTGAGGGCGCCGACGCCGAGTCCGCCATTGAATCCAGCCTTTGCACGTGTCGGCGACGCGCTTTTCGGTGAAGCACTAGACACGGAAGACAACACGTGATTCAGAAGCAGCTGATTATCGCCGCGTCCGGAAAATTCAAACAATGAGCTAGAGAAGTTGAGACAATCTGGACAACAAGGCTACTAAAGTAAAAGTTTGAAAGATCGGAGTGTTGATGATACGGGAAATGATAAGCACAACAAGGTGTTATGGACGTCGCAATAGAAATCGTACGCCTTCTCCCGAAGGAAAGTCGACTTAATAGGGAGGCAAAGGGAAAGGTGTTGGGGTTGGCGCGCCCTTGAACAAAGAAAATCCAAGAAGATCCTAGTCTTATTCATGGTCAAGAAGAGCAAGACAGACATTCATTGATGACGAACATGTTGCAATAAAATAACAAGAAGCAGCATGTCATGACTAAATAAACAAACAATGCAAACAAAAGCTCGACCAATAGAAAGACCCTACGTAGGTAATATTCTTGAACTTTCATCTATTCTCGTTCTCTCCTCCATCTCCTACCTACCAGAGTTTTGTAGTGTCTACCAAGTCGTAGCAACACCGCTTTTATTTTTGCTTAATACTTTCCTCTATCTACCTTTAGGCTAATATCCCTTCATGCAATCTATTAGAGCACCACGATCATTATACATATCAAAGAAATTGCTCTCGAAGATCATCAACTACACAAGTATTTATTTCTTAGAATTTCAGCAATCATTATCGTTAGGGATCTGAATACCAAGATGAAGATCTACAGTAAGATCAACACTAAGATCAGGCTGCTACGGCTCAAGATCATCAAGATCAGCATGATGAAAGTGATCAGGCTCAAGCATCATAAGATCCCCAGGCCCAGGATTCTGATGACTGAAGGAACTGACTACAAGGATGAAACGACCACCGTCGCCCGTGTTTAAACCTTCAGGCTTGTTATCGTCGCTGACGACTACGCTCATACTCATCAATCGCGCCGCTTAGGCTTGTACTGGTTTCGACGGTGTTCGGAGTGTAGTGCCCTACTTACCAGTATAATTATTATCTTTTCGTAAAAGTTCTCCTTCTCTCCAATCTTCATCAATCAGCATCACAGAAAAATCTGTCTGGCTCCCTGCAGAAAAATCAACAGACAATTATGGCCCGTCGTCCTCTCTTCGGCCCGACGTGCGCGACTTCGGTCGCGGCAGTCCTCTTCGTGGTTGCATGGTCCTGCTGGCCCACTCCTGTACTCGCAGCCATTCGAACCAAGAGGCAGCCATCTTCGGAAAGAGCCTCCTCGGACTTCGACGAGCAGCAGCAATCCCCTCACCAACCTGAAGATGGGCCGCGAAGTGATCCTATTTCAATTTCTTTTCCGAAGCTGGAGTATAGAAAGGTTCAGATTGGTAACGTGGTAGATGCGGTTGTTCTAGAGATTGCTTCTGCAAGAAGACACGATGCTGATGGTGAAAGGGTAGCAGCTGTAGCCCCTCATCTTGTGCGAGAGACTGCGCTGGTTGCTCCGGTTTCCTCGATCGACTTGGCCGTGCGGTCTCTCCCGCGCAATTTGTTTCGCCAAGGTCTTTTTGAACAGACGTGCGGCGCACGGTCGATCCTGATTGCGGACCGCTGGTTGCGTGGGGAAGTAGATGAGGTAGAGGAATATCTAAGGACCGGGCTGATCATGTTCCTTTTGTCGCCGCGCTACGTGAATGACGTAGTCAAGACGCACAGCTCGTCCAGGAGAGGACGGGAAGTACACGCCGTGGAGCGGGAATTGAACGATTTAGGGAAAGCTTTGATGGCTTTCTTGAAAGAGAAAGATCGGTTGACCATGCCGATGTCCGACGTATCCGCAGCACCCGGACAGACAACGCTTGATTCGCTGCGAAAAAAGGAGTTGCAACTCGGGCGGCTGCTTGGGGAGGATGTAGCAGCTCTGCAACTCGTTGGCGCGCTCAGTGAAAGAACCGTGGGTTGGTCCGCGTCAAACGGCGGACTGAACTGGAAACGCAGGACGCCTGCGTCATCTGAAGGCACTTCGAGACAAGCTTTACCATCCTCTTCATCTGGGGCGCGTGTGAGGATGTTGAGTGGGGACGCTCCAAGGAGCTGTAGCTCCTCATTTTTACCTGCGGCACCGAGCGTTCCACCGCAGCCACACCATGTCCATGCCGCGGCTTGGGTTGTGTTGGATTGCGCGCAGCAGGGTGAAGTTGCACCTGCAGTACTAGGATCCACTGAGACGCCGACGACGAGCGAAGAGAGGCAAGACGCTTGTGATGGGATCCAGAGCGCGTTGGGATTCCCGACCGCTGGGAAAGACATGTTCGAGGGTATCTCACCTGTCGCATCCCTGAAAGTCAAACTTTTATCCTTTCTCACAGAAAAACCGATGGAACGACTTAAGAGATTGGTGGATACCGTCACAGAGTCAGCATTCCGTCCGCGCGGCGTTGCGATGAGACCTGACGGAATAGCCGCCTGGAAAGTAGCGCTCAACGGCGAACTGGGAGAAGTACACGCGGAACTCGGACACTATTTTTCAACAGATTCCACAACGACTGCATATGCTGGCCGTTCCAGTCTCTTCATGGACGCTTGGCCGTTGATTCCCTTGAGACCCAGCGTTTTTACCGGAATGGACCTACTACTCAAAGGACTAGGGTGGGCGAGAGGTGAACCGGCTCGCCGTCGCGTGACCCATCCCTCCGGTGCGAGGGGATCCAAACACTCTTACCAGGATGACATAACCACGCCGAGTGCTCTCGCAAGACTCCTAGTAGAGCGCTATAAACAGCGGATGAAAGAAGGAATCAAAGTGGCTGCCTTTTTTTTCAATGGGCCTGCCTGGACTGCGGATTGGTCAAAGGGAAGGCTCCTACCCACGTCGAAAAAGTCCTTTGTATACGGCTACGGTGTAGTGCGGAAAGAGATCGCTGCTGTACGGGAATTGAGTAAAGAACACGGGATTCCGCTCCGCGAAGACGGAGACTGGCCTTTGGAACTGACAGAGTGGGACCACCATGAAGATGTTCATCTGTTGCGCAGGGAAGATCAAGAACATATTAGTGCCTCTGCTTCTACTTCCGAGCATGCTTCATCTGGGTCGTACGCGGCAGGTGTTAGTGAAGAGAGCCCCTTGAAGATGCTTCAAGACGGTTTGCAGCTGATCTTTCCGTCGCAAAAGTTATTCCGAAAGTTTGCAGATGTAGATGAAGAGAAAGAACGTAGTGAGAAGAGAGGCTACTACGTGATCGTGATGGAAGGAGACCATTGGGTAGGCTACAGCGAGGTAATGAAATATGACAGTGCAAACGATGGGCCGGTGCTACGTGCCTACCGGATGCAGGATCTTACCAAAGAAGACGCACAGAAACTGGCAAAACAATTGGCGAAAAACATGTTATTCGCGGTCCTGCTGAGTACCCCTGTAAGACAATAAGGACATTAAGTATATCAAAGTGCGGGTTAGTTCTACGACTAGCTAGCTCTTCATGGAGAAATCAAATATGACGTCGTCGAAATAGTAACTATAATAGGATTTGTGAGACGGTGAAAACAGACGCGGTGGACACACCAAGTGCTGAGGCGGTCGCTCGAGCCTGCTTATGTATGTAACATGATCCTTGCGAGGAATTATTTTCGACTTCTTTTAACATTAACCTAATTCTGATGCACAATGTCTTGACGTGTGGTTCCTAGGCGTTGTATGATTGATTCAAGATCTCAAGTGCTCTGAGCTCTACAGTCAGAATTGACATCGTGCATTTCGTGTTTCTGGCTTTCTGCGATCAAAGATGGACCTCGAAGCAAAACAAAGTTAGAATATAAATGAGCGTCACATTTTGACTTTTAGACGCCGTCCGGGTCCGCAGAGTAGCAGTTGCAAGAGGAGGCAAAGTACACGCAAATGGTTGAAAAGACCGCAAAATGTTGACGCATAATGTACTTGATGCACATCAATGTCGACACTTTTTTTTGACTGAAGATAATGGGAAACCTTAGGCACCTTACCGAATAGATTCACATCATCAATTAACTGATCAATCCGGTAAGCGTGAAGACGAAGCGACATGTTCAAAGGAGTAACAAGTGTTATGTTATAGTTGTCGACTCACTGAAAAACAAAAATTTCATAAAGATTGGAGATGTGATATATTCGCTGTTGTACTTCAACTTCTCGACGCATGCTTTGATGTTCGTCGTTTTTAAAATGGAAGAGGATCGTGTTTCATCTTCAGAGAGGTACCTTTTCACACTTTTACTTTTAGAGAGCAACTCACGAGGCTGAGAGCAGAGGGACAGCGACAGGCACGTAATCGAAAAACATGAACCCATAGTCGTGCTGAAGGAGAGAGTCTCACAGCGTGAGGAAGAGAGAGGCTCCTAATGCCACAAGAGAGAGAGAGAGAGAGAGAGAGGACATGACTTGAGTCGTCGAGAACCTATTCGAGATCGATTCGTCGAAAATGAAAAAAAGAAGCCTTCATCAAATCGAGCTGTAGTTTTTGTAGCACTCTCTAATCTACTTCTATTTTCATCGAACGGGATGACGATGAGGTCAAGAAGAACAAGAAGTTGTTATACTTCTGTTGAGGTAATGGTAAACACTTGAAGTTTATTTCGAGATTTCTTGTCATGATGAAGATCTCTATTCATTCTTTTTGTACAATCTGTAAGCTGCATTCATAATTTATCGGACCGACTTTCCGGCCATTATATCTGCATGCATAACCTACTTTACCTTAATGAGTACTTTGACCGATGATCATGACTCCTCTTAAATCATGATGTATTTCTTTTCCAATTCAAACAATATAGATGGGTGTAGGCCAGTGGCCAGCGGTAGTTATACTGGAGGTAGAAAGAGGATAGCAAGTAGGAGTGGAGATGATAGAGTTGAACTAGTAGGACTTGTTGCAGAACTAGAATCAGCGTATTCTTGCAGTAACAGCATTATAAACACTAACAAGATTTTTGACATCACTCGTACCGGCAACGTCGAGTATTTTATGTGCAACATTGAAAGTAGTAGTGGTCAACAAAAAAGATGCGGATTCTTCCTGGTCGTCTATAAAAGATGTCCTCCGACAATGCTCATCCTCCTGCAATAGTCGACTGGTTAGACAGAGCGAGTCCCGGAAGGGTTGACTCAGAAGTCACTTGATAAAGGTGGTTGAATGCTCTTGCTAAAGGTGGTTGACTTCTCAGAAGTGACTTAAAGGTGGTTGACTGCTCCTGCTCAGAAGTCACTAAAGGGTCTTGCGGTTGACTCGGGAATCACCTCATGCTGTAGGTTGATTCGTCACCTGAGGCCGCACCAGAGACAACAAAGCCAGTACAACCGGAAGAAGACCCAGAACAAGAGATCTACAAGCAAAAGTCGAAGAAAAGTTCTTGCTTTTATTCATGATTGATGGTCAAAGAAAACGGAAGAGAATAAGAATACTAACAAACAGCAACCACTATTTACAACTACTGGTCCAGAATGAAGCACTCCTGAGCGTCCTACTTCACACGACTGGCTTTCTGTCCAGAAGGCTAAGTGAAGTGACTGCGAACTAAAGATTGGGCACCTAGAACTCAAATATATTGCTTGGTGGACGTTTTTCGGGACCACAGGAGTTCTATAGCTTTGCTCGGACGAGGAAGGGAGTTGGCAGTAGCAACAGTAGTAGTAGCTAGTACTGATACGAGTACTGATACTCCTGGGGAAAATACGAGCACGAAGCAGTAGTTGTAAAGAGAAAAAGAAGCCTGCTGCAGCAGAGTAGGGAGGACTTACCAAGAACATCAAGTCTTGAAATTAGTACAAAGAACAAGTTGAAGTTAATCCAAGGAAGAACAAAAGTTATCAGCAAGAACTGAATTCCTTTTGTCACCTCATCGTTACCAATCCAAGTGGAACAAGAACACCTCCCCGATCACCTCTCTGACACGACCTCTCGGTTACGATGTCGTCGTACGGTGAGTTGATATCCTCGCTGAGGATCCTCAAAAGTGTGAAGGAGAAGCGACATGCTATCAAAGCCCTTGCGCACCACTGCTCGAACCGGGCCTACCAGCTCCGGATCGTGCAAGGCGGCGGTTGGAAAGATGCGATCCTCCCACTCATCATCTCTCTGGATGATATGTGCCGGAAATATGCAGCGCTCGCAATATCAAATCTCAGCGTTAATGTGGGTACAACTACTTCTTCTTAATGTGGGAGTGATCATAGTTTTGCCTTAGTCTAGAACAAGAAGATGATCTTCGTCAAGTCACATAATGGAAAAGGATGAAAAATATCGATGTAGAACAGCCTTGGTCTATTTTCACTAGGAAAATAACAATATTCACCGTTCAAATAAACAACCACGAGGCACATACCCCCTGCTGCTCCAAGAGGAGGTTATACGGCACATAGCGCCTATATTATACGAGGAGGTTTCCGAGGTGACCGTCTACGTGCTGATCGCAATAGGGAACTTTGCAACCAGCAATTTGTTCTGGCCCATCCTGCACGAGTTGAACATCCTCAACGGTGTGATTCTGGTCCTGAAGAACGCGAAGAACATTGAGGAAGTGATCATCAACGCCTTGTTCGCGCTGTCAAATTTCACGGCGGATCCCATCCACCGACAAATGATGATCGATCTACGCGTAGACGACACGGTGTGGAGATACATCTTAAGGCCTTTTGATATTTGGATTTAATGGTATTGGAATTGGATTGATGAATTTGAATTTGATGATTGACCATAGATAGTAGAAGTCTAAGGCGAGATCGTACCCGCTGCCCGGAGCGCATCAATACAAGCCGATAAGTAGTATGTTTTCAATTTAAGAAGATGATGATGAAACAACAACAACAACGTGACTTCAGAACACCACGAACTTTGTCTCTGATGAACAACAACATCAGCTACAATTTCTTCTCTGTTGTAACCAAAAAATACAAGGTCCTATCTCTCTCTCTCCTGTAACCACCCAGAAAAGGCACAGTTCTAACCTCAGTCTCGGAGAACTACAAGATTATGTTTTACACCCTAGCCTTGATCCGAGGTCTCACCGTAACTCCAGAAGGTCAAGAGCGATTTCCGAATCTGGGTGTGTTGCCGATTATCATCGGCATCACCAGGAACCCCGCGTCGCCGAAGGAGCTGATCCCCATCGTCTTGGACATCTTGCTGCATTTTTCCTTCAGAAGGGAGAACGCTTACCTTTTGTTGGAACAGGATGTGATCGAGTGCCTCGATAAGTTAAGCCTTCATCTCTCTTAATCCATCTCAAGTTTGCTCTTGACGAACAACAAGGATCCATTCTCTGCACCTGGAAAGGCTTCCTTTGATGTAGTTGTTTTCAAGGGGAAAGAAAGGGTTCCACTTCCAGGAACATCAACAACAGGAAAAATGTAACATCTCTCGAGAACAAAAGATGGATTAGGGCGAGGGCGAGCTCTAAGTATGGCTGCCTTGACCAACGACGCAGAGTTCGTACCCATCGTTTTGTGCATCATCGCGAACCTGTGCGAGTCCGTAGAGTTACATGACAAGATCGTAGAGTCCCGATACTTCACTATCTTACAGTTAAGGCTAGAGGAAATCCATCTTCGTTCCCCAGGAGTTAGTATCTTAGTCGGTCGTCCCGTTTTTTTTACAGGGAAGAATGAAAAGGAGACCCAACAAGATGCTGCTGAAGATGGATTTCCCTTAGTAGTTCTAAAACAGAGCCACATCTTCTCGGATTCCACATCGGTCCAACAACACCTGATCCGAGCGTTTCTACACTTGAGTCTGACGCCGAAGTTCCACCACGTCATCCTCGCGACGGGCTTGCTCTCCAATGTGGTCAGCATTGCGATGACAGAGAAGCTCCATTACTCAATCAGGGTAGGAACTTTTGATCACTTGAGCTTTGATAACCTTCTGATGGATCTTCTTGAGAGTACAGTGACACTATTTGTTCTTCTTGTTCTCTTCATCTTCATGTTCTTGTAGGGAATATGAATATGAACTACAAGATGTATGTATATAAAGTTAAATGATCTTGTGTGGCGGCGAAGCCGAGGCATCCTATCCTATCCCTATCCCTATCCTATCCTCATTCAACAAGAACGACGACCACCATCTTCACGACCCCGTGAATACTTTGCATCAAGAATCACCAAGCCTCAACAATCTTCTCCTATACAACTCTCGTCGATGCAGGTGAACTCGATCCAAATCCTGGCTGCCATCACCGCGACGCACCCGACGACCCCCACTGAGCAGGACATGATGGACCTGGTGTTTCTGGCATGTAACTTGCAGGAAGACATTGAGATCCGGCGTTACTGCATGCTCTCGATGGCCAACGCCGCAAGTGATGCTGCAAATACCAATGCTTGTCTGAAGATTAAGGCTTATTATTTGAGACTTGTAATTGCTACTTGTTGGTATGTTGTAACTGGGTAAAAGCCTTTTCGTCTCTTGACTATTAATTTAAAAGTAATGCAATAGCCTAAGTAGCAGCGTAGAATGAACATAAGCAGGTATGACGGACAGAGGTAAAAATTTAGACTTTCCCGAAACATCTCTAAGCTCAAGGCCTACTTGGAGGCGATTTTGAACGTGGTGAGTCACGGTGTGGAGGAGGCCTACGACAAGGACCCTGCTTTGCAGGTTGCCGCACAGCAAAAGGCTGCCGCAGATAGCACGACTCAAGGCGATCCAAGTGGCGCGGACGCAATTTTCGTCGACTTTGCCACTCAATTTTTTCACAACTTGGCGAAATGCGATGATAAAACGGGCTTGATGCTGTTGCAGTGTGGCTTTGAGAAGAGGTACTTGCAGCGCGACTTCCTGAAGAAACTGTCCTTGACTTCTGCAATCTACTTCTGCGATTTGTGCAGACAATTGACCGACGAAATGAGCGTGCGACTGGAGCTGACGAGAAACATGTTCTTCGCTTCTTTTTAAGGCGTGTAACTACAACGAAAGTATCATATTTATGATTTCAATACTTTTCTTCATAGAGATCATTCTAGAAAAATCTATCATAGAAATATTTATAAGAGTAGTCGGACTATAACAAATTAGGTGGAATTATGTTAACTTGATGTGGCGTGTAGGAATAAGAGTAGTCGGACTATTAAGTGGAATAACTTGATGTGGCGTCATCAAAGCAAAACTGCGTCCCTCAAACGCGATCTTCCCATTTCTAATCTTCAATCGATTCCTGGGACGGAGGTTTGCTTGAAGAGCAAGAGCTAGCTCCGCACTTGTCGCTGATGTTTTCCGCTTTTCTCTACTACGGAGACACGCACCGCGAGTTCGTGCTGCAAGGTGGGCTGCGTATTTTAGTCGAAATCTACAACAGTTCAAAGAACGAGCACGTGCGCTTGTGCTGTCTTCTGAGTCTGTTGTATTTATCGGATGACGACTTCGCGCAACGCTCTATTTCGCAGGAAAATGGGATTCGAGCACTACTAGATGCTTGTGAGAACGAATCACATGTGGACCTAGTCACGAATTCGCTGAAAGCGTTGATTCCTTTCGCTTGCTCCGAGGTGTATCGTCCTCAACTAGGCATGGCAGGTGGCTTGGATACGTTTTCCTCCTTTTTGTTCTCGAACCAAGTGGACCTGAAACAATTGGGCGTCTTCTGTTTGCAGAACTTGCTAGAATACAAAGCGAATCGCGAGATTTTCTTGGGGAAACATCCCGAAAAAAGCATCGAGGAAAACTACGTGGAGGTCTTGGCGCAATTGCTGCCTACAGTGAAGAAAGGCGTGTCCGAATCGATGAAGAAGATGAGTCGCATCCAGAAACGCAAGGAGGAAGCGGAAGTCGGCGCATTGACACCGCACGATCCCTTCATCACAAGATGTATCATCCACTGTTTCGCGCTCATCTCCTTGGAACACGACACGGAAGTTCAGGAGCGCCTGATATCCTACAACGTGCCTCAACTGTTGTACAACCTGCTGCACTCCGAGCAGATCGACAAAGCAAGTGGCGAGTCAATCCTTCTATTCTTCGCAGAAATGCTACACGGAGTGCATCGGGTAGATATGCACCTTTTCATACTACTAAGTGGAAATTCAAATTCTACACGGAGTCGCATTGCATGGGGTGGTATAAATGAGTAAGTACTACAATCCTTTGTAGCGGCCTCCTTGGGGCGATGTGCCGGAGTGTTGTTGTCACCTTGTGGGGCGACGAAGCGGAGGCATCCTCTCCTATCCTTCATTTATCCAGTGAAATACGTTGTAGTAGATAATTTACCTACAGTATCATACTCATAAAAATTCAGGTAATCGCCAATCTTTTGAAAGATCCAGTGAACATGGATTGCATCCCATTGCTGCTTTCTTTCCACCGCATCGGGTCATCAAACGAGCACGTTGGTTTCCGTTGTTTGTCTGCTTTGTTGATTATGGCAGTTGGATTATTTGGAAGTCTAACTGGCATAGAGAAGTAGATGTAGATTACTAGTAACAACAACTTACTGCGATGTCCATCCGACATAAGAGAAAAGTATTTTCGGTCGTTGTATTCGCTCCTCCACTGGAGTAGTAAACACAGCCCGTTTTCTTCACTTGAGGCCTCCTCTTCTTCACTTGAGGCCTCCTCTTCTAATGTAAGCATCTCGCGTTCCCGGGAGTTCCGATCTCGTGTCATCGTCAATTTGCCGGAAGTGATGAACATCATTCATGTGGTGATCAACTCCACTGCAGAGGACAAGAGAACAGAGCACTTCTTCGGAACAGTGGCTATCCTCTGCGGTCTCTTAGCCGAATTGACGCAGTCTGACGCCAAGCATCACGAAAAGTTCGTGGAGTACAACCTGGTGGAGACGTTCTTGATGTTTATCACGTTGGCGGGCAGCAGCTTAAATGGACAGATGTGCGTGGATTTGCTGCTTTGTTCCGTGTACGGTATCTCGCAATTGGCGAGTTCTAGTACACAGTACAAGTTTTTCCTCCGCTCACTGCTCTTTCCGGCCACGCGCATTCAGCTGTTCGTTTCCCTGTTGCGCTTGCCAGCTGGGGAGGTGGACCAAGCCTTTCACGCAGGAACGACAGGGCTGAAAGCTCTGCAAAGGTTACGGCTCACAATGAATCATTTGAAGAAGCATCTTCTGAAGTACTAGCAACAATAATTCATTCAAAGAAGCATCTTCTTTGTTCATCCTCCCCTTTCCTTTAAAGGAAAGAAAACACTTCTTCAAAGATGCGCTTCAAGATGAATTTAGCTGAGGTCTAAAAAGGGCATTCAAACCGAGTTTGACCAGCGACGAGCTCCAGAGCAATAGGCTAGACTGTGAGTCGTTCCTTGGTCTAGTCGATACCCTGCCTTCGAGCTTCATCTATCGCCATGTTCTGCGAGTCATGTGCATCATCGCATCGGACAAGGAGTACTTTCCGCACCTGAAACAAGCGGTGAACGTGAACAACATGGTTCCAACCGTGTTGTTCGGCGTGCAGGGGACGAGCGACGCGTTCGCAGAAGTACTTACTAATGCTGAAAACTAATACTAGTGAGCTAGTAAGCTACGTTAACTTAGGCCGCGATGGACAATTCACTGAGGCTTCTCCCTAAACAAAGGTTTTCGCCTACGCCTTGATGACCCGTCTATCCGATGATTTGGGGATGAAACCGCTCTTGTCGAACGCCGCGCCGCTGATGAACATGTTCATGGACTACTGTAGGCGGTTCCAGCAGACTTTCGATACTGGGCAATTGAATTCCAAGTACAAGAAGGCCCTCCTCACGCGAGACACCACCAAGGTTACAGCGACCGCCTTGTCTTTGTATGGCTTTTTAGCATTGGTTATTATTTCGGTAGATAGTTTTATTCATCCATGTTCGACATGAAGATGACAGTTTTCCTTTTCGATATGAGCTATTTGTTTTATGTGCATGTTGGCAGCCGAAGACGCCGAAAGGAGAGGTGGTTGTTTGCTAGTAGAACGAGAAGAAGTTGTAGGGGACTCCTTCGTAGTTGATGCCGGCGTCAAGGCATCACGTGCTTTGTCTCTGACATCATCAATGCACCACAACAATAAGAATTCTCTAATCTCCCAACAAGTACTTGATGGCGTTGTGTGTGGTGGTGAATCTGGTGCACGAGATGAAAATTCGCTTCGATCCAACGACTGGGGAAAGGATGCAGAAGAAGGAGAAGGACCCCATGGAGAAGTGGTTGGCTAAAGAAGGTACATGATGAATGAAAGAGGGTAAGGTGCGTAGATCTATTCGGACACAGTCCACAACACGTCACTTATTTCTTCGTAACGCAGTAACTTCTTCAACCTCCTGAAGTCTGATTTTTTTCGTGCCGCCTATGACTGTGTAACTCTCCGCGAACAGTTACACCAGCATCGTATCTGTAACAGCTACAACATCTACGTCGTTCTTGTTGTAGAACACCCTACTGCTACCCGTTTTTACTTCTCTGAAATTGAATCTACTGTTGTGATTGAAGAACCCTAGTAGGATGATTCACGAACCACATCCACCACAACTAAAAAGCACACCAGCACCTCCTCTTCCTCGTCCAAAACTCAGGCGAAGGCGATTCCTCAGAAGGTGGTCTGAGTCGTAACAACGCTGAGTTCATGACCACCATAGCGGGACATCTGCTCGGAAGCTTGAACATCGAAGTGATCTTGCAGTTCGCGAGAGCAGTCCGCCAGCAGATGGAGGAAGAGCGGGAGAAGAAGGAAGAAGATTAAGGCTTTGTGTGATTCTCATTTTAGAAAGTACAAATTGATAGTATGTCCTCGTGGTATAGGTAGTATGTAGTGTGACCATCCATCAGAACTTTTTAGTTTGTTACATATGCTCCCGAAGTCGTGCAGGTCTCCATCCTCTTATCTTCATTGAATAAATCGATTAGGACTTCTAGACTCAGAGTGTGCCTACAACTTGCACCTTACTACAAGAACCTTACTTGCTTCTCATACATTTACAACATAAAAACAGACGAAGTGCAGGTCTCCTCTACCCCTGTCTAAGAAAAAGAACGGCTAGGCATAACAGATCCGCAGGCGATAGATGCTCCGGATCCTAAGAAGCTGGCAGAGAGAGAAGGCCTCATCATGCTGAATCAAGTGCAGGAGTACATCTCAAAGTGCACATTCGTCATGGTCCACAATGCAATGTGCGCTAGGGCGGATTTTGCGCAGGGAGAGATGGTGCTTGCTTCTACGAAGATAGTATCTAAGTTGATCACGACTACTAGAGTTCTTGTCTTGTTGTTGTCTAGAAGCAGTAGTCCTGCTCAAGAATAATGAATGAATATTATTGAACACATAGATGAAGTTCTTGAACATATAATTCACTTGGTTTCGATCTATTTCTGATAAACATCACAGGCTCATCGCGCACCGCTGCCTGCGATTCCACCTGGTGAGCGCATTAGGATGCAGAATTTTGAGAAGAGGCCTACCAGCTACGAAATTGAGGCCGTCACACGCCATATGGACAAAAAGCCGCTGCAAAAGCAGCAGAAGATTGGCTTCAAAAAGAAGAAAAAAGAGGAGGGTGGCGGCGACCTGATCCCTCCTCCGGATGCGTCTGTGATCGTACCAGAAGCCTTGGCACTGTCGTTTCCGACTATGGGGTCGTTGCAGACAAAGGTTAGGCAGATCATGAAATTGATTGGTCGCTGCATTGAGATGGGAGTCGGTGTGGAGATGGCAGGAATTGGATTGGAGACGGTGGCTGCGCTATCATACTTCGCGCCCTTTTTAAGGCTCAATACCGGATATACGTAGTAGTACTGATGATCGATACTGTTGTAAGTCTATCTGGATCTGTTGTAGTTCCACACAAACACTTCTACATAGTTCTAGTTCTAGAAGAGTAGACGGGATAAGAATATTAGCAAAAATAGAGCAGGTACTAGAGCTAGTTGTATGCGTAGATCGCGACCGAGTAGTAGTAGTACTAGTTGTACGATCGATAGCTCCTCCTCTAACCTCCGTGATCGACGATCCCAAAGTAGTCGTCCGGATGATCCAGATGCGAATGGACGCGGTCCAAGAGGTGTTGACCATGCTCGCTGCCAATATGTTCGCACATTGGATCCGCGCAAAAGATGCCGAAAGCATCAAGGACATGGACACTGCCTTCATGTTCCCTCTTCTGACTGGAAACCACATCATGGTCCGCCGTAACCTGATCGGCTTCTTGGCGAACTGCTGTGTACATGTGGAATGTTTGGACTTGGTGATCAAGAGTGGCATGCTGCGTCTCTTCACCAACTTGGCTGGTCGCTTGTATTTCGTGGAGCAATTCCAGGTGATTTTGGAGATGAATCGAGCATTGGCAAATTTGACAACGCACTTCCAAGAGATGCATCGGCTGTTGAATTCTGAGCACGTAATAGCCTTTCTGGCGGACACGTTGCAGTACAGCTACACCTTTTTGCATGGGATCTTCACAAAGCCAGCCGACGAGAAGGCGAAGCGGGACAAGAAGAGGCGTGAGGAACACGCGAAAAGAAGGCAGGAATTGAGAATGCGCAAGCTGCGGAAACAGCGAGAGCTGGCACATGCTCCACCATTGTACGAATCCACTATCACGTTCAAGGAGACCGACCGCGCGCCATTGGGAATCAAACTGCGATGGCTTGATCCACCGATTTTTCTTTTAAGGCTTTTTGTTGTTGATACCCCCGCTCTTTTTATTTCGTCATCCATCGTCTACTTGACTTGAAATAGAAATAGTAGATGATTACATGCTCGAAAGACGATTCGATGCTATTATCAGATCAAACTTGAAGAAGATAGTAGTGTTAGTATCTCTTACTACTTCTACTTGTGTAAGGGTTCATCTTCGCTTCTAACCTCAGGCGTCATCGATGGCACACCAGCGCAGCGCTACGAGAGCAGCTTGATGGCGGAGAGCCACGCGCTGATCACCTGCAATGGGCAGCCCGTGCACGGCCTACGCCAAGACGAGATCGTCCCGATGTTGCAAGCCAGGCCACTCGCTCTGCTCTTTCGCAGAGTCGACGTGCCAGTACCCATAGACGATACGGCACCCATGCACAGTGTAGAGGACATCCTAGAGGAAGAGTTGGTTGAGGACCAGTTCTCGGAACCGGATGAGGACGATTTGGATCCTCTAGTGCTAGAGAATCAGAGGATCGCGAAGGGCATGGGCATCGACATCGAGGGCTACGGCAAGGATGATCCGCACGAGGTGGGCAAGTATTTGGACGCTCCTACCGCGGGAACAGACGATAGCATGATGTTGTACCAGGAATGCTTCCACTTGTGTCTTTTGTCCTTACACTTAAGGCTACCGCTGAAGCATCCTCAGCACCATCCCTGGCTTCTTTTTTAAGGAGAAAAAGGGCTCAGGGATGGACTCAAGGATGCGACGCAGTAGCTCTAATACACAACTTGAGCTGCACAGCAGAATGTCATGGCGCGATCCTGCAGGAACCGAAGATTCTGGACTTCTACTTAGAGTTGATTCCTTCCGGTGTAGTTACGGCAGAGCTGCGACGAGTTGTGTTTAGCACGCTAGCGAATTTGGCGCGACAGCAGCACGTAGCAGGCAAGATCTTCAAGGCCATGTCGCAGTACTACTTAGACCATGAGTCGATTGACAACTCTTTGGAGAAGTACATCTTGTTGACAGCCAACTTGCTGTACGTGAACAACGAACCCGCAAATATCGAACCTGACCGCGCGTGCTTCTTGTTCATATCGAAGATAGCCGAGACGCATTTCCACCTAGCAGACATCCGCGTGCTGCTGATTGAGACCTTGCACAGGATGTCCTTGGCCCCGGCGGAACTGCGCTACAAGTTCACGAATCGCGAAGTTCTCGTCATTCTGCTGAAGTTGATCGATTACCACGAACAGTTTGAGGTCCAAGTACGCGCTTTTGAAGCGTGCTACTTCCTGACGGTCGCCTGCAACGACCCGCACCTGTGGGAGAACGTAGGCTTGATTCCGAAGCTCTGGTCGGCTGCTAGCGTGAAGAAGCGGAAGTCGCCGAACAAGGAAGAAGAAGACATTCTCTACGAAATGGCAGTGCGCACAACTGCCTTGATCACGCACTACACCGTTTTGGTCGAGCAATTGTTGCTGTGTTCGGATTTGGACTCCTTTATCCAGGTCTTATTCGAGGACGCGACGAAAAGCGAGGACTTGCTCCACAGCACCAGTCATTTGATGAACCTGTTGCTGAGGACGCCACAAGGAGGCAAATTCTGGTCGAAGTGGTACTCCCAAGGCTTTCTGGGCAAGATCGCGATGGAGTTTCAGCGCTACCAGAACATCCAGAGGCGACTGGAGCGCCATCAATCACAGCAAGCGGCGATCCGCAACTCCCAAGCCGCAGAAGATGATGACGAGAGTGACGATGACGAGGACGGCAACGACCCTTCCTCCGGATCTGGGCGAAAGAAGCGAAGAGGCAGTGGCCCAGTGAGCGGAAAAACGCCGAGAGTCTTCGATGAAGCTACAGGCGACGCAGCGGAAGCGAGGGAACCCAGTAGGTTTAAGCCAGCTCACTGGAGTGACGAGCAGAAAGAGGTAGCGCGAATGGATCCCACGTTCACGCACAAGACTGGAGAGCTCTTTCATAGTGACTTCTTGACTTCTCTGCCCGTCGACGTGCGCGGAGTAGGTGCTGCAAACGTTTCGCGGGTGGTCTGCAACAAGCTAGGCCTTGTCCCGATCAACCCGTACAAGAAGAAAACGCGCAGTGATCAACCAGGCTTGAAGGAAAGCGAAATCGTCCTAGACCTCACAGGCTTGAACAACACGACTGCCAAAACGCTTGTCAAAGAGTGGGACTATCCTGTCAGAGCAAAAGACGGCAGTGACGACGTCGCTTACGGCGAAAATGGCGAAGGAGGCAAAGACCAAGACCCACTGGCAATCCGAGACGGAGCAAGCAAGACCAGCAGTCCTGGTTCTAAGAACGCAGCTGGAGGATCTTCCCCAAGCAAGTCCAAAGCCGGCGCTTCGAAATTCAAGAATAACGCGCACATGACGAAGACAGTGCAAAGTGTCTTGCAACCCATGACGCCGGTCGGGCTCTCCCTAGTGCACCCGGTCGCGCCTGGCCTTGACAGTTTACTCCACATCTTGAGCTATGCAGTGAACGTGGAAGCGGAGGTGATGGATATTCTACGACACGACGTGTTTATAGACTACTTCAAAGCGAGGCTGCACCAGCACTGCGTCTTCTACAAGATCTACGAGCAAAAATACGGAATGCGACCGCCAGAGGAAGCTGATACCAAGGAGCCTTTGTCAGTGAAACGTGAGTGGCGCATCAAGTACGATCGAGCGATGCGGTCGTTTAGGATAATGTGCAGATTACTTACACTAGTCGCTTCAACCCCCTACGGCGTGACAGCCTTAGCGCATATGCAGATGGTTCCGCTCCTCTCGATGCTTCTTCACCTGCCCTTCCGGGATATTCGACTCGTCTCAGTGCGGCTTTTGTGTGCTTTGTCGATCGAAAAGACGGTTTGCGTGGATCTGATACAGTGTCCGGACTTTGTCGATTACACGAAAGCACTAGAAGACAGGATTATGCGCAATGCTACAGGCGTGAACCCTGAGGAAACGGAATATTTCGCTACGATCTTCGATCACATGTGCGTCTGCAATATGCCAGAGCTAACGCAGGCGGTCTTCGACAAGTTTTTGCCGTTGATCGTCTACCTGATCGTCTACTCCGAGTCCATGAGCACAGTGAACCGGTGCATGCGAGCATTGACGAACGTGACGCTGATGTATCCGCAGCAAGTAGTACAGCAATTGGAATTGCCCTTGAACTATTTCATGTGCTTTTCGATGGTCGTCGCGTGTGCAATGCGGGACGGAGAGTGGATTATGGCTGACGCCGCAGTCGCCAAGGATCCGGAACAGGACAAGATTAGGCAATTGCAGCTAGAAAAGTTCCGGATGGCCAGACATCGAGGTTTGGGTGTTTTGGGCGAGAAGGAGGAGAACTATCCTGCCGAAACGAAACTGCTAAGGCACTACAACATGATCTTTTTGACCCGGATACTAGCGAACAGCAGTCCGAAACTTGGGAAAACTGTGTTTGAGCAGAGCAACGTGTTAATGCTATTGCAGGCGCTGCGGCACAAGTTCATTCAAGTGTACTCCGACGTGACAAAAGAGCAATACAGACAGCGCACTCTGGGGAAAGACGACCTGCTCAAGGACATGGAGAATTTGTCGCCGAAAAGGGCGCACAAGATGAAGCAGCACATGCTGAACCAAACTGCTTGTGACGCGGAACTCCTGAATTTGACCTTAGCTACGTTGCAGATTACGAACTCGCTCTTCTTCGGCACCTACAACGACTTCGCGTGGGGAGAGCAGTACGCGGACGGGCCTGTGCTGATCCGCTCGCAGCCGATGGCGAAGGACTACATCGTCTCCATGCTGTTGCAGATGTTGGAGTTCTTTTTTGTTAGGCTCTTTCCACTAGGGATCGGGTCCATGTACACGCAGAACCCGGACGACGAGATGAAGCACGGGGACGACGGCTTCTTTGACAAAGTCACCTTTGAGGGCGACGACGAGGACGGCCTACAAGGGGGCGGTGCGAAGGTAGACTTGAAGGAGTTCGCCCACACCGACATGGCGACGAGGAGACGAGTCGCGTACTTCTTGAGTCGCGATGTTCGTGTCTTGACCAACTTGTCGCAGTTGCTGCGGGAAATAGGCACGCAGCCTCTGTACAACAGCATGTTCAACTATATCCTCAGGTCAGAGATCTACTACAAGATGTGCGTCGCGGTGAATCGCGCTGTTTTAGAAGTGTACAGCGTGGAAGACCCGATCGATCCGTACAGCGAAGTGAAGCAGAGCTCAAACGCGGATCTAGACTCCTTCAAGTCGTCTGTGCGCGCAACTGGAGAAGGAATGACGCCGTTGACGATCTACTTGCGGGAGTACAACTGGAACCAGGTATTTGAGAACATCGTCATCGCTCTGAGAGCGAACTTGTCGCAGTCGCTGTACGTCGGAACGAATCCGAAGAAGATGCCACAGCACAACGCCTTGCTCGATCAGCCGAAGAACTTGAACAAAATAGAGTTCTGGCGCTGGGGTCAGCAGGACAAGCTGGTCTTGCACCACGAAGCGAAGCTGTGGGTCCCGCAGATCGTGTTTCGGTTTCACCATCTGCGCACGCGCATCTTAACTGAGGCAGTGCAGTACATTACGTTGACAGGGGTCTTCCAGGACTACTGCCAGCTGAAAGTGAAGGACGCCAGCGGCGTTTTGCATCATACGGTGTCGAACATGACGCAGTACTACTCGTTACTAGATCCGATTTACTTGCGAATGCTCTTCGATGCTTTGGATTTGAGCGAGAGTCCAAAGACGCAGATGCTCGCTGTGTACGTGGTGAGTCAGCAGTTGTACTACCAAGGAGACAAGATAATGGAAGAGTACAAGCGAATAGCACACCTGTTCGACGAAAAGGACCACGTGCGACTGTCCGACGCAGCTGCGCCAGTGCCAACGGCGACGGGGCATGGAGGAGGGCGAGCAGGAGGCGCAGGACAGTTAAGGCTCACGATATTCTCAATGTTAATTCATGCCTTGACTCGCTTTTAATTATCAATTCCCTAAGAGTCTATGACTATGTTGATCGATCATGAAGTATTGAACTATATATTGCGAATGCGAGCTCCAGCTCTAATACCGAACCCCACTACGGGGAACCAAGAAGCAGAAGCGGCTCTAGACCTGCAACAACAGGAATTACGTGCTCTTAGCAAGCGCACGTTAATTCTGAATGAGACGGAAGGCATTCCCCGTTTGCTGACGCAGGTTTTGTACTTGCTAGGAGAGAGTTTTGAGATGAAACTCGAGAACTTCGATCGCAGCAAGCTAATCCTAGGTGTGTTGCAGATCGTGTCGAATCTTTTGACCTTCGAGATTCCCGCGTTGACCACAATAGTGCTGAGCAATGATGCTTTGGTGCCGTTGTTGCGCAAGACGTTTGGGCACATCTACGACCACTACGACTCGGTGAGCAGTGCAGATGAGTACATCGAACTTCTAGACGCGTTTGTGCGCTTGTTGCGCAACATCGTGACCATTGGCATCGAGCATGAAGGCATGGTCCAGCTCATTTTGGATCGCATGAAAGTGCTGCCTACGGAAACTACCATAGCCAAGGATGTGACGCCTAAGAAAGCGCCGATTATGGGCGCGGGGAAGACGGCTTCTGGGAGTAGTTCGAGTCCAGGGAACAGTCCGGCGCCGGCACCCGCGGCCACAGCGGTTTCTTCGCCATCTGGTGATGCTTCACCAGGAAGTGCGGCAGCGGAGCGAGCCGCCGCAGCGGCTGCGTTACCCGCGATCTACACCACGGAAACAGAGCGTGTACAGGTAGAAACGACTTTCGACGCGATTCTCGGTTCCCTCGATATTTTCCCGCTGTTAGAGTTCCTCGTTGCGTGCGGCAACCGCCTGATGGACTCGCCACGGTTCATCGAGAACCACGCCAAATGGAAAACGAAGCTGTTTGAGAGCATGCTTTTGACGTTTTCTACTCTCTTCGCGCACTCCGACAAAAAATTTGACGGAGCCATGATGGACTGGACTCGAGTGGAACGAGCGAAGCTCGAGTACTGCCTGCTGAGCATCCACGAGCACCGAGTGGGCAGCGAGAAGCGTTTTCAGGGTCTCTGCATAGAGGAGACGACTTTGAGAACGCTGTACTGCATGGTCAAGCAGGGCTTCTTCTTCCAGAGTAACACGTTTCCCAACACTTTGCAGGTAGCTGGCTACGGTCCAGGGAACGAGAACATCAATTTTGAGTGCCGCGAGATCGCTGCCGTCATCTTGAGCATTCTGAGCTCAACGAGCGGGAAGAACAGTTCCACAGGAGACATCTTGAACAACATACCAAAGTTCCTGGCGAATCTGCGACACCTGAGCGATCCAAACCAGCTGTTGTGGCACTACAAGCTGGTCTGCACCTTCTCAAAGTTGCCGAAAGTGATCGAGCAGATCGCCGGGGACGAGGACAGCTACAATTTCGTCTTCGACAGTCTAGAATCTCCGGTGTTGTGCAGGCACAGCATCGTGATCGTCCACAATCTCACGGTGCTGAAAGCGACCAGCCTGAACGAGCGGCCTGGCAGTTTGCGCCGTCTGTGCTTGCTGTACAAGAACATCATGGCCGTTTCGCGTCCAGAGGTCGTCGAACTGGACCCAGAATACGCCGACCGGCCGAACGCGCGCCACGAGGCGTACGCGCTCTCACGGGCAGTCCGAGAGGATCCGGACATCACCCAGACCGAATTGGATGTGCTCAGTCGTCTGGTTTTAGCCGCTGTCCGCAACGTGGTGTATACACACGTGGTGAAGGAGATGAACCCTGTCCAGGACATCGCGGAGGAGGATCGCGACGGCATCTTCCAGGTGTGCAACAGCGTGTGCAAGGAGGACGTTTGTCTCTACATGAGCATCCTGTTTGTGCTGGTGCGCGACAAGCAGATCGCGGTGAGCATCCTGAACTTCACGGCCTGCTTTGAGCTAGTGCTGGATTGCATGCTGTACCCCTACGCGCACGTGAAGCCGAACAGCGAACAGCCGCAGAAGAAGAGACCGAAGTTCGGGAATCTGCAGAGGGATCAGCTCTACGAGATGGATTCGCAACACATGCAATCGGCCGATGGCGCTGCAGACAGCGAAGCCGCTAGTGGTTCGCCACGCGGACGGGCTCGTGAAGGCGCGGAGGGCGTCGCGAAGGACCGACTAGGCGCAGGGGGCCGCGAGTCGCTGTACCAGAAGCAGCGGCGCATGGCTGCCGAGAAGAGCATGCAGAAAACCGGTTTTTCGCTCGTGAAGAACTCGAACATCAAACCTAGCGAATACGCCTTCGCGGAGGAGTACTTGTTTTTCATGTGCACCCACATCTTTTTGCAGGTGACGTATTTGCCGGACGCGGAGGCGCCGCCGCACATAAAGGGGATGGAAACGGCAGAATTTCCGACGCCGCAAGCGCGACAGCAAGCCTTGACGAAACTGTCGGGAATCGCGGGACGCCTAGGCCTGGTCGAGAACTACTTCAAGAGGGTAGAGGAACTCTTGTTCAAAATCGACCGAACCAAGCGCGTGTTAACGGACCTGTACTTAGAGTGCGTCTCCGAGTTCATCCTCCATGGTCTGACGATTCCGTGTTTCGTCGACTTTTTCTACCAGAGGCCGATCCCGGACATGCTGTCGCAGGTGGCGCCGTTCCTCTTGGCGTGGAGCAGTCGGAGCATCGTGAACAAAGCAGCTTTAGTGTGTATTCGAGCCAAGCTTCATCGGCAAACCGCAGTCTGCAACGAGATGGCCACCAAGTACTTACAATTCCCGGAATTGGCGTGTGGCATGCTGACATACGCGTTGGTCGACCCCGAAGCTCACTACCTACACGATCAATACATTTACGGCTAGTTGGAGTGCTAGTATTTTTGTTGTATTATATTTTAATTTTCCTCAATTTAAGTACTAGCGTCAGGGAAATCTTAGGCATCTTGCCGAATAGATTCAAATCATCAAGTACTAGCTGTAGTTCATGTAAGTAGAAGGAACATAAATTAGTGAAGGCGTTCAAGGAGAGTAGTCCTCGATTTTTAGCAAGAAACCTCTACACGACACCAGTGGGTCAATTTTTCGAAAACTGTTTCCTAAATAAAATGACCTTGCTACTACACCATCTAATCTCTCGGTTTTGTGCGTGTCTTCCAGCAGATGCTTCAGCAAAACCTACTAGCACCGATGAACGTGAATCGGGTGGCAATAGCGACAACGACGCTCATCTCCACACTGACGGAGGAAGACTTTGCGGCCGAAGCCGCCGAAGCTGAGGCCATGGCAGCTGCCTTTGGCCCAGAAGAAGAGGAGGAAGAGGACGACGAAGAAGGTGAGGAAGGTGCAGCAGGTGGTGAAGGGGAAAAGAATGTTAAGGAAAAAGCGATGGAATAGGAAATGCATTTGCACTGTGAAGATCAAGATTATAGCTTCTGAAAAATGTAAATCTGCAAGATGATTCTGGACTATGAGTAACACCAAGCAAGGCAAGATACGTGCAAAGTTTTACCTGTAGCATGCGGCAGCGGCAGGAAATGTAGATGTAGAAGATTTAGATTCTTTCAGAGTCGAGTAGTTGCGTTGTAGATGAAGATGGGTCGTCGATGTAGATCTCCTAGAATTTTGCTTGACTGAATCTAATAGTCCCGCAGCAAGTGGTGACGTCGCGGCCGCGGATGGTGCCGTGGTAGCTGCCGTTGGGTCTGAGCAGGCAGGCGGCTCTTCTCCGTCCAAACCAGAAAAGACCAAGAAGCAGCTAATCGAGCAGGTCTACACAGGCAGCAAATTACTACGCAGTCGGCTGCTTCACCGCGAGTACTCGATGTGGGGCTCATTTTTGGAGGAGCTCGCAGACCGAGGACACATCCAGGTGATTCGCATCTGCATGAGTCTGTTGGTTTCCGCGACGTGCGGAGGCGGAAACTACAAAAACTTCCCGGAACTAGACGACTTCCTCATAGGATTGCTCACCAACATCGAGGATCTGATCAAACAGGATTTCGACCTGATCTTCCCGATTCTAGTGGACTTCGCGTTCATAGGTGGAAAACGAGTCCAGATGGTCATGTTCTCGAAGAAGGTGCATTCGAACGCGCTTAGACGGTTCGAAACGTTTTTGAACGAGCTGAGCAAAATCGAGGAGGCGGAAAACGGAGAGGGTCCGGCAGCTCTTAGTACCATGGCGAGCAAAGCCGAGAGGGAACAAGCGAAGCAGCAACAGCAGCAACAGGAAGCAGCGAACGCGGAAAAACGAGAGCAGCTTTTGTACAGGATTCGTTGGATTCTCTACATGTTCACCATTTTTTTAACCGACCGCGAGGCCCAGATGGAGGCGCGACAGGCGGAGATCATCAAAGACGAAACTTTCGACACGTTCGCGAGGGTCGACTTGCTTCCAGTGGTGATTCGGTACCTGAAGGAGCGGTCGCACCTGATGAGCCCCATGGACAAGCATTTTTGCGTGTTTATGCTCGCTCTATACGGAAATTCGCAGTTTTTGCAGACAACGATGGTTATTCCGGAGATTTTCCGCCACTGCCAGAAGATCTTGGACGATGACAGCGTCGTTGCCAACGCGCTCACTGCCTGGGATAGGCTGCCGATGCGCGAGGCGGTGCCGCTCAAGATGCACGGGCCGTCGTTGAACGAGATGAAGAACGCAATCTTCGTGAACGTGGTCTACATGGTGTTAGAGCAGGCCAAAGCGAGCCCAAAGGCCGTGTGCTTTCATCCGTGCGTGGAGTTCGTACAGGCCTGGCGATCGAGAAACCTTAGGTTCCTGGAGGTGAACGTCACCAGAAAACCGCTAGAGCTGACGCTTGGTGGCGGCAAGAAGAATGCCCGGAAAAAGTCGGTGAACGATGGCCTCACAGACGCTGAACGATACATTAAGGCCGAATGTACTTACTTAGACAGGCTGATATATAAGGTTCTCCTGTCTCTTCCAACTATCACTGGTACTACTACTAGCTGTTGTAGCATCTTGGTCACCAGAAGCAAGTTTCTGAAAAGATTGAGACGTCAATAGCGTTCTCTAATAAATGTACTACTGAGTAGTACTTATTCTAAGGAAGAGGACGTGTACGTTAGAAACTTGTAGTCAACTACGTAATTCGTTCTCTCTTAGACTCTTGCTCTGTGCTCATCTAATTTGAACAAGGAGAGCAGTATGGGGCGCTATCGACTTTGCCTAGTGCTGTTTCACCTGCTGAAGCAGCCGGATATGATCGAGAACCTGATGGATAATTTTGGGCTTTGTATGACCCTGGTCAATCTGTTCGAGGACTACTACAAGGTGGAACCGAAAGATCTGTCGAAGACGTGCTTCCTGCCGAAAGAAGCACCAAGAGGCGCGACCATTCCAGCGTCGCAACTAGCCGCTGCGGAACTCGAGAAAGCTAGCAGTGCGGGTGGTGCGAGCGGAATGCAGCAGAACGAAGATGGGACTTTGGTTCCACTCACGGTGTTAGATGCCGACGGGGATGTCGTAGACGCACCTTCGTCGGCCGAGGAGGATGAAGCGAGACAAAGCACCCAGGAGCCGAGCAAGAGCCGGCCAACGCAGTTCAACTTCGATCAGCGGTTGCTGTGGGTCCGCATCGTCTGTTTTCTGCTGGAAAACGAGCCGAAGAAGCTGCTGGACAAGAGTCCACTCCTCTTGGACTACGTGCTGGACATGGCCTTCGCCTTGATCGAGGAGTACAGATGGAGTGCGCCAGCTCTGGTCATCGCGACCGAGTGCCTCAACGTCATTCTGCCGGAGGTCGCCAAGTTGTACGAATACAAGGCATTTTCGAGAATGCGCAAGAAGTTCGTGAATCTATGCGTCTACTACGTCTGCGAGGCCATTTCGTTGCCACTGCGGGTAAAAGCCTGCAAGGCCTTAGAATCCATCCTTGAGGGCAGAGGCGTGAAGAGCTACGACGAAACGGTGCAAGTGTTGATGCAGGTGGACGTGAACCAGGTGTGGAAACAGATTTTGAGGGGCACGAAGGAGGAGCTGTGCTTGGCGACCGTGAAGTTGATGCTGGCGTTCGTAGAAAAAGGCCAGTATCGAGGACGGATGTATCTGCTACGAGGAGCTATGCTTCCGGAGGTGGTGGATAGCATGATGTCGCAGCTTGCCACTCACGCACGCGTGCTTCTGCTAGCAAAGCTTTTTTCAGCGTTGACGACGGATCTCAACTTCGACTTACTCCAGATGCTGATCCGGACCACACCAGACATTCGACCTTTCTTTTATGAACACTGGTTTAGGTAGCGGTAGATGTCATTGTTATCACCTTTAGACCAATGATATCATGGAGGTTGAACAGTTGTAAAAGGAGAGCAGATCATTTTTATCGATTTAGATTTTTTAGATTTAAATAGTATTCTTATGTAGTAGTATCTAGTATTCTTTTCGTTTTTGTCTCAGGAGCCTCGGGAGCTCCCTGAAAGGGAAGTTCTAATCCCCAGGCCTCGCTCGCAGCAGCCACGAGAACCGACGTGAGGTGGTGAAGAAGTGGATCGAGTTTTATGGGAATTCGCTAGTGAATTTCCAAGAGATATACGATGCTTTTGCGATGTACGGTACGCTGAACGGGTATGTGTACTTGGCAGTGCAGTGTACGTCCAAGGACGCGCCAGTGCTTCGACGGATGATGCTCCATCTAGTGATCGCCACGTACAAGAACATCCGCGCTCTCGGTTCAGTGGGCTTAGTAGACTTACGGTTTTACATTTGATTTAGAACTACTAGTAGTCTGAGGTTGTATTTAATGATGGAGAAAAATCTGCTTCATCTTAAGCTGTCTGAGGAGTAGAGGGATCACGTGTGAATGATCTTGAGTGAAGAAGATCATGAACGAATACGAAGCTTGCTCAAGAATGCTCCTCTAATGAATTTTGCGCACGAGTTTTTGATAGACAACTTGTTGGAGATGTGTCATCGTGGCGGTCGCGACCTGATTGAAGCAGGCGTGCGGTTGATGCACGATTTTCTGCTTGACAACGAGTTGCAACAGACGCCGAAACTCGTGAGGACGATATGGAGTGCGAAGCGACTCAACTACCTCATCAAATTTTTGTACCACAAGAGCGTTGACCAGATCGCATTTGCGCCAGAAACCATGCATCGACGTTCACGAGACGACTGGCCGCACAAACAAGTCCTCTATATTCTTATGGCGTGAGGTCAGCTATCAACATGTTCATCAACGAGTACGTAAATCGATCTAAAGAATCTAAAGAATTGTTCACTCCTTTTTCTCCTAGGATTCTAGCATCACTATCCTACATTGCTACTTCTTTGTCACATGCACCTGATTACTCCTTAGTACCATCTTTCGCAAGTTTCACTGTCAACTCTCGTAGTAGATCATGAAGTTCCACTCTGCGTCAATCACCACCTAGAGAGGTTATACGCTAAATTATTTTCTAATCTTTAGGGTATGGTTTTGCAGTTGGTGCAGAAGATCGTGCTGATATCCGACGTCCGCGATAGGATAAAACTGGTGAAAGAGACAGATTTTTGCGAAGCGCTATACACGCTTCTCTTCTACATCTGCAATCTTCCCAGTCCACCCGTGCTGTCAGCCGAAGAAGAGGAAGAGGCAGCAGAGGAGGCACGAAGACAAGCGTCGAACAGCAACTCAGTTATGTTCTTTATTGTGATCACTAGAATTTTTAGAATAAGAGGTAATTTCACATTCATGATTAGGATTAGTGTATTAGTAGTTTCTAAAGTCCTCAGAGGCGATCACTACGTCCTCCTTGGGGCGCTTCGCCTGCGCTCGTCTCGGCACCTTGCGTGAAGATTCAGCAGCGGCACTCTATCCTATCAGTCTATGCCAGAAACTTCCATTTCTTGTTTCTACGTATCAAGTTCTTTTGTAGTGACAAACTCAGAGAGTGACAAGAACCTTTTCATCGGTCTTCTAAGTTTGACTCAGCTGCAGGCTTTGCGGCGTCCTCCTTCACTCTTGCTAGCAAGGGTCGTAGTGAAGCGCAGGTCTCTGCTGCAACTGCGGAAGAGAAGCCGGAGCAGACCAAGCGGTTTGGGAGCCTCTACGATAGCATGCTCTGCTGTGTGCTACTCATGTTCAAGTCCATAGTCTATGACGCTTACAAGGCGAAACCGGAGAGCAAAACCGACGATCCGAATGGAAAGCTGATCACTTTCGCCTGCAAGAACCGCATTCTGGAGCTCTGCTTCCTTGCCCTGATGCCGACACCTAAAGAGCAGAACGAGTTGCAGATCCAGCTCCAAGGCAGCGAAGAAGGGGTCAACATGAACGTTGGGGGAAGTTTCAAAAAGCCGCTGCCTCAAGGATGGATCAAGCGAGACACTGAGTCAGGAGTGGCTGAAAAGGTGGCCTCAATCGCCCTGCAGCTGCTATTGCAGGTGCCCGATGGACGGGAATATTTTGCTAGTACAGCGACAGCGCCAACGGCCAAAGTCATGTTTGCCCAGGTCAATCGATGGCGGGAGCTCATATTCGAGAAGGTTGGATCGATAGCGCTACCAGCAGACATGTCCTTCGAGGAGCGCTTCGTCACCTTCTACTTATGATGAATACAGCTAGAGCTAGAGGCGATTCTCATGATCAAGATCATTTTTTGATTGAAGAGGATGGACTTCGAAGTTCCTTTGCCCGGAAGTGGAACTACGACTACCTCGG